ACCCACTTTTTATCTCGGCTGGAATGCGTTTACGTATTCGTATAATAACATAGAATAAAGTAGAAAAGACCAAATGAGACACAGAAGGTCCGAGGTCTGCGGGGGGCCACGTTAGTTGCCATCGGTATGCAGTGGATGGAGCAACATGTCTAAACTCGAGAGCACTTTGTGCTTCGCTTGGGGCCAGCAGTGGCTCGCATGAGGAGATTGCTTGAGCCACAACGTCGTAATCCCACAGTCGCGCGTCCCCGAGCGCCGACTATAGTGCAATGTTATAGTACACGGTCTTAAGCCCGGAAAAGCCAGCTTTCGAATCTATCTAATCGTTGGCGCGGGCGGGGTTAGTACTCGAAAAGTAGTATCTCCGGTGAGGAGAGACCTCGGAAAAGAGAGGGTTGGCTAGGTCTGTATGTGGCCGGACCATGGATGCAGTCGACACCATTCGGGAGTAGTTCAGTCTATCATCACAAAGGGAGTTAGAAGGGGGGAAAATCCAATTTCACGTTTACACTTGGAAGTTTCCACTACGGCCTTGCCACTTTGGCTCCCCATAACCGCGTCGCTTAGAAACCAGTCTGTCGATCTATATCGCAGACCACGGGGTTGTGGGATTTAAAGTTGTCGTACCCTGGTCCGTTTGAACGCTTGAACGCACGGAAACACTGACCACCCTGTCTAGTAGGTAGGGATCTGCCTCGGGAGGCGCCAACGGTTTCTTTGCGGAATTAAGTTTTTTCCTTTTCTTTTCCTGCTGAGAGAAGCCTCGGAGTTTGAGTGGAGGTGGGGTAGGGGGGTGAAAAAGAGGCTTTTGGGCCGAACAAGAGCGAGATTGACCAACTGGAATTCGATTGGTGGCCTCAACCCCATTGTGTTGCGGATCATTCCTAGCCGGATAGAGTCCCCCGGTTAGGCTAGGCCTTAGTCACTGTTATGGAGTTGTGCTAGTGATGTAACGAGGGGAATAAATCCACTATTCTACGATTCATGTGGATGCTCTTTCCTTTGTTTCTTTGTTCTCTTCGTTTTGCATTTGCTCGAATCCGCTAGCTTTGTAGGCGGCTCTGCCCGACTGGACGCGCAAGCACTTTTTTTTGGGTCCCGGTTCTTGTTTTTGCCCTATTTTTTCCTGTGTAATGTCCTTTTTGCGATCCTCCCCCCCCCCCCCCCCCCCCCCCCCCGGAGCTACATCTACGGAGCTTGGACGAAACCAACGGAGAAAGAGAAGCAGAAATCGGGGGCTTCGGCCCCACCATCCGGCTCCGGGGCTCCACGGGCAACTTCAATGGAGCTTTCCAACACCGAAGCAAACAAATCGCGATCCAACAATTTCTGCGTTTCTCTGGCTCCCATGAAGTTCGTCCAGGAAGAGAGTGTTCCGGAGTTGATGTGTATCAGCCGAGTAAGGAAATGATAAACAGATGTGTCTGTCGGAAGAAGTGCGTGTAGTTAAGCAAGCCCACATCGCATGGCATACTGTACACCGTCATCGGCGAATTTTATTATCCCTTTTCGGGGAAGCAACACACCGATACTTTTCCTCTCATCACGATTGCATCAGGATTCTGTCAGCGACGAGTCAGTTCGTATGCAAAGTGTACTTGTGAGCTATCGACTAGCGGGAGGCGTTAAACCTGCAGTGGCGGTCGCGTGGCCCGGAGCTACCCAGTTGTTTCAGAATCTCTGCACCTGCGAGGGGAATGGATGAGTAGAAAATCAGCCTAAGACAGCAAATAGTAATCCGAGGGCTGATCCCTGCAGGTTGGATTGGCGAGATGCGCTAAACGCTCACCGTTCTTGACTAAAGTGTATGTACATGGACGATCGATATCTAAGCGACACCAATAGACAGGATGTTTGGTACTGGAAACAATAGCCAGCTTCATCGCAATTATCATTGGATTTGGATTTCTCATCATCTAAGCGCCATTTGCTACCACGAACACAGTAGCGCCGGAAGACAGGACTGATCGGGATTTGCAGAGTAGACGTAGTCTTTATTAACCCAAGCTCTATACACGCACCAACCACCAACGGTTTTCTTCCCCCACCGCTCCTGTGAATGACATCAAGAGCACATCGAAAGGCGGACGCAGGGGGTAAAGCAGCAGCGAACCGCATGTGCTTGCGTCGATCATTTTCCGATTCCGCCTTGCCACAGAAACTAAAGGACCGGGATTAGATTGCAGCAAATTTGGGCCCTCTTTCTTGCAAGTATACTTGCCAATAGTACGAGTTCGCTATACTCCATAGGATGTTCCTTCACACGAACGACTCCGACACGCCGACCTGACAGATAAACCAAGGGATGATTCCACAAATCGCGATTCATTCAAGGTCGCAGAATCCTGTTCGATGATACAATTTAATATAAATTGTGTCCAAGAAAAGAAAGGAGAAACGCCTCTGATCTCAGGCATACGCAACACCAGAACATCAAACCCATAATCTTGGGACTCGCTAAGCTGCAGAGGTTTCACATGGGTCTCTTGCAACCCAGGATTAGATAACAAACTTGGAAAATCTAATTTCTCCAATCTAGACTACATCCAACGCGATCAAAATGAGACATCTAGGCAGTAAGGCCCCCCCGTTTTTGGTTTCGTTTCTCATACTGTACTGTACATATGCTGGGGCCGGCACATTTTTCCTTCCAATCAAATAGAGTAATATCCATTTGTACCCGCTTTGTATAGTTCCGAGCCCTATGTAAAATCAAAGATTTGATCAGAAAACAGTATCAGTAGCCGAGATCTACTATAACTTAGGCCATCTTGTCCAATGAGATTTAATTGATCCTTGGATGTGGAATTTGGGGGCCTACCAACCTACGTCGCTGAGTCGCTCAAACTGATTGTAACGCGGGGGCAGGAAGTGAATCACAATCACACAGGAATCACAGAACAGGGCCATGTCTCCACGATAGATTGACTACGTTGCGTCGCATGCGGTGAAATCATCACATGCTGACGATGGGGAAAGGCCCCGTCTGTTCCTGTCCCGCTCAACAGCCGACGTTTGGCTTTGCCGAGCACGGGATGACGAATAAGGCAGGGACATTGAGCAAACTGTTGTCGATCAGTTGTTTCATATGGGTCTTGGGTACATATATACTTGCTGGGCTAAGATAGACAAGAAAAAGACTTAAGAATTGATATACTAATACTAGAGCGATACAAAATAAATGTACAGACCTGTAAACGTAAGCCCCAGGCAGAAAGGATTCATGCGCCAATCCACTTCTGATCTTTGTCAAGATCGGCCAGTAACGAAGCCACAACGGACGGATACCAGGTCTGGGAAATCCTCGGGGAGAAATTTGGGTGCCTCCCCGCTGCACGTAGTATATACTAGACTGGGACAGAAGGGATTGAAGGGACTGGTGATCATTCACGCCAAGTAATTGCCCCGTCCCACACTTCGTTAGTGTCATCCAATGGGTTGGTTGTTGGAATAGGTGGGATATCAGTCGAGGTTGCAACATTGAGCATGAAAATCGACTTTTTTGTAGTTAAGTGGGATTAAAATTGATTGAATATCTTGTTTATTCGGATTTCCTTTTTGAGTGTTCCATTCATCTTCTTTGGGGGAGTACGGGGTACGGAGAATATTGGAAAACGGCTCTTCTCCCAGGCACATATCATAATTATCTGATTATAAATCAAGCACATGGCTTGAAAATCACCCAGGTGAAAGAGAACATAAAGTTTGGCGCCAACGAAGATTTGGACAGGATTCCAGCCGGTGTCCCGATGTAACGCCATCCTTCCAAAGGATTGGATTAAAAAGACCAAATACTCTTCAATTTCGATAAAATACAGACAAAATCTCCCTGGGCTGCGAAATGGTATACGCTACTGCAGCTTAACTCACGTATAGTAGTCCACTCTAGCGGATAAACCAACTCTTTCCTAATATCGATTGAGGCCATGCTTGTAAGCGGGCACAAGCTACAAACCCACTCTACCCAGCTGCGTAAGCATATAGGGATCTCCCTCGGGGAGATGCAGCTTTTTTTGTTTGCTCTCTGTGGCGCGCCTGTCGAGGACCTAGAACCTGCAGTTCTCGTGCAATGCGTGTACCCCTTTTTCCAAAATAATCCAATTTGCTTTTGCTTTTCGCATCTTACACTCTTCCTGTATCTACCTCGAACAGATGTTCTGCGGTAATGTGCTGTGTCTTTTATCTCTATCTCCGACCTATGCACTGGTTGGGGACTCTCGCCCCTTTTGCGGACATTTCCTATCTTTGACGCCGATCAGGCGTGCATTGTGATGGGGGAGTGGAGAAAAGTGATACGGTTTTGTTAAACGCCGAGATAAATACCACTCCGAGGGGCGAAGGGCATAGAAAGCAGCGGAGGTCTCCGGTCTTTCTTCTTGGGGCTCGATTCGATTCGATTCGGCCGTACAGTATGGTATTTGCGGGATTTTTGGTCGACTCATCATTTGGTCTCGATTCTGCGGCAGTAGTCATCTGTGTAGATGGATGGGAATAGGAGATCCAATCATCTTATCGATGGTTGCACAGAGCTGAAGTGGCAGCTGCTCGTCTCGAACATCCTACTAAGTATACTGTGGATGCGTCAGGCCGGAGAGTACTGCAGCCTCATTTACAAGATAACGTCTGTTTCAAAGAGCGCAAACTGAGAGATGAGAGTAAAGAAAAAGAAAATTCGTAATTTCTATTTCGCTGAGCATGGCAATGACAAAGATTGGCTCGGAAGAGTCCCTTCTATGCGTAGCATCTCTAGAAATGTAAACCCATGCGCTCTAATCGTACAGAAACGCAACTAACCGGTGTACAGTAGGGAGGACACAGGGTATTTCGAAATGGCTGCAGGGCTTTAACCTGGCGAACTAGGCTAGGTGCTTGACTAGAGATGGTGACTAGTTCGCTGCGGTCCGCGCGGCGCGAAATAATCTCATACCCGCACAATACACACATTCATTCACATTCCGACTTGCTTGTTTATCTGGGGCATCGTCATGATAGGCCCTTCTCTACGCCGGCGCAGCAGAAGGGCTCATCCTCATTTTTGTGTTTTCATGGACGGAGTGGCTCGAGGATCGAGGATGCTCAGGCAGTGACAAGTGCTGACGCTGGGACTCGGTCCCCGAGGGTGCCTCAATTTTCAAAAGCTCATCCCCCTCATCCTCGTCATCGCTCGAGGTTGAATCATTGTGATGACCATCACGCTGATGTTCATCTCTGTGCTGACGCTTGTCACGCACGTGGTCCTTGTGGCGGGCATCTATATCCCTTGTGAGTGTCTATCATTCAAAAGATCCAATGCAAGAATGGAGCTTTGAGCCTTTCCATGGAAGAGATACTTACCTCGAATTAGTTGAGTCGCCAACGCGAGCTTTTGAATATCTTCTTTCGACAAAACCTTTAGTACAATGACATAATCCGGCCGCTCCTCGAACCGTATGCCTTCCAATTTCAATGCCGTGGGATTGACTAATCGTCGATCGATTTTGGTCCAACGAGCACCAGGTGGAATTCCGTGCTTATCTGCATCCTTGGATAGAGGAGCCACACCTTCTCGCACTGGGTTGGGTTCTTCAGGGAAGGCCGGACGAGGCTTCTTCAAGATTCCCTTTGGCATGGTATCGGGCTCTTTCTGCGCAGGCGGGTCAACTGCGACAACCTTCTTCCCTCCATCCTTGCTGTCATTGGAGATTGATCGACTGCGCGAACGTACATGTGAGCGCTCGCGTGGACGACGATGTCCCCTAGTTGCCTGATTATCCTCGCTGCTATCCTCGCTACTGTGCTTCCGACGTGGAGCTGCGGACGGTTCACGCTGGTATTTGCGAAGATCCTCATCATCCGTGGGCCAGTCTGATTCTTCTCCGTTGCGTCGCCGAGAATGGGAACGCCTGCGAGACCGACTGCGGTGACGTCGATGGTAGTCACCTGGCTCGAGGTAAAGCTGCTTTCTTTCAGGACTTGGCGTTGCTTCGACTAGCTCCCGAGATGCTGACTGTGGGGGCTGGTAGTCGCGCTCTGACTCGCGTGGGCGTCTGTGTTGCCGCGACGGCCGGTGGTCGTAGTCAGACATGTCCGCATAGCCGTTTCCTAGAGCAGCTGTTCCCAGTCCTACCAATGCCTGTTCACTTTCTCCACCATGATGGGGACGAGGGGATCTGTCATCCTGGCGGTGCCGGTCGCTCTCATGATGAGATCTACGATGCCGGCGACGGCGACGGTGGCTATCACTGTAGGAATCATGATCATCGTCTGATAAATGCGGCACTGTGACCAGCGAACGGTCATGTCCCCTCGACCTAGAGCCATCCCGGTGATGATCATCAGCACGACCAGTGCGGGTTCGTCCCTCCCGGTCGAGCTTTTCCATTCCCCAGGATGTTGGTGGAGGACCGTGCGGTCTCTCTTTACGAGGCATCCACTGCGGACGCTCGTCATCCATCACGATCATGCTCGCAGGCCGATCAAGCGACTTTCTACCCGCAGGATGGCGTGGCTTGACTGGATAGTCACGGTCAAACTGCTCTCGGGGGGTCGTATAGGAATAAGCGTCGTAGTTGTCAATGTCTTCGCCCTTCTTGACATCCCCGTAAGCGGGATATCGCCGCCGTCCGCTGGGCGGAGGAGCATGGTGCGATGCATGGCGACTTGACTGATGTTTGATTCGGTCATGCGAATCCAGACGACCAGTATCACTTGCATAGTCAGTGCTCTGCAATCGACGGTGTCCAACATGATGAGTGGGCACCACGTAATGGCCCGAACCAGTGGGCAGGGGGCTGGTATCACGGCCATGAACAGAGTGAACGGAGTGATGATATGAAGGCACCGATAAGTGAGCAGAATTATTGTAAATATCAACAGCAGATGCTGTATTGCTCCTGCTTCGGTGTCGAGGTTGAGGTTCGATAGTATATTCCGTTCGCTTAGTCGAATGACCAGAATCCCGGACTTTCTGCGTCGAAACCGGTCGGGCCTCTACTGGCGATCGACGAATCGGGTAATGTCTGTAGGCACTACCGTATCCTGCATCGGAAGGATATTCATCATGCTCGTAATGGCGTCTGGGTGGTTCATAGGGGTCGACGGAGGAGCCAAGGTGAACCATGCCAGTGGACGCTCGTGGACCGGCCACATGGTGTCGCCCACCGCTAGGAGAAAGGTTGCGGTGCTGGGTTGAGAAGCTCATGGCCCTTTCAATAGGATTGCAGATGCAATTTCCAAAACAATAGGAGGGCTACGAAAGGCCGAGGCCTTGACTCGGTGGCGTTCCAATAGCTCTGACCGGGGGTCAGTGTCAGAAGAATATTTGCGATAAGAGGATGATGGGAAGCTCGGAAGGATTACCAACTAACAGGTGACGCCGAAGGAACGTTTTTTTCTTTGTGGTGTTTTGTTTTTGAACCTTGGAAACTTTCAAAATCTGATAGAATGATGAAAGGCAAAAAAAAGAGCAAGCTGAAGCGGGACAGACGGCAAAGAAAAAGCAACGACGAGACGCTGCACGTCACAAAGAGGAGAGCTGATCAATTCGGAACTGAAAGATAGTGGGGATAAGTTGAGTCCATCAAAGCACCAGTGAAGAGTTGAAACGAGGAAAAGGAGAAGTGAGGGCAATGACGCAAAAGTGGGCGACGCGATGACAAAGACCCCACTTTCTTCTTTTGCAGCCCAACTGCACAACGCTAACTTAACTTTCTCGGAACAAAAGTACTGATGAAACAGAATTCATATTAACGGGTAGATCATTGATTCCCGGTATAGGAATGAGTGGAACGTCTGGAGACCCGCGGCACTGAAACCATGGATCCCCTCTATGGGGTTTCCTTGCCGATTTTCACCCGAATGCCGAAATCTCAGCAATTCTGGAAAGTCAATCCTGCGGCTCTGTCTATGATCCACTAATTCGCCCGGGTGAGCCGGGCAATATCACCTGGGGAGAGTTACGATTTCACGTCATCCGGACATGACATAATGAAGCTGGAGGGTTCTCATCCCGCGGAGAACTGAGATCAACTCCCATGAAACAAGAGTCAAAGATCAAGATCCTAGAACATCAGAACATCAGAACATCAGACCATCAGACCATCAGACCATTCGCAATCAGGTTACTTCAACATCAGAGTCCAGACCTAGAACCCACATAAACCCAATTCCCGACGGCACTAGTCCACGGAAACTAGGAAGCATCTCCGGAATCCTGATAAAAACAACCCACTGACCATTCGCATCCTGCGTTAATTTCCGGGTCAAGAACAATAGGTTTATACTCCGTCCGGCTCCATAAAATCCCCATAATTTTCATACCAGATCCGATCGGCCGTTGCAGATGCGTCATCATTGGTTGCAAATCCATTTACCCCTGCTTCATGATTGGCCCGCTTCAACTCCTTGAGGATATCCGTTTTCTAGAAGTTTGGGATGAGGAAATCGGCGATCCCCTCTAATATAATGCATCCCACCTATCTCCACTTTATCCCTCTCCAACACCTCCTTCCTCTTTTGAAAAAGTGGTATCCTTCAGTCCCGTCATGTGTCATAATTCACCCGGACCAAGGCAAATAGGTTAGCCTATTTGCCTGTAACCCAAGGGGGCTTCGCCTGGACACTTCAAGGCGAGCCAACGCCCACAGGGGCCAACCAGAAGGCTTGCAGCACACCGATGTAACCAGACATCATTGGAAACAGTTTCAAGGCCCTAGCGCCGGCTCGTTGCCTTGACCCCTGACCCGATGCCGCTGTTCGGGATCGCCGAAGTCATGCACAGGCTGCCACGCTGTTTACCCGGGGCTATAACAGTGGGACATTCGATCATTGGTGAATAAAAGACCCTGGGAGAGGCATTTACTCACAATCATGGTCTCTCACCGCAAGTTGACAAATACCACGTTTTAGGTGCAGTAGCACGTTTTGGGTGCAGTAGCTTGAGGTACTAGGTATGTAACTAGTAAGTAGGCGTGATGCAAGTTTTTACAATCGCCGTCAGGCACTGTACTTGATTTCTTATGCTGGGCTTTTTCGTATTTTACCAATTTCCACTTTTGGGTCGTCCAGCGCATCAGTGCGGCAGTGCCTGAATATCTAGATGGATATTTTGCTAGGCACGCAACCTGGGCGTGGGCGCCAGTGCGGCAGTGTAACTTTCCGCTCATTCAGGGCTACTGGGAATGCACTATTGGCATATACTGCAAGCGCGCCCCTGGAATCGTGTCCACTGGATGGCTGCTTCACTGGTCTCCTTCGCCCTCGCCCCGATGGAGTTTGCCCGGCCTCATTGCCTGGATACTCCCAGGCAACAAATTGTTGCAGGTGCCGTGGCTATTGCAGAGCTCCTTCGATGAGTTGCTAGCAAAGGGTGCGGGTGAGGGTGATTGACACGTCTATCATAAACCTCACCTTTTCGATCGTATTTAAGGTCTTTGAGATCCATACTTTGAATTTTATCAGCCAGCCAGCAACCTAATTTGACTCCAACATTCGAAGAGCTTTATTCCATTGACTCTACATTATACATACTCTGCGACCTTATACATTCTCGAAGATACATCATCATATACCATTAGTCCAACGAAATCAATATCATTCAACAAAATGTCTTCTCTCACACGTCCTTTCGAGCTCGCCAACGTTACTGGCTACGGCATAAGAACCTCAGAACAGTCCATCAGCTACGCTGCCCAAGCTCGCAATCTGGTCAAGGCCGACTCGGAAGCACACCTCTCAATTGATCGCACCCGCTCCTCTTATAACGCTATCGGTATCCGTCATCTTGCCTCCGGAACTCCAGTAAGCCATGCCGGCTTTTGGTCGTGTTGTAGCTGTGGTGAGATGAATAGTGAAGCTCTGTCCCCTGAACGATGCTCCTGCTGCAACCATACACGATGCCACACTTGCGTACCTACCTAGGCTGGTCCTGCCATCTGCTTTTCTGCATCGAGCAAGGCGCTTTGGTATTGGTTCTCTTGATCAGGCACGGTCATTGTCAGGTTCACGGTTACATCTCTATGGTTCATGTCTTGGTTATCTGGAGTTAGGCATCACGATTTTGCACTGGGAAATCAAGTTTCTATTTGAATTTTGTCTTGTGTTGTTCGATCCTTGTTGGGTTCTTTCTTTTACATCGCTTATTAGCTAGAGCTGTGTTCCTTTCGCGCAATTTAGGGTTCAATTTCGGTATGCGATCTATATCTGCTGCTTTGATCTGCTATTTTGTCTGTCTCTACAGCATGGCTGGTGTTGTATGGTGAATTTGGGAGTCCTGGAACAAATTGGAGTTAGTCATTGGATCTACAGTCCTTCAATCGCCGTTCAATCTATTGATGTTTTTGATACCTATTTTATTTAGCGCTTCTGAGCTTCCAAGTATTCCATGCGTACCAATGGATGATTCTTGATTCAAGAAAGTCAGCTCTCAGATATGCCTGCCAATGTCCTACAAGCAACAAGGCAAGACGAATTGAAAGGACCTGACCATATTAAATGGCTCAGTCTGAATCATCCTTTCCACTCTCCCGGTATAACCCGCTAGATTCAGCACTTTACCATCTTAGTCCACGCCCGGGAAGCCGCGCGATCCACTCGGGCGGAATCCCACTTGAACTATATGCCTTCAACGCTACACAAGTCCCAGTTCACGAGGCCCTCCGACAAAAGTACGAAATGACAAAAAGACCCGGAAAGGAAACAAGGAACTCGAATAACCTCAGGCAGTTATTTTTGGATCAAAAGCTCACATGATTTCCGCAAATTGGCGGCATGTGGACTGTGCGAAGACTAGCGTGGGGTCCAATCTTGGCTATCTATGCCCAGCGCCGGATCTTCGCATTTGCAGAACGTGGCCTCGTTCACAACTTCCAAAATAGGAGTACAATGCGAAGAGTCGGTTGATCATCGATCCTCCAAGGATAGTATGTTCGGGGGTATGTTCGGGCCTGATGACTCTTTTGAAATCTGGTCTGATGTCAACATTAAGGTGGCCATTTCTATTCTATTCTTGTCGGATCCTATTTCTGTCAGGACGTCAGCCAAAAAAAAAAAAAACTGAGTATCCACTAGTTGAGCTGATCCCTGTAATTCTTGGGATGCATTGCGCCTTCAGCCCTACGATATGCATGGGGCGGGAATGTCTTCAAAGGAAACATAATCCGAAATTGCAGAAAAAGTACGCTTTTGTTTCAATGTTGATCAAACTGGAACGAGTCAAACCCATGTTCAAACATACTGTCTGTTCTTTTTTTAAACCAATGCGGATACAAAATAACCTATGCCAGGGCCATGGATACATAGAAATGGGGCCAAAGTAAGAATGAGCACAGATCAATTTCTATGTTTACCTCGTGTAGAGCTATGTTCCTTGGTTCTCTATTTGGGGTCGGAATCTGCTATGGCGGCGCTACTAAGCCCGCTTCCTGCTTGAGTCGAGTTACTACAGGGCCAAGAGCAAAGGCGCTTTCTTGGCTGGTGTGGTCGGTACAAGGACTCGGTTTCAGAGGAAGTAGCCAGTCAGTGAGACTGTAGCCCATGACCTGTTGCAGGTTTTTCCAAATGCCGAGATCGAAGGGATTCTCCCCTGGGCTGGTGTGCAGGATGGCGAAGACGTGGCGTTCTGTTGTGGAGGAATCGGTGGGTCGGGGTTGTGATGGTGATATGCTTCCTTCCGGCGGGTATGAAACCATGCGGAATGTAGGAGCCCATGCGGATTCGTTGACCCAGAGTCGTTCAAGTAGATGCTCGGGGACTCGGATTGCGAGGGTCCAGACGCGGGATCGACGGCTCAGGTTTTCGATTGTGGTGACGTTCACCATGGCCATTTGGATAGAACTGAGGGTCATGACGCCGGTAAAGAAGCCGAAGAATGCGCCACTGAAGGATGAGTAAGTCCGCGGTTCGAGTATGCATGGGCAATATTACTTACAGTCCAAGACAAACACACCAATGCGGGTTGACGGATCCAGTCTGGTAAGTAAGGTCAGTATTCAACAAGTGACTGAGAGAGGGTGAGAACTTACATTGCGACGTACTTCTGCTGTGAAGTATGCAGTTACAATGAGAACAAATATACAGAAAATTGCCGTATAGCCCACAAACTGAATAAAGAACTTGAAGGTTGTCTCCGATACCACACCACCGACCCTAAATACCATGAGCATTTGAAGTTTTGAGACGGAATTCCAACATACCAAGGACAGAAGTGGTCCATCTTTGCCACACAGCGATTGATTTCTCGGCAATGATGCGCTCGGTCAGTCTTGAATTGGCAGCACGTGGAGCAATATTGAGGCCGCCCATCGTCCTGACACACAAAGACGTCTTTCGTATAGAAGCTCTCTAGACTGAGTTCATCTCCCTGTAATCCTTGACCACCAGGATACTTGTTTCCTCCGTGCTCCAAGTCCAAAGCCGTGTCCACCTTTTCTGTCTCTTGAGACTTTGAGCTCCACCAACCGCGTCTTTTGATCGAAGGCTTCGAGCCTTTTTCAGCCGCATCCGCCTGCAGACGTTCGGCGCCGAGAGGAAGATAGCCTGGGTTCCGTACAACGCTGTAAAGAAGTCGGAAGTAAGTCCCGAGCATGGGTATTAAGAGGAGGTAGTAGATGACGATAATTGCGGCGCCAGCGCCGACCCGAGGTCTTCGATTATAGGAAGGTAAAGGGTGGATAAGATAGTCAACTGTCGCAGAAAGACCCTGGTCAGTTCTCAAGGTTCTCACAAGTCCAGGCTAAGTTTAGGATCACTCACTGCATAATGGTTTCGTGACCCCGTAAGAGGCATAAATCATAAACCCGACCAACACGGGTGGAACGATTTTGGAAACCGCGAGGTTGACGCGCTTCTGTGCGCGGGTCGCCATCGAAGAACCAAAATGCGTCTGCCTCCACAGAAACACTAAAAGATATGCATAAGGTAGGGTGTTGAAGAGTTGAAGCCTTGGGGTGAGGTTGCGAACGGCCCCTGACGTAATCATTTGAGACAACGGAAACTGGGAACTCATCCCGCAGCTGCGGTCTTTGGGTCTGGGAAGAACGGTGGGCCGAACATCATTCCAGTAAATATAGAAATATTAATGTTGCCTGCGACCGGGGAAATGAAGGCATGCGGGACCATATTGAGGCTCAAATATGATCATCGCGTTTTGTAACGTGGTAGTATCTTTGGAGTATTTTTGTACCCTGGTCGGATTGTGGTACCTGAAAATCCACACGTTTGTTGTAGAGGGGGCCAAAGATTTGTATAGGAACAAAAAGATAAAAACGGGCAAGGAATGAAGAGGAGAAATTGGGGAATCAGAAGGATCCCCATGTTTGCACGGACAGAGGGAAAAAAAGAAAATCATAAATCGTAAATTACAATGCCAATCTCTAGGGAAAGAACACGAACTCCTCGAGCTGGAATCTATGACAAAAACTAACATTCATGATGTTATTGGTGACTGAATTCTTAGGCAACAGGCTAGCGCCTGCACCTGATTATGACTCTTTCAAAGATCGAGTCACCGATGCCTGGATTGCTGGATTTCTGCCTGTCAAGAAGTGGAGACTAGTTCAAGGCCACACAAGGCATTCTGTGCGGACATGATCTCCATACACCGTGACCGTCTCTTTAGCACTGCCGAGCCACAATCGATGCACCCAAAGTCTACTTTTCCCCTGGGTTAATTGCCCTGCGGATACGGTGTGAAATGCAGCCTTGCTAGTGGGGAAATCCACCCTGAGTCAACCTCAACCCCATGAATCAGAATTCCTTACGGCATCCAGGCACAAAGTGGGTTATCTCACCCTGGTAAAGCAGGCTACAAGCCACATTGTCGGGACCTCATTCGGGGCCTTCTCCCCGGGATGATGTGCAAATTAGGACCCCGTGAATCATGGCCCCCGTGCCCGGGTGAAGGTTCCATCCCAATACGGGTGCCCTAGGCAGACTACCGGGGCTGGCTAGGAATAGCCACAGTGCTCCGGCGCTGCCTGACGTCTAGTGTTCTTTCTTCTTCCTCAATTCCTTATATAGATCAAACATATCTTCTTCTTTTTTTCTGTTTCATCCATTTCAACTCAATTCATCCTGATCGAATCCTACCGGCCTAGATCCACAGACCTCATTGTATACAAAGTCTTGCTCTTGCTCTTATCCTTCTATTGATATCTCACCAACTACCAAAAGAGCTTTCTACAACTTCACTAAAGCACCTATCCATCTTTATCATCATGCCTTCGCTTTGGTACTGCTGCGAATGCTCCTTCGGCCCTCACAACGCGGCCCTTCACGTCGCCTGCATCAGCTGTACCGCACGACGCTGCCCAGCCTGCAAAGAAGAAAAGGTTCAAGACTCTCTCCACATCCACTCCAGCTCTCATAGCTGCCACGAGACTTCGCCTTACCCAACGGCCGTGAACTTCAACGCCGCTCACATGCCTTCTCTCGACACACGATCAATGTTGCCCGCCGGTATCGATCTACCTCAGATTCGATCATTGCGGCCGGGCCTTGCTGCACACCCACAATACTCTGCACTTGGTGGCTTTCAAGCAACAACGTACTCTGAAACATACATGTACATTTGCTGCAAGTGCAACGATGGACCCAAGGTTTACAACCACCAACCACAATGCACCGAATGCCAACATGTAGCCTGCAGCAGCTGTATCTCCGTCAAGTGAGATTCTAAATTTGGGTTTTGTGATTGAAAACTACGAGTGAATGGTAAGGATCTTCTCCTCCTGTTCAGCCCTGAGGCCAAGTCGCTGACCTTGTTTCCAGTTATAGATACCTATGTGATTTTACTGTTTGGATCCTTTGTTTTCCTACTGCGTTTTCCAGCATTTACGATACTCAGCATGGCCCGGTGCATGTGTTTCCTTTTTCTGATTTCCTTTTCGTCTTGCCTTTTCTTTTTCTTTTTGATTTTTCAGCTTATTTCATTGGATGACGATTAGATGAGAGCTATGTATATTTCTGTTGCTTAATTTAGTTGGGTGATGAGGTAAGCAGCCGGCCTGTCTGCCTCGTTGGCCCTATCATTTCGGTTTATTTTGTTCAAAGAATGAAATGTCATTCCATTTCCAATTCTCCATTTATCCAAAACCTTAGAATGATGGCGCAGCCATGCAGAAATGTTCGAGTCATACCATGACTCCTAGTGGATCTGCAACCAGGGTGTTCACTTTCCTGGAGAAACCTGGCAACAACCCTGTAATTCGCTGAGCCGCAAGCCCTAGCCAATCCCATTTAGCGGTTCGAGCTGAGGCTCGGGCGGAAACAAAGTCCTTTTTACGAGTCACCCAATCCCAGTCTACCCTCTATCCCGACGGGCTCCACGTCAATGCGCCCGGGACTAGTCTGTTGCTCCTGGCCCCAAGAAAATATTAATAACAAAATTCAGCTAAGGTCAAAGCCGAAGCTAAAGAAATGCGCAAAGAAAATTAAATCAATCCACCGCCCTTTACGCCCGCATGGACAGCTTGCCAGCCCTACAGCCCTTGCCAAAGTAGCGGTCCGTCGCAAATAACCTTGAAATCTAGCCCATGGCTCTGAGCCCACATCCACGCCTACATCCACGCTCACATCCACGCCCAAGTTCAAATCAAGTCCCCAACCATACCCACACTCTTGGCCCCAAAACGACTCTTTGTTAAATCCACCTGAATCCGCTCCCGCGCGTCTTAGCCCCGCCAAACGCATTATAGAACGGACCGGTCCATGAAGGGGAGAGTAAGAAGAGGGCCCACATGGGCGCCTTTTTATGCGCGAATTCGAGGCTGTGCTAACGGGGAATTTCATACATTTCCCGTCTCCGTGCCCTTCGGCGTTTTTCGTTCTAGACTAAACTCGATTTCCTTTGTCCCGCTCGAGGATTTGCGCCCACCTGTTTGGTCCGCGGAGCTTACTTTTTTCGTTCTTAGTTCCCCTGTTCGATTCCCCCACCACGTCGCTTCGTCTCAGCCGCGGTGACGTCGTTTTTTTGACTTGATCAATGTTAATGTGCTATTGCTATTGTTACGATGTATATAATAATTATAAAACATGGGAAATTTCGAACAAGGATCGGACAACTGTGATACATGTAATCTATTACTATATTAGATGAACTATATAATAAGAGCTCATATATCAACAAAGCCGTGAACTCATAAAATAAAGGGTAGGCACAGTTAGATAACAATGACATAAGACCACAAAGTGGGTCAGAAATCCACCCAGGCACAGGCGCGGACTGGCGCCCCCGGGCACCAGCACGGGATCTTCTGTTCACCCAGAATTGCCCGCACCCAGGCACGGGGTTAATCTAAATTCCTTGTTGTTTACAGGGTGCCGAGATGCCGTTCTCAACAAATACACTTTGAAAGGTGAGGCGTGACCTTTATGCCCCGCTTGGAGCCAATAGTAGCCCAGATCGCGATCGAACTATACCCGCGAGTCTTCCCCGACCCTCGTATGTCTCAGTCCTGCTGCATGAGGAAGTAGAAAATCTGCCTTGGGGCATTTAGTGTAGCTCAGAAGCTAAGCGTAAGCCACCTATCTGATTTAATTCCACTTTGCTTGACATCTACAGTGTTCCTGGCCTGGTTTATTTCGTGCCCCACTTATCAGCTTATCAATATCAGCCCTGACAGCTAGACGTCATACATAAGCCTAAGCCTCCGGTGGCAGAGGTCCCGGGCTCGATTTCTACTAGACTGAGACTTGTTCAGCTGAGAATACTCGCTTAGTGCCTTAGGTTCAGCTATTATCGACAATGTTTGATCGCGCTCTGAAATGTTAAATTATCTACACGTGTCAGCTACATCCCAGTGCGACGCGAATATTCTAGAATTGTATCACGTTATTGGAGGAAGATTCATTCTTCTGAAACATTTTTCTATTTTCTATGTCGTCGTACGAACCCCACAGATTTGTGCGTGTTGCATACCCAAGAAGCGCAGGTGTTTTTAGCCCCGACTGGATAAAATTACTATACTTAGCACCAAATACATTTTCAAACCGTTGTAACGGTCGTATCAGCTACTGCGATTGGAGATTTATTTAGCTTTTGTTTTAGATATATATTATCCCATGATCGTAGCTGAGAGGGGGATGATGCAGCACATTGTGTATGTATACCTCATATGCTGACATCGAGTGGGGTGAATATATTTCTGCACGAATGTTTATTTTTGATGCACCGAAGTTAGAATTGGCCCCCTGCCCCCGGCGCTTAATTCTTTTCTACATCTGACGATATTGGAATCCATTTTCAAAAATAAAAATAGTCCTTGTAGATTGATCATCAATAGATGGTGTCGCATCATTCTCGGTTGCACTCGATCACGTGGGATCATTGCATTATCAACGATTTTTGGGGAGATATATCCATAATGAGTCAAAAGTTTCATGATCCTGGTCGGGTTATCGAACCAGAGTGCTGGGAACGTATCGTATCGATGGGAATTGAGTCATAAACTCTATGCAGGTTAGTCCTTGGATCGCGGTGGCTGTGAGATCATCTGCATTTGGGCCGACGTATACTTCCAACCCAGGTAAACACAACGTGGCTCCTTGGCGGTTACTATCAGGTGCCTCACCAAAATCAAGATATAGATTTACTTGCAAGATTTGCTACCCAGGCAAACCTTGGGGGGTTTTATGTCCATGATGATTAGAACTACGTATTTACATAGCTAGCTACCCATGACTGGGAACTTCCCGAGGCTAGTGTACCTTATCTACATTCCCAAGACAAAAATGGTACCGAAATGAAGGACTTAGAGTTTACATCCAAATTTTGAATCATGCGAAAATAGTCGTGAGAAAGAGTAAGTGATATTCACAATTGAATCGCTAATATGTGCTTCAATAACTGCCATCCGGCTAATCATAATCATACACCCTTTCATTCCAAAATCAAAAGGCCTAGCATGCAATGAGCCTCCAAGATAGACCGGGCTTTAAAATGACAAGGTCGGAAGCTGAACGGCGTAAATACAACCATAAGCTGAGATGGAGGCACCCAAGCACCATGTTGTCGTGGACTGGAATATTCACAGCACCGAGATCGACTAAGATCTTAGTCCGATTGACTTCAGGAAAGACCTGCTTTATGTCGATGAATTTTGAATGCAGGCAGAACGCCGCGCTGGCTAGTGATGCAAGAAACAAGGTAGAAGAAAAGGAGACGGAAAATACCTCAGCGTCCAAAGGGACGGGGATGGGGGTATCGCAAAGAAAGGGGGGCAAGGCAAGGGAAAGGGAGTATCAAGAATATCCAAATAGATGGCAACGAGCGAGCCAGATAGGCTGTGTCAGCTCGTTTTGAGGACATCCTTGGTTTGGAGGATGTGCTTCAATGTTACAGGGACAAGACGCGCGAGGGGTCTTGGAGAAAGCGCCTACGGTATGCGGCTATCTCAGCAGCCACAGTGCTGAAATCTTTCACCTTGTCACGTCGCATCTCGTTGATGATCTCTTTAAGTCCGGCAAGATACTTTTCTTTTTCTTCTTCGGTTTCGCCCTCTCGAACGGATCCCATCTCGATAAGAATCTTGTCATCTGCCGAGGTTAATAACACTGTGGTCAGCACGCGAACAGGGTAGAAAGAAGAGAGTGAAGGCGAAGTTGACATATAAACGGAACAGTGAAAGATGAGGGACTGGCAGAAAAGGGACAGGGGGAGCCAATGCACCAAGGTAGGAGCACCCAGGAAGGGAGATGGGAGGACAATGGAATACAAAAGGGAAGTGAAAACCATTTTGAAATGTTGCACGGCTGTTAAGTCGTCGACGCACCGCTAAGAGTCATGTCCCGGAAATGTTGGAATTGACAAGACCGATCATTGCACACGCCACCAGCCAGTTCATAAGGGCAAAAGTAATTCATCGAGTCAATGTCATGGCTGTAAGTTAGCGAACGGTAACCGTCCGAAACATCCTCAGTATAGCCAGGGTGGTATCGATAGGCCTTAAAAGAACGCAGAGGGCTGACGTAGGGAGTAAATTTTGAGTTCGAGGTGGCAGGTGTTGATGACGTTTGGTTCTATGGGGGTCAGTACTTCAATCCCACAAGTCTCCTCTAGAAAAGATGTTTTTCATACACCAAGTATTCCGACCTGAGAATCGGGCTGAGGTTCCAATACCGGCACCTGAGATGCACCCGTTAGTGGTTTATCAACTGGAAGGTCGTCCAGAATAGCCATATCGTTCTTCGGATCCTCTAGAGGAGCGGGGCTGAAAGGTGGACTGTAGGGTGAATTAGGCTCTTCTGTAGTCTCCACCTCCGGAGGTTCATACGCTTCCGATTCTTCCGATGCTGCGGATGATTCACGCAAGGACTGCTCTGCATCGACATCCTGGTCGCCAGTATCCTCCATGATATTGTGTTGGGTCACGTCGAGTGGTGGGCCCTCGGCAAGAGGCACAGCTGGAGGCTCAGTAGGAGACTCTTGCTCACTCGAGCCTTGTCCAGTGCTCAGTGCATCGACAGCCCCGTCTTTAGTAGACAAAATGTGATTTGACCCCGGGATAGAGGCCTCGGCGTGGGGTGGTGTCGAGCTGGCTACGGAATCCAATATTTGTGGTTCGCCAAGCGTAGCAGGCTCATCATCACTAGGAGAACCATCGCGGGGGCTAGAGATATCCTCAGATTCATCCATCGCGGAGCCAGAAGACTCAGACTGCGAGGGACTGGAACGTGATGCAGCAAGATCTTTGGCTTGATTGATAGAAGGGTTGACTTCAGCTTCTTGAGCGACCAAAGGGGCCGTTGCGAAGGAATGTGGGACAGAGGCGTCTGTTTCACCAATGTCATTTTCTTCCCTGTCCGAGGATCTGAATACCTGAGAGCTTGAAGCCACTGCGAATGAATTGTTAGGTATATGACGCAATGATATGATGTCAGGGGTCAACTCTAAGCACGTACATTCAGTTTGGGTAATGAGCTGCTCCTTAGATTTGGCTTGTTGTTGTAACTCATCCAAAATCTCCAATGTTAGGCTACCACTCTCATTGGTAAGGTTCTTCATCTCCTCGATAAGTGGTACTTTTTTCTCTCTCACTCCCTTGGCTTTTATGATTTCGAAAAGCAGCTTGTCCGCCTCATCTTTGCAGGCCGCAAGGCGAGAGTCGCGGCCCATAGTTTCAGGGTCCAGACCCGAAAGATCAGACTCAATATCCTTCATGTGGAGAACTTTGGACCTGATACTGTCTAGCTGTGCCGAATCCAGCGAAGCAAGAACACGCACCGAAGACTCACTGAAGGAATCAATAAGGTTCGACTGGTCAGCGAAACTGGTCATCGTGGTGCTTGTGCCGGCCGCTGCCTTTGCAGTGGAGGCTGAGACAGAGGTTTCTGCTTCATAAACATCCATGGGACTCAAATTTTCTGCAGAGGACGATGTAGCAGAATCATCAACGGTACGGGGTGACTCAATTCGGTTGGCAGCTTCTTTCGCCTTCCGTGCCTTTCGCTGCTGCTCAAGCAGTGCTATCTTACGATGCATTGCCTGAATCTCCAAATCTTTCTGTCGCATATTTTCGTTGTCACTTTGCCACGAAAGGCCCTGTGGAGTGGAAGATGATGAAGGGTATTTTTGAAGCGAAGGCCGAGTATTATCGAGGACCATCGCAGCCTGGGCCTCGTTTTCGTGATTCGAGTCCACATCCATGGAGTCAGGGTCGTCTCCATATAGTGATTCGTCCTCATCATCATCACTGAACTCAATGACGACCCGATCTGCAGGACGTAAATGACCCGTCCCATAACCCAATTGCTTCTTATAAGCTGCGTCAGGCTCGTCAAAGTCCGAGGCCCGAGGCCGTTTGCGCTGGCTTGCTCGGGAAATGGGTGCCGTATCGATGACGACTCCCTGAGATGTTTCAGTAGGGGTTTGTAGGTCTGCATCCTGCTTCAACCCAGTCATGAATAGTCCTGGAATGGTGGCGGATTCCGAGGGTTGAGAAACAGGGGGACGGACAGGTAGTGGATGCTGGGCGACTGGTGCCGCAGTACTTGAGCTGTCGGCAGCCTGATCAACCTGGGAGACATTGCTAGGTCGACTGAGCTGAACCTTTTGTTGGCTTTTTAACAATGCTTGCCGTTTGAGCTCCTCGATTCGCTGTCTTGCCAACTCTGTCTGAGCTTTATTTTTTTCCCTCATAGGGACTGCAATTGATTTGGCCTTTGCATCACTGGATGTAGAAGATGGGGTGGGGGTGGGAGTCGCCGCAACGCTTCGAGGTTCGTTTGGCACCGCCTTAGTTGCAGCCTCCGATGATTTCGCGGCCTTCGCAGCAAGCATTCTGGCGATAACTTCTTTTCGCTCCATCGGCTTCCCCGAGTCGGACTGTGGGGCGGAAGATGTGACCGATGCAGAGATCGGAGTTGCAGCAGTAGATTTCGGTCGAACATCATCGACCTTAGGTGGCGTGGCTGCTTGTGCTGGCTTAATCGATACCGGCACTTGAGCGGTTGAGTTTTGGACAGATTTCTCAGCTTCAGTGGTAACTTTGATTCCAACCTGCTTGTAGAGTTCTCTCAGAATTGCTGGGTTCAAGCCTTCTGCCACCAGTTCATTATACTGGATGTTATGAGGCACTAAGCTGAGAAGGGCACCCTGAGCTTGTACACGAAGTTGTATAGCTGACCTGGATAACGGAGAGTCTTTCAGGGCAGCGGTCGTGCTTTCCCGCTTCTGCATTTCAATAGCGCGATCCAGCACCTCAGGGTCAGCAGCCACAGAGAGAGGAGGATTATAGGCTATTGAGTGTTAGCTTGAAAGAGTTTACCAAGGAAGAGGGGATTCCATACGTGTGCTGCTTCTACTTGAAGTGCGTGACCTTGATGACATTGTTTCACCCTCTTCCATTTCAGAATGGTGACTTGGTTGACGTTTCCACCTGGTCGAGTTGGAGGCCTTCGCATCTTTCTTCGGGCGCGACCGTTCAATTTCTTCATCGCTAACCTCGCCCTCCTCACGATTGCGATCGACCAGCCCAGATCTTGTCTTCGATTGCTGCCGATATTGGGGTTGCGGTCGCTGATTTTCGTTCGCTGCAGGTACCTTCGCAGACACTGGCTTTGGATTGGAGGACCCTGCGGGCGCCTGCAACGATGTGTAATCCAGAGGTGGTACCGGCACAGGTGGAAAAGGTTGAGGGGGGATTTGTGATGGGTCAAACGGATGCATAAATGGCAAGGGAGGTGGGAAGTATGGGTGAGCGTGACTGGCGGGTCCAGTCAGCTGCGAATTGGCGTAAAAGGCCGCCAAATTGGGATCAAAAGGCAGATTTGGGTTGAATGGGGGTATCTGAGCCGCCGCCAGATAATCTGGATTTGTATGAAAATCGGGAGGCATCATCGAGGGATATGGGGGAGGCCACTGCTGCGAGTAGTTCGGCTGGCCACCGAAGGCAGGGGGTGGTTGGTTGGACATATCGAGATCGCGCGTCTTTGGGGACAGAGTCGCAAAAGTTCATATGAAGTATTTTGGGAGGGTTAAAGCGAGTTCAAACAGCAAATGTCATGGTGAAGTGGTGTGGTCGCAGATACTCTGGGAAAGCTTTGAAGATGGCCGATGATGAGATCAACGCGCGTCACTCGAACAATTTCGCGCTAGATGATATCGGCAGATAGATACTCGTAATTTAATGGAACGAATTCGATGACGATGAAGTGGATGTGGAGGGTTCGAAGTTGGTTCGAAAAGGAAGCGCTAGGATTCCCGAGGTGAATCTCATATCTTGGTGATGTGATAGAAATTAAGCGCGCAAAAAAAGTGGTCTGGTCATGTGACTAGACACGGGCCACCGATCGGCGGGAACCCGAGGAACGCAGTGTAAACAAACAGCGTCAGTAGTGTCTCCGCCTCCGTCACATCACGTCTACAAACTCCACCTCCATCTCGGGACTTGTTTCTTGCATTCCCTTGTACTCTACTACATTTACCATCGCTTGACTGCTCAATTCCCAGAGCTGGCCTCTTATCTGTATTCATCTTACTATGGGAAACGCTCATAAGCGCAAATAATGATCTATTGACCACTCTTTCGATATGCTTCCCTCTCAGCTGAACAACTCGCCAAAGCGGGCGAGTGCGTTCGTGCGATCCTCTCCCTCACCAGCACCCCAGTCGCAAACGCGCCCCAAATCAGCTATCATCGCACCATCTCATGGACTAGAGCTCGCTAAAGGACATCTTCGCAACTCATCAGTCTCACAGCTATCGCCTACACTGTCTTCCGCCTCTATAAACCGGGAACGTTCAAACTCGCGCACTAATGTAGCGTCTGGGACTTTTGCCCCGAGCTTCATTAAGTCCGAGGAGATGCGACGGGGAGCGGATGAAATCCGAGGACTTGAGGGTGAGAACGACTTTTCAGGCAACAAATACGTTTGGTTACGCGACCCGCAAAAGGCATTTGTGCGCGGGTTAGTGCTGGAGGAACTGGAGGGAAATCGCTTGTTGGTGCAAAGTGACGATGGCGAGGTAGGCATATCTATCCTAACGATGACGTGGTGGGGTAATTAACAGCCTGAACAGCAACGAGAAGTCGATGCGGACCAAGTGGACAAAGTCAACCCGGCCAAGTTCGACAAGGCAGATGATATGGCTGAATTGACGCACCTTAACGAGGCATCGGTGGTTCACAATCTGCACACGCGATACCAGTCAGATCTGATCTACGTCAGTCTAGTTTTAAATATTCCCTGCGATTACTCATACTAATATTTTGGGCAACAGACATACTCAGGGCTTTTCTTGGTCACCATAAATCCTTATTGCCCGTTACCTATCTACACCAACGAATACGTCAAGATGTACAAGGGGCGGGGAAGAGAGGAAACACGTCCGCATATATTTGCAATGGCCGATGAAGCATTCAGGAACTTGGTGGAAGAGGGCGAAAACCAGAGTATTCTCGTCACGTAAGTGTTGTGTTAAATTTCCCTCATCAGAAGCCTAAACTGACTCTCTTTGGTAGTGGTGAATCGGGAGCTGGTAAAACCGAAAACACCAAGAAAGTCATTCAGTACCTCGCAGCAGTGGCAACTTCTGATACTCCATATGCGCGGTCCGGAACCAAGCAAATATCTAACCTTTCACAACAAATTCTACGAGCCAATCCTATTCTCGAAGCCTTCGGTAACGGGCAAACTGTCCGCAACAACAATTCTTCACGTTTCGGCAAATTCATTCGCATTGAATTTTCGAGATCCGGTCAGATCTGTGGCGCATGGATCGATTGGTATCTATTGGAGAAGTCTCGAGTGGTCAAGCCAAATGCCAACGAACGCAACTATCACATTTTTTACCAACTGTTGCAGGGTGCTGACCGCAGCACCCGAGAGAAGCTATTGTTGAACGGCCTTGAGATTGAGGACTTTGCTTACACACGCGATGGTAATGATTCCATTGTGGGTGTTTCTGACAAAGATGAATGGAATTCCTTGATCGAGGCTTTTCATGTCATGAATTTCTCGGAAGACGACCAACTCTGCATCTTGCGCACCATTGCTGCCGTTCTCCACCTGGGTAATGTGACTATTGCGAAGGAGAGTATACGGGCCGACCAAGCCGCCCTTGGCACCAATGGATACGCAAGTGTCGAGAAAGCTTGTCAACTGTTGGGAATCTCTGCGGATCCGTTCGTGAAAGGCCTACTGCATCCTAGAGTAAAGGCTGGTCGTGAATGGGTTGAGAAAGTGCAAACACCCGAGCAGGTTCGCCTGTCATTAGATGCTTTGTCTAAGGGTATATACGAGCGTGGCTTCGGCGACCTGGTGGCTCGTATCAACAAACAATTGGGGCGCTCGATGACCGAGGATAACTATTTCATCGGTGTGCTTGATATTGCTGGTTTCGAGATTTTCGAGAACAACAGTTTCGAACAGCTCTGCATCAATTACACAAATGAGAAACTTCAGCAATTCTTCAACCACCACATGTTTGTTCTTGAGCAGGAGGAGTATGCTCGGGAGCAGATTGAGTGGCAGTTCATCGATTTCGGCAAAGATTTACAGCCCACAATTGATCTGATTGAGTTGACAAACCCAATCGGTATTTTCTCATGTCTTGATGAAGACTGTGTAATGCCCAAGGCCACGGACAAGTCTTTCACAGAGAAGCTTCATTCTCTGTGGGACCGCAAGACCCCTAAATACAGGTCTTCCCGCCTCAGCCAAGGGTTCGTTCTTACCCACTACGCTGCCGAGGTAGAATACAACACGCAGGATTGGCTTGAAAAGAACAAAGATCCAATGAACGATAACATCACACGGCTACTTGCCAGCTCAGATGATCCACATGTTGCCAATCTATTTGCGGACTGCGCAGACCCCGAGGAGGGAAGCGAGAATCCGCGAAGCCGGGTAAAGAAGGGCTTGTTCCGAACCGTGGCCCAAAGGCACAAGGAGCAGCTGTCCAGCTTAATGGCCCAACTTCACTCCACTCACCCTCACTTCGTTCGATGTATCTTGCCAAACCACAAGAAGCGCCCAAAGATGCTTCATGCTCCATTGGTCCTGGACCAGCTTCGTTGCAACGGTGTCCTCGAAGGCATTAGAATTGCCCGAACAGGTTTTCCGAACCGCCTGCCCTTTGCCGAATTCCGTCAACGTTATGAAGTGCTTTGCCAGAACATGCCAAAGGGCTACCTGGAGGGACAGAGTGCTGCTCAAATCATGTTAGAGAAGCTCGGAATGGACCGGGCCTGGTATCGCGTGGGCCGAACAAAGGTCTTCTTTAGGGCTGGTGTTCTGGCTGACTTGGAAGAAAAGCGTGATAAGCTCATTCGCAGCATTATGTCACGCTTCCAATCTGTTGCGCGAGGATTCATCCAACGGCGCATTTCTAACAAGCGCCTCTACCGAGCTGAAGCAACTCGTATCATTCAACAGAATTTCCATTCATACCTAGATTTGAAAGGAAGCCCTTGGTGGCAGCTGTTCTCCACGATGAAACCTCTCCTTGGTGATACCCGAAACGCAAAGGAAGTGAAAAAGAGAGATGACAAGATCAAGGAGCTTGAAGCAAAAATGGTCCAAGACATCTCCGATCGCCAAAAGCTTGAAGAAGATAGACGACGCACGGAAATGGAGATTCATAAGATCCAGCAGACCTTAGAGGGTGAGCGTGCGCTCGCGCTGGATAAGGAAGAGATTTTCAAGCGCTTGCAACTGCGAGAAGGTGAACTTGCCGAGAAACTCTCAGGAGCGATCGCAGACCAGGAAAGCCTCGAGGAACAATTAGATGAGTTGGTCGATGCAAAGAAGAGGACCGATGACGAATTGGATCTTCGGATCACCCAGCTTGAACAAGCTGGTCAGATCATCCAACAACTCGAGTCAGAGAAAAATGAACTCCAAGCCCGACTGGAGGAGGTCAATACCAAACTCTCTGAAGCCGAATCACAATTCTCCACCAAAGAAGGAGAAATTCAGGAGCTCGGCCAAGAGATTAAAATGCTCCAAAGTCACCTCAGTTTGAAGGATCGAAAACTACAGGAGCTTGAAGCCAAATTGCTAAAGACGGATCAAGATCTTGATATCAAGCTCGCCAACACTTCAAAAGAACTTGACAAGTCGAAGAAAGAGGTCCGAGAGCTAGTCGAAGTGAATCGGTCCATTCGCCAGCAAATATCCGAGCTGTCGACGACATCGACAGGCTACGAGGATCTTCTTCGGCGCAAGGAGAGTGAAATTGCCATCCTACGCAACGACGCCAAGAAGCATGATGAGGATAGATGCACTATCGAAGCGGAGAAGAAATCACTTACTAGCCGCCACGATAACATGCAAACCCGCCTTCGAGAAGTCCAGGCAGAAAGGGATGCTATGCGCTCGGAGAAGGTTCAGCTAGAGCGAGAAGCGGCAGACGTCAAGAAGATGCTTGAAGCCAAGAGATCCGAGGATGCAGAGGCGGGCGAGAGCAGGAAGCTCTTAGAACAACAGGTCCATGATTTGAAAGAACAACTTTTCAAAACCGAAGCAGATCTCAGCCGCGAGCGCCAGTCAAGAGACGATGTTCAGATGCTTGCTGAACACAATCTGAAGGACCTGTCTACGAAATACGAAGCGCTTAATGAGTCTAAAATCACGATCGAGAAAGAGATGTACATTCAACAGGACAGTCTTCGTCGCGCTACCGAGGCTCGTGTCGCTGCCGAGACATCGCGAAAGGAGCTACAGTCAGAATTAATCAAGCTTCGCGACCGCTTTACGGACGCGGAAACTGCACGCTTGAATGCAGACGCTGAAGCTGAACGCAAGATCAAAAAGCAGGCTGAGGAGCATATCATGGGGTTGCGTAATGCTCTTGATGAGAAAGCTCGCCAGCTTGAAGAAGTTGATGCAGAGCGCTCCCAGCTTTCCAGTCGAATTCAACAGCTTATGCATACAATTTCTGAGTCTGACAACTTTCGTATTCGCCACGATCAGCATAAGGAGCGGCTGGAACGGGAGCTTGTGACGCTCCGGGGCCGACTCACGGCCTCTGAGAATGATAACCGGTCTCTTCTCACCAAGATCCAGCAAAAGAATCTCGACATCGCTCGCTCCACATCAAAGGCTAGTGATAACAGCCGATTGCGCCTGCAGACCCTCCAGAAAGAGAAGACAAAGTTGGAAGAAGAGAACAAGAACATTGGTCGTCAAATCGGAGATCTCCAAATGACCATCACGTCACTCGAGAAACAGAAGGAGAAGCTGACCTTGAACGTTGAGGATCTAAATCATGAGGTCAACCGTGAACACAAGACAAGCCGAAATGCCGAAAAGGCTGCCTCCACGGCCAATCTTCAATTAGCAGAGGTGAATCGCAGCCTTGAAAATGAACGGCAGATGCGCAGCCAAGCTCAAGCGAATACTCGACAGACTCAGGCTACTCTGGACGGAGCTAACAAGGAAATCGAGGACTTACATCGCCAACTCATTCTGTTGCACCGGGTCTTTGAGTCAGAAGCAACCGAGCCAGCTCAGTCTTGGGAGGCTGTCCAACCGCATTTGTCCAAGCAAGTTGATATTGCACAGGTTCTTGACACAGTCCAACATAGGCTCCGGGTCACAGAGGAGAAGTATGCTAGGGCTGAAAGTCAGCTTGCTGAAATGCGTCGTCGCCACGGAGATGAAATGAAGGAACTAGATGCCAAATACTCATCCTCGAAGCGCGCTTTGCTTGAAGAGATCGACCAGAATGAGGTGGCCAACACTCGCTCACCAGCTCACTTCCGCAAGAACTCTGAAAATGCTTTGAAGGGGGTGTCTAATCCCTCCACGCCCAATCGTCGTTACCCTACATACGAAAAAGCAAACGATTCTGCCAGGTCCGACAAAACAGTTGATACCCAGGGCTACCAGCGCCGGATGGACACAGCCGCTGAAATCGAGGAACTTCAGAACAAGCTTCAGATGACTGAGATGCAGAACAAGCATCTCCAGAGCCAGCTCGAACGGTCCACCCCGTCTCGTGACATCTGGCAAGATGAAAGCCCATCAATCCGTCGTGTACACCTACTGGAACGTGAAAACGGACGCCTTCATGACCAACTTGATGATTCTGCCAAGAAGGTATCGACACTGGAGCGTAGCATCCGATCTGGTGAACTATCCCTTCGAGACGTCCAGGCCAAATCCCACGAAGAGTTATACGACCTCATTAACTCGCAGGAGCAATCTCGTCGCTCTTTGCTCAAGGTTCACAATGACACCATGGCCGAATTTGCAGATGCTAAGAGTCACTACGAGAAATTGAAGCGCAGCAAGGCGACCCTGGAAGTTGAGCTGCGTGATGCTCTCTCCGAGACTCAAGAGATGCAGTACACCCGGGAACAGGATGTTCAAAGTCGGAATCAACTCCTACAAGAATTCTCAGACTTGCAGATCCGTCTCGATGCTGAGACATCAAGGAATGCCGATCTCGAATCCAGTCTCACTCTGTACAAGAGTCGGGCTGATGAGTATTTCAGCAAGCTTGAACAGGCGGAAATCACTGTTCTCAAGGCCAACCGTGCTGAGCAGTTTGCCAAGTCACAGGGCAGAGAGGCTGAAGAGACATACGCTCGAATTATGTCCGAGCGAAAGCAGATGGATGATCTTGTCGAGGATCTGCAGCGACAAACACAGTCATTAGAGGCTCGAATGGAGGACAATGCCGCTGAGCTTCAGGGGGCTCTACAAGCCAAGCAACGTCTTCAGAATGAGCTCGAGGATTACCGAAACCAGCGAGCTATTGATCTTGAGGACAAGGAAACTTCCATGGAACAGACCAGACAGAAATACCAGCGGGAGTTCTCGACAATCAATGGAGAACTTGAGATCGAGCGAGAGCGTCTGCTCAATGTCCGTGGCGAGAATGCCCGACTCCGCGAGGAGCTGGAAGATCTGCGAAGCAAGTGGGACAATGAAGTTCTCAACAGCTCTACTTGGTCGAAAGAGAAGTCTCGCATGGAGTTGGTTGTACAAGACATCACTACCTCCCGGGATGAGGCCAGCGCGGCCCATAACGAAGCTCAACAGAAGATTGTGTCACTCCTATCCCAGGTGCGAAACCTGCGTACCTCCATCGAGGATACCACCGCAGAACGTGATCTCCTTTTGAAGGATAAGAAGATGCTGGAAGGTCGATTGGCTGAAGCCGGTGAGCGTCTTGAGGACCTTGCCAAGGGCGAAAGTCCCTCTATGCGCAATGCGGCTAGCATGGACCGCGAGCTTTTGGAACTGAAGTCCAAACTTGCGCAGCAAGAGGATGTCTCATCCGCCGCTGTTGGCAAGATGCGTCGCGCAGATGCTTTGGCCACTGAAATGCAGAAGGAACTCACTGCGGAACGTGAAACCAATAGCCAACTCTTCAAGGATAAAGCTGGCTTGGAGAAGCAGCTGAAGGAGCTTCAACTTCGATGCGTCGACCTTGAGACCAAGAGCTATTCTTCGGGCAGCCAAGATGTGCGATTCCTGCACAAACGAATTAAGGAGGTAAGCTACTGCCACGGCTTTGCTTTATTGATAAATTCATGCTAATTTCTTCCCCTACAGCTGGAGACCCACCTTGAAGAGCAAGAGAATAAGAACAGCGCCGAGCAGCGCTCTCTTCGTAATGTTGATCGCACAGTCAAGGATCTTCAATCCCAGATTGACCGACGCGAGAAGATGAACGCTCAGCTTAACGAGGAGCTCAACAAGGGCCGCGAAAAGATCGAGCGACTCCTTCAGAACATCGATGAGCTTCAGCAAGTCGACACGGAGACACAGATGCAGGCACGCCGCGCGGAGCGGGAGCTTCGTGAAGAACGAGAGAAGGCCTTGCGCCTGGAAAGGGAATTGGAAGGATGGAAATCGTTACGAGTTGAGCGAACCAGCACAATCGGTCGCCTGCCCATGGCTGCAGTGAGCGACGTGGGTAGCAGGCGAGGCAGTGCTGCTTACGGGTCTAACGACATGCCCCAGCGAAAGCCTAGTAATACTAAGGGATTCCTGTGAATAAGGGTTGAGATGTGTACCATGCGGTGAACGGAGTTACAATTTTGGGTTTTTTGTTTTGATTTGGTTTTCTGTTAGCTTGCTTTTGTCACCGGCGTACATGTGCATTCGGAGAGGTATGCTTCGGTCTTTTGCCAGCACTCTTGGCAAGTTCTCTATTTAGCTTATGTTCATATTATGAGGAGGCTTACAAGATTGAATCAATACCTGAACATTGGACTTTGATATACCCATCTCATAATCTTCGCCTGGTTTACGCCTTAACACTAGTCTTAATGCCATTTGCCCGATGTTCAATTGTCCATAAGATGTCACGAAATGAGCAACCTCAATGCACATATCGGAAAGAAACAAGCCCATCTGATCTTTGCCCATAGCGTGACTCAACAATTACTGAGCCAGCCAGTACCCCCTCCTCCAGCTCAGCCTTTTCAAGCTCTACATTTTGTCTCTTCAAATGCCATTTAATACCCAGTGCCATCGCAGCACACACCACACACGCTCCACTCATGACACCCCCACCAGCATAATACCGCGGCTTCTGAGAGTCAGGGAACATATACGATGTATAGAAATGCGCAACCCCCGCTCCCATCAAGTTAACAACTGCCAATGCGCTCGCGCGCTTTGCTTTAGGACGGGGCAGAGACGAGCTCAGCCAAGATACACAAAGATTGTACGGCGAGTAAGCACCAGCTGTCATAAGAAACATGCTGAAGTATCTTGCACCTGTCGTTGGAACGAATATCGCCTAGAAAGTATTAGATAATGAGTAGGCTTGAATGATTAGGACTCGTACCATCAAGTTCCCAAGTAACGCGAATACCAACGGAATAGCGATATGATACCCTCGTTCTTGTTTATAGGCAGAATGCAAGGAGATCCCTAGAGAACAGAAGAACGCAAAAGCATATGGAGGTGCTGTAAGCAGAAGGGTAATTGTGTTGTCGTATCCCAGAGTTCCGACGATAGAAGGAAAGAAGTTGTTGAATGACTGGGCTGTGATTAGGGCCATTTGGAGCACGATGAACATGTACAGTTTTGGGTCGAGGAAAGCTTGCTTGACGCCCCAGAGAATAGAGTCCGCATCATCATCAACAAGGCCGGCATTTTCGTTACGTAGGCGCCAGTCCTAAATTATGCCCATAGGAGTTGGTACCGGCATAAGGTATGAGAGTAGACATGCATGCAAAATAGGAGACGATACTTACTGCTAGCAACTGGTGCTCACGTGGTAACCACCATCTCTTAGTAAGTCCCGGATAATCTGGGATGAATGGAATGACCAATAATGCGATTGCAATAGTCATGGAGCCTTCAATGATGAACAGCCATTCCTATCCAAAAGGCATCAATCACTTGGGCATTTTGTCAAGGTTGGAGTCCGACTTACCCAAGCTGGTCTGCCCATCTTATCCTGCATGCGGGCGACAATACCCGCAGCGATTAGCCCACCAAAAGCAGAAGCGAGCATGTTCGCGCCGTATAAAAGGGCGATTCGGGGTGGCAGCTCGGACCTCTTGTACCAGCATGACATTAAGAAGAACACACCGGGCAGAAACGGTCCTTCTACCAGTCCAAGGACGAACCGGCACATGAATAGTCCGGCGAAGTTGTGCGTGAAGGCCTGACACATGGATACGATCCCCCATGCGGCAGTGGTGGTACCGATATAGATAGATGGTTTGAGTTTGGTGATTATCAAGTTAGAGGGCAGTTGAGTGAGGATATCTTAATCTTGTCAGCTTCTGTATAGTGAACAGATAATTGGAAACTGACATCCAACATAGAAGATCATTAAGCAAACATTGTACTGTGCATCCGATATTCCTAGTGCTTCGGGTAGTCCGACAATCTTTGCATTGGCAATGTTGTTTCTGGGATGATATTAGCTCTGCCATACATACCTTTGATTAGGCCAGGCTGACCGATCGAGAATATTCATCAAAAATAGGATAACAACAGCAGGGAGTAAACAGCAGTCTAGTTTCCTCACTAGTCCTTTCTCTAACTTATCGAGGTCATGACTGTCCCAAGATACTAGTTCCTCTGGAAGAGGAAGCTGTTGTAGTGCGATAGGCTTCACGACTTCGAATGACTCAGTGTCAGGCTTGGATTGATTGATATCATCCATATTGAATACAAGAAACGGACGAAGAACCGTCTCATTCAAAGCAGCAAGTTTTACAGCCACCGCGCGAGGATCAACACGGAGCGGGCATTCTGGAGCATTTATAGTTGAGCCCCTCTATAGCCCCCTCCAGGGACGTATCAGCTGCACTATGTTTCCAATAGTTGAACCGGGGTTCTGTCCGTAATCTGGGGTAAACGCGGGGAAGGATAGGGTATGCTCTCGAGCTACCAATTGACAGGCACCGGTGAGAAAGCCGTAAGGGGACAAAAATGACTTCAAATACACACGTACTTAGTACCCTTCAAATGAAGCCTTGGAACATATAGATCAAGATTACCACTTCTGACCGGGCTAGTTCTCCAGCTCGTGCGGTCACATGGTCCTGAAAATGCTCCAACCATATAATCTGATGACTTTTGGAGTTGGTCGTCGTCTTAAATAATCCAGCACTTCCGCTTTTCACGCCTCTGGAAAAGTACAGAGAACAAATTCAGGGAACCCGACCGACATGCAATGTCGTAACCGCAGCCAAACGGAATCCACGAATAGGCCGACCACCTGCATTCCAATTGAGGTTTATTCTCTTAAATGCAAGCCTAATCTATAGAAATTGTGATACTGATAAGAGTCATAAAGGCTAGAAAAGAATACACAAGCCAGAGACCTCGAGAGTAACCCAGTTGTGCTAAGTGATGCCTGCTAAACAGAGGGCATCGCTGCCCGCCCATAGGATTTGTTTATAGATATTCCCTACCTCCTAGGCAGCTCAAGTCTTCACCACCTTTCCCAATTCTATAGTTTCCCCCCTCTCTCGTCTGCCTTTGCCACGCTATGGAACAGTAAGGTGCCTTAAATCCGCTTCCAGATCCAGCCGACCTGCACCACGCGAGCCACGAGGAAGAACGTAGCACCCAGGAACATTGTAAGTCCACAGAATATTTGCAAGTACAAGTAGTCACCTCCGTCATGTGCGACCAGGGCTCCAGCAATTGGATTTCCAGTAAGGGCTGCGATACTGATGATGAAGAAGTTCGAGCCGTTACGGACACCAATAGTCCGGATATCCTTTGTCACCTGAGCCACAATAGCAGGAATCATGCTCACGAATGTGCCACTGGTGAATCCAAACAAAGCCGAGAAGACGATTGTAGGAGCATTACCGTGGCCGGGAATCCAAAGTGCTAGTACAATGATACTAGTGAGATAGGTGGTGACAATCATGACATTGAAACGTCCGAGACGGTCTCCAAGCCATCCGGGAAGAATGCGACCGATGACACTACGATGAAGATCAGTATAGGCCGAAGACTAGCACATCAAAGATTTAAGATAGGGTCGTTATACCTGCCAGCGTTCAATATGGCCAGGAGATAACCAGAGAGATCCAGAGACATGCCATCGTGCTGCGCCTGCAGAATGATGAAATTGGTCGGCAGGAAAACTCCCCAGAAGAAAAAGAAGCTTCCAAGTGCAACGAAGAGAAAGGGAGGCTCCTTGAATGGGACTATAAATTGGCTTGCGGCAATCGGGGTAGGCTTTGGAGGCAGACGAGACCGGATAGTCAAGTTTCCAATAATAAGCAGACCCAGGAACATGAATGCCACTGCGCGCATGGACCAGGCAAATCCAACAGTCGGAATAAGTCGGTCAATCATGATGCTAAGACGATGTTAATTGGATGCATGCATGGATTAGGTAGATTGGAGCTATTTACGGAAGTATGACACCCGCTAGGGATGCTCCCGCAGAGATGATGCCAAAGGCAAAGGCGCGGTTCTTCATAAACCAGCTTCCAATTGGGTTGAGGCAACCATAGAAGATAGAGCTGGCACCCAAGGCACTGAGTATTGACTGGGCCAGGAAAAATTGATAGTACTCAGAAGCCAGACTGGTCATCATCAGACCCAGAACGTGGCAGATTGTGCCACCCAAGAGCATGTATCGAGGGCCGAAGTTATCGAAAACCTTGCCAAAGATGGGGGCGCCAAGGAACATCATAAAGGTTTCTGTAGAGCTGATCCATGCGACTGTGGAAGCGGAGTACGAAGCGAGCTGGTCACGTTCATAGTAGTCTTGGAAGACTCCAATACAATTAATCCAGCCCATTGATGCGAACATGCAGCACCAGGATCCTGCCACAACTGTCCACGCTCGCATACCACCATCAGGAAAGTCTGCTGGATTTGAACCGGTGGGCTTGAGAACTGGATTATCCTTCTTGCTGTCAGCATCGGACGATGAGTTCTCCTGAGGATTCAACTTCTCTAAACCAGCGGTGGAGGAAGGCGAGCTATCGCTGTCCTGGGAAAAGCTCATTGTGGTGTTTCGTCAGGATTCACAGTCGAACAAAGCCGGTCTGATGGTCTCGTATGACTCGAATCAAGCCTGTTGTACCTAAAATATGGCACTATAGATATTGAATCAGAAAGCTCAAACAAGAGGTCGTCCCGAATTTCTTGGCTGGAGAAGTAGTCTCCTGATTTATATTTCGTACAGCAAGCTGGCATACGGCCTCGGCCTTGAGGACGGAGCCCGAAGTAGACCGACACTGCGAGGCATCCTTGTCTTTCAGCGGATCTGAGTACAGCTCCAGCTTGCCAAACAAACAGAGTGACCCTGAATTTAGAGCAAATGATCTCTCATGTATGCCGGTTATCCAATCAGAACGGATAGACCAGCGGGAATACTAGACCGAAATCGGAAACGCAATATCCCACCGGAAACTAAACCGCATCATCACCCTTTGATCCGCCTGGAGACGCCGTGATTGGTGAATGATTGAGATCCCACCGGGCCAACGCCGACTTCGAATCTCGACACATAACTATCACGCGAAGGGATTGCTGACATAAAGAACAAAACGTAGATTTCAGCGACATGTTAGTATCGCCTAGGCAAAGATTAGTCTCTTGACACGTTCATAACGCGACATTCTTCACCGGCCATTCTCCTTGAATTGCCTGCAATTGTTCTCCTCACTTCGTACCTTTGGCTATCGCCACTGCCACATAATCAAACCACTGTGACCACAACTCTATTGCAGACACTATCTTCTCTCCAACAGCTGGCGCAATTATGTCTTTTGATACAATGCGCGCTATCGTGATGCACGAAATTGGTGGTCCTGGGGTGTTGAAGCTCCAGACAGTGCCCAAACCAACGCCCACAGCGGGCCAGGTCCGGATACAGGTCAAGTCATTTGGGCTTAATCGTTCGGAAGTGTTCACGCGTCAAGGTCATTCACCCGGTGTAACATTTCCGCGTGTTCTGGGCATCGAAGCCGCTGGACTTGTCGATGATGCAGACCCGGAATCAGGCTTCAAAGTTGGTGAAGTCGTTGTGACTGCAATGGGTGGCATGGGCCGTGTCTTCGATGGCGGATACGCCGAATACACTGTAGTGCCGGCCACCCAAGTGCGACGCGTTAACGCCACCGCTGCCTTCGGCCCCGATCAGCCCGTGCCTTGGGACATCTTGGGTGCTCTTCCCGAACTTATGCAAACGGCTTGGGGCTCGCTGTTCACCAGTCTCGATCTCGTTCCCAGTGATCGATTGCTGATCCGTGGTGGAACTACAAGTGTGGGGCTGGCGGCTGCGGCACTTGCTCGATCGCACGGGGCCTCCGTCACCGCGACAACGCGGAACCCAGCACGTGTAGAGTTCTTACGTGGTCTCGGTATTGACAATGTCATTATGGATGACGGCTCAATATCGTCAGAAGTTCAAAAACGTGCTCCTTTCAGCAAGATTCTCGAGCTGGTTGGGGTCACCACACTAGAAGATTCTCTCCGATGTGTGGCGCCTGGTGGTACTGTTTGTATGACAGGTATAGCTGGGAATAAATGGACCTTTGAACAGTTCACGCCCATGGCGTCCATACCGACCTCTGTTAAGTTGACTACCTATGCGAGCACCACGGACGCCGTTCTGAAAACACCAATTGAGGAGATCGCTCGAGATCTGGCGACAAGCAAGATAGAGTTGCCTATCAAGACTTTTCCGATGGATCAGATTGTAAAGGCCCATCGATTGATGGAGGAAGAGGGGGCATTGGCCAAGATCGTGATGATTGTTTGAGAATCTTGGACTCAGCTTCCACGTGGATTGCAGTATCTTATATGCAATTCGGTATTATGAATAAACATTTCATGCTCTGACGGCCTTTTTATGAGAAATGCGAATTTCAGTCGGAGTTCTTCCACTCTGAGATTTCATTTGATTATTGCGTTCACTCTTAGGTATTTGATGCAACCTTGGAGTGATAGTTACCCACGTAGCGAACGGACGTGACCATGGAGAAGAATCGTCTACTCGCCGCAGCATTGGGATGTAATCACTTTCACTGGTAGCCTCCGTCGCGAAAGATCAAAAATGACAAGTCTGAGAATAACTTTGCGCTAATATAGTGACCAGTCTGATTTCTGCCTGGGGAAGCACACCTCTTATCTAGAGATCTACAAACTGATGCCGACACTCTTCCAGCGTTATGAGATGCGTTGCTATGTTCGCCTATGGCCGACCAACTTACTGGCTAACGCTCATATACCTCGAGCTCACTCACCCAAACGGTGAAGACTGGAAGGTCAGGAACCGATGGTTCGTTCACCAGACAGGACTGAGCGTAAGAATCAAGGTATAGAGAAGAGGACCTTGTATAATGCATGCAACAAACGTTACATACTTATTCCTTGTTGGTAAAGATCGATTTTGCCCACCAAACAGCTACAATGCCCCCATTACTCGCTTTGTACACTTTCATTTCTTCTTCTTTTTTTTCTAGTTGGTGATTGTCCTCGGTTTAAAAAGTACAGATGCTTACAGCGGCCACAAGCTCGCAAGACTAATTAAGGTTTGAGTCATGTCCTGAAGCTCAGGCAATAGATATTTCCAGCTATTGAGAGACGATGACAGATCTATAGAGCTCAAACGATACGCGTACGTTTCTTCTACCTGAGAGCCGATCAACGTACATATCAATTGCGCGCCTCCCGCATTCCTCCTAAGCCATACCGCCATTCACACGCAGAATCTGCCCAGAGACCCAGCCACTGGCCGGAGAGCTGAAGAATGCCATGGCCTCCGCAATCTCCTCTGGCTTACCGAAACGCCCACGCGGGCTCAAGTTTTTGATGGCGTTCAGCATGGCTTCCGGCTTACCACGTGTGAACAGAACGGTGTCAGTCGGACCGGGAGCGACCGCGTTGATGGTGATTTCCTTGGGGCCCAGGTCCTTAGCGAGAACACGGACCATCTGCTCGACGGCGCCCTTTGTCGTCAAGTAAAGGAGGTAGGACGGGGCGATTGTAGACGCGTGGCAAAGGGTTGTGGAAACAAGGATAATGCGGGCGCCGGGGCGGAGGTAAGGGACCACTTTCTATAATCATCGACCATCAGCAATGTCTCTTTCTCCAAATATTCTGCAGCCAAGGCTGTGACCCAGTCCTCGTGCTGTGGAGCTTGTACCTGGACCAAAAAGTATGGTCCCTTGACATTCAGATCCATACAGTCATTGAAGTCTTGCTCCGAGGTGCTCGCTAGGTCTCGGACGGGCAAAGAACCGGCGTTGGCAATCAGAATGTCAACTTGACCAAATTTATCCACTGTACGGCGGATCAATTCGTCGCTGTCGGCCACGCTGCCCGCATTTCCCTTGATGGCCAGGGCGTTCTCCTCTCCGATTGCATTGACCACCTCCTGGGCGCTTTGGTCATCGGAGAGGTACTGGAGAGCGACCTTTGCGCCATCGCGCGCAAGACGAAGAGCTGTCGCCTTACCGATGCCCTTAGAGCCACCGGTAATGATAGCAACCTTGCCAGCGAGAGCAGCCATAAGTTCGGCTGCTGAACAGATGGAACGGACTAATGCCACGGGTTAAAGGAATATGAATAATGATCAACTCATCGGTTTCCACAGGGTGGAATAAATGCTTCCTCGAATTCCTTTATCATGTCGACGCTCTTCATATATATGGAGGGTTTAGCACTTGACCCTCAATCGCCCACTCACGCTAACAGCTCCATCCCACCGGAACCGCAAAGACAGAACAAGCCACTCCGTGAAAAGCTCACCAATGACATGATGAATCTAACCCCACTCTGTGCTTAGATCATGAGACATTTTCTATGTCGAGGATCAGGACCCAGCAACTTACTTTACGCAGGAGTGATGCAACGACGCAATGCAGCGCAAAGATCCTACGCTAAAACGGCAGACAGGCAGACATTGACAGAGACCGATGAATCCCTCCACTCGAGTGGGAAATATTTACCATTCATCTCCAAGTGTCGCCGACCAGAGGCAGCTACACCCTTTGACTTATTGAATCATATTCAGGCCACAGCAGCATGATAAAAATAGGGTAAGTCATGTTATCATGATTGAGATTAATGCAAATTTATCGACTGACAGGAAAACACTAAGAACACAGCGAAGGATCTAATATATCAACAAAATCAAATCATGTTTTAAAAGGCAGCCTGATGTGCGCCAGTGCTGGAAATATGAAGCGACGACATCGTCAAAGACCGCATCGACCATTCGCAAAGTCCCCGATCGCTTTCTAGCCTCATCGGTAGCCATGATGACCAAGCCGCAGGCTATGCGCCTGAAGTCCTCGCGGAAGAACTCCTCCAGTTGAAGGACAGGGTTCTGTCCAGGTCCACACTTGGGGTCCGACTTAAGTACCAGATATAACCAGTCCTCGAATGATAGAAACTGGCAAATTTCCAGCTGGGAGCCCAGTGTGATCAAAATGTCACTCCAGGATTGTCGCACGGTATTCTTGAGGAGGTAAGCGATCGAGGGCTTCTGCTCACTGAATGTCAGATCAGTAAGGCAATGACGTCTTTCAATCCTTGCTCCAAATTTTCGGTATCCAGAGGTTTCAATGAATAACCAATCGGGCGGGTATCGAGGGTCTGTTAGACCTGCGCAATCTGTTCCTCTCGAAGAGCTTATATACCTCCCTGCGGGCAATTGACCCCTTACAGTATCCGTGTGAGGAGCGACAGTACCGGAAGGTACCACGATGATGGCATCTGACGAAGAGACCTTGGCAAGGTTTTCCATCTTATTTCCAGCTTGCACAACAACTGGCCACACGGCTTCTCTCACGAGGTTATGATTCTCAAGGGGGTTAATGGGGGCGATAGCCTCCACAGTAACTCCAATCTCAAATTGGCGACCACCTAAGGCAATAGCCGACTTCATCAGACCGCTCTCCACCAAAGATGTCTCGAGTGTCTGCGACAGTGCATTCTCACCCGTAGCGAGCACGATAAGGCCATCAGTCCGGCCCACGGGATTGAAATCGGTGTCTGGGTGCTCAGGGTTACAGATAAACTGTTTCTGTATCTCGAAGGGCTGATCCACACCGAATGGGTAGAAGAATTAGGACATTTTGATCTTTCTCACTGAAGTGAGGCTCGCTTGGCCAAGGATCTCAAATAGGAATCGGGTGGTTCTGCCAGGTGTAGACCTGGCGTGCGATGTTTACCCTTTCCAGTAAGTCTTTGAGGGAGCGCCCTCTCGTCAGCGCTGACGAGGGCGGACGAATTGAAACGAGCACTGGAACAAACCACCACTCTGTCCTCTACGAACTAAGCCTTCTAGATGCTGAGGTGACGACACCTCCGCCATCACCAAGCTACTGCAGATGCCACGTGACGTAACTTTGGGCCGGAGCACTGTAGAGTTATCGAAGCTAGGCCTCGAAGGTCTCCGATAGGATTGGGGTATTCCCAAGTTAGTCGCGACAAGGCACCAATAGGCACCCCACCCTGGTGAGTCTGCAGCTCGTGAATCCTAAGAGCTCTACATCTGCTAAATTCTGCCATAGAGCGACATTTTTATTTTTTTTTGCTGTTTCTTAAGACCCAAGAACACTCTCCTGCTTGCCAGGATTGTTCGTTTTGCGGGGTTCTCCTTTTCCTTCCCACTCCTCCACACGCGGGAAGCTTTTTTGATCCACTCATGATCGTCTTGATCGGCTTTGTTCATAAGAGTCATGGACCTATCACCACCCCGACTGGCCTCCGCTGCCTCATCAGGTCTTTTTGTCTGTACTAATCCTGACTGTGGCAAATCCTTTCTGCGCAAAGAGCATCTCAATCGCCATCTCGTCGTACATACAAACTCCCGCCGGCATAAATGCTTCATCTGTGGGCGAAGCTTTGCCAGGAGGTAAGACCCGCTGGTCGCTTGGCGTCTTGGCCGTCGATGTCGGCCCGCTGATCAATCGGATAGTGATATTCTGAACCGACATGTGCTCCAGCATAATGTGCCTCCTGACGGTGCAAAAAGAGTTCTGTTAGCATGCCAAACGTGTCGCCGTCGTAAAACGAAGTGCGATTCGAACTATCCTTGTTCCACATGCGCCGATAGTGGGGAGCCATGTGTGCGTGAGCCCTCTAGTATGCAGACATTCAACCCAGCAACCCGATCGCTCTGCCAGGGTTCCCTTGCGGAGGAAAAGAGACCAACCGTAACCACGGAGGAAGCAGACCCCGAGGGACCTGGAAACCCAGTCATGTCCACTGCAGAGGAAACATTCCCTCCGCGACTGGAATGGATCACACCAATGAACCAAAGTGGGAGCAACAGTGTCAGCAACACTCGCCCCGCGTCGAGAAATGTTGGCACAGATCAAGATCCTCTGCGACCGCTATCCGATCCTTTGATTGCCATAATCTCTGGGATGGACACAGCCACATCCACGCCGAACAAAGCCCCTCCTTTGTACTTCTGCGAGCCACCTGCTATTATGAGTTTTCCGTTTGACACACCAATGCGTCAACCTTCAGAAACCAGAGATCACTTCACTACAGACCAATCATCTGAGATACACACAACTGCTGTACCAGCCTTTTTCCCCGCCCGCAGTGTTTCGAGTGAGTAGATGCTACAAGCTGGCAGATTTCATGGCCACTGTTATCTAACTTGGCGACGAAGCTACCTCAATACTGAGTATGACAGGCCCAGAAATATCCACCCCAGCATCATCCAATGAGTGGCTGCATTTGCACGAGGCCATTACAAGCCAAGTTCACTTCATCACTGCACAGGTCAAATCCATGGACTTTGAACATTTCCACCAAGCGTGGCCCTTCTTACATCTTCCCACTTTGGCCCCTGAAAAGCAGACTGGTCTGATGACAAGTGCGCTGGCCAACTTATCGATGTGGATGCAAAATGCCAACCGTCATCATCTGGTTCCGTACGCAATCAATCAGGAGCTGCAACGGGCACTAATGCCGAGGATAGTGAGTGTTGCTTGTATGGGTTTTGTAACACGGAAAGATGAATTAACCTTGTAATAGACGGAAGAGGCCCTGACGGAAAGACCAGCGGTTGATATACCACTGCCAACTGTACAGGCACTGGTCATCACGTTAATCTATGCAATCCTCGGAGATGTAGGATTTCTTCCTCGATAGCCTGAAACGGGAACAAGTACACTAATAGCCCCAGGCACCAGCGTCCATTTTGAATTGGGCAGCCCAGTGGACCGACATCGCAATCTCCTCTTTGCGACGACTCGGCGTTTTGGATGATAGGTGGGCCCCGGAAGAACAACTGCAATCCGCTGATGATCGATGGGTCCAAACCGAGGAGATGAAAAGGTACAGCCACTGGCATTCCCCCTATCATATCTACAGCTTCCCGGTTTTTAATATATTGTTAGACTAGTATACACAGTCCTTCGCATCGATACCTATTTGTGCATTATTCTCGATCGCCCCCCTACCATGCGTTACCAGGAGTTCAGACTACCACTACCCGTTTCAGAGGCTCTATGGCGAGCAGAGACAAGGGCAGACAGAACTAACTTCCAATGGTATGAACCTGCGGGCCGAACCAAAAGTGCCTTTTCAACAATGGTCCGCGACGGGCTGGAGTCGCAGGGTTTCATGACTGGCTATCTTCGAATGCCCCACCTGTCCCTTGAGGACAATCACTTCAGTCTCTGTGCTTTCTTGTCCGAGCTATGGGGTATTTCAAAAGAGGCCCATGAGGAGCACCATAGAGACTACCGTTCACCTGAATTAAACCGCACGGCAGACCGAGTGAAGCTCTGGAAAGACTATATCCATGACTGGCGAGTCCACATCGAAAAGACTGACAAGCTGGAAGAAACATTCTTTGGGGAATGCTTAGGCGATTCTAACCATTTCCTCGGTCTCAATCTCACCCTGTACCACCTTCTCTGCCTCAAGCTCTATGCCAATATGCGGTTACTGGAGCACAACAAATGCTGCTCAGTTTGCCAGGAAGCCAACATCGAAGATGTCATTAAGATCTGGGCCCGATCTCCTGACGGTCGCCGGGCAGTCTACCACGCCGCTCAGTTGAAGCGTATCTATGAGCGGGAGAGCAATCTCTATAAAATCAACGACCAACGTCTCTGCAACGTGCTAGGACCAGCAGGCTTGTTGGCCAGCGCTATTATTCTTTGCACCTACAGTGCTAAGGTATTGGAGGCCAACACGCCCAAGGGCGGCACCATTTTAACAGCACCGACCGAGGCAATTGAGTTAGGCCAGTCAGATTTGGTGGGCACGCCAGGGTTCGAGAATTGGATCTCCCAGGGTGGCCCCGCAACTGTTGACGGAACTCTCCTGTATGCATTCTCTGTTCCCCACTTCTCATCCTGGCATCGTGATCGGTTAACAACCTGCCCTGTCTATTCCTCGCGATTGGTCACCTTCCTCCTCACATTAAAATTTTGATGATCAAGCAGGTGTACCTGATTCGCCATATGTTGTATGTATGGAACCAAAGAATAATAGATCGTCTACTTAGCTTTGCTCACCCCTGGACCGGCACAAATCTAGCCATTTATGGAGTTCGAGTGAACACCGTTTGTCCCTCTTGGGTAGATACCCCGATTTTGCCACACCAGTAGACAAAGTCTCCCGGGGTTTGAGTCAAGTTTCCATTGGTATACTCACTATATCAATGGCTTTTTCGATATTTTTGGAATGTTTTGGTCTGTGGTGTTCCCACATGGAGTCAATCTGATAAGCTCCCTATCTTACGGATCTTAGTCCTATAGGTAGGACTAGGATTTCTCTATTTCTATCATAGGAGTAGATTATTCCCAGGGTTAAAGGTATAAATCATCCCCGAGAAGACAGAAAAGCTAGACATACAGTCATAGGGTTTCCTTTGTGAATCATTCATCTTCTTCCTGTTAATCTCAACAACTGGTGCGGGGATATAGGCGACTGATGCGGGGATACAGGTGACTGATGCGGGGACATAGGCAGTACTGGATTTTCTTTGGCGGGTGGGGATTTCCTGTTCGGGTTGCCGCCGCTTTTATGAGGGTGCTCATACTCACACTGAGCGGCTCTTCGTAGTCATGTCATATCACCCATACCCCGTTGTTTACTAAGAGGCATTTATCTACCACCCAGTCTACTGGCAGTCTATCCCCCAAGAAGCATAAGTTCCCGACACTGATTACGGACCCATCAGCAATTTGATGGACTTTTCGTAGATTGTTCCCTCCGAGTATGACGTGAGGGTGAGTTTATCTTCGCGATGGAAGATAAGCGCCTTCCTTTACTTAACTCCCTTATCTTCGTCGCTGCTCCCCTTTCCTCTACAACCCCGATATGACTTCTTTTCGTCATCTCAAGATAGATCTCACCCCATTGCACGCCGTGTCTCCTTACTGATGCCGTACTGGTGTTGCCAATAATTTAGGCGGGCCGCTTATCTCGACTCCAGCCAACAAAAGCCATCAATCGATCATCAATCAACTTGAGAAGCACCGGTATAATGAACGCGTGTCTACAATGTCGTCGAGTGAAAATGAAATGCATCCCGGGCGCGCAAGCTGTTGCATGTGAACGCTGCGCGCGCAAATTGCTTGAATGCATCTTTGAGCCCCACCGTCGAGGCCGAAGGCCCGGAACAAGGTAAGTCGAGGTATTAATGCAGGCGCAGATCAAGCATTCCCAACTAATTGTCCCAAGGGTATCAAAGCGAAAGTCGGTGACACCGAGATACAACTTGTCAAATGGATTGCGACCCGAGAGGACGGCAGTTGCAGAGGAAGATGTCCCTGAACTCGAACCGCCGCCCGCAATGTCACGGTCAACTACCGGCTCAGATGGGTTACAGCCTTCTGGTGTGCTCAATCATGAGGCCATGAAGGGGCGATTTTCTCTGCGATATATTCTTGGCTCGGGAGAAATTGAAAGACCGGAGCGGCATGAAGGCGACCACAGCGGCTCGCCCGACGATCCGATTCGTTTGGGTCTGATCAATATATCTATTGCCCAGTGCCTATTTGATCAGTGAGTGGGACTTGGCGTCAGTAAAATTCAACGAGGTTTAACACTATGAATAGCTTCATCACCGTCTTCAATCCCTATATTTCTCAGCTTGACCCTGCCTTGCATACCTTTTCATACGTGCGCCGGAAATCGTCATTTTTGCTTAGTACAATCCTCGCAAGCTCGGCAAAGGCTTTCAACCCAACTTTCTATCCCAAACTTTACAAACATGCCGAATCTTTATTGGGCAAAATTTTTTTAAGTGGGATTAAATCTACGGAAATAGCCCAGGGGATTCTCATCCTAACGTATTGGAAGGAGCCTCGTGATACACGGGCCTGGGTCCTACTTGGTTACGTGATCAGAATGTGTACAGACATGGGATGGCATAAATTCCTTCCTGCTCAATCTCAAAATCACACAATAAGCGAAAGCGAAAGGCGAGAAACTCGAGATAAAGAAAGAACTTGGTTTCTTTTGTTTGTTTACGACCGGAGGTATGCTGATCGCTTCAAGCCAGATGTGAAGGGGGCTGACACAAGAATACAGCATGAGTCTACAAACAGGCAGACCTTGGATGATTGAGCGTGACGAATTCATTGAGTCGATAGAGACATGGTGCAACGATCCGCTCGCGACCAGGCATGATCATCTCCTGGGAGCATTTGTTACCTTGAGGATATTGACCTCCGAAGCAGTCAGACTATTGAATCCCCAAGGCTGGGAGGGCAAAAGAGCCAAAATGCAAGGAATTGAATTGCAGTTGGACTTTATTGATACACGCATAAGGAAGTGGGAAAAGCAATGGACTCGAAAGATCAAGGCCTTATCAACCAGCGAAGAAAATTGTCACGAATTCTTGATACGCTTCTATGGATCTCATATAAAACTTCAGCTCTCTTCGTTACCACTGCAAGTCATGCTGAGTTCTGGTGCTTCTGAGGCTTCACTTGACTTGGGAACATTTTGGATGGCATATTCGAGTGCGCTATCAATGCTCAAGCTCATATCAGACTTCTCGGCACAAATTTACTTTGTTCAGGACTCGATACATGTGATGAATGCATATAGTGGTGCATTCCTCGTGAAGGTCAGTTATTTTGCCCGTATACTTACAAGTTTGATTTTCTTTTCTTGTGTGGTATAGAGACTGACCATCATGAAAATCAGTTGGCTCACGCCGTACCCGAAACAATTGCGAAACAGATAAGACCTGAGATAATAAAAGCAATTCGCGAAGCAACCGCGGCCTTCTCTAGCCAAGGAGCACCCAATGGGTCTACTTGTGTTCTACAGGCCCAGTTCCTAGGCAATATTGCGGCAAGACTATCCGAAACGGATACTCCGAGACAAAATGACCCCCTTCTTACAGATTTGAGTATTCTTAATGGAAGACTCGACACCGTTGAAACCCCGATCTGTGACGGTCGGTTTTTAAAGAACGGCACACAGGAAGCCTCGCAACAACGTGATATGGCAGCGGCAGAAGCACCGCTCCAAGAGCCAGAAACCTTTATGAGTGACGATTATTGGGCAAATGTGTTTGCAAGTGCCGGGTTCAATATTGACGACGGAACATTCCTAGCTTAGCGTACAGAATTGTAATTTAGATGCTCAACGCTTATCAAAGTTTATCCCAAACACGGCTCCAGATATCTTAATCTCACGTAGATTATAGATATTGACTCCATGGAATGAAGTTTAGCCTCCTCGGATCATCTCGGGGTTCTAGGAGCGCGGGGTTTCCCTTTGTCAACCTCCATTGATAAGAGCCCGGAACGGGCCGCAGTGGCAAATACCGGCGAATTCTGTGCTTAGAATGCCGGTGGATCAGATGCCTTCCGGGGTGCGATAAGGCTAGCGTCCACTCTTGAAACGACGCGACAAACATTACGGCCGTTGGAAGGCGGTCATTGTGATTTTACCTTTGCTAGCTGCTTAAATTCATACATTGCCTGCATACGGCTCGCCCAAGGAATTCCCAAGGACAACTTTTAGCTTCTCAGGATGACGGAGACAAAGCTCAAAACGGCGCATGTCAATATGATGGCTGATTCGCTGATTGCGAATCTTCCATTGCAGGGACTACGCGTTGTGCTGCGTGGCATGCTCGCAAGCCGACCTGATTGCACCACAACCTTCGAGGACCAAGCCCGCAGTTACACCCGCGACATGACGCTACCCAGTGCCGAGTCTGTCGAGACATCCAAGGATGCAGTCGAATACATCCAGAAAGCTAGGAATCATGTCTGCTGTATGCTTGGGTGCGGTCTTTGCTACGAGGCACTCCCTGTTCTCCAAAGCACAGTGGAGGCCATCGGTCGGTTTATAGCATTGACCGAAGGAAACCCGACAGACGAAAGTTCACTTTCGTATCAGGTCACCCAATTGGATGGAGTCATTGTTCAGGCTGTCACAGCTATTCAGAAATCTCTCGTCTCTTCCACAGGATCGCGGAACCTTTCTGAAAATGAGAGCAAGTTGCTTGAAAGACTACTTGATAGGCTCACCAATTGCAAGGTCGCTAGCGAAGAACAGTCACAGCTATTTTTGCTAGATCGAGGCCTTGAAACCGTCGAGGATTTCCTCCACCCCGAAACCTATGGCCATTCTACTGTCATTATTATCCCACCATCCACCCAGGATCTCCCTGAGATCTCAGAATCATTTGCGCTGAATGGCGTCAATCTACCAAGAGTCTTCACTGGGCTTTGGCAACTTTCAAGCCCAGCATGGGGCTCTGCTCCCCAGTCCAAAATCATGGAGCAGTTCTCCAAGTATGTTGAAAGTGGACTCACGGCCTTCGACATGGCAGATCACTATGGGGATGCCGAAGTTATTTTTGTGAATAAACCTGAGCACCCCCACCCTCAAAGATTTCTCGAGCTAACAGACCTTATAGGGACGATACCGATTATCTTGTGCATTTTCGAAATCGATTTTCGCCGCTACCAAATACTGCGTGTTTCATCCAATGACGGTTTCACGGGAGGCAGTGGTTGCCAACATCGATGAACGGTGTCAGAGGCTCAAGTCGAACAGCATTGATCTCCTTCAGTTTCATTGGCAACATGTAAGTCGTTCATCTTTTAAGGTCGATTTTTGAAAAGTAATGCTTATTCTTGTCTTCGCAGTATGAGGACAGCTCATATATCCAGGCCTTGAAGTACATACAAGAGGACCCTCGCGTTAAGAATTTGGGACTGTGCAACTTCGATACAGAGCATATGCAAAAGGTCATTGACAGCGGAGTCAAGGTATATACTAACCAAGTTCAGGTAAATTATCTAAATATCTCGAGCCCTGGGTTATCGCTAAGAATATTTAAAGTTTTCCCTTGTCGATTCCCGGCCAACTGTTCGCATGGCGGAACTTTGTGAGCGACACGATATAAAGCTGCTGACATATGGAACTTTGGTACGTATCTTAAGAATGCCATTCTTGGCCTGGTTCAAATTTTGATTCTTGGCTATAGTGTGGAGGTCTCGTGGCGGAGAGATGGATTGGAAAGGACGCACCTGATCTTTATGGCGAGACAGTCACACCCAGCCAACGGAAGGTAAGCTACCCTATAATGTTCCGGCGTTTGAAAGGTATTGAACTGATCTGGAAACTCTAGTATCTCGCAATGATCAACAGCTGGGGAGGTTGGGCTTTGTTCCAAGAGCTGCTGAAGACTCTTCATTCTGTTGCCCATAAGCATGGTGCTTCTCTCTCGAACGTGGCCACCAGATGGGTCTTGGACTTCCCTTACGTTGGTGCGGTCATTGTTGGCACAAGAATGGGTATCAGCCAGCAATGTGACGAGAGCCTGGCATCGCTTGGCTGGAAATTGGATGCTGATGACCAAAAGCAAATCCAAGACATTCTCAACCGGAGCCACAGGACTGAGATGTTTGAGAGTCTAGGTGACTGTGGTGGTGAATATAGATAGGTAGACTACTTGCTTTACGAAGCCGTCATAGGGAAAATTGGTTGTTTTCAATAGAGTGATTATAATTTTGGTTGCCTTTTGGACCGTATAGTGTAAATCCATAGGAGTGATTTAGACTAAGCAGGGCGCGAGATTTCCAGGAATAAGTTTTGAAACATTGTCTCTTTGATCGCTGGTTTCCTCGACCACCTAGATATCAAACCTTCATCTTGGTTGAACATGCCTCTGATGCTATTAATGCTGACAGAGACTATATAAAGCCATTCAGGTTAAGCTGACATACGGTAGGCTTCCAGCAGTTCTAGCGTTCTCGCCTATCCACTGTGACTTCACAACTCGACGGGTCTGTACAGGTTGCTTGCCTTAAGGCTAAATTAGTCTACAAAAATGTAAGGTCAAATCCGAACATTAAATATCAGTGGTTGTGTCCGAAAGCTCCTGTCAGTCAATACTACTCTACAAAATTCACTTTTACGGTGCTGCTGGTTCACCTCTGTAGAAAGTGTTTTGAGCTTGCTTTTGGCATATCTTTTTACGCAATCAGAGCGGTTCAAGAATTTGAATTTGAAAGACATTTCATTCATAGTTACACAGCATTATTAAATCAAAGTGACTATACTTGATCGTTGAATTCTCTAAATTATAGACTTCCACCATGGCTGGTTGTTGGCCGATTCACCTGAATACTGCATGGCAGCCTTTTCTTCCTCAAAGGCCGCTAGCTCGGTATCCAGATCCACCTCCTTCAGCGGCACAATCTTTGACTTCAGGAAGAATTTGAAGAAGATATACAACACTGTTTGAAGTTAGTTATGTACTAATTGGAGGAAGCTTGGTATGTTCTCTGATCAATGATGTCACTTACCAGCAAAGATCGCGATGTTGAGATAGCAAGTCAAGAAACCTGACGCAGTGAAATTTCCTGTCGTGAAAACGTCGAAGCCTATTTGTGTTAAGAGCTTTCGCAATATCAAGTTGGAAGAGTTAGAACTAACCAGAGAAAAAGACAATCAAGGTTACCATGACCAAAGTGGCAATTGCCGTATAAGGCTGCAATGGGCTTCTGTATGGTAGTCCTATTGGATGTAAGTATATATTGAAATATCAGGAACGGAGAGGGGAAGCTCACTCTCCCTAGAGATGTTTTGGGCGGAGAGTGCACGCCAGAATCGCAAGTATGTCGCCTCGATAACGATCCATCCAATCAGTCCAGCCACAGTTGTGATATTCACAAACCATCCAAAGACGACCGACGAAGTAGAACCGACTGACATGAATGCCAACGGCATCAGAGCAGAGCTAAGACCCACGGCATACCATGGAGTTCCGAAACGGTTGCATCGCTGGAATACTCGAGGGGCATGGCCATCTTGGCTGAGACCGTAGAGAGTACGAGATGCCAAGAAGATACAGCTTGAACCACTGCTGATGGCAGAAGTACAGACGACTGCATTGATGATGTGCGGTACCACAGATATGCCTGCACGTGTGAACGCGATCACAAACGGAGACTCGGAAGCTGTGCCCGTGGAAAGAGACAGAGATTTATCGTTGAAAGGCCTAGATCGATTGATTAGAATATGGCAAGCTCTAAGAGGGAAAAGGGACTCATCATACACAATCAAGCCAACAATGAAAATTCCGAGGACGTAAAATAGGAAGACTCTGATGAAGGTTTTTCTGGTGGCATTTGGGATGGTCAAGCGAGGGTTTTTTGTTTCGGACCCAGCAATGGCCACAACTTGAATATTTCCGTAGCTGAAAGCCGCAGTCAGGAGGATTTTCCAGAAGGCAAGAAATCTGCCTGTGGAACCCGACGCAATATATTCGTTGAAGGCACCCGGAGTGTTCCAATAGTGAAAACCAAGGCGATGATGGTCGGGGCCGCCCCCAAGGTCAATGACAAGTCCTCCAAAGATGCAACCGATGATGAGCATAATTTTGAGACAAGCAAATACAACCTCCGACTAAATAAGATTGCCAAGGTTAGAACTATTGCACCATTATCGAAGCGCGATTGGTATTAGGTTGACTTACTTCACCGTACAGTCGGACTCCGCAGAAATTCAGAGCGACGATGAAGAAGCCAAAGACAGCAATCCATACGGCGACGTTGACTCCAGTATTCCAGAATTGTATCAAGGTAGCGGCAGCTGTGATTTCCGTTGGTGCTGAGATGGCCATAGTATACCCTAACATTATGAGTCACCCGTAATTCCCAATGCACAAGGTAATGGGATCTGACAGAAGTTCCATCCCGTTGCAGCCCCAAGTGCTGGCTCGACAAACTTCGTTGCGTGTCTTACAAATCCACCTGTTGAGGGCATGAACGCGGTTATCTCACCCGTGGTGTAAGATACTCCAGCTGTAACAAAACCCATGACGATGTAGGCCATGAAGGCCCCGGCCGGGCCTGCAGTGGCAATGGCTTGACCCGAGCTCAAGAAAAGACCAGTTCCCTATACATTCTTAGCGTCACTATTAGGCGATTCAATGGGGCGGGGGAGCACTAACGATCATGCCAGCAATGGCGATCATGTTGATGTGTCGTGACTTCAGGTCACGCTTGACCTCCTCGAAACTGCCTTCAGTGGCATCGATGGATTCATCGGCCCCCAAGCTGTGAGTCTTGGACTCAACGTCTTTTGGGAATTCGATTGTAGAGGCCATTTTGTTGAGAGCTAGCAGTCTGAGCCGCTGTATGCAGAAGGAACCCTTGATATCAGCAAGGTCAATAACGGTTATAAAGACTCGAATGGTTTAGCACATGAGATAGCTTATCTCCCCCATGTCCAATCAGAATCCCCGAAATGCGGAGAGATTAGAGTCTACAAGGGACGTGCAAACCGGCGTTCTACCGCCCGTTGGTTAATCACCGGCAGATTTGGCCGATTGGAGAATAGAACACCGACGCTTACTTCGCATGCGTAGAAGATTATATAGCGCGACGTGTAAACGAACTAACATCCATCAAGCATAATAAATCCCCATTGGCGCCTGATAACATCAAATCCATTTCATTATGAGTGAGGAATTTCGATTGTATGACCTTCGCGTGGAGGTCATATGCCCAACAGGAGAGCGAATCATGTGTGGTGCTAAAGAAGGCGACTTCTTTACTCTTCAGGGAGAGATGATGTTTTTGCCCCCTGGACAAGGAATGAGTATATACAGCTTAGGTAAGGATTGACATACTGGCCTGGCGTGCGGATTGGTGCTTAACAGATAACTAGGTTCTGTCTTGCCTTTACTGGCGGCCAAACAACGCATGACAGACAAAAACGATTGGATGACAACGGATGCCTTGATTGCGTGCCCTGATCCTCATTGTCCATCAAAGCTCAAGATTGTACGAACCGGCATCAGAAGCTTTAACCATTCTGAGACTACTGTCGTTCCGTTAGACAAGCCGGCAGGTGAGGATCTCTAGGTTAGCTCACTCCGCGGCCCTTAAGAGAACCACCTTGGAAGTCGTCATTTCCAACCGTTTCGGAGGCTCCACCTCCATCTTTTACCTTAGATAAGCAACCTATTCTAAAGTCTTCATATGATTTGGCTTAGTGAGAACAAATTAAAGAATTCCGTGGACACCTGAAAAACTCCCCAAATATCGTATGAACACAATGATGACTACTTACTTTGCTTCACTTCGTAGACCATATAGTATCTACGGAATCTTTCAGCGTTATCTTCAATGGTATCTATGAAGCCCACCCAGATCATTACAGGCATCACAGCTTGGCATTATTTGCCCAGTGCTGAGTGGAAGTTGATCTGGCCAGCATGGCCAAGGCGGTATATTCGTACTGTTTGCCTCTGACATTTGAGATAAGAAGTATCCAGAGCTCTGGGTAGAATAATGGATCTGAAATTTACGATAAGATATTCCAAACGGAACGAACAGGGACCCACTGCTTTGATTACTAGCGTTATCGAAACAGCTCAAGGGCTTATCCCGAACGCCGACGCTGGTTTACCGGTGTTATTTAGAATGCTGGGTTTACTTGCTATTTCGTCTTCGCTCAGCTTGGCAACTGCCGAGCAGCAGCCATGGCTGAAAAAGTCCCTCCCAACCGAAAAGAGACTCCAGTCGTTCCTTACGTGCAGTTCCCCGAAGAACGCCAGGAACCACCTAGGCTTCTGGAAGGATTCCAAAAGGTTGCCATCGACTCGAAACGCAAGTCAAAGGCCGAATTTACTTTGGGCGTTGACGAATTGACCATCTGGAGCACTGCCTCCTAGAAATGGGAATTCGTGCCTGGTCAATACTCGTTCTTTGTGGGAACATCTTCCAGGGACCTTCCCCTGAAGGATTCCGTCCATCTAAAATAGAATCGCCATAGTTGACACTTTCAATATCATCCAAATAAGTCTAGTAATAGGCCCAAATTTGCTACTTATACTATTTGATCACATCGTTCATTATTAAATGAGGATAGTACGTAATTAAGTGGGAATGGCCATTCGTTTTTAGGTGGGATGATGAAATTCTTGTTTTGAGCAAGTGGGGCCTTGAGGAAGCATAGTGATATTCATCCTATTGGGGTAGCTCACGCATGTAATTAGCCTGCTGTGGAGTGCGCTCAGTAAGCCGATCAGTCTACTCAGGCCCGGCTTTCTAAGTAAATTGATCGGCTCACTGAGCATGAGCAAGGCTTAAGTAATACTCACTAATCCGACCACTGCGAAACGACCTGTGTTTTCGCCGGAGGCCGTGCTCAGATCTGCTTGGTGAGTTCAAGCGGCGAGGGGGTGAGCACTAATCCAAGGAAGCCAAGACTCGTCAAAGGAACTCCGGTACGTAGGCAACCGAGGCGGGGATATAGGCAACTGAAGCGGGGATGTTCAATAACTAAGTTACCCAACTATAGTAACTGACTAATTAGGGATGGATACGATGACCAATTCACCCCGTAGAACGAGCTAGTTACCTATAGAGGAACCCCGCCGTGGATGATAAACAAAGTTTTGGACACAACACAATGCGGAGTAGGTTGCTCACTCTGCTTGTCGATATCCGACTGTTCTAAACTGTTGCTCCTTTCGCGACAAACCCATGACAACTCTTGGTCTATCGCGGGAGACCGTGAGACTTATAAAGAAGTACATAAATGGGATTGAAACAGACCACACGTCATAATTGTTAGCCGTGGGTGACTCGGAAATTTCGGATTCTTCGGGATTTGGAGAACAGAAGCCGATGATCTACTGTGAACCACGGTTGTTTATGCGGGGCTGCGGATTGGTCGGCCTAAGCATGAGCTCATCAATCATGGACGGTAGCTTATATAGCCTCCTAGTTGACCCCGATAGCATTTCAAATTATAGCCTCATTTGGCGCAAATTCGAGAACAAGTATTTCCTGTCTACCGACTCAATCTGCCATTCGTCATAAAATCTGCTCTGTGCACTTCCCTCCGTCATGTCTAACACCAAAACCGTGCATGTCCCCCACCTCGGTGGTATAGAGGCATCTTACCAGATGCCTCACCCTTACGATTCGAAAAAGCCAACCTTGGTTCTGGTCAATTCATTTACCACTTCGGCAGAGTTGTACCGTGAGCAGTACGCCAACAAGGAGCTGACTGACACAATGAATCTGCTCGCCATCGAGCTTCTTGGTCACGGCCAAACACGCACTAAGCGTGAAAACTGGACGTATTGGGATACTGCTGAGATGAATCTGCAAGTCCTTGACGCTTTGAACATCGACAAGGCTTTTGTACTCGGCACAAGTCAAGGTGGCTGGATCACAGTGCGCATGGCGCTGATGCGGCCGGAGAAGGTGAATAAACCCTTTTCAATCTTGAATTATAAGACACCACTATGCTGACACATGGGTATTCAGATCGCTGGCATCATCCCCTTGGGCACATCATTGGATGCTGAGACCGCCACAACCCGCGACCTTAACTGCTGGGACGCGCCTAAACTGTTGACCGCCGATATTGAGAAGTGGACTTCTCAGGAGCCCACACCTCAGTTTGAGCCCGACCTGAAGTTTTGCGATTTCCTAATCGATATCGGCTTCGGTAAAGATGAATGTCCAGCTGATGTCCGCGATTACTGGCGTAAGACCATCCGCCAAAATTACCAAGGCGACGATGGCCGGCGTCGCATTCGCATGGCATCTATCAACTTGAGGGATCGGGATGGCCTGCACCCGAGGCTGTTTGATGTGCGATGCCCCGTGATGTGGTTGCATGTAAGTTTTTGCACCTATCCTTTCCAATATTTCGCTTTGTATCCGAGTAGAAACACTAACTTACCATTCCTGCAGGGAACTAATGATGTTGTCTACTCTGTCGCCAACGCCGAGCGCGAAATTAAGCTATTCGTGAACTCTCCTGACGCACGCCTTAAGACTGTTCCAGGTGGTGCTCATTTCTTGAGTGCTTCTCACCCCAAAGAAGTGGACCAGGCGTTGATTGAGTTTGTGAAGAAGTACAGCGCATAAGATCTGATTATTGATGCATGTATCTGTGGATATCTCTATGCCTGATCATCTTCCCACTGCCGAATATTATCACCTTGGGCTACCTATTTATTGTAGTCGACATACATCGAACGAACAAGCAATAAGCATGACAAAGTTTTGGTGTGGATGGGTATTCCTAATAATGGCACAGTAAATAATTGATTGTCAACTTCATCGATCCATTGTTCTAAATGAAGGAATATGTATCACCAGGCTCTGGGGTCGCCCCAACTTCACTTGCAGGAGAATGGTTAGTCGTAACAATACTCTAGGCTTTTTAAGTAACGTATTCCCAAAAGAGGGCTTGGTGATTCTTTTCAGGTCGCCAGGTTTCTTTTTCTCATGGTCGCGGGCCAGCGTGGAGAAACAGAGAACCACTCCTTTGTCCCCTTCGCAACGTAGGGTATCATCTATGTCAGCAGATGCTTTACCTCTGTGCCTCGACACGGCTTGATGTAGGCATTGAGTATCATCGTTGTCGTTGCACCCGACTTCTTGAGCCATATCGTGAAAAGAGACCACTGAAGTGCAGTCCTGGTGGTATTTGCCCTCGTTTAAGACTGCTATGCACCTAACTGGGGGCAGTACGGGGTGTCTCGTCTCTGCACCCTGACCTAGCAAATATGTAAACAACAGCCAGTCACTTCTGCTTTCGCCTTACCACCTCTAGAGGCAGGGACACATGCGGAGGGGCTTGGCTCAGAAACGCATCACTCAGCCGTCATTGTGTACTTGTCTCGGAACACCACCCAGATACTTTATGCAAATTCCAAGCACATCTGGTGCTCTTCGTAGAGTAAACTTTCTCTCCCTCCCTCATCTGCCAGAATATATCAAGGCCGGATCACCAGTAGCCGTTCTTGCTCGGAGACCTCCACCCACTCTCGAACCGCTGGTAGCAAAGCATGCTCTTAGCACTTTCCAGGACTTATTTCTGAAGACGTCCACCAGGATGTGGACTGCGGCAGCACTGCCTGCCACCAAGAACTCAATTTTCATGCTGTCGGCAACTCACCGCGGCGACATGTATCAAGTTCGGGCGGCCATGATTGCACAGGTCAGGGTTGACAAGAAGGTAGCCCGCTACTTATATCTTCACGACTGCCCATACGTACCGAACGACTTGATAGAATATCTCAAGGCCATTGCCCAGAAACTGAGAATGCCTTATTTCCTCGTCTCATATGGCCGTGAGACTCTTCAAGCCTCGGCTCGCCCACCGAGGGATGGCAGGTGTATTCTTGGAGTCCCACAAGAAAAAGCCGGATTTAAGGAGACGATACTGGACTTGAACAACGACGGATCACTCACCTTCCAAAATATCTCCTTCATCACTGAGGGATATGCCACATTGCGGATGGCCGATATTGTGAGCACGGACGAGTCTAGAGCGATATGGAATGCAGTCAAGGCGAATATGACCATTGTCCAGGGCAGTGAGGACGTGCTGCATCAGATGTTCGAAAATTCCAACACGCACCTCTTTGGACAATGGCCGAAGCCCAACTCGGACCAGAGGACCATCCTAGTGCTGCATCGCGACTCGGGTAAGGGAAAGGACGGCCCGTACCCTGAGTACGACACAGGTGAAGCGCTAGCGCAAATTGTTAGTATAATTGCAGCCCAAAAAAGCTCGAAGGGGACAATGACGCTATTCTGTTAATGTCCCCTTTGGGACTAGTGCCTTCCATCCCACCACTTAGGCTTCACCTCTTGTAGATCTTCTTCTTCTCCTCGTCGCTACCCAATATTACACTTCGTACCATATTGTACTGCTTCCACTTTCTCTCGCATATATTCCCCGTTACTTCGGGCCAAGTCGTCTCCACGCCGAATATCGGACAGTACTGGACACGTCTCGGGACCGTTCATGGCGTCACCAAGAGAGATATCGAGGCTTACTTCCTGAAATGGGCGTACGAGCAAGGGTGGTACCACATGGTTGTGGGGTTCCGCAGCGGCGGCCTGGACCTCTTCACGCTCATGGGGATTCCAACGATATCGATTGGGATCCGCTTCCTAGTTGGCGAAGATCGACACGAGCTGCTGGCGACGCAGCTATTCAGACGTCTCAATGTGCAGTACGACATGCCGCGACATCAGCTCACGGCCTGGATACAAGGCCGCCCGATCAAGCGCAAGTTTAGTACCGATCCCGTCACCTTTGAACCCGACTACATACACTCGCCGTACTGGATGGCGCCTCCTCCAGATAATCTGTTGTTCCCGCCCCAGCCCGCGAAGCCAGCCTCCGCCGACGCGGAGATTGCACTGCGCAGAGTGGACACGGCTCCTTTCACAGAGTTCGACAAGTGGACGTTTGAAGCCGGCCTGCGTGTTGCCTGCGAGCGTAACTTCGATGGTTGGGGCACGACTATCGCCTTCATGACTCCTTTCAACGGCTGCGTCATGACCACCCTTAAGGCGCAGGCGGCCTGTCCGGTGGGTCACAGCCTTGAGGCGGAACCCCTAACGGAATTCATTGGCGAACAGAGGCGTATACAGGCACGAACCTGGGAAAGGATGATGCAGCTCAGGCAGCAACTTCAACTCAATGACGTGGATTTCATGAGATACACAGAAGGTGCGCGGGGTGTGTGGATAAGCTTAGAAAACATTATTTCCGGTAGCGGCTTGCAATGAGGTGTAGGCACCAGCACATTCGCCCATAGAGGTGCAACTAGAAAGATAGGAGTGGTATCTCGGAGAAATTACTTCTTAGGTCCTTGCCTTGGGTGAACTTGGGCTGGATGGTGTGGCTTTCCTTGATAGGAAGTGTATGTTTTCGCGGGGTTGTTTTGCCAGATCGATCAAGTCAACCTACCTACTGTAGTACTATCTTTCAACAGAATGTTGATATTCGGCTTCCTCATTGAGAAGGTTCATATGCCAGCGTTTGTTCCATCTGTCCTCTCACCTGGCATCCGTGAGACGAATGCAAGTCCACAGGTGTATGTCGGGTGTCCCAGGGTCTTTTAACAAGAAAATAGGCTCCAAGTGGGGGTATTTCAACTACGGTATTTATGGAATCTCAAACGTAGGTATCTATCAGATGAAACAACTACTTTTTCACAATCAATCATGTGGACATATGAAAAGAGTACATGATAGTGTCAGGTTTCAATGGTGCTCTTATATAGCCACAATTATATATTTTTGTAACTTCGGTGATTCTATCCATACATCACAGGAAACATTCATTTTTTTGGTATCAACGTCTGTTTTTGAAATTCTTCCAACTCTACGGAAATAACCATACCTAGATACTGGTCTACAAGTAGGTATACAAAAACATAAAAACCCAGCTTCTCTGGTACGCTTCAGATATGTCCAACACGCGGTGCCAAGAGACCACGTGATACCCGCGCGGCAGGCGCGGCAATTGACATTAGCGCTGAACCTCATCCGCAGCTGTCAAGCTTCACTTTCCAACTCCGGATTCCTCCCACGGCCTCAGTTCACTACAACCTCGGTCCCTGACCAGGCCTACCCTTCAAAATGGTAATAAAGTCACCCCTCGCCCCCAATGCCAAGCCATACAAAACCAAATCCACCTATCATGGGATTTTTTGCTAACGGTCACCCCTCACCATGAAAATAGGCTCGCAACAGCGAAAAAGCGCAGTCCATGCTGTTCCGCTTCCGGGCGCAACAAGCAGCGGACATGGGAATCATTGATCTCGGCCGTACCCGTCGCCCCAAAGCCATTACAAGCATCGACTCCGTCCCAACCTGCGAGCGCTGGCGCGGCCAGGTTCTGAAAGAAGTTTCCCGCAAAGTATCGCGCATTCAAGAACAAAGTTTGAGCGATTTCCAGATCCGCGATCTGAACGATGAGATCAATAAGCTTATGCGGGAAAAGTGGGCTTGGGAGATGCAGATTCGGAACTTGGGTGGACCGAACTACATGCGTGGATCGGGTCGCGTGTATGACGATGAAGGAAGAGAGATTCCTGGTGGTGGGAAGGGATATCGATATTTTGGTCGAGCTAGGGAGCTGCCTGGTGTCAAAGAGATGTTTGAGAATGCTGCACGCCGGTCGAAGGGACCTGCTGAGGAAGAGGGTGCGGGTGCAGGTCGCGGTGGAGATATTGCTACCCGCAAGGTTGATGCCAATTACTTTGGTTATGGACTTGATGAGGAGGATGGCACATTGCTTGCTTATGAGAAACAGAAGGAGAAGGAGTCTATCGAGCATCTGCGTGGTCAAGGCGAGGATGACGCTGAAGATGGTTGGGAGCCGTTACCTGGCGATGCTGGCGATGGGGTTGAGTGGCGACTACCGACACTAGACGAAGTGCAAGAGGAGCTGGTTGATCGTCGGCGGAGACGGCTCTTGGACAAGATTTCCTGATAAATCATGCTGCATGTGTGTCAAGGGTTTTGTGGTTTTCCTTTTCATGTCGGCGTTACGGATGCTTTTACGAAATATTCACATCTCAAGCATTGTCTAGTTTTGCTTTTTCCATATCGATTCGGTCCTCAAAAGATACACATCGTATTCAAATTCAATTCAAAATATTCTTTCATTATATATGTACAATAAATTATTCGGATGGGATATCAGCATTCGACTTATTTTTTCGATTTACCCTTTCAAATTTCAACGCCTGGGACATGCTCATGTGCTGGGTCTCCACGGGATTTTCCATTCGCAACTTTTCGGCGTCTAGATCGTCAAGAATAAACTTCCCAACATCGCCCGATCGCCATTTCGATATAAAATGGAGAGCAGCAGCATCCACATTGGGTATCCCACCTTTCATGAGCAACCCAGTCTGGCGCGCGAATCCCTCAAGTAGAGGAGTAACCTCATTTGTAGGTTCAGACCAACGCCGATATGCCTGCGGATCATGCAAATTGATCTTATACAACAGGTAGTCCACGAGAGTCACGGGTGATATGACAGTATCCTTGACACACCCGACAAGAGCCAACTTAAGCATATTCTCCGCATCAGGCACATAAGGCATAAAGACACCGGGTGTATCAAGAACATAGGTATGCGATCCACTCTCCCTCTCAATGATCTTGACAGGACTTGCGATCTTGCGTGTAATTCCAGGCTGGCCACCGGTTTTCAGGGCCTTTGCTTTCCCCACGCCGTGATTTCGCAAATGGTTGATCAATGTCGATTTACCCACATTGGGCATTCCAACAACCATTATACGGCATCCAGTCAGTTTATCAGGTGCGAAAGCATCTTCACGAAGATGTCGGATAATCCGGTTGAGATCTGCACGGGAGGATGAGTCGGTGAAGAAGACAGTGCTAGTCGGGTCGAAGCTTCGGACTTTTCTTTCTAACTGAATTGGAGTCAATTAGCTCGCGACTCTTGCGCCTCCGGTATCCTGGTATGCGACTCACCGACTGCTGCTCTGCTGAGTGTAGAACGCCTCCAAGATCTCTCTTTGTGTAGACAATCAGTCGCCGAATCTTGCCCAAAGCTTCTTCAAACATGGGGTTAATGGAAGTAACAGGTGCCCGGTAGTCACGACACTCAACGACATAGTCAATCAATGAGAGCATGCTCTTCATTTTGGTCAATCCAGCCCGGTGATGTCCCAGGAAGTAAGACCTTGGGATAGCCCCATAATGAGGAAAAGCCTGGCGTGGTATAAATTGCGCCATCGATTCATATACAAACAAATAATCAAAGTGTAGGAAGGGCTGTCATTTCGACTTGCAAAATCAAGTTCCAGGATCACAATCAACTTAATTATCGGAATAGGAACAGAAAATTGCCGTTGTATAAGGGCGGACTGGAAGGCGGTGGGTGTGCCGGGCGGTAAGCATGAACTATAAAACGAGCTTGATTATGCTAAAATAGCAAGGTTTCCCTGATAAGAAGTTGAAAATCAATAGACAATTGCGGAGGCCGAAAGAAAGAATAATAAGTTTTATGAAATTTCAGCTGGGTATCCTATTCTGTATATGCATAGCCTCAACTCCAGCAAGTCCCAATGCTCTAAAAGTTTTAAAAAAAACCGGTGTCCTTGGAAAGGATTATGCCCTCCAGCCTTGCACAAATTCATGCAAACGATCAATCACCACGCCAAATATAGCGTTCACACTGTCCCCAATCAATTGCTCGAAGTGACGAATAGCCTCCTCTTCAGACATTTCCAAGTGGAAGCGCTCTTTCACCTTGAAGACAGCCTTATCAGGTTCCACGCGAATATCTGGGATATTGGCATCGACCATCAGACTAAACAGATTAAGGATGAGATTGGCTGATTTTCGCAATGTGGTGTACGCAGTGAAACAATACTGCTTGAATTGCAGATAATGCGGTGAGGTTGTACCGCCCATGCCCTCTACCATTTCTTTACAGAGTTTCATCATAGGAGCAAAAGGCTTAGGGTCACGACCGAGAATGAAACCAAAGTCAGCGTGGAAGAAGTGACCGTCTGGGGCTAGGAGTAAGTTCTCCAAGTGCCGGTCACCCACACCAAGAAGATAAGTGATCACACAGTAACCCGCACAGGACTTGATATATGTGTCCATGGTCTCCTTTCGAACGCCAAGAGGCTCGTTATCATCAGGGTTATGTTCCTTCAAGTAGGCGAGAATGGACTTGTACTTGGCCGAGGCGGCAGAGAGGGAAGTGGATGGAATAAACTGAACGGCACCCGCTGTGGAGCTCGTGGCGAGGATTCGGTAAGGTGTGAGCTTCAGGTCCAGGTTTTCCTTTTGGAGGAGTCGATCCATCAAAATAATAATTTGAATGACCAGTTGGTCTTGGCGAAGATCGTCACCCACTTTGAACAGGAGAGGATACCGGCGACCATCGGCGGTCTTGAATGTGATATGCAGGGGAGACAATGTCGATTTGAAGACATTAGATTCATCAGGATAACAGCCTACCACAGAAACGTCTGGGTCTAGTGGGAGTGGCAATGGAGGATCGATATTGATAATGTCGTTCTTAGGATCTCGAAGCAGCTTTTTCAACTTTTCGATTTTTGCAGGCCGGGTTTCTCGAGAAAAGCGAATGTCTTTGGAAATTTTCGAGAGCACAGCAACGAGTTCGCCTTGTCGAAGGAGAGTTTTCCGGTGCTCTGCATTAACCTTCTCGAGCTCGCTCATGAAGTAGTATTCAACTCGCGCGAAAAGGCGACGTTGTGTAGAAAGTGTGCCCGGGCCTGCATCATCACACTCAACCATCAAGTACCAATGCAAGTAGTTGCCCAGCTTGAAGTTGTTGGCAGCACGTGTGATCAGGAAGTTGGCAAGTGAAGAATCATGGGCAACATCATCAACGTCATTGTCGGAGTGTTCCTCGTATTTCAAGGCTTGCACCAATTGTAAAAGATAAAGAAGAAGCTCCTCATCATCCGCCTTGCGTAACCTTGCAACGGCATAAGAACGCACCGCCGGGTTGTCGAAGGTAGGGCCCAGAAGCTCCAAAGCATCATCAACATCGATCTCAGTCCACTTGGGAAGAATCTCCACAGCTTGTCGAGCCTCGCCGTCATCACGCCAGTTGACTGATTTCACAAATTTGGTCAACGCTATCTTCTCTCGTGTTAAATAGTACCTGAATTTCCACACAAGATCTTTCTCCTCGGCAGTTAGGTCCTGTGTCGGTTCGTATGAAAGAATAACGTTCAGCTCGTCCCGGTTCTTTGGGTTGGGCTTCAGCTCCCGATCCATAAAACCAGTCCGATGGCTACGGATCAAGCGCCGGTGCTTATCTTCACACGGGTTTCCGGTCTGTCCAACTTCCGGGTCATAGATTCTGACTACTCCCGCACCATCTCCGCCCTCAATGCCAGGGCCGAATCGAACTTCTGGGACGGGCTTCAGGGTGGAGTTCGGGATAGAAGGCACAGTCTGAGGGTAGGAAGATATCGGGGTAGAAGGGTATTGATGATCGGCCCAGACAATCGTATGATCAAAACGGGGGAAATCCACATAAAGAACGAAGTTTTCATCATCCAAGTCTTCCTCATCTGAGCTATCATCTTCAGCATCTTTACTCTTCGGTTTCATATTCTTGAGATGGATGGCCCTTTTACGTGCAGCATCCTCTGCCTGAAGCTTGAGCTTCTCAAGCTGACGGAATACCATCTGATCCATCCAGTCGATCCGAGTGATTTCGCCCATTTCATGCTTCTTGATCAGGACCTCGATCCGCTCCAGCTCTGCTTCTTCTGAGGATGGAGCTAGGACGCCACGAGCGTTGGGTTTGCGCCGCTTGGGAGGAGGAGCAGATGGGGTGGTTGTTGATGAGAAGCCATCCGCAGCTTTGTGACGATAGACCTTGCACTTCTGCCTTCCCATCTTCAGCTTGCCCTCATGATCAAATAATGAGATCGTTGTCCCACCAAAGGGAATGTCGTGGCCTTGAGGCCCATCACCCGCCAGCGGGGACAGATCCCAGACCGTAATAGCCAGTTGAGAGTTCAGCGGAGCATCCTTGATGGACATGGGCATCTGTAGCCATTCGTTCCATGAACGAGTGGTCTTGAAGGCCTTGTATGAGGTCTGGAGAGGTACACCGAGTGGTTTAGAGTCCGACCATAATTGCGCGGTAACAAAAAGATCAGAACAAGGATTCTGGGCGGAGCCTAGATATCGCAACTCGGGGTTCTGGAGCAGACGGGAGAACGGGATCTGCTTCTGTTTGCCCTCTAGTGAGCCGCTGTGGATTGTCAGCTGAGATATGGTCTTTTATGCTGCTTGGACTGGAGCCATACACTTTGATGCATATTGGCAGATCCACCTGGGTGGACAGCGCAAAGGTGAATGCCTCCATCTTCGTGGGGCATTCTATAAGGCAACACAGCTGGGAGTGGACGCAATGAAGCTGTTGCGGGGACTGACTCAGCAATGCTTATCGTCACGTGGGAGAAGCTCCACAGGAGGTGCCGTTTCGTGGGATTGTTTGGCATCCGTTGTGGTATGCATCACAGTCTTAAGTTGGAGGTATTGGCAATAATTGGCAAGATGTTCTGATTGTAGGGTATAACAGGAACTTAGGACATTTTTACGTCAGGATGGAAAAAGAAATTGCAAAAAATGAATTGCAAGCAGTGAGGTTCGAACTCACGCCTCTCTCGAGACCTGGGATTTTACTCTCGTGAAAGAGTCTTAAATCAGGCGCCTTAGACCACTCGGCCATACTTGCAAAAGAACATTAGATTGGCCGTCGGGATGATAGTTGAAGGAATTGCAATTCTCACTTTTTGAGAATGCCCCACATTACTACGCCAAATTGGCCTTACATATGGGCAACACAATATTTTCGCATGTATCTTTCGAGAGGAAAGTACCAAATGATATTAAGGCGGGGCGAAGAGTTTAGAACCAGAGGAAGTACAATTTATCGTCCGGTCAGGCTCACATGTCTCAATTTGTAGTTAACTATTCACCAAAACATCACAGACTCTACAGCATACGGAGTACATAGTCCCCACCAACGCGGTCACGTGTGGCACGCGACGCGCGCTCGGAAATGGGAAAATCGATGCATCAACTTTACATCAATTAACGGTGTGTTGCTTTTGCAACTTGATTTATTTACAAATCGCTTCCATCATAGCGCTCCTCCCACAAAGGATAGGGAGTTCCCGTTTTTTGCCCCACCCATTCGTTTGTCCTTTGACCATTGAGGGCCCTTTGTTTGCGCGCGCATATCCCAAAGAATCCTTTCGAATCATGGCCCATGTTTCGCACTCTCAGCTGGAGGAACCAACAGCCCACAGCCCCAGCCATCCATCACCTACATCTTCCTCAGACAAAGAGAATCCACAAAAATCGAATAAAAGAACCCAGATGTCATCCGCCAGCGCATCCAAACGTCGCCGTTTAACCGATCGCACCTTCAATACTCAGTCGCAAATGGCCTCTTCACGGCGCAATGATAGCAAGCAATACTATGATCCTGATCAGGACCCTGAGGAGCGAAGAAATTACCGAAAGGGGGTAAGAGATTTGCAAAGCGATGTCCACGGTAGGAAAACTCTCCAGTTGGTTCATGGGAGATGAGGCTAGTTTCTAACAAAGCGTCTACATACAGCTTCGGGGGCCGAGTACATGAGATCAGGCAATGATGGAATCATAAGAACTCTCGAGAAAAACAACGAACTGTTTGGCAGTGTAAAGCAAACTTCAGACGCCACCCTCGACTCGCGCCTGCTCGTCAATGTAGCCGATCTCTCCCATAAAAAGACTGCTCAACTCGCACTCGGGGACAGCACTGCCAGTATTGATGTCGATGAGTTTGTCTCTAAATGTATCTCCTACATGCGACGGGGACCTGAACTCTCGACTCTCACGCCTAATGCCGGACCACGTCGACGTGCCCGCCATGCTGCCACCCAAAGAGATCCGGACGATAGCGACGAGGCGGATGAGGGTGACGCGATGAACTGGGATTGGCTAGGTCGAACTGCCTGTCTTCCATACAATATGCGGCCCACTGTGTCAGGGTGGCTGCTGGGACCACTCTCCGTACAAAAGCGGACGCGCCAGCTGACGCAGCGCACTCAGACCGAGCGGTTCGATCCCACACAGCTCACTAAACCCAATGAATTGGTGCAAGATGATCTTAGTGGACAAGAGAACGCAAACCTGACAACCATTTGCCAAAATATCAATACGTTACTAGGCAAAGTCCAGATGGAGGGCCAAGAGGCCGTGGACCTAAAGCTCAGTGATCTGGATGATGAGCCGAAGGAAGAGACGAAGCAGAGGATGATGGCTGAACATGATGTTGCGGACGATGGTGGTGTTCCCCTTTTCCGCTTCTGTATCAACCCGCATTCATTTGGCCAAAGCGTCGAGAATTTTTTCTATGTCAGCTTCCTTGTCCGAGACGGCAGTGTCGGCGTTGGCACAGATAGCCGTGGCCTTCCGACTCTCCGTAAGTAATCTTGTCCTTGTCTGTTTCACGTGAGATGACTGACCATTGAACAGATACTGCCGACCCGTATCAACCAAGCGAAGCCCACTCTCGGGGCATACAGAAGCGTCAGGCCATTTTTAGCCTGGATTTCGACACATGGGAGCAGTTGATCGATGCATTTAGCATTACAGAATCGATCATTCCGCACCGCAATGAGACTGCGGATCAGGCTGCGACAACCTGGTACGGTGGCCGCTAATGAAGATTTGGTGTGACCATGCTTTCTGCTTTTGTTCAAATATGATACCCTGAGCTAGTTGTTGATTCTTTGAATTTGGTCTTTATTTTGCGAATAAGCTCAATTTGCCTCGTTGCCTCTTGTGTTTCCAACGGGATAGGTTATGCGAATTATGCGTAAATCTGGTCGGGGATAAAAGACCAGCTTATAGATCATACGGTGGATTGTGGGGTCTGGGCCGGGAGAGCTAGGTAAGCAAGTGATTTCCAATGATCCGACGGCCCACCTCGGTCTAGGCACGTCATAAGCTCGTCTTTCCTCGATCGCGCTCTTGCCAGGAATAGCGTTACCCCAGTCATACCTACTTAAATGCTTGCAACTTTCTCTCCTTCCAAGATTATCCGTCGTTTGACTTCCCACCTCTCTCCATCCCCCACGAGATTGCTGCATTGTTTGAACGGACTGTCAGCAGCTGAGACATTCAACGCCAGGAGCAGCTCCAGATATAGGAATTCGCAAACCTGTGTGACTAAGCGTAATACATCCAAAATGCCGCAGCTCTTTCCGACCGACCCATCGTCGTCGATGGTCATCCGCGCAGTGACGCCAGAAATCACCACTTTCAGTCTGCCGTTCGCGCGGTTTGGAATTGTGCGTTTCGGAGGTCGAGGAACTTTAGGTGAGTCTCGTCTTCTCCCACCCTTGCAGAACAAAGCAGGGCGCAAGCCTTGGAGATCTCGAGTGGGTCGTGAAAGCCAAAGCTAACTCTCCTTGCGTTCAGTCAAGCTCGCAACTGGCTCTCTCGCCATCTTCTCCCCCATCAGCCTCACACCCGAAGTCCGTGAGACAGTTCAGACGCAGGGCGGCAACGTCAAGTACATCATCGCGCCTGATCTTGAACACCACTTGCACCTCACAGCATGGAAGGACGCCTTCCCGGATGCCCACATCCTTGCGCCGCATGGTCTGTGGGAGAAGCGACAGAAGAGCCCCGAGTTTAAAGATACGCATTTCGAGCATGTGTACAAGGACGGAGCGCCAAAGTCAATTTCGGAGGAGTTTGACGCGGAGTTTGACGTTGAGTACGTGCAGGGGCATAGCTCGCGCGAGGTTGTTCTTCTCCACAAGCCCTCACGTACGCTCATTGAGGGTGATCTCATTTTCAACTTGCCCGCCACCGAGCAGTACTCGAAGACCAAGGAGGGTGCCACCGCCAACTTCTTGACGCGGTTGGTTCTTCCCGCATTGAGTCTACACGCACCCTCGACGGGACACCGACGCTTCGCTTGGTATATACTGGCTAAGGACAGGACTTCGTTCGCAGAGTCCATGCGCCGGATTGACCGATGGAACTTTGACCGTCTGATTCCGTGCCATGGGGACGTGGTCGAAAAGGGTGCCAAGGGGGTGTTTCAGGATGTCATGGCGTGGTACCTGAAAAATGATCAGAAGAATGTCTAAGGCGACTGCGCGGATGATGTAACATTGCTTCTTTATTGTCTTGTTGCTTTATGTTGTTTGGAGCGTCGGATATCCCTGGTGCTGTGCGGTGCCTCTTCTTTGTATATCATTAATCCTACCTTGGAACCCCAAGGACATAATTACCAAGGATTTCATTCTTAATTGGAAAACGCTTAGGTACAACGATTTTTCATTCTCTTTTTTGTAACTGGGGACCGCCTGGCCCAGGTGCATGTGATCTCAGTTCTATCTATGGATCACATCTGTTGCGCCGATCGGGGCTGCACTTGCAGTTGGAGGAGCTGCATGTGTCAGAGTTGGGTATTTGGCAAAGATCCATTCGGAACTTTACTCGCCATCTGTTCTGGTTATGTGCAGAGTTGTCACCTGGCCATGTATGACCATGCAAGAAGGGTACATCATCCCCCACGTCATAGGGCTGAGAGCGACTAGCACCAGGAATGTTGCTCAGGTCAAGGCAAGGGCTGTACGACCTGACACTCGGGAACATACGACGACTTGGCATGTCTTTTCAACCATATTGATACAAAATGCCGTATCCACACTCATAGTTGTAGTGAACCAACACGGAATGGAGGGTACCTAGGCATCACCCCACGAGCACGGATCGGCCACCGCGATAGGATTCAATTCTGCAGGCCCAAGCACGGACAATGATCGCCAGTGTGGAACCACACAACCCAAAATGACGATAATCAACCCCCGCTACTATTGGCAAATAGTCAAAATGATCGACGCTCTCGACCACGGGACAATGACACGAGAAATGCATCTCCCGTGTTTAAGCCATACGAGGACCATCGTGCTAACTGTTACTTGTGCTGCGAGCTAAGTGAAGGGCGTTGTGGAAGTCAGTGGTGGAATACGAAGTGAGATGTCAGTACCTTGTGAGGAATTTACTCAGGAAGGGGACGGCGCTCTACAACGAATGACACGGAAAACCAACACATCAACGCGAGATCAGAACAGCAACACCAAACAAATCAACTCAAAACAGGGATGGACCTAACTTTCCATGAACCTGACAACAATTCACTACGTAGTTTATCTTTTCATTTCATTTCTTTTTTTTCTCCAGAAACTGAGCTGCGCCCCAATTACGTGTGACTGGGGTCGTCCTAGCTCCAGGGATCCTGACAGGGCGGCGCACCACTAGGCAGCTCCTTACTCCGATCGGGGAACAAAAAAAAAAAAAGCCACAAACTGCATCAGCGGTCGGAGTGCGAACCCAAGGGGTGATCCATTGGTCATAAGTTGGGCCACGAAGTACTGACAAAAGTCAGTCCAATAAAGACAAAATAACGAGTCTACAGCCAACTTTGGAAATGATCTGATTTTATCAGGTATTTTGACTCTGGCATGGTCTGTGGGTCTCAGCTAGTCTATACAGTTGAAGCTATGATTTGAGCGAATTGTTGCTTTCTAATTTTATTTTCGATAATGTTTTTCCTGGTTCATGGACCCTTGCTTGGTGATGTTGTTACTCGGAATTAGCCTTTGTGCGACTCTGCCTCCCGATACCTTTTATATACCTCGTCGATCCCCAGCATCGTGAATTTCCAACCAGCCTCGAATCATCCAAGCCTTCTGAGCCTTGATCATTTTCATCAGCATTTTCCCTTGAAGATACACATCACATAGATCACAGCCCACCATGCCTGTCATCTCGCGCCTGTTGTCTATTCCACTCCGCATTGCAGAGATCGCCTTTGCTGCGGTTGTTGTGGGTATCATTGGACATTATCTTGCCTCCTTTGACTCAATTGATCCTTGGCCTCAGGCGCGATGGATCTATACTGAAGTCATCGGTGGGCTGTCTATACTACTAGGATTGATTTGGCTGATCCCATTCTCTTCTGGATTCTTCTCTTGGCCTCGTATGTTCTTTGGGACTGTGGACATCACCTGAATACACACATTTACTAACTGCCTGCATAGTTGATGTCCTGATTTCCTTCGCCTGGTTTGCCGCTTTCGGTATTTTGGTCGACGCCATCCACCACCTGCCCTGTGGCAGCATCTGGTCATGGGAATTCCGCGGTGATTCTGTTTGCGCTCGTTGGAAGGCTGCGGAAGCTTTTAGCTTCCTCTCTGCAATTCTTTGGCTCGTCTCTGCTCTCGTGGTATGTGAAAAATTCAAGTATATTACTCTGAGTAATTCTAACATACTTTACAGGGCATCTGGTTCACCTTCCGCAAGCGCGACACTACTGCCGAAGCCACCACGTATGTGATTCCCCAATATCGCTCGTCTCGTCAACTCTAACAAGCTTTGACAATAATTTTATGATCCCGTGCTAATTATCCATAGTACTCGCCGTCGCTGGGGTCGCTCCCGCAAAGTCGATGCCGCCGCTACGGCATAGAGAACCTCATACCGCGGAGTCTCACGAGCTCGTTAATCCGACCCAATCATTCTTCCTCGGCGGAATAATCGCTGGGTGTGCTTTGTGATTTGTGACTCCTCGCATGACTCAAAACAATGGTGGATTTCGGTCGTTTCATGATTATCTATTGCTTTCTTGTCGCATTCTCCAGCTCCTCATGATAACGGGGCAAACGAATTACGACTTATTGATACCCTTGGTGGACTCATGACCTGGTGCTTTGGTGTTTAGTGACAGTCACTCGTTTAATGAATTGAATGCAGAACCAGTTCGACTGCATCTTGGAACTTCAACCTCCCAGCTATAGGATCTTACCCCTGCCGAGCCGCAAACCTTAAGTAAGACCCTCGGAAACTTTGTGCAAATGTTCGTATCAAAAATGGAGGTCTACGACTTTTGCCTGCTCTTTGGGGTTCATTCAGATATCCCAGGGACCGAACGATCCCAAGTTCCCCTCATTTTCGACTTGATACGCCAACCCTGTAGATCCCTTAAATTGCACCGCATTTTGAAACGATTACTAAGACCCCGTCCGAGCTTGGCATGCCATCCTCAACGCCACGCTGGCAGCCGAAAATTTGAAATAAAGAGACCAGGACACCACCCACATCAATTCGGTGTGTCGGCCAAAAGCAATATGAGCACTCAATCAGGGAAGGTCGGCGAGAGCGCGGGATCAAACGCGCCCCGATCGTCCGAGAAGGCCTCAAATGCCCAGTCTCCACCACCATATCATGATGCCGAGCACGACTCTGATGCGCGGGACAGCGGCAAAGGAGCGGGCGGAAGCTTTGATCTTGTAAACGGAGATATAGAATTAGGGAATGTACCTCTCTTACCAGCAGAGCACTATGATTTCGAGGACAGCGACTCAGAGTTCCGTTTTTCGGACGAGTCCATTTCCCCGGATCAATTTAGACACGATCCCCCGTTTTCATGCACGTTGTCCGGCTTCTCCGCTTGGCTGCGTGGACCTACGCCGCCACATGTTTATCATATCAATCCGTGGTTCCCGCGATGGCAGGCTGCGCCGACTCGGTTGATTGATCGATTTATTCCGCGCATGGGAGCAAAAATCGCTTTGCTTTTCCTTGGCTTGGTGTTTTGGATTGCTGTTTTCTTTTCGTCCCTTAAGGCTTCTGTGGCCGACCAGGAGGTCTTGGGATATGGACAGCCGGTTAAGTTGTCTTGTCACAGCCGCTTATGGTATGTTCTGAAAGGAGTGTGAATTTTTGGTTTTGTTTTGTTTTGGATCTGTGCTAATACACCTTTTAGGAGCAATGCTACTGACTGTGGAATAAATGGTGATCTCTGCCAACCATTCGATGATCAGGCCTTTGCTTTTCGCTGTCCGGCGGGCTGTGCCCAAGCTATACTGCTGGAGCCGTACTATGTCGGTGGCGAGGAGTACAATTATCGGCCGCTAGTTGTTGGTGGTAAACCATTCCGACTTGACGGTCACAATAGTGGCATTTATCGTGGTGACTCTTCGATTTGTGCCTCGGCACTGCATGCAGGCATGATCAGTGATGCGAAGGGAGGGTGTGGTATTCTGCGTCGCCAAGGTGCGCGGGAAAAGTTTGAATCCGTGGTGCAGAATGGCATTGAGAGCATTGAGTACCTGTCATACTTCCCGATGTCATTCCTTCTGAGCAAAGAGGCGTCCTCGTCGGGATCTAGCGCCGCGAAACCGGTTGAGTGCTCCGATATTCGCTGGCCACTCTTCACCTTCACAGTGTTGACAACAATTGTCTTCTCCATGACCGTCACCTCAGCACCGGTCTTCTACAGCGTCATCTACTTCATTGTCTGGTTTCAGGTCGCTATGGCTTCGGACCCCCCAACATCAGGGTACTATAACCTCGTCTCTATCGGCTTGGGCCGCTTCCTTCCAGGCGCTTTTGTCGGTTTCGCCCTCTACTACTTCTGTGTACGACACACTCTTCGAGATCTCGACGCCCACATCGACAAGACCATCCTCTGGCTAGGTGGGTGCTGGGTTGGCGCTCTGAACACTGATACCTTTGACCGGATCCCAATCTCGCGCTTAACGCCACACGATATCCAACAACAACCCGGCGCTGTGACAGCACTCATAATCATCGTCGGATTTCTCGTCATAGTCTTTTTCCTCCAAGCTCATGCCTTCCGCCGCGAAGGCCGCCTCCTGTCCAGGCTGGGACTATATGGCTTCTTTGTCTTGATCATTCTTATTCTCGTCGCCGTCCCGCATATGAATCTTCGGATCCACCATTACATCCTCGCCCTCTTCTTCCTCCCAGGAACAACGCCGCAAACCCGCCCTAGTCTCCTTTTCCAGGGTATTCTAATCGGCTTGTTCATCAATGGAATCGCCCGCTGGGGCTTTGATTCTATTCTCCAAACACCTGCTGCCCTCTTAGATGGCGGTAAACTTGGCACCGTACCCCCGGTAGTCAACGCGACCACCATGGCGGATTCGAACAACCTCATCTTCTCGTTCCCCCACATTCCGGCTCACGTCGACGGGGTCAGCGTCATCGTGAATGATGTCCAAAGGTTTAAGGAGATGAAACCGAAGGATAGCGCTAAAGTACCAGACTTCGCGTGGACGAGGGCTCGACCGAATTCGGTCGAATATTTCCGGTTTGGATATGTCCATATTAATGCGCTTGGGGGCGTGTGGTATGAAGATTTTTCAGACCCTGCAACTTGGACGCCTGACGGGAACTATACCCTTCCCGCAATAGAGACAGAAATCTAGGGATTCAGCTTGGTAAACTGGGGAACCACCATGTATATAGATAGACAGCGCTTCTTTTTTTCGTGTAGACTAAAAACTGTGTATGAATGAGCATAGAGGACCATAATTTGATACCTACAAACATTGAATCCTTGAAGCAAACTACAACATGACTGTTCAAGGTAACTTTTCGAACGATCCCACGAGTAGTAGAAGCCGACCAACTTTTCCCTCAAGGCCTTCACCGCTGTAGACATGCAACCACTCTCCAGCGCTTGCCCACGGGTGTATTCAAACTTACAACCATAGCGGAGAGCATAAAGCCGAAATATCTGTTTAAAGCCGATGAGCTTGCAAGACATTTGACATCAGAACTCCACTTGGATTGACGAATGCGTCATGTCTTTCGGGCGTACAGAAGGTGGAGAATCCATCCGCTTGTGGGTAGGAGTGTCTAAATTCCTTGTCTTTTCATAATTGACAAGCCATTCGAGATCTGATTAGCTATACTAGAACATCATATTTCCACGATGACTAGCATATAGCATGTCCCTACCAAGCTAAAATGATATTCGATGAAGGATTTCTGCTCGCCTTGAGGCCCAATATTCAGGCATCTGATATTAATTCAATTCAAAGGAGGAATATGTGAGAAAGGTTGAGCGAACCCTGACCCTGATCCACCCCGCTGAACCCTGACCCTGCCCCACAGATCCTGCAATGGCCGATGAAAAAAAGTGGGCCTCGCGTGGTATTGTAGAATGGACCCCAAAATCTGATGGTAGTAGCACCCACCCTTTGCCTTGTGCTGGGTATCTTTGGGAGGTAGTCAGTCGGGCTTCTCCGGATCTAAGAATGCAAATTGGCTATAAATACTGCCCCAATTCCCCAGAATTTGCAAGAAAACAACATTGAAATCACTTCAGGAACAGCACAAACATCAGACGAGTCAGTCTATCCACATTTGAACTTTCTGTGCTTTCGATTGAACTAAATTATCGTTTACACTATAGTAAATTTCTCAAACTTGACATTCAAAATGCTAGCCAAGTCTTTCCTCCTCATCTGCGCCGCGGCCACTACAGCCGTTGCAGACAACAACCTCCAATTCATCTACGACACTTCCTCTTTCTCCGCCATTCAAGGCTCTGGCAGTGGCGCCACCGCTGGTTTCGCCATTGGTGACAACAGTGGAAATGTTTTCTACAGCAGCTCCGACCCCGGTGGCTATTCTCCCTGTATGTCAAACAGTGAGAAGATCGAAATCACTTCCGATTGCTGGGATGGCACCTGGACCTTTGGGTGTACCTCCAAGTTCGATGGCAACCCCAAGGAGTGCTCGGCCTTCGCTCCTGATGGCACTTACTATTCTGGAACCGCCAAGTCCAGTCTGTCATTCATCGGAATTGCCGCTGGGTCTGATGGCTCCTGCAGTGGAGGCTTCTATGCTCCCAGTGAGAGCTGCTCCTCTGACAGCACTTTCACAGTCACTAAGCGTTACCGTGGTGACTACTCTGGCTGAGGAACTGAATGGATACATTGTCATTCGGTGTGTTGAATTCTCCCTTGAGGCTTTTTGATACTCGAGAAGTAAATGCCTTTTCATGTATCTCTGCTAGATACGTCCATCTTTGCTTCAATATAAGTCATCGTAAATTTCTTGCCACAATCATCTCTAATAGTTACCCCTTCCTGCTATTCATGACTGAAAGCCGGTCTAAATATGTATTTGGGAAGCATGTTTCTCTTTCTCATCGTGTTTACTTGGTATGCCTTTATCTAGGTATTTGCTTGTAAATATTGGACCTTAAGTACACCTGATTTAGCCTCACCACCCCGAACTGTGGAGTTCAAGGCTAGCAATATTTGATATGGATATTCTATTTACGGAAGCCATCCGGTGATCGACATGACCTATATTTGAATTTACGTCATCTTACTCAGACAGGAACAGCGGCCCCTGGATCGACTCCTCCTTAAAGGTGCTAGTAGGTAAAGCACAGACAATCTCTGATGAAGCAAGGAGGTGGCACGCGTACTAATAAATTCACATAAAGGCTACAAGAGAGACATGATAGGAGCTCAAAAAGGATTTTCATCAAATAAATGCAGGAATGAACGAAACAACTAAGCAGGTAATAGAGAAAGACAGAAGTAAGGCCATCAAGACAGTCAGGGAAAGAAAAGCAAACATAACAGTCTATGATAAAGTGAAGATGGTGATCGGGATGACAGTCAGCCCTGTCACCTGACACCTATCAGGCCCTCTCTTTCTCTCTCCTTCACCCCGCCACTTCTTCGATTGCTCAATGAATCTGTACAAGTGCACTTTACACTGTCTGCTTGGTTTGTCTAATTTGACCTAATATCAAACCGAAATTGCAATCCACCGACACAAACCCAGACATGAATACCCGTGATTCGCCTTGTACCCCGGGGAAAAGCTGACAGCAAAATTGCCCCCACAGTCCTTCCAATCCGGGTACCTAGAAGCTCCTGAAATTCAGGTGTGCCGCGAGCGAAAAAATCTGGTTTCGTTTGTGAATCTCCCTCTTTTTCTCCACCTTGGTACTGCGGGATAGTGTGCCATCCACCTGGGTACAGAACGCTTTCGACATAAGTCTGTGTTTGTGGATTTACAACAACCGACGCAATGATATACCTGAGCATTTCATTTGTTCCGTACGATTCTCTGTGCATACAAACGACAGCATCGGATATGTGTGGATAATTGACCCGGCCCATTGGATCACGCCAGATGTTTTCAAGAAGAATAACATGCTTAGACATAACTGTGTAGCACATGAAGTTCAGGGAGTCTATGACCAAACGTCTATAGTCTCCATGTGCCCGGGGCAATACTTCTGGTGGGGGTAGGTACATGGTGATCTCAGTCTGCCCAAGAGTTTTAAAGTCCGGATTGTTGAGCTTTATACCCTCCGTATGTTCGAGGAGCTCTTTTGTGGTCACCTTGCTCTCAGAGATAGGACAGCCGGGCGCTCTGGGTTCCTCGATCCATCGAGCCATCTGAATCCCTCGTTCACGTAGGAATTCACGAGGCTTAGAGGCATCTTTTTCTTCCCAATCTCCACTTGATATCCTGCCGAGTCGGCCTCCTTGCGAAGGCGCTGCGAGTGAAGAACCTGGCCCTGACGCCGAAGGTTCGGTTGCGGCCGGGGCGGTTGCACGGTGACGGGCTGTGAGTCCCGTAGATTGAATATATGTACCCTCAAAATAGCCAGCTACACGGGCCCCTTCTATAGAAAGACGACTTGAAACAGTTGATGCAAGGGAAGCTGTGCTTGCTTTCTTTGCCGGCGCTTTTCCTTTCCTCGCTGCTGCCGATTCCTCGCCCGCATTAGCGCTTGACCGGCCTGATTTAGATGATTTTCCTGAGCTTGATTTTTTGACACCTGCTTCAGGCCTCGTTGTACGAGATCCAGAGTCCTTTGATTTCCTTTTTTTAAAAACTCCACTGCCTGATCGAGAGTTCCCCTCCGTGTCTTTTGCGACCACCATAGTAGGTATTTTGGCTGCAGGCTTTTTCACCGTTTTTACTCTTATCTTCACAGCTTCTAGCATTCCTTCGACCGTACTGTCGTCCAAACCCAAATCCGGACCTGGTATAGCTTCCTCTATTCGTGGTGCAGCAGCTGGTGCCTCTCCCCGGCCTCGCGCCCCTCTCCGACCTGGTCCTGGCGCTGCTTCACGAACTTCACGACGCTCACGATGTCTATCCCTAATGCTACGGATAGGGCTCGTCAGATTCCTGAGGACCTTTCTTCCCATTTTGAGACCTCAAGTACGGCTTTGAGCTTCGGTCAAAAAGTCAATTCAAAATAAAGGGGTTTGTATCAAGGATTCAGGGTTTAATAAAAGTAAACGAGTTGAAAGACCATGAATTGAGTCTTGAATGGTGGGTGATGCGAAGAGGTATGATATTCGATTGTTACTTATATGTGAATGACAGGATAGAGCTTGGTCTATGTATACTTTTGTCTGGGCAGCCGAATGCCGACAGTAGTTGGGATAAAGAAAGAAGATCTCCTACAAAAATACACTATATTTGGATAGGATAACATTCGTGTATGAAAGAACAAAGCCAAGGTCGAGGAACGATGGCTGTGCGCATGATAGACAGACTCTGCTCAATTCGTTATTTTGAATACAAAGCTCGAAAAACCTTGCATGGAAAGTAGAAATTTGGGAAGCTTTGAGTCAAGGTGAGATAATTGGGAGTCAATTTTACTATGAAAAAAAGAGGAAATTAGGCTTGATGTACAAAGAAGCGTTTCAAGCTTGACGCCACTTGTATCCTGATTGATTCCCTTAGAACATAAAAACAAAATAAAAACCATGCTGTATGTTGCCAAAATTAGATCGTTTTTTCGCAACGACCGAAGGGATGCCGCTATAGTCTCTAATCATTATCTTCGAAGGCGGGGAATCTTCCCCTCATCTCGAGATCATCGCACCGTTTTACCATCATGTGCACGAAAGAAGACCTTCCCGTTATCCACGTCACTACAAGTCCCGATCCTTCGATTATACCCAGTGTACAAGCGAGTCTGCAACGATTTGGTGCCTTTCGACTTGTGGCCCCACAACTCACTGGGAACCTCTCACAAAGAGTGTTCCAAAATGCAAGAACATCCTGATTTCAACGTACAACCCTCATTCTGACATTTACCGTAGGCCCCTGGGTTCTTTCAGCTACCAATCGAAACAAAAACAAAAACAAAAGGCTACTCGGCCTTCGACACAGAACTCATCCTTGGAAAAACCGCCATCCCCAAAGAATCCATTTATTTCTTTCGGGAGGGCGGCGATGACTCAACCAGCCCCCTCCTGACCTTGAAAATTCTATCAAAGCATTCCACGATGCAAGTTGTCTTTGACAAATCTGACATGCCAACACTAATTCTCACAAAGGAATGGACTAATCTGCGAAACGAATTGTTCGGCACAGTATCCACCATCCTAGACTCGGCGGAGCCTTTGATAGGTACACCTACTCTTGACTACGACCATGTCGGCCTGAACTTCTATGACTCCGATGAACTGAGCCTCGGTAGAGCTTACTTCAACCCAGCTCACAAAGACAGCAGTATATTGACAATTCTGGTACGGTCCAGTGAAGCATGCGATGGGCTGGAAATTGCCGATCTGCGATCAACCGATAAGATCGACAGTGAGGGTATAGGACGAGAAGCAAATTTTATCCCCGTGCCCGCAGTGGCAGGTGAGGTCATCGTACTTGCCGGGACTCGTTTACAGCGTCTTCTAGGTAAAGCTAAAGTTCGTGCATGTGTGCATCGAGTTTGCCGTCCTACGCAAGGGAGTGATAAGCATCAGAGATTAAGTCTTGCTATATTCTGTGGGCCTCCCATGAAACTTATTACCAACTCTGAGGCTCCCTGATTGGAGAGCATTGACACAATCTCAATTGTTCACATAGCAATCGTGATGGCCATATCTGTCCTTCACCCTTTGCCGAGGTACAGCGAGAATGATTTCTAATCTGTTCAGCCTTACCGCTGTTCAATCTCAAAATAATGGTAATCATGTAGATAAAATGAGTCATCCTAAATGGTTGGACTGAGTTTGCCCAATACTAAATTGTTGGGGACGTAGGGGGCCAACTACTAAATGCTTAGTCATGACACAAGTCAGCCTGGTCAGCCTGGATTTAGTCAACATCCCTTGACTTCAACTCTTCTAAAAAAATCCATCACAGAAATTCTATAAAATGGCTGTTGGTGGCTGTTTCTGTGGCAATATTCGTATCGAATTCAATGGCCAGCCCATAACGTCGGCTAGTGCCACCAATAAGATCCAATTCCTTTATTAACCCAAACTAACATTGTTCAACAATAGGGACTGTGCCACTGTCTCGATTGTCGCAAACTTACCGGATCACACTACTCATACAGTTTTGTCGTCAATACTGCAGAGTTGAAAGTCACTGGAAGTCCAAAAGAAGTGCCCAAAATATCGGATAGTGGAAATACCGTCAGGAATTATTTCTGTCCTGACTGTGGTATGTATCATAAGCTTAAATTTAGGAAGACAGCATCTGACGAGATTTACAGGCACGCCCCTATATGGATGGAAGATCAAGCCTGACGGAGAACCTAATGATGTTACAGTCGTGCGGGCGGGAATATTCGATGACATCGAAATGTTGGATCAACGGAAGCCCGAAGCGGAGTTATTCTGCGGTAGCCGACTCAAGTGGATGAATCCCATCGAGGGAGCTGCTCAATTTAGTGGCATGCCGCCATTTCTATAGCCTGATTATTGAACTTGAGATGCTAAAGCAGGAAGAGTGTATCTCTATCATACCATGGGTGAGAGAGGCCACGAAGCAGAAGAGCTTCTGAAGACATGTCCCCTGTACTTGTATGAGCCTTGAAGGCGCGAAGGTGTGTCATTCTAGGAAAAGTGATTGCTGTGGTGAGTTGGGGTGGGGGTCATGACAAAGTCGGTGTATCAGGAGTATGGCGGTATAAGTAATTCCGAAAGCTACTATAGCGAATGAACATTATTGATTCTAACCTGCACACGAATATCAGAAGATAAATACTTTATATACTGCAATCGAATCATGAATGGATAGGTGTACGTATTGTCTTTCCCTTGCCGATTGGGGCTTACCTATTGCGGGGCTGAGAAGCTTCATTGAACGTGATTACGATCTCTGAGAATGAGATCTTGTCTAAAGACAAATACTAATCTATTGAGCGGGCCTGAAAACTGTTGGTTCTAAAGTAGAGAACGTCAAAATTTGTTTAAGACACGCGGAGTTGAATAATGTCGAAATTAGAGAATGATTTGATGCATTATCAACGAACGACCATTCATAAAGTAGCATTGAACCACGCTAGGGTGGCACTTCCTGCAGCCATCGCAGCACCTCCTAGCTGTGCAACTCCGTTGACAACTGCCAAGCCACTTCCTCCTGCACCGGCACTCTGCACTATAGCCATGGGGCTCCCAGCTACAATATTTCCTATCGAACTTTGGGCGACTGCGAATACAGAAGCTGCATCTTGTCAACATATGCGCATCCAGTTTTTACAAAGCCAAGTAAAGCGCATTGCTGGGTCTGCAATATACATACCTGCTTTAATATTACCCAGTACACCTATGATGGACAGTACCGGGGCTGTTACAAGGCCAGGGGCAGCCAGGATGAATGCCCCAGTAGTACCGAGACCCGCACAGGCAGCTTGACCTGGATTTTGAACGCTCCAAGCAAATACCTGCTAGATGTGAGTGTTTGAGAACGGGATCATTGCCTCACATCGATGGTAGATACTAACCTCTGCTGTCAGATTTGTGGACTTTTCAAGAGCAGGCTTGCTGTAAGTCGCGACAATTTTAACGCCCTGTAACCCCGCTTGCATCATTCTGGTAACTTCAGCTAGGAAATATTCGGGAGTAAGACCTGTAAAAGGCATGATTTCGTTGGTCAATATTAAGGCAAAGAGAAACCAAATTGAATTCTCTTGTGGAGCAAAACTTTGTCAAAAGAGAAGGGTACGTAAAATGGGAAACTGAGGGGCTGAGAACTTGAAATACAAAGGAGAAGTCTCTAGGGGTCTCGCTGCACATCTTCCATTGTCGGATTATCCCATCCACTCGGCCAATGGTTGGCGCTTCCTTGCCGCTGTTGGTTTCGGGCAGTGTAGAAAGACAAGCCACCAACAAAATCGACCGCGAGATACCGCACACTTCAAATCTCCTCTGCGAGTTTCTTTTATCTAGCTGCACATGGCTTCATTACACTACAATTATCATTCTGTTGTAATTGCGTATAACATATGGAAACAATTGAAAACTGATACTTGGAAGAACATTAACCTCATCATGGATTATTAATTTTACCATCAAGATGTCGGGTTACCCTACCCCGCAAAGACGAACAAGGATCGCCTATCTTGGGGCAAAAAATAATGTGATGGACTGTGACCAACATACCAACTGAATCCCAATTGGTCACCACTGATCTCTCCCGACCAAGTCACCGAAAAGTGCAATGACTTATAAGAGGACTTGCGACGTCTTCTCGACTGAAACTTCCAATACCACGACCAACGAGCTACCTAAGTCATCTATATTGATCCAACTAAATACAACACGAAGACATGGCTGATCAAACCACAATCGAAGAAACAGCCAGTCAAAACCTCATAGAGCTTAGGGCCTTGTATTCGGGTCTCGACGAAGTATCCTCGATACTGCGGTCAAGTGCAATCCCTGCAGACCTGGACCTGGATATACGAGTCTATCAGGGTCAAATCCATACTGTGTTGCGGATATGTGAGCTCATGATCGATCGTCTACGTATATATATGAGCCCCAGGCCAAATCTACTTGATGTTTTCAAGCTGTGGGAAAGTGAGTTCAATTCTCGTGACAAACGTCTAGCGTACTAATATAGGCTGTAGGGGGCGATTTATCGAACGATTTCGTTGAACATGTGGAGCGAAGCACTGGAATGCAATCCACAGAGTTCAAGGAAGCGAAGTCCATCTATCAATCAATTGATGATATCAAGCGGGATATGTGGAACTTGTTCAGGGCATACCAATGGAAGTACACAGTTATATTGATTTTGTGGGAGTGGAAGCGGGCTGCACCATAATGCTACTCAGGGTCCTCTGAGGTCAATCACGGTGGCTGTACTGTGCAGCAAGGAATTGGGCTGTTTGCGAGGGTCTTCAGATCTTACTTATAACCTTTGAGGCACTGATGTGCTCAAGTCTTCAAAAACCACCAGTAGAGTTATTATAGAAGATGAGGTGCGGAGCAAACCTGCACTACAACATACTGTTGAAGTTAGGTCTTCTGTGTGGAGCTCAACGGATCACACCCTTAGAGCACTTGGGCAGGCACTGTATTAACTAACTTAAGGCTGATCCCGGCTCAAAGCGGCGGGCACTGCCACAGAAAAGAAAGCCAGGAACCGCCAGGGGATGTACACAAGGAAGGATGTGTTACGTAGTATATAATGGCTTATAAACACTACGGTCTCTATTTATTACACGCTTTTTGATCAATATCAATATATACACAGATGATATATCCAACGCCATATGGCAATAGCAACCAATATGAACACGCAAGCTGTCAACGGACCCAGCAATAAGTATACTGGAAAAAACAGTCATGTGTCAGGAGACTGTGAAACAAAAACTCCACCAGATGCATGCAATGTAATGACCCAAATAAACAATGGAAGAAAAGACATTAAAAATCACTCGTCCTTTGAGTAATTGGTGTGGCACTTCACTTGAACAAGCTCTTGCTTGCCACCATCCTGGATGACCAGTGCGGTCAGCTTACCACCCTTATAACATCCGGTGTCAAGACCCTTGGTATAAGTGCGGATATTGAGAGATCTCTTGGCATCGTGTCCATATATAACAGTAGTGGTTTGAGAATGAGGATCCGCATTGGAATGCTTCAGACTCGTATGTAAAATGGACTGGTGCTTGTCAAACATCTAGCATCAAATTAGCATAAGCACTCGAAAATAAACAAAATAGCTCGTACCTTGGCCCAGTTTAAGCCATCATGCGATGCGCTTGGCACATGGGTGTCCAAATCAATGGTACGCATGGTCATCACACTGGATGGATCTTGTTTCTCGAAGTCCACGCCAGGAACAAGACCTCCGTGTACGACAGCCACCTGACCCATACCCTGGACGAATCCCACATCCAAAATTACTGGACAAGCTTCCAGCCATTGCGCTTGCTCATCGGTCAATGAGCGAGCCAGTGCGCGCTCTTTGAGCTCCTTACTCGAAAAGATCTGGCTCTGTACTTCCTCGGCCTCGGTCATAGCGGTCGGTGACATAATCTCATGGCGGAAAAGAAGGACCCGATCCTCATGATTTCCGCGCACGCATGAGGCGGAGTGCTCGCGTGCCAAATCAACGACACCGGCGCTATCGGGCCCTTTGTTGATCAGATCGCCCGTAAAGATCAAATGATCGCCATCCTCCTCAGAAAACGAAACTTTATCAAGAAGTTTAACCACTAAAAGAAAAGACCAATTAGCGACACTCCTTCCCACAATACATCTTCCCGAAGAAACGGTTGGAGAACAATAGACACCTACATTCCTCTTTACATCCATGCACATCACCCACAACAACTAACCGCTTGCTTTTCCACTCAGCCGCATCTACCCCTTCTAACGGAGCCATAGGAACCAGATCCGCATCCAATGTGCGAACCTGAATCAGATCATCAAACTTTGGCAACGAGTTCGACCCGAACCAGCCTCCAGACTCTGCCTTGGAAGCAGGATCCAACGAATGGAGCAAGTCACTGCGATCCTGAAGAAGCGGGTGTAGAAACAGGCTCCATCCGCACCAACTCAGTATGAAAAGAGTCACATAAACGACGACATAGCGGCGGAATCTCGGGGCGGCGACGACGGACAGGGTCATCTGTAGCCAGCGCGGGTTCTTGTCATTTTCGGGGGAGAGGGAGTGATAAGAGATGTTGGAGTGGGATTGCCAGCCATTCCGAACAGATTCAATTAAGGGGCGAGAGATCCGGGAAAAGCGGGAGGGTGAAGAAGAGGAGGAGTGGTGGTAGGAGAGGTTTTCGGAGTCGTCGAGTTCGTGATCTGACTCGTAGGTTGCCATATTTCCGGGTGTTGCGGAGGGCGTTTATTGGGGGTATTTCATGGAGGAGAATGGGGACAGGAATAGAATGCGATGGTATTCACAAACCAAGTAGCCTAGAATGGAGGTTTAGGCCACCCTCTGGGAAAGAAAGTTGCTTGGGGCTAAGAAGCTGACCCTTGGCAACTGAAGAGGCCGCGCCACGAATAAATTGGTTCGACCCGCTTTTAACTCCTTCCCCACCCAACGATCTACGTCGATCAAGGGTACCTGTACCTGAACATCGATAGTAACAGAAAGTTTCTTAATTTATATTTGCTTTTGTACATAGTGAAATAGTGGAGTCTAACCCCGGTACTGTTCATACTCTTCGGCTTCCTTTCGGCGCAGGTTCACCCGTTGCAACACGAGCTCTTCGTACACCTCTTCGACCTTCTTGCCACCACGCAGAACCTCACGCTCATGGTAGGCAGCCTCTTCCTTGGTCATACAAACCAAGTTGGTCAGCTCAAGAGGCAGGAGCTTTTGGCCATCTTGCTGCCAGGTCGTAACTATTCCCCATCCTCGAGCGGGTGTCTCCCAGGGGACAAATACAAGCCGGTTCTGCAGTCCGGAGATGCCACTCTTGCCACGCCAGACTTCTTCCGTCAAGAACGCAATATCATCCTTGCTGACGGGGATACGCAGACTAATGGGGTCTTCACCAGCAATCTGCTTATTGAGTCTCTCCGAACAGGCCTGGAGGTTGCCCAGAGCAGTGTCGTACATCTTATCGCGGCCCTTGTTCGACATGCTATAATCCATTGGGTAGTTTGTCACGCTACAGATGACGTGATTGGCCACTGTGTATCCAAATACAGCGGGCATAGTGCCAAGGACCGGCAAAATCCGAACTCGGAAGTCTGCAAGAACTCCCAGCTCGCCCACTTGGCCCTTGGCAAACTCCTCCTCGGGGAGCGGCAGTAGAGTCGCTTTGCCAGGCCCAGGCTTCTCAGTCGAGAATACTGTAGCAATACCTGTACTCACACCTTTCGCCTTCAATCGGCGACGGGTACTGCGAGAAAGCGGGTCATCCGTACTTTGTGAGATGTCGCCAACAACAACACGAGTAGGGTCAGACTTGCAACCAGCACCCATGGACGAAATAACGGGCAGCGAGTTTGAGTGGCAGTAGTGCAGCAAATCTACCTTGGAGGTTATGTTATCAATACAGTCCAGCACGTAATCAGGTCGGCGGCCCTCGCCCTCGTGTGTCAAAGTCCACGGGCCAAGAAGATGATCGGCGGCGTCCTTGCCGAACAGCTCGTTCCGGCAGTCAAACATCACCCAGGGAGCGATCTGCTCCAGTCGTCGCCGAATGCAGTGCACCTTGGGTGTTCCGACGTCAGCTAGTGTAGCAAGCGCGTGTCGGTTGAGCGAGGAGAGAGTGACTTGATCGAAATCGATGAGTCGGATCTTTGCCACGCCAGATCGAGCGAGCGCTGCCGCAGCATGGGATCCAACGCCACCGCAGCCGACGACAACAATGAAGGAGGATCGAAGTTTTGCGAGACCCTCGTCAGTGAGGAAGACCCGGTTTCGGGCTAGTTGTTCAAGAATCAGATCTGGTCGCAACCCCGGTTAGCTAGCTCGCCCAGCTTCTTTGTGAGAGTAGTTCTTCGCACCATCATCATAATCTCCCCTCTGCGCTCTGCGAGCCAGAGCAGCACTGCGCTCATCCTCCTTGCTCAGTGGGATTCCGTCTTCCGCAGCACCAAAGTCCGTCAACTGTAAACCAATTAGCTACGAAACAAGCTTGCAAAGTGGCATAGGCAATTCCTTTCACCTTCACTGATGGATGCTGATCATCAGCAGCCGGGATCGAAGCTTTCAGATCATAAACAGCCTCTTTTCTCTTGTAAGCCTGGTAACCAAAAATCGCAGTCGCAACCGCAGCACCGGATAAGACAGCGGTAGTGGTGAGCTGCGAGTTTTGCGACCCAGCTTGACGATGCAGCCAGGAAGACATGTTTCCAATTACACCCCTGTCCTGAGCGTCTTGTTCTTGTTCTTGTTCTCGTTCTCGTGTCCGTGTATCGTTTCTTGGGTTCGTGGGTGGGCGAGGGCGGTGGAGATTCCGCTCAGATTCGAATCTAGCATCCAAGTCGTCAGAATCGAATCCGTAATCTAGGTCGGCCTCGTCGGGCGCTTGCCACCATTTGGAGTTGTTTGGTGCCATCGATATTGTCAGGCTTATTATTGAGATTATTAGTTACTTACCAGTTCAAACTGCTGGGCACCGGGCCTCTTATAATTCGAGAATGCAAAGCTGCAAGCCCGATGCGCTCATCAGTGGGACCTGAGGGCCCGAGGCCGATTAGCTCAGCATATTTGCACATGTATGGTGCCTGAGGCATGAGTGCATCATGAAATATACATACATAAAAGACCAAAGGAAAAGATATGTAGAGGATCAGGTAAAAGTAAATAATCTCGTGCCCACTTGTATACATGGCATCATAATATGGATAGATCGACATGATTGATTCCTCAGGTTCCATATATGAGTGGGTATAACTGCACAAGCTGAGAAGATTAGACAGCCAGTTTCATTCGAACATCCAACGGTCGCTTCTCTACGAGTAGAAAAGTTCGTAGATCTTCCCATCTCAGACGCTTATTCTCAATAGCCTCAAAATCAAAAACTACCAACAGCTTCGCAAGAATCATCTGCATCTCGGCCCACGCAAGATGTTGACCCAAGCATGCGCGAGGACCAACGCTGAACGGTTGAACTGCACGACGATCATCGTTGAAGAACACAGACTTAGGGCTCGAGGCTTCCGGCAGCCACCGCTCCGGGTGAAATGATGTAGCATCGTAAAAGGTGTTAGGGTCGCGATTCAAAGCATATGCTTGAAGGGAAACTGGGGTCTATATGGAAGTCCGTCAGCATATCGGAAATAGGCAGCATTAGTCTCAACACCGGAGATACTTACTCCTCCTGGTATCCATTTCCCACAGATCACCTCTCCACCCTCGGGAACAAGGCGAGGCAGCATCCAGGGAACGGGTGGACAGAGTCGAAGACCCTCGTGAATCACAGCTTTGAGGTAAGGAAGATATTGGACCGAGCCAAGAGTCACATCCGCGCTGCTGGAGAACGCCTGGCGTGCCTCGCTGGTAGCAATTGCAAGTTTGTCGGGCTCATTCACTAAATAACACATGATGCCTATCAGAACAGTGGCAGTCGTCTCACTTCCCACCGTAGTGAGCATCGCAAAGGTAGCATCCAGCTCTCCTCGACACCATGCCACTTCACCGTTGTCATCAATAAGATGCGACATAATATCTGGTCGCTGAAGCTCCCAGCTCAGGCGCCGATCTATCTTGTCAACGATCTGCTGCTGATGCTGCACAGCCTTTTTGCTCAGAGAAGCCGGGATGCATTTCTTCAATAGGAATCCGACCAGAGGATAGTATCGTGCTGCAGCGAGGAAGGACGCAGCTTTTACACTATTGAATAGCAGCGCTATCCATGAATGATATTGTGAGTTTTGTAGACATTCAAAAGACTCTCCAAACCCCAAATCGCCAAAAATATCGAAGGTTGTGAAGTTAAACCAAGGAGCTATATCGATCTCTGCCTCGGTGCCATTGCTTTTCTCAGTGCTGCATTCCACCTTTTCCCTTAGTCTTTCCACAAGAAGATTCGTGAATTTCTGAAGCACGGGCTCTTGCGCACGAAGCGCTCGAGTGGTGAAACTCGGAGACAGCATTTTGCGCATGCGCGCATGTTGAGAAGGGCTGATCGCACTGAGTAATGTGTTGGGCTTTCCAGGTGGTTTTGCCCACCAAAGAGGATCTTTGAGAAATTGTCGGTTCTCGGAGCGATTTGTATTCGCAAAAATGGCGCTCCATGCATCCCCGCTGGCGAAGCTGACCTCATTAGGAGCGGTTCTAACAACCGATCCATATTGCCGATGCAGTTTCTCGAAGTCGTGAACGATCGTACCACGAAGCAGTGCCCAGATAAATGGTAAGCGGGTCGCAGCCCAGTTGCGAGGGCCTGGTAGATGAGCCAGCGGGTGGAAGTAAATGTTGTAGATTATTCTACCAAGCGGATACTAAGCAGCATTAGTCTTTGTATCTGGAAGTATATCAGATACCTACTGCTAGTAGCACCAAGACTGCAACTCCCAGTTGAGACAACGCCATCCTGAGAATTTTACCTGCCTCGATGTCTGTTAAGCCCCTAACTTCAATATGGGGATCTATATGGGGGCCAGAAAAAAAGAGCACAACAATGAGCGCAACAAGATAACCATTCAGTAAGCGAGGGGCTCTTTGGCCCCCAAAGCTCAAGGAGGGGCGCAGCTTCAGCTTCGTAGCTCAAACCAACGAATAGGAAAGAAGAAAAGCCGTTACTTAGTAAAAGCATCTTCATCTCAAAAACAATACGTCTCTTGACAGTTATGATCTAATAGGCATACCCTTCCTTCAAGTTACTATAATCCATAGAGTAACTTGGAATGCTAGGGCAATAATAGTGGGCCTTGTCCCACTGCTGACATGAAGCTTCGGTGGAGACTAAGATAATCACGTGAGAGCGCGCTAGAACACCAAATCCCACGACACGTCCACCAACCTTGTACGCAACGCGTGTTTCACGCAACAGGTATGTGTGGCTTTTCCCCAATACAGATCCAGGCTAATGATGTTCTGGACAGCCCAGAAAATCTTGTTGTAACCAACCAGTTTTCCTGTCTCGATGATGATAACCCACACATTCAAGAGCTTCTCATGACACCCTGCCCAGGAACCTGGGGCAGCGGATTCCATCCCTCGACCAGCTTGTCTGAGACGCCAGTGGAAGGAAACGCTCGCTTGGGGTAAATGACTGAGTAATGAACAGAGATCTTAGAGACTGCCCCTTTTGTCCTCTCGATTCCCAGCCAGTACCTTGTGCTGGGCTTGAATTTTGACCTGCTAATCATGTTTAACACAAAATGTACATACAACAGATCGAATGTATGCTACAGATATAGGTAATCAAAACGTCATTCATATATTTGCCTCAACATCTTGCTTATCGGCACCAATCGATGTCGTGTTCCCGATTGGGGTATTCCCACTACGTTATACCAGCCGTGGCATTGTCGGGCACTCCATCTTACCCTCAGAAGCCTCCAGTTTGGAAAAATATCCTTCATGCCACCCCATGACGACAATTTCCGTCGCACACTACGAGACTGTATATTATGCTCCGTCTGTATACCTGTGAAGGCAACGGCGTTGAGCATGTCGATGACGAGTGACAACCAAAGGTAGTTTTCAATCCGAGGGTGTGCTACAACTGGAGGTTTGGATCTCCTTGATCAAGCAGTGTCTACCTGTTCTCCCTCTTTTGATCTACAATTTACTGTTTGGAAGAAACTAAACAACATCAAAGACAACGCATACGTGCATGTAATAGGTCAAGTTATGAAGGGAGTCCCGAGCCAAATGAGGTTCATATCGGAAAGGGTAAAAAGCCATAGCAGCAGAGGGTCACTGGAGCAAAATTGTCCTATTCTGGATGTGTTGTAGAATGAACAGCACTTTTTCTCGCCTACAAATCCCTTCAAGAACCTCCAAGAACCTACAAATCTTCTTCTTCTTTCAGCCCTACTCGACTTTTCTCTTTCTTCCTTTCAAGATGATACTCCCCTCTTATTTGGGCAACAGAAATTGACAAGGAGTGTGGAAAACTTGAACTAACACTCGACATTGCAACTACTTCGATTTACTTTCGGACGATTTCGAGGACCTTTTGTCTACCTTTTGTCTTTCCTCCTTCGGGTCGATCAATCAACTCAGCCTGCCTTCATGTCGGTTGACTTCGTTATTTTCAGTTTTCATCTTTGCGTGGCATAGCTATCCAAGTAGTTTCTGCTTTATACTGGTCTAGTTTGTTTCCTTTTTGTTGTTTTTGTTTTTGCCCTGTGATGAGTTCGTCTTCGAATGACGGACACTAAAGCCAATTCTGCAGGCATCGCAGTCTTGAGGATCTTCTGGTCTTCGGGTTATGATGGATGCCGTTGACGCGACGAGAGCTTTTCTGAGGGTTTTGTTTACTTTTTGCTGCGTTCTCCTGTTGTTCTTCATGTCCTTTTCAATGCGTCTTACTCTAGCATTTTCCTTCGTAATCAGTGAATCTCAAGCGATACTTTTTGTCTTCTTCATTTTGTCTCTTCGTATATAGTGGTTGTTACAATAAAGTTCTCGATTAGACTCATGTGCGGATAAGCTTTCACAAAGACATGACCATGGCATGGAATTCTACGAGTGAATTGTTGGATCAAAGAAAGAGATGTGTATTATTCCACAGTAAAGAACGCTCACTAATGCATTATTTTGGTCATCGCACGCTGCGAGACAATGTACAGGTAATTCGTAACAGCGGCGATATCGTTCAGGCTCGAATCGCAGCCCACTTCGATACTCAAATATAACAACGCTTACTTCAGGAACCGTCCCAGAGCACCACCGATGTTCTTCAGATCAAGCAAGAAGGTATCGTGACCGAACAGGGAGAGATCCTCACCAAGCTCGATGTGCTCAACGTTCTTGTTGCCGCCGGCCCGGAGGGTTTCGGCGATCTCACGCTGTTGCCATGCCGGGAACAAGATATCACTGGCAACACCCATAACAAGAACCGGGTGATTTTTCAATGGCGAAAGGCCGGCAATCAGGTCTGCTGGGGGTTCTTCGGTTTTCTGGGAGGAGACGGACTGGTCGGCGGGTGGCACGGAGGCAGTAGCCTGGGGCTGTTCCTCGTATGGCTGATCAGGCAAGGTCAAGCTGCAGGATGAATCTGTGGTACCCGAAGACATATCACCCTGAGCGATACGAGCCTCGGCCTCGGCGCGACGAAGACGTGTTTCCGTTTGGTGGGTATGGCCCAGGTCGAATAGGTCCATAGCCTTGGACACATACAGGAGACTATTAGGGTCGTACTCGAGACAGAATTTCTCGCCAGCATGGTCGAGGTAAGTCTCAATAAGGAAGTCGGGGCACAGCGCAGGCTGCTTGCTGGGATCGGCACGGCGACGACCGAATCGCTGTTCCCACTCAGGGCCGCTGCGGTAGGTGACAGTGGCAATCTCACGCGCGAGCTTCATACCCGAGTGTGGAGGGATAGCGTCATAGTAGAAGCCACGGGCCCAGTTTGGGTCCATCATCAACACCTGTCGCTGTGTGTGTCGCATGGCAATGCTGTACGGGTGACTGCGAGCACAGCCACTGATACTGACGATCTTGCCGACACGCTCGGGGAACAGCACACCAGCTGCCAAACTTTGCATTCCTCCCATGCTGGATCCAACGGATGCAGCCAGCTTCTGGATGCCTAGACCGTCGAGAACACGGAACTGGGCTCGTACCATGTCGTCCAGCGTGAGGATTGGGAAGCGTGTTGCGTATCGCTCGCCATCTGAAGGATCCTTCGAGGAAGGGCCTGTGCTACCATAACAACCACCCAACACATTGGTACAGATCACATAGTACTTATTGGTATCCAGAGGTAGGCCGGGTCCAATGAACTTCTCCCACCAACCCGGCTTCGGGTTGGACGCAGTGCTATGAGCATGGCTTGAGGCTGACAAGCCAGTGTGGAGAAGGATAGCGTTGCTCTTATCAGCATTCAGCTGACCCCATGTTTCATAGGCAATGTCGAATTCCGGCAGCACGCCGCCCCAGTCGAGAAGAAGCGGCTGATCACAATGGAATTGTTCATGCTGACCGGTAGTATAAGAGGGCTCAGGCCCGGATTCGAGCGATCGAGCATTGAGCATAGCTGTTTTAGCCTCCTGGGCATCGAGGCAAGGGAACGACATAGCAGGGTTGGACGAGTCCTTCGCAGTAGCTGACGGGCCCTTTCGTGGTGGCACGGCGTGCAGCAGTCGGAACTGCGCCGATAACGGCCGACTGGCGCCGGCGAGCAGTGATGCGGGTTCGCTAGGTCGCCATTGGGAGGTGCGAAGAGTGCGCGAGGCCGAGCGGGCAGCACTCTGAAGCGAACGCATTGTGACGAAATCGAAAGTTTGGTTTGAGCGTGAAACAGTTCACCGCGGGCAGCTCTTTAAAGTGCATATTATATTGCCCGATTGCGCGGGCGGAGAGAATATCCTGTCGCCTCAGGCATAATTTCCGGCATGGCGTCATCTTTCTCAATGTTGATTGGTCACAATCGGGCCGTTTCCCCGGTCCCGCATCTATAAGCTACAGTGGATTACATATCATCTTTCCAAGGTTCCCGGTGAATGATTATTCATGTAATTTGAATTATAAATGGTATTTGAATATGATCTATATTTTTTTCCCTCGTTAAACCAGAACGCCTCGCTCACTTGCAAAATCCAATGCTACTAACAATGCGGGTATTTGTTCAATCGCGACAAAAAAGTCAAGACAAGAAGAACGCTGAATGCGAAGACAATGCAATGAGCCCGGTAAAACAGAATCTCATTGGTGGTGCAGCTTTCTCGGCCTTCTTAGGAGCTTCCATTGGAGCTCGTAGAGCTCGTCGACGCAGAACTCTCTACTGTCAGTGTAGACAGGACAATGGTGTCATTGTTAGACCGAATATCAATGGCTGCCGCGTACATGCACCGCCAACCACCACAGTTTGCATGAAATACCATCCTATCTCCACTAGGAGATATAGTTGCACCACCAGGTGCTTTGAGGCCAAAGTCATCTGTCTGAAGCAGTGGCCGATCTGCTCTCGTGTAAGGTCCCTTGATCGACTTCGAATGGGCATATTTGACATTGTAGCCTAAGGAGGTAAAGCAGTGGGACGAGAAAAAGAGGTAGTAGGTGCCATTATCAATGCGTATAATGTCAGGCGCTTCGACTAGTGGACCATCAGTCTTGCTGATGTCGAGGATGATCACTGGTTCGCCAACTTTGGTGATGCCATCCCTTTTCAGCTCCTGTAGGAAGATCGGTACAGACTTGCGAGGTGACTTGCTGTTACCGCAGGCGCCCCCAGATCCAACGCTGTTGCCGTCACCCTTGTAGACCAGGTAGAGCTTGCCGTCCGTGTCTCTGAATGGAGATGGATCGATGGCACCTCCGTATTCGTGTGGGCAAGCTAACGATTCATTGAGCGGGGTATATGGTCCCATCGGATCTGTTCCATTCGAGACTGCCGCTCCAATGCAGTGGTGTGGAGAGAAGTTCTTCGTCTCTCCTGCATAGTAGAGGACGAATTTTCCGTCATCCTGGATAAGAAGTGAGAAATTTTGCTCGCTGTAAAAGAAGACAAATTCTGTTGACTTACCCGTTGTATTAGATCCGGTGCCCAGGTGTTGATCTTCTTCTGCCATTGGCCGACTGTAGGCATCGCATCATAGCCCTCATGCAGGGTCCAGTTAACAAAGTTGGTCGATGTGGCGACGGGCACATGAATCGTATTCGGGTCACCCTTCTTGGGGTTTGTTGCAAAGGCATACCATGTACCGTTGTGCTGGATGAGGCCTGGGTCGGGGAAGTCATGGATCGCCCAAATGGGAGCGTTTGCCTCGATAGCATAACTGGAGTCATCATGATTTGACCCTGTCGGCTTCCACATGCCCGGGTAGTCATGATTTCTCGTGAGCACGATTGGAAGGGCGATCACGAGTACAATAATAGCCAGCCCTAAGAACCCAACGACACTGAAAAGCGCGATTCGCCGCGGTGTCCAAGGCTGTGAAAAAAATCCTCTCTTCTCCCCACCTTCAAAATCTGATAATTGCTCCGATTTCGAAACTGTGTTACTTGTTATGCTGCTATTCTCCTCGCTTCCTTCATGGACATGGACAGATGGCAACGCTTTTGGAGATAAGGGGTTATCCCCGTTTCGCGCGAATAGAAAGTCCACCATCTTCGCAGCCATTCAAGGTTCCTCTGTGGCAAGCCAGACTGGTAAATTGTCGATCCCAGTGTAAATTTGACTGAAACAAGCCTTGACAGAGAGGGTCTGACAAAATATAGGCCGACTATGAATAGATGCGGCTGTGGATAAGCAAGGCTATGCACGAGTCAAACAGGGTGACTTAGGATCAACGAGGCTGTCCATCCACCTCTCCACTTCTGAGGCCTGTATCAATCATGGGGGCCGAATAAAAATTTGCGGAAAAAAAAAAAGGGACGCTGAGTGAGGCGGCGACTTTACTTATACATCGTCTACCGTGTACAGACACGGCTGATCGCGGGTAACGTTAGCGAGGGCCAGTGCTGTAAAATGGGGAATAAGGGCCGAGGCGCCACCTATTGGGCACTACTGGGGCGACAACTAGATACTCTGGGGTCTAAAGTTTGGGAAGAGAATGCAGGACCGTACAACAGGCCCATGAAGTTGGGGGTCCCTTGGTGACTCGGTCGCATCTAGACTAGACAGCCCCAATCACACAACCAGAAAAGGGAATTTCACCATCAACTCTAATTAGAGGAACGACCCACGTCTTCTCTGTGTGTCTCACTGTGGTAGTATCAAGAACCCTAGGCAGCACCCGATACGGTTTGGACCCATGGACCCTGGATCCCATCATTTGAGGCTGAGGCCTTAAGTCGCGGTGAAACGGTGTTCTTCCACAGGAGCCAAGCTTTTCGACATCTCATCGAGGGTTCAGCGGGACCAATGAATGCGCTTCTGCCATCAGCTTATGCCTTTCTATTTCTGGTATAGCGTGGCCCCGTCTCCTGTTGATCCACTGGGCCCTGGGGGCCTACGGTGAAGTCCTAGCTCTTTGGGTTTTTACTTCGATAGAGTACATCTGGGCCCAAGAATCCCGAGGCTTTGCGCAAAATATTTGCAAGCGAGAATCGCCCAGAGGCTAGTCTCTGTCGCCTGTTCAGCTCCCATGGAACAATTTCTCATGTTTTCTCCTGGGGTTTCGCCGTTTCACGAGAATGTGGGGAAACACGGTCCCACCGATGTCGAATGGAGTCCAGGCAGCACCATTCAACTTCCCAATCTCTATTGTGTCCATGGATCAAACCATCCACGGATGTAGTGCTGAAATTTTCCATGAATAATACGGAGTAAATCGATTCCACGCCAAGATAAAACAAGGTGAGACGAGTTGGGAAAAAAGTTTTCCATAAAGTTCCGGGCCACACAGACATGTCTCTGTGCCCACGTGGGATGAATATCACTTCCACGTTTCGCCAAACCCTTAACTCGCACTGATCAATTACCTGGTCTGGAACATGACTTGTATGGTTTAAAGGGGCTTCTTGATATAAGAAAGCCTTAGGAAAGTGCTAATGTACTACATGAGAACGTGCTCTATACAACTTAAGATTGCCTAGATGACTGGGCTCTAACTTTGTACGAGCAGCCAAACCAGAACAAGACTTGAACTGACCTTTCCATGATTATTTTTGCATTTGATCTTTTGCGATTGAACTCATGGATTCGCTAATGAATATGCTCGCGTAACTTGACATAGTCGCAAGGCGGTTTGAGAAGCTTATTTCGACCCTCTCGGCTGTGACTTGAGGGGGGTCATCATGTTCAATGAAAGCATTCATCGCCACAAGAGCACTGTGGCTTATTCCCATTGAGGGATTTGATCCTTGACGATTCCAAAGCTTTCGAGCTCCCGGAGTGTAGACTACTAGCGGGGATACCACATTTTGTGAAAGATTGAAATATCCATGGATATTCTAATTTGTGTTCGGGGGCTCTTACAGTGAGCAAGTCCGGCGTTTCATGATTCAGAACAATCAACGAAGAGTTTTTCTATCTTTTGCCTTTCGAACCATTTCAAAAAATCAATCTTGTCTCTAAGCATTGGCTTGGTTATGTTAATAAACGGACGTTTATGTGCTGGAGAACCGAGTTCCCATTTTGGTCCAAAAAGCCGATGCCATTGAATCGCGGAAATCTTGTGAGGAAAAGTTCATACCAAGTTATAAATCTCGGGATTTCAAGGTTAGAACTTGTCCCAGAACACAGATGCATCGCTTAGAGAGAGAAAATCCGAATATCTAGCTTAGAGTGACTTCTTAGGCTCGCGGCGCCATGGCAGATTAAGATCGTTCATTTTGCAGAACACGAATTCCATTCGTATCATCAAATTGCCGAATGTCAGATTTGTGTTGGGCCGATCTATTTGTCAATCCGGCTGATCCGAAGTATAGCCCGAGCTCAGCTGACTTGGCATGAAGAGTCAGTTTCAGACCTACTGCTATCTTGAAACTTTCGCGTGGGCCGATCGGGTATGAAAGGACTGCTATATAGGAACATCTATTGGTCACTGCGTACCTAGCTTCAAATCTAGCTTATCTATGCACAGTCTAGTACAGGTGCTTTCTAGCTAGCCGATACTCTGACGTGGCCAAGCGGCCCTGAAAACTCGAACAATTGTATTCGTGAGAAGGGTGGCGTCTTACTCAAGTACGCAGAAAGTAGATATTCTAATAAGGTTGATCCCATCTGATTGAAACAAATATCGAAAAAAGGATAAGATGGATGTCTTTGGAATGCATGGAACCGGCACAAAATGCCGTTCATAACGGAGCATGCAATAATCTCCACTACAAAATGGGGTCAAGAGCAATATTCGGGCATTAGGTTTCGGGTGGCTCTAGGGGAGTTCCCTAGGGCGATCATAAAGCCATTATCACAACGGCTGGAAAATGCGGGGACCATAGGTTTGGGCATGAGGATATATATGTGAAACAGACTCCGCAGGTGTAATAGAATTATCCGGGAAATGAAGATATTCATACTTCCGTACCAAACAAAAAAGGGGAACAGCGCCAAGCCACGTGAGGGAGCTCCACACCCAAAGTAGATACGCTTGGGTGGGCATACGCATACGCAATCCTTTCGACTGGGCTCCTCATGAAGAAAAAGACAGGTCCCGAGGCTTTGATTTTATCCTCTTCAGCTTCTATTCCTCCAATTCCAACCTGCCTGGAGACCTTACCTATCGGGCACCTCCTTTCTGTTTGCGGCATACCTCCGACCGGGGAGTTGCATTGCGAATGACGACGGATCGAGCATTCACATGAGTTTTAGAAATACTGACATGCCAATCTTCCGATCCTGTGAAGTTTAAATTCCTACGCGACCACGCGATTTTCTGCTCGGGAATCTCCAACTCGCCGATCAAGCCCGAGCTTCCAGATACGAAGCCAAGGCCCGCACCGAGAAAGCCAAGCCACGCACTTGGAACGTGGGAATCTGCCCCGTCGCACCGAGTGCGCGTGGCTGTCGCAGTTTTTGCCAGGGGCGCAATCCAACCGGTGAGAAGCCGCCCATCATGCCAACCTTCCGAAGGGCGATAATCGCCGTCATCTGCCTGATCGCCTTCGTCGTCTTCCTCCGTCATTCGAGCCGAGACTCCGACGTACCCGGCGCGCCGGGCTACAGACCTGTTCAGGGGATTTATGAGGAGGAACAGGATGCATACGCGCAATCAAAGCTTCAAAAAGCCAGCGGGCGTGGCCAATTACCCCTCGGCGCGACACCGACCGCGCCACTACGCGAACGCCTCCGTTACCAGTTCCCCTACGATATGAGCAAAGGCTTCCCCGCATACATTTGGCAGACTTGGAAATACGATCCTACGTCGGAATATTTTGGTGATGAATTTCGTGGCACAGAGGCTAGTTGGACGAACCTGCACCCTGGATTCCATCACGAGGTTGTCACCGATGACACGCAGCGACATCTGATTCTATACCTCTACGGGTCCGTCCCCGATGTCTTCGAGGCATACGACTCTCTACCCCTACCCGTAATGAAAGCGGATTTCTTCCGATACCTGGTTCTTCTCGCACGCGGCGGTGTCTATAGTGATATCGACACATTGGCGCTGAAGCCAGCAGGATACTGGCTGCCTGAGGAGCTGGATCGGTCAACCGTGGGATTCATTGCTGGAATTGAGGCGGATCCCAACCGCCCAGATTGGCACGACTGGTACTCCCGTCGCATCCAATTCTGCCAATGGACCATCGTTTCGAAGCCCGGTCATCCCATTCTGCGTGACATGGTTGCTTACGTTACTGAGGAAACTCTGCGGATGAAGAAGGCTGGAATCCTCAAGGTGGGCAGTATGGACAAGACCGTTATGGAGTTTACGGGTCCTGGAGCTTGGACAGATGCTATCTTCCGCTACTTCAACAACCCGGAATACTTCAATATCCAGCCCGGAGACAATAACATCACATATGAAGATTTCACTGAGCAAACAACGGAGAGGAAGGTCGGCGATGTGGTTGTTTTACCAATTACGAGCTTCAGTCCTGGTGTTGGACAAATGGGAGCAGGTGAAGTTGATGACCCCATGGCTTTTGTGAAGCATAACTTTGATGGTATGTCCAATCCAATCTGACTGTCTTGTACATCCACGCATGACCAGATACTGACCTTCTATGTTCCAGGCTCGTGGAAAACGGATCCATCCCTGTGAAACATCCGGCGCCTTCTATTTTTTCTACGCCAACCAACCTCAGCACCTGATAATGGGTCCATGACATTTAACGTTCCTCTCTGGAGACTGCTTGCGCAGATTATCTTACCTTGGCAGGCTCGTTCAGCCTTATACCCCTTCCACCAGACTCGACTTTCTAGTCCAGCAACTGTGCAGGCAGAACTTGCTGTCACATAATGATCACCCGCATTACACCTCCAATATCCCTAAAATCTCCACCCTTGACTTCTCCAAACACCAAATTGCCTTTTGTCACTCCATTCCTATCGCATGCAGCTTTTCATCCGTTCGTGCATTCGCGACGACTACTCTTAGGCACCGACGGGTTTTCTTCCTTTGACATGCACGGCTCATGTTTCATGATTCCTCGCACATATGATTCCCATAATTGTTATTGCTTTTTCTGTTTCTTGTTCTATATCTATTTCGGTACGATAGCTAGATGGACTGGGAATTTTCTCGGTGAAATATATGATAGATGGGCCTTTTTATTTCTGGTGACTTCTTGTGTAATTTCTCGATTCGCGGGCGAGCTTGCAAGCCCTGGCATAAGAAAAGGAAATAGCGGCGCTTCAAAAGAATTTCAACCAACTTTCAGAGATATTCAATGGAAGGAGGTAGTAAGATCCCGGAAATTTTCATTCAGCGTATATGCACTTGTATGTCGATCAAGTAAAGTATTAAATATGAACAAGAAACCAAAAAGCCGCCATTCTTCGAAGAAAATCCTCGTTAAGTTGCGCTGAGTGTTCAGCCAGGTGCATTGTAGATTGCAAGTTGATTGGACCATATGGAGGAAAGCATTCCTGTCAATCAATCCATATCCCTAAGGTCAACATATATTGAAAATAAAGGGGAAAGAAAAGAAGCCAGAAATCAAGGTAGAAGAGACTTGTAGGGTATCAGGGTGAAGGAAGGTGGGTAGTGCAGAAGGGTCCGAGGGCTGACGTCAGACCTTTAGGTCATGGCGACGTGAGCTGGGTCCCTGCATATGATGAAACTATTATCCAGAGCAGGATTTGGATCGTCCCCCCCCCCCCCCCCCCACGTTTAGAGTGTGGGGGTAGGGACCAGAGAGTGGGAGAGTGAAGGGTGTTGATATGGCCTACTTCAAGGACCAAAGCTAGGCGAGGATATTCTCGAGCCCATATGGGATCCATACTCGAGGGCTGGCAGGACCCAGGCAGTTAATGCCAATGAGAAATGTTAAAACCAGCATAGTTGAAATGAGATGGCGAGCCAATTTGGTTCGGTCCGAAGGAATGTCAGAGGAAAGAGCCATGATCCCTTTGTATCTGAGACCCGTGTCGAAGAAGTTGTTGAAATAAAGCATGCTCAATTAAAGAAGACTTCTGTCCGAGGAATCATCAGAAATCACTGAACAGAGGCTCGAATTTCTTCTTCAGATCTTCGGTGTAGAGGTTCTGGTTTTTGGTGTCGATATCTGGGTAGTCTTCGAAATTACCGGCATCGGCGGGATGAGATACTCGGGGAATGATTGGTCCCTTAACTCGTTTGTAGAAGAGATCGTCCCAAGCGACCCCCGCGAAGAACGGGTGAGATTTCACGCGAGTCGAACCACCAGAGATATGGCCGAGTCGTTCCGAGGGGTTTGTTTTGCACAACAAACTGACGATATTCTGAGCTGCCGGGGGCATATTTGGTGGAAAACGTAGTCGGCCTTCCACAATTTGTTCGTAAATGCGCATAGGATTCTGATCCCAGAACGGAGGCTGTCCGACCAAGAACTCGTAGATGAGGATCCCCAGAGCCCACCAGTCCACTGCGAGTCCGTGTCCGCTATTATGGATGACCTCCGGAGCCAAATATTCGGGGGTTCCACAGAGAGTATAGGTTTCACGGTTATCCACTTGTTTCGCAAAACCGAAGTCTACGAGTTTGATATGTCCGTCCGCATCGAGGAGAATGTTCTCTGGCTTCAAGTCACGGTAGGCGACACCGTGGATATCATGCAGAAACTCAATGGTCATGGCAATTTCGGCCGCATATATCCTCGAGGTTTCTTCGTTGAACCGGCGCGAACGTCGAAGGTATGTGAAAATCTCGCCGCCAGGGCAAAAGTCCAACTGCGACTCGGATTAGCACCCTACAAAAACCGATATAAGAAAAGGCGGGCCCATACCAGCATGTACAAATTTTGTTCGTCCGAGAATGATGCCACGAGAGTTGTGATAAAAGGATGACCGACGACCGCCGCGAGAGATTTGCGCTCGTTGCGCACATGTTCGACCTGCTTCAACTTGATCACTGTTGCCAGCCAAATTAGCGCTGGATGCGTGCGGTCGAGAGATGATAGCGCACTCACCATCGGCCTTGCGAAGTATCTTCAGTGCGTAGACTTTATTCTTATCCTTCTGGTCCTTCAACCTTGCGAGCCATACTCGGGCGAAAGTACCTAGAAGCACCCAAAGAAAAGACTGTCAGATCGCAAGATACAAGTCGCGATAAGCCCACAGAGCGAAGGGAGGGTCCTGACCAGTGCCTAAAGTCTTCAAAAGAGCAAAATCATTCACATGTAAGTTTCTTGAGGAGATACATAATTGTTTCTCGTCCTGGCGCTCGGTGATGAGGAACGGGTTCAAGGCTCGAGCCGGAGCGCGGAAGGCCTGGACCAGCTTCTTCTCCGTCTGGTGGAGATCGTGGGTCCGCATATTGTTGGTATTGGGAGTAAAGTGACTGCCTTGCCCTTCAGAGGGTGTAGTATGCTCGATTGTCCCGGTTGCCATTGGAATGACCGAGCATCTCCGTTTCGTCGCGGTCGAGAGGAACGGAGAAAAAAAAAAGTATAGTCCACCACGTTAGCGCGCCACACCAGGTCGCGTCAGCAACGCAGCTTTGGATTCGGGAGCTCCTAAGTCAAACCAAGCAACATTTGCCAGTTTGAATCCCCAGGTGAAAAAGGGGAAATGGGGGTTTGAGCACAAGGCGCGGGGCAGAAGAGTTGTGAAAGGAAGTTCTGCCAGCTCTGACGTATCCCATGGGGCGGGGCTGGACGGGGAAGTACGGTGATAAATCGGAACCTTTTCGAGCTTACATTTGCTTTTTTTTGTTATCCGTCTTTTGACCTCCTAGTTGATAACATCGTGAGATATATATATAGGATCAGATGCAGTTACATGGTGTAAACTTAGCATGGTCCATGTCTATACTCGAATGCCTTTATATAGGTGGGCGGCACCACCTAGGCATACAAGTATTGCAGAACATCTTGAACCAGGTACAGTCCGAGGTAGTAGGTAGTAAAGGGGTTCATTTACCAGGTTCCAATCTATATGCGAACAAGGCTCTTCAATGGTTATAATACATCCCGAAAATAGAATAGATAGGAATAGAGTCCATGCGATTCCGAAGCCAGCTGGTCCGGATCTCGATCCTGGAGATTTGTGGCGCGCGGGCCTCCACCCCAGAAGAGCCATCGCATCCATTTTTGAGTTGGAACAAGAGACAGTAGAAAATGACGCGATCATATAATGCTGAGAAGCGAAGGCGCATGGAGTGGTTGCAAAGCAACAAAGCAATACACTCAAGATTTGGAGTTCAGAATCAAACCAACAATCAAACTGGCAGTCGCGTTAGCAGAGTCACTGGTGCGTTGTTTATAAATTTATCTGATCCAGAACATACCCGTACAGACCGAGAACTTCGCCGAAAATAAGAATCAAGATCATGCCTACGTAGACACGAGACTGTTGCATGTATGCCCGAACACCCTGAGACGGTCGTTAGCACCAAGCAGATTCCACAGAAGGCTTCGCATCCTCACCGCATCACCGACAATACCGATCGTATATCCGGCGGCCAAACCCGAGAGACCGACTGATAATCCAGCAGCCAAATGCAAGATCGACCTGTAACCACACTATTAGCTTCCGATCTGGGAACACCGTCGTTGTCCAACCTACGCGTATAAGCTTGTGTTCGCCTCCGGTTGACATGCTCCTGCGATAAGGACCGCAATAACGAGGCCATAGACTGCGATAATACCTGACATGACGACGGGGATGAGGGACTGAAAAAATCCGAGTCAGTAAGTTTAATATATGTCCAGGAAGTCACATTACTTGCCTTCATGATCAAGTCCGGTCGGAATGAACCCACACCGGCAATACCGATGCCAGACTTTGCTGTGCCATATGCTGCTCCTGCGCCTGTTGGGGGTAAGCTGTGAGTCTCCGATCATATCAGGTCATGTGTCGAGCCACGTACATCCGAAGATCATCTTGCAAGGGGAGCTGTTAGCGACTTTGAACGTTTCGATTATCTGATAGGACTCACTGCAGAAGCAATTCCGGCCTAAAAGAGAACATTGTTAGTATATTGTTTCTCTAGCTCAAAGCTCAGAGTCCGCAGCTCGAAGCTCCTGTAGGTTGGGCGACTCACGAAGGAGAGGAACGGGGCGAAGTTGGGCGCAAGCTCGCTTTCGGCCATGATGGGTAGGATTGGCGAAACCAACAGAGGATAAGGGAGAAACGATGAAGCCTCGTCGAGAAGAGACTAGAATGGGGGGTGGAAGAGATAGGGAGAGGTCGTTAGTACTTGCGGTTGCTGTTTGGTGTTGGTTTGTCACTTTTGGTCCGCCGTAGCCACTCTCGCGCTTCCCCCCTCGGTGTGACCGACCGTGACATTACCTTACCGCCTGATGAGGATCAGCTCCTCCTTAACTCCGCCTATCTCCTGTACAATTCCCCATAAACGGGTACGAGGGGTAATTTCATTACACAATACCGGCCGTCCACCTTCAACCTCGATCCTCTCTCTCCTGGTCCCTCCATAACCCCCCAGTTCTATCGCCAGTTTCAACACTCCTCTTTCCCCCCACCCCCCTCACCTCTCCTCTCCGGCTCTTGGTGGCTTGTAACTGGAGGATGCTGAGGGTATGATATTCCAAGGAGCCCTGACTTTGTTGCGCTCACGGCTCCTGGCGCTCTCCGGCTATTGAATCTCGCCATTCTCAATTCAATCCCAATCTCTAGAAAACGACTGAAGGGTAGCGATGGCATATTAAAGATCCTCTTTTTCCACAGAAATCACAGCTCCTATCAGTTCGGATCAAAACCATTGTTCCCAGGGGAATTGCCATTTTCGTTCACTTGTCCTTCCGTTGTCTACGATCTTGAATCAGCCACTCTTGCGACGCCTTGAACGCTCTCCACGATCGACTCGGATATCACCCCTCATCCCCTAATTCGAAACCCCCTCGCCGCCCTCATTTTATTGCCATCCTGGCATCGACATCGTTTCCGAAAATCTAGATCGGATCTACTCGACTCAGTATCATTCTCGGGGGAACATGGCGGATTTGGGGGCCCAGCGTAACCGGAACTACCGGCCTTATGGCGCGGCCTCATCCACACAGCGAGATGCTGCGTATTCCGACATCTTTGGCGGGGCGCCGCCACCAGGCCGTTCCCAGACTATGACCTCGCAGACTCCCCAGCTCCCTCAGGGTCGTGCTCACACTATGTCGTCGCAAGTGCCGCAGCCACAATTCCACCGGCCGCCGCCCCCGCCAACACGACAAATGCCCAACGGATATGGACCGCCACAAACTTCTCCAGTGAATGGTTACGCCCCAGCGCCGCCTTCCGGGGGAGGTTACCAGGCATACAATCCAACGGGTGCGACAATGAGTTCCCAGCCGCCGCGACCGTATCCGGGACGCCCCGTATACCCTCGACCCCATCGCGTGGACTCTAGACAAGGACCGGGTACCCCCCAGTACCCGGATCCTCGTGATTTCAGTCGCCCTATGCCTCCACCTGCCTTGAACTCCGATGCGGGAAGATCACGCTCGATGGCCAAATTGAGTGGACCATTCCAACAGGCCCCGCCCACGCCGAGCAATTTCAATCACACTTCGGCGATCGCTTCTCGCCGGGAGCCGTACCATGCTGGTGCCCCAACAATGACTCAACTAGGCCGACCGGTCCCAGAAAGACATGCTAATGAGCGAGCCATGTCGATGACCAGCTACGCATCGGCGCCGGATCACACCCACATCATGGGCAGTGGTCGACAAATTCCCCATCGACGACCACCATCTGGCCATGAGCAAACAGCTCCTGCCAGATTCGATTCCATGCCTACGAATGTCGGCGAAGGATATGTCAATGCTCGCCCGCCCAGTGATGCTTCAACACGATCTCGTACTATGTCGATGGCGTCGACCATTATCCCGGATCGCACGATGAGCGTCCAGAGCCAGTCAACGCAAAAGTCTGGGCCGTTGCTTGTCACAAGTGGCTCGCAGCGCAGAGTTCCCGTAGTCTACCCCGCTCTGCTTTCTCGGGTCGCCGATGTATTCAGGGAGAAGGTCTCGCTCGGTGAACGCCATAAGAACGGCCTGTCGTATCAGAATGCTTTCTCCGGTACTGATGCCGTAGACTTGATTGGTTCTATCGTCAGAACAAACGATCGCAACCTTGCTCTTCTATTGGGTCGAGCACTGGATGCTCAGAAATTCTTCCACGACGTCACTTATGATCACCGTCTTCGAGACGCTCCCGGTGAGGTATATCAATTTAAGGAGACTATGGGAGAGGACACTCTCAGCTCGGAGGTCAACGGCGTGTTCACTCTACTCACTGAATGCTACTCTCCAACCTGTAACCGAGACAGTCTCTGCTATTCTATCGCCTGTCCACGGCGACTGGAACAGCAGGCCAGGTTGAACCTGAAGCCTCAGCCGGTACTGAGAACCTCGGGCTCCAAAGGCAGCCTGCACATCGACGATGACGATGATAATGACAATCAGAAACTTTGGATCAACATGGTTCCGAAGGAGGTTTCTGATGCTTTGGATGACCGTGAGAAGAAACGGCAAGAAATTATTTTTGAGATTATGTATACCGAACGCGATTTCGTCAAGGATCTTGAATACTTACGGGACTTCTGGATGCGTCCCCTGCGTGCCGCAGGTCCGAACCAGACCTCCCCCATTCCCGAGCATCGACGAGAAAAGTTCATTCGAACTGTGTTTGGAAATTGCTTGGAAGTTTTGAAGGTCAATGGGGGTCTGTGTGAAGCCTTGAACACTCGGCAGAAGGAAAGCCAAATTGTTCAGACTGTTGGTGATATTTTCCTTCAGCATGTGCCCCGATTCGACCCTTTCATTAAGTATGGTGCCAATCAACTCTACGGAAAGTATGAGTTTGAGAAGGAGAAGGCATCAAATCAGCCATTTTCCAAATTCGTTGATGATACTGAGCGGCTGAAGGAGTCTCGAAAGCTGGAGTTGAATGGTTACCTCACCAAGCCCACAACCCGTCTGGCCCGATACCCCCTTCTTCTCGAGTCGGTACTGAAGCATACTGCGGATGACAACCCGGACAAGAAAGACATCCCTGAGGCGGTGAAGATGATAAAGAGTTTCCTGTCTCGTGTCAACACCGAGAGTGGCAAGGCTGAAAATCACTTCAACTTGGTGCAGTTAAATGCTGCCCTAAAGTTCGGCCCAGGCGACTATGTGGATCTGAAGCTCACCGAAGAAAATCGTCAAATGCTCTCCAAAATGGCGTTCAAGAAGACCACTGCTGAGAGCTCAGAAGTAACCGCCTATCTCTTCGATCATGCGGTCCTTCTTGTTCGCATCAAGATTGTGAACAAGCGGGAAGAATACCGAGTTTATAAGAAGCCTATTCCCCTTGAACTGTTGGTGATTGCTCAAATGGATGAAGTTGTTCCACGCCTGGGAATTGCGAAGAGACCCTCATCCAGCCTTTTGCCCAACAAAGCCGCGCCAAATCCCCCTCCGGCCAAAGATGGTGGACTGCCAATCACATTCAGACATCTTGGTAAGGGAGGCTACGAACAGACACTGTATGCCACTTCTCCAACCCAGAGACGTAAGTTCATCGAAATGGTGGAAGAGCAACAGAGGAAGCTTTGGGAGCGAAATAGCAATTTCTACAACAAGACAGTCCTCTGCGAGAATTTCTTCTCTGCTATCAACCGTGTCAATTGTCTTGTCCCAGTTGGTAAGTATATACTTGACGCAATTATCGTGCCTTGCTAATGATCCTATAGATGGAGGTCGGAAGTTGGTCTATGGTACTGACAGTGGTATTTACCTGTCTGATCGCTGGCCTAAGGACAAGTCAGCCAAACCTCGTCGGGTCTTGGAGGCGAGTCAGGTTACGCAAATCGATATTTTGGAAGAGTACCAGTTGCTCCTGGTATTGGCGAACAAGACTCTATCATCTTACCCTATGGAGGCTCTTGAGTTAACAGAGGGTCAGAATGCCATGGCCAAGCGTCCGAAGAAAATCCAGGGTCATGCGAACTTCTTCAAAGCAGGTATCGGTCTTGGACGGCATCTTGTTTGCTCGGTGAAGACATCAGCTTTGTCTAGCACTATCAAGGTTTACGAGCCAATGGACAACCTGGCAAAGGGAAAGAAGAAGTCTGCTGTGAGCAAAATGTTCCAGAGTGGGCAGGATACATTGAAGCCATTCAAGGAATATTACATCCCAGCTGAATCGTCTTCAATTCACTTCTTGCGTTCAACATTATGTGTTGGTTGTGCTCGAGGCTTTGAGGTCGTTAGTCTCGAAACCACTGAGACCCAGTCTCTGTTGGATCAGGCTGATACTTCTCTTGACTTTGTTGCACGTAAAGAAAATGTGAAGCCCATTCACATTGAACGCATGAATGGAGAGTTCCTTCTGAACTACAGCGATTTCTCATTCTTTGTCAATCGCAATGGATGGCGAGCTCGTCCAGACTGGAGGATCTCATGGGAGGGAAACCCGAACGCATTCGCTCTATCTTACCCGTACATTCTGGCATTTGAGCCCAACTTCGTTGAGATTCGACATGTTGAAACAAGTGAACTGATTCACATAATGACTGGAAGAAACATCCGCATGCTGCATTCTTCCACCCGAGAGGTACGCTGTCTTCAAAAAGCGCTGGTATTATCGCTTACTAATGTTTCAAATCTAGATCATCTATGCATATGAAGACGAGAAGGGTGAGGATGTGGTTGCTAGCCTGGACTTCTGGAGCAAGCCTCAACAGGTTTAATTCTAGCTGCTCACACAACAACCCCCTTAAGAACGTTTCAAACGTTCTTCCTCCCCTCGCTACTTCTATCCTCTTTCATTGAAGGGTTAGCATTCTGGGAATCCCGGATTCTGGACTATTCGCTTGGGATAGATATCTTTGGACTATCACAACCAAGCAGCATTCAAGCCAAAGCAGCTGTCCTGCTCTGAATTTACAGGTCCCTCGACGTCTCCATGATCTTGCACCTTTCGGGCCTACCCACTATGTCTGTGTATCTCGTGTTTTATCTCATTCCGGGCAATCACTCCCTGTCAGTGTCCTCTGTGATGTATACTAGGTCTTGACAAGTGTCCGGTCCACCCTTTCACCTTCCATCAACACTACTTCCTCTCAACCTCGATTTCTCAAAAGAACCTCAGTAAGAGTGTTCCTCTCTTGTCTCGTTTTCGTGTGTACAATGGAGCGCAAATACCACTTCTTGCGTGTCTGCTTTTCTCTTTTCGCCTCGCTGTTTCTTTTTCCTACATTTTCTGCATCTTCTCATTCTTCGTCTTTTCTTAAAATTTTATTCATTTCTTTCACCCCTTTTTATCTCAGTGTTTCTCGCTTTCTGTGTTTCGCATGGCCTGCGTGATGACCAGGTCTATTTCTCTTTCAAATCTTTCAACTAGCTTGTTCTCTTCCATCCATTACCTTTCTTGTAATGTTGATGGTAGCACTGCAGTGGAGGGGAAGTGAGAACCATCGGCGACCCCAGCCAAGTGGTTGAAAGCAAGTACCTAGGTAAATTGTATCTAGGTAGACACCTATGTATATAGAATGCCCACTAGATTTATGAGTGACTGTTTTAATCCCATGTAATCAATCCCGAAATTGGGGACTCAGCCACCCATAGCCAAAAGAGCAGTCTTCTACCCGTTTATATCATGAAATCAATATATCAGCTAGCTTTTCTTTGATTGACTGCTCAGATGCTTATGATATGATTTCCATTGCCTTTTTCCAAGGTTTCTCCTACTCTGTAAGAACACATACAATAATCACATCTGGCAGTCTGTCTCCATGCATGATTCCATCGCCTACCGCTCAAGTTTCATTTGTCTCAATTTCATTTTCTACTTGACAGCATTGAATTTCAATGTGATCCGCGTTTCATTGCCTGATATGCCACATTAAGCTACTAGCTGCACGGAATGTCGAAACTATGTGGTGTCTGGATCAAGTCTCGGGGCGCAGAACAATTGAAGGTTCTTTGATTGACGGATTTTCTACACGCAGACCATTCCAAAAATGAAGTGGACGTTGTACATAAATGAGCACGACTTCAGGAATGGATCGGTGGTAAAGCTACAGACCGGGAAGACTCGGGATCGACTACAAAACAGTCCAATTAGTCGTCCTGAAGACGCTCAGAGATAGATATTGCGTACATGAATACGTAGACAGTGCCCGATTTCTCGCCTTACAATCCCCTTTTGTACTGTATCTATCATATTGTTTTACTATAAATAGACTCCACTTTACTGTGGATCCCCAAGCTTTATCCTTGGTTCGCTGTAGACCCGGATCCGGTCAGATGATTGGCCTGAAATAGACCCACTGGAGGACAAGAATGAGTGTGAGATGTGACCCATGGAGTAATCTTATACAGTGCAGCATGCCTCTCTCCAAATAGCGGACCATTGAGTAAGTTTCTGCCATGGCAATACCTGCATAAAAACCCTATTTTCCCCCTTCAGGGCTGTAGCTAGAGATCCTTGAGCTAGACAAGAAATCAAGACCAGGATACTTTTCTCATTCACTACCAAGCTAGGACAGATAAAAAGGAAGATAGAGAGAACTGCTCAGGACAACACGAAACGCGAAAGGAAGAGGGAATCTGCGCTGCGGACTTTAGACAAGGTGCCAGGGGCGATGATAAATTGAAACAGGAAGAGATGAACCCCCCAGGGGCAAATAGAAGAGCTGGGGGCATTAGAAAAGAGGGGAGGGGAGGATGACAGAAATTCGGACTCCATGGATGAAGTGGGCAGAGGTAGCAAGAAACAGGATAAGGAAAGATGATTTTCTTTCTTCGGACACCCAACAGTGAGATCGAGACTTGAGGGGGTATAAATCAAATGAGTCGTTGATGAGTTGATATTCAGGGACTGAAAGTGCCCATCGTCGAAAGCTGGGGAGTTGCACACTATGTTGGGGATTTTGCCCATCTCCGCAGAGACATCGGGAAGAAAGAGAAAAAAGTAAAAGAAAACAAGAAAAAAAGCTATTAACGTGAATAAACAGTCAATATTATCCCCATAAACAAAAACCAACTTCGTGCCACGAAGTTCATGATTTTGGCACAAACGGTATCACTTTGCGAACCGGCGCCCCGCTGAAAAAAGCCGCATCGTCGACAGGGTATATCTAGGCCTCTCCATTGGCTTCGCTGACATTGCTCTGGCTGGCCTCGCGCGCCATGCGAGCCTCGATCTCCCGCAGCTGGCTCTCGCGAGCCAGCAGCTCCTGCCGCTTCTCGGCAATCTCGCGCTGCACCTTGATCTCGATTTCGCGCAGCTTCTCCTCCTCGCGACGGAGTTGCTCCTCCTTGAGACGGACGGACTGGGAGGCAAGGTCCTCGGGGTTCATAGAGGAATCGTGGAGGCTGCAGAGGGGTTAGCATTATATAATAAACGATGAAGGGAAGTAACGTACCCAGAAGCACTGTCCACACTCTTGCTGAGCTTCTCCGTACGGTAGTTCTCATAGAGGAAGTCGTGGGTAATCTCCTTCAGATCGGCCAAATGGCTGTGAAGAAGAGCACTGCGGATAGCGAGGAAGTCCGAGTGCCGAGGGTTCTCAACCTCGACCACACCCCATGGGTACTGACGGGCGCGGACCTTGCGGTTGTCAATCTCAACGAAATCTTCCGAGCCGACGATGGCGAAAGGCATCAGGCCACGGAGCTCAGCGTTCTCCTCAACGGTATCCTCATCATCCTCCTCAACATCATAAGGGAAGTTGTAGACGGGGATGCGGTAGTGTTCAATATCCTCCATAATCAACTTCTTCGACTCGGCCAATTCTGCGGGGGTAAGGGAGTCGGCCTTTCCAATGACGGGGATGACGTTAACACGGGGAGACAGGCGCTTCATCAATTCGATGTCGAGCTCACGAAGACCGTGTCCAGTGGGGGTAATGAAGTACAGCAGGACGTGCACACGGTTGTCTCTGAAGCGGGGGTTACGCTTAATTCGGGACTCTTCCGCAAGAATGTCATCATATTGGCGCTCGAGGTAACCAACAATCTCGCCGAAGCTGCAGGAACCAGTTAGCGGGTGCGGGGCCGGGGTAGTTGTTAGGAGACATGCCTGGCCTCGTTGTCAATCTGGTCACCGAAACCGGGGGTATCAACAATGGTCAGAGAGATACGGGTACCCTCCTCATCCAATTCAAGCTCTGTTTTATGGTAACGATGATTAGATCAGCGGATCCCACGACCATTCCTTTATAGCGACGAGTCGGGATACTCACCGACAGTGACGGGCTTGATGCGGACGCCCTCCTCCAAATGAGCGTTCTCCGCATCATCGGCATCCTTGCCCTCTAGAACTTGCTTGCCACAGAGAGTGTTGACAAAGGTTGTGCGACCTACAAGAGGAACAATCGTCAGTTGACAATCGCCGAAATTGAGTTCGGGGAAAGGGTTGCAAGCATACCAGTTCCGCTAGCACCGCACACCATCAAACAGAACTGAATTCCCTTCTTGACATTCTTCTTGCGACGGATCTTCATCTGCCCACGGCGGGGACTCGAGTCAGCTTTGGATATGCAATTATTTTTCCCATCGGGCGCGGAGAGATATGGGGACCTCCCCCATTGGACTCGGGGTCATGAGAAATAAAAGGGGAAACACATACCGCGTTGAGAGCCGACGACATTGTGGGCTAAGGAGGAACTGGAAAAGAACGAGAGAAACAGATAAATTGGGGGGTATCCAAAGCAAGGAAGAAGAGAAAGGGAAAGGGTGAAACTCTCCTGAAGTTCTGGGTAGTTTAAGTCGTAGGGGGGAAGGAAAGACAGTTCGTGTTTCCCCCTTTCCCTTTGGGTGCGGGCCAATCACGGGACGCCCTCTTTCTCCAGCTTGTACTTCCAACTACCTGTCATATACTATATTCAAATCAATTATAGCTGTTTTCTTAAATCATATGGTATCTATAGCTCAATCAATTCACCTCCAACGCTTCTACAATTTTCTTAATTAGTCATTGTGTTCACCATCATCGAATATCAATACTCAGGGGTTCCTAGTCATGGTGGGTCGCTCCTGGCCGCCGGAGCATTACCTAAGCCATCCGCCTGAGGCAACCGTGGATCTCTTTTTTGGGTTTTTTGCTATCGCTACGATAAGTATGGAGCTGCCCGCATCTTGGTCTTATCGCTGATCCGCACTTGAGCTTCCCCCATCTTCAACCCCAGCTTCTTACCCTAAATCACGACACAGCACAGGCTTCACAGCGCTTGACTTACGTCATGCTGTTGCGATCATGAATACCCGTCAAGTCATCGATGAGTCCGTTGGGCCCTACTCACTATCCGCCACTTTCAACCATGACAGCAGTTGCTTCTCCGTGGGCTTGGAGACAGGTTTCTGCGGTAAGACAGAATTAGAAAGCTTAAAATAGCTTTCTTAAGATATTCCGAGCTACTAGAAGCTGGGGAGGAAATACTTCGAGACTAACATTCATCCTATAGTGTTCAATGCAAATCCTTGTGAGCTCAAAGTCTCCCGCGGTAAGGTCGTCCAGTACCTCAACTTGAAGCTCCTACCACTGACATGGGATCATCTCTTCTTCAGACTTCAATGCTGGTATTGGTGTAGTCGAGATGCTCGGCCAGTCAAATTATCTTGCCATCGTCGGTGGCGGACGAACCCCCAAGTTCCCCCAGAACAAGGTAAGCTCTGCCGGTTTACCCTTCCACTAGGTTTCTAAATTAATTCGCTGCTGCCGCAGCTCATTATTTGGGACGATGCGAAACAAAAAGCCGCCATTACCCTCGAGTTTCGCACTTCCGTCCTTGGCGTCCGCCTATCCAAGTCTCGAATCGTCGTCGCATTGTTGAACAGTATCCACGTATTTGCTTTCTCAACTCCCCCACAGAAGCTATCTGTATTTGAAACCTCCGACAACCCACTGGGTTTGGCTTGCCTGGGCCAAAAGGTTCTTGCTTTCCCTGGCCGGTCCCCTGGGCAGGTACAATTAATAGAGCTGGAAACAGGAAATATCAGCATTATACCGGCACACAGCTCTGCATTAAGGGCAATGGCTCTAAGCCCAGATGGAGAGGTGCTGGCGACGGCCAGTGAAACCGTGAGATATCCCTTGCAACTCCAGTCATTAGTTAGTTCCTGACGTTCTACTAGGGTACTTTGATTCGAGTATTTTCAGCAGCAAATTGTACGAAATTGGCCGAGCTTCGCCGGGGTGTAGACCACGCAGTGATATTCTCTTTATCTTTTTCACCGTCTAACATTCTCCTTGCTGTAACATCCGACAAATCTACCCTACACGTTTTCGATGTACCCCATCCAACTCACGTTGGACGTCCTAGCCAGTCTCCAGCATCTGCAACAGAGGAGGGCTCAAATCAGAAGTGGGGAATCTTAAGCAAATTGCCCCTCATGCCACGAGTGTTCTCGGACGTGTACTCGTTCTCCAGTGCGCATTTCGAGATGGGCGATGAAGCAATTCCAGGATCCCCATCCGCGCCAGGACTAGGTTCATCTTTGGGCCGACCACCTAAAGGCGTCATAGGCTGGCAGGATGACCAGACCATTTTGGTGATTGGCTCGGGTAGAGAAGGCCGTTGGGAGAAGTTCATTCTTCGAGATGGTGAAGATGGAAGGCGATATTGTATCAGAGATGGGTGGAAAAGATATCTTGGCGGGTGAAGACGAGAAGGAATGGTGATTTCAGATCTCTTGCGCATTTTCCGGATTGTAAATAATTGATGCCCGTGAAATCCACGCACACTCGGACTGAAGGGACCAATGTGCTTTTGGGCCTTCAGCCTCGAACCACGGAATAATGCGACGGGGGCCAATCTAGAGATTCTTTTGACGATACTTCGGCCGCAACCTAGTATAGGATCACAGGAATGCGACAAATCGCATTCAGCGGCGATCATCCCGGTCTCGGTCACTCCGATGTCTTCGTGACTCGGGTGAGCGTGATCTCTTTGGCGTCCGATCTCTTCTGGACCTTTCCTTTGATCGACGCCGTGGCATTCTCTCACGGGCTGGCGAGCGATCACCGCGATCGCGATCAGATCGAGACATGACTGGTGTTCGATCTCTTTGGGATTCTCTCTCACGATCCGTCGATCGGCGCCGGGTCCTTTCTCGACCAGGAGAACGATCATCTCGGTTTCTACGCTCGCGAGACCGATGTCGCCGACTGTGTCGGCTTGACCGTTCCCTGCTATCCCCTCGTCGACGTGATGAATTTTTCTCACTGCTCTTGTACTTCTCGACTGCACGCGCAACCTCTTCCTTCTTTTCCTCGATGAGAAATTCTTTCATCGGATCTTCATCGTCATGGTTTTGAATCAGTTCCTGTAATTCCCTTTCCTCCTTCAACATCGGCCTTCTCTCCTCGTGATCTGCATCGCCAGATCCTCGGTGTCGGTCGCTTGACTTCTCTCCTTTGCTCTCAATGGTTGGCGCATCGCCCATCAGCTTTGCGACATTATCCACCTCTTCCTCATCGTCGCGTCGCTTATAACGAGTATGATCCACTCGAAGCATCCGACCAAGAACTGTCGAGCCGCCTAGGTTATCCACTGCAAGGTCGGTGCTGCGCTGGTCCTCGTATTTGAGAAACGCGAAGCCTTTGCTCTTGCCAGTTTCCTTGTCGCGGATCAGGTTGACATAGACCGGTTCGCCATACTGCGAGCAAATTGTAACGACATCGCCTTCTGTCAAATCGAATGGAAGTCCGCCAATGTAGATATATGCGGTGTCACGGTAGTCCGCATGCCATGATGCCTCTGGTGGCCTAGACAAGAACTGAATTAGCTTTCAGAACAGGGAGGAAAAGACAAAAATGCGACATCTAGCTAGACGTACACGGCATGTTCCAGCTCGCGCTTATTGAGCTGTTGCACCTGGCGGATAGAATTCATGTTGGGTGGTTGAGGTAGTCAAAGAGGAACCTTAAGCTTTGTGAGGAAGAAAAGGGTTCCACCCGGAGCATCTGCGGAACCGTAAAATCGCCAATTGTTTACTCACGCAGGAACTCCCTTTCCCCAACCACTGTGACGTCTTTGTCTCGAGGTGCTCTTTGTGGACTTCAATTATTACCTTTTGAAATACTTTCCCGTAAACGCGGATCTCGTCTACCGCGGCCTAGAGTCAATATCGGTCCCATCCCCACTTCCATATTCCCCTGACCGCGTTCTGCTTCGATCTTCCCTCCGCCCCCGACTCCGACTCTTTTTGAACGCGCCCCGCTAGACACCCGTACACCATTTTCCACCAGTTGGAATGTTACATGCTCTGTGAGGCATGGTGGGACTAGACCAGAGGATGTCCTCAAGTCCGAATCGTGGGTCCAAGGCGCCCGGGACCAATAGTCGCCCAACCAGCAAGGATGGCTCGAAGAAAAACATTTGGTCCTCGCTACTCGATGGCGTCGCCAATGGCAAGCGCCTACCTGAAAAGAACCTATTAATTCTCGGTACGTGATTCTAAAAGGCCTGCGGTCTTGGGTGGAGGGGCGATCAAAGCTTTTGCTTCGCGTGCTTGGAACATGGAAGCTGACTATAAGATGTAAAGGAGGTACACCTGAAAGCCAGAGAGAATTTCTGGAGAGTTTCTCAGCGGATACCTCGGCTGACCCGAACTTGGTGAATGGAAAAAGAAAGGGAAAGACGCCGCCTATCGCCAATCAATTTGCACTTGGATACACATATCGAGATGTTCTTGATGCTGATCAAGAAGGTATGTACACCTATGATAGAGCTTTGCCGGACTTGAAAGAGCTAACTTTCGGTTAAGATACGCTGGCGCGCGTCTCGGCTTACCTCCTATCTGAACCCTGTCCATCATTTGCACCTCTTCTCAAACCTCTCCTGACCCCTCAATCTGTGCCGGAAACCTTAGTTGTCATTCTTATGGACTGGTCGGATCCGTGGACATGGATTCGGCGATTAAGAGAATGGGTTCGCCTGCTCCGCTCTGTCCTAGTTTCCCTCGATGACGATACAAAGATTGTGATGGAAGAGACCATGACGGAGTGGCGCGATCGTAAAAGAGGAATGGATGCCAGTGCGGGTGCCGCAGGAAGCTTGCCAAATTCTGGAGGCCCAGTCACAATACCCTTGGGACCTGGTGAATGGGATGAAGGGCTGGGGATCCCGATGTGTGTGGTTTGCCAAGGTGTATGTGGACTAAATATTGACTTCTATGACATTCCAGGATACTTGCTAATTTACTTCTATCTATACAGGCGAATAACATCGAGAAACTGGAGAAAGATCATGGCTGGCATGAAGAACAATTTGATTTCATTCTTCAATTCCTGAGAACAATCTTGTTGAAGCGTGGGTACCTCCAGGATTCCATTTATTTTTCGATTGATCTAACTCTAGACAGACGGCGCATCTCTCATTTATACAACACCTTTCCATGCGAACTCATTGCAAAGCCTAATTCATTCATCCTTGGGTATACATTCCCTCTTGAAACGACAGTCATTAAAACATAATGTGATCGATCGCGATAAGATTCTCGTCCCCGCCAACTGGGACTCATGGGGCAAGATTCGGATTATCCGCGAAGGTTTCGACATGGAAGGAGCCTCAACTGCCTGGTCAATTGAGATCCAAGATCCTCCCGAGCCTCTTGGCCAGCATACCGATGCCCACCAAGTAAACGAGGAAGAGGACGGCACAAGTGCCGTCACAGTGTTCGAGCAGACCATCAAAGATCCCAAGCGTGACACAACCATCGCCCATCCGAGCGCTTCAGGCAATGGGACTAAAATTGAAGTCGAGACTTCTGATTTACAAGGATTCCTTACACAACAACTTGACATGCTCGAACAGCTCAAGGCCAAGGATGAGAAGGACCGTGCGAATGAGCCAGTACCAACTTTGGAGATGTCACCAATGGATGACCAGGGCCGAGTCAATGAGCACATCGGTCCAGTCCAGTTTAATATGGGTGGCATCCAGGTAGACGCAGATGATATGCTGAAGAAGCTGCGGGTAAGTTCTCAACATTCGCCTCATTCCCATCGAAATGCCTTACTAACGCACTCACAGGACCGCGAAGCCAGTCGCGCGCAACGAAAAGAGAGCGTTCCAAACCCAGGCGACGAGAAGGCCCACAACCAAGCCCTGGCAAACTTCTTCGCCGGTCTCGTCAAGAAACCCGGTAGCAGTCCTCGTGGAAGCCCGTCCCAGTAGTCCTCTTTCTCAACTTTGAATATTCCCTGGGTTGTATTCTAGTTCTCCGAGCGTACATATTGTTTGTGTTCATGCGGTGGAGTGGGTTAGGCGCGTCGGCCTTGGGTGACGGCATAAATTCCGATATAGGTAGAGGATTCGGGTTGTGGGAAAGGCCTGTTCATAGTTTTCTTTTCCTGAGATTCCAATGGCTTTCTGCGGGGTGTTAGATAATGATACCAATATGAAATCGTTTCAAGTTCAATCTACTTGATGTTTATTTACCAGTATTCCAGCTTACGATGCACTACTTGGTCCCTACATCCCTACTAGCCGACTACTCTATGAACAGCTTTCCACGTACGGGAAGAGTACTTCCGATGAGGAGATTCATAATTAAAGACCAAGCTGGGTTAGTCAAGCAGCGCGTTGACGGTATTAGGTAAGGCGCAGTGTTCAAGATTCAGAATAGGTATATTATCGAGAACATACTCAGGTATCTACTTGGTCACACCAGTCTACTCCGGAATGTGAAGATGACTAAAGTATGATGCTCAGGGTTGAGTTATTAGAGTCGATCTCCGCCTAAATGAGGCGTTATCTTGCATGTTGACTTGAATCAAGTGAGGTGGTATGTATGTCCTTGAATATGAGATGGCATTCTGTGTGAGTTACAATTACTGCATGACACCATATGTGGTTGGTGAGGGCGTTCAACTAATTTTGTGATGCCCAATCGAAGGGCTTCATTCGATAATGAAGAACCAGGCGCCGAATGCTGAAAGCCTTAGAAGGCAAGAAACAAGGAAAGAAAAACGAGGCAGACAGAGCCCTCAAGACCACAAAGCTCACACCCTCTCCTTCAATCTCTTGTCGACTTCATACTTCGTGGGCTGCTCAGTGCCCGGGTTTTTCGAAGGCCCCATCAAAGTTCTAGTAAAGTTACTGGAGATCTTCACCCGCACAGTCAGTTCCCAAGTTTCCATGCATGAGGTGTGAAACACACCGCCGCCACCTGGCTTGCGGTCTCCGTGGGTCGGCTTCCAGCTGGCCATATTCCAATTTACAGTAACAGTTTAGGTATTGGTTGTCGAGATTATTGACATACTGTTTCAGCTCGGCTGCATCATTCGTTGTATTGCGTTTCTTTCCTTTCCATTCCCGTATTGAAAACATAGTAAGCCCTACACTATGGTGAGTGTGGTGTCGAACTACTGATCCCCACGAAATATATCCATGGATATGTAACTTCCAAAGTTCCATATTTTTGGTGCGTAGGCTAGACCAGATCTGCAGACTACTTAAGCCCCATCTCCCGATCTCTCAATCCTTTCCTTCCTGTTATACCCACTCCAATTGGTGTAATGGACGCCCAGGATGACTATAGTGAAATGATGATAATAAAAATGTATAAATGACTTTAAAATATTGTTCTAAAAACACAGGATATACCAGAAAGTATGTAGCAATAGTACATTCAAGCACAAAACTTTTAGTTTTGGCCAAAGGCTTCAGAGCCTCAACGTCTACCAGTTCTCCCACACGGCAGCAGGGATAACCTTCCTCATGATCTCCCAGTGCTCCAGCGCTGCCCGATCCTGGAATTTGTACAGCCGGCCAACCTCCTTGTCCACAAGGAGACGTCTGCCGCCCTTAGGAACAGTGTCGAACAAAGAGAAATCGATCTCATGTCTCGGGACGAGATAGCTTTCACGCGACTTGCTGCCCAGGAAATCGGCCGAGGTTGGCTCACGGAATTGCAACTGTGAGTCTTTGCTCTTTTTACAGAAGAGAACCATGTTAGTAAAGTCGGAGGTCGAGTCATCTTGGTTCGCTTCTGATTCACGGAAGATGCGACAAGACGGAAAAACGGCTCTGATGGTGCGGACGACCAGGCCTGTGGGGTATATGGTGATGTCACTGGCGTAATTCTGAAATTGATCAAGTTAGAAAAATCCGGGGGTTGAGGGGAGCGTCATGGGAATCGATTGAACGTACAATAGCAATAACACCATCATCCTTAAGCAGGGAGTGCAGATCCTTCAAGAATTCCCAGGTGAAGAGTTCCGCTGGCTCGGCACCGCCGGTGAAAACATCATGGACAATGTAATCATATTGCTTGGAAGCCTTCTGTGCTTTCTTGACGAATGTGGTGGCATCCTCAATGGCTGCAACGTGGTTGGGGGCCAGATTGAAGTATTCAGTTGCAAACTTGTGCACAACAGGATCGATTTCAACAATAGTAGTGTCAATTCCGTGCTTCATCAAGGCTGACGGAGTGGTACCAATTCCAAGGCCACTATTATAGGTTAGTCATCAGGATTTATCAATGCGGCGGGAGAACTTACATCACCAAGGCTTTGCTTTCAGCATCCACACGCTGAATACCGTTATCGGGTTCAACTAGTCGGACAGCTTCAAGCATAGCGAAGACTGCATAGATCGGGTCCTCCACCTGGGGGTGGTACCCGGCAATAGACTTTGTCCACTGACCACCGAGAAGACTGTGGTCACAACGCATGACACGGAAACCTTCATCCTGGTTCTCAAGGACCGAGAGATATCCTGTGTTGGATTCCTGTCGTGCCAAGAGAGTGTAGCCTTCATGCTGGAGGGCAGAATTCACGGCACCGATACCACCAAAGTGGACATCAGAAGTGATGGTAAAGATCAATGACGGAATAGCCAGAAGCAGCAGTTTGGATCGAGGAACAATCACCGCGTAGAGGATAGCAATGACAAACTGCATACCGGCACGGGAGAAGAGGAAAGTAAAACCAATGGCACGGGTCAAGATTGCCCGACCAATATGCTCACCAACAGAATAGATGAGATACGTTCCAAGGAGAGGAATATGCTCTGCGGCAACCTCTCCATACGACTCAAGATTCAAAGCGGCCTGGACCTGCTTGCCGGCGATAGCCACAGTCAACGACACCAGGGGCAAGTAGCCAAATAGCTCGGTGACCATTGGACCAGCTGGGTTTCCTAGCTTGGAGCTCTGCTGCATCACAAAGTACTGCAGCGTGGGGGTCCAGAACGCCAGGACAGGAAGCAGATAAGCAGCGAGCCGACCTAGGCGTCTTTGTATATGGTCCTTTAGGAACCATCCGGCTGCGCCAAAAACAGCCACAGCATAACTGTGGAAGATATGTACGGGATGAGTACCGAAGACAGGGGATAGCACAAGGCCCATAACAGGGGAGTAAAAGGCAGCAAGGAACAGCAATGCCACTCCGGTACCGAGCCGGTAGGCATCGATCTGCCGAACGAATTGCGCGACTGACATGATGCTTGGCTGGTGTAGTTTACACGTGGAAATGGGTCCAAGAGTACTTTGGGAATATCAATCAGCGGTCCATTCCCATGAACCCGAAATACAAGACAAAAACAGACTTGAGACCGCCAAAAGCGAAATATTGACATCACCATTCTGCCTACCTACACCGCACACCCTTTCTGTCAGATTTACAACTACGTTCAAACTTGTCGTTCAATCGCAGCAATACCACTTTCAACCAGATTTGCAAAATATTACCTAGAAGAGAGTGCATTAGACATTATAGGAAGCGCCAAGGCATATGACTTTGAGACCCGTGAGTTGAGTCGACTCGCGGGGAATGTTGATGATCGCTTGGCCTTGGAGGGTAGATCGGTGGCCTTCCAAACAATAACAAGAACTCTCTTTAAAAAAGGGCCCTGCGTCGGCCAGAAAATCAATAATTTTCCAAAAGCTGGGTCATGACTACTGATATAGATTTTAGAAGTGTTTGGAACCAGCGAGTCATTATCCAATCATCTGTGTATTATTAGTATCCCCGGCCCGGGGCCCTGGTGGGAATAGTCTCAATTTTTAAGGCATCAGTCCAGAGACTAGCTACTTGGGTAGCTAGGAAGATCTATCTGAAGGACTAATTATCTGATTCCTTCTGATCTGACTCCCTCTGATCTGAATCCTCCTTATCCGTCTCATCCGAATGCATCTCGTCGTCTGGATCTCGATATGTATAACGGGAAGATGGAGTGTAGACAAACCCACTTTTTAGCTTTTTGTGCATGACAACTCCAACAGCCCCTTCTTCATCTGTTATTGCCTTCCACTTAATCCAATCGGCCTCGTCGTCAAAATCTTCAGGAAAGCTGCATAGTCCAAAATCGATCATGAAAACACGATATTCATTTTCCTTGTTCCTCTGCACAATGAAATTTCGTGTGTTGACATCATCATTCAGTATTCCGTGATCGCCGGTCACATGAAGAACTCGAATGGCCTCTTCGCAGACGGATTGCCAGCTCTCTCGTGGGGCATAATCAGCAATATCGGTCAAGGGAAACCCGTCGATGTACTGCAAAAGAAGTCCAGAAACATTGGTATACTGCTTGACTTGCACTTCCTGCTCTCCATTAGAGCTGGGGATTATGAGAGATGCAAACAGTTTGGGGACGGTGATTCCTTGAGTATCCTTGAGCGCGTTGTACGCTGCGATTTCCGTGTCAAACAACTCTGACATGCGCCAAAACAGGTGGGCTTCGTTTTGAGCTTCATTCCATGTCTGTTGTTCCAGGTGCGCTATTCCGTTCTCGTCGTTGAGGTCGGCTATCAGCTCCGATGCACCCCCGTCGAGGATAAATTGGTGGTACTTCCTTTCTTTGCTCGAAGTCCAAGGACCGACTTTTTCATCCTCTCGAAGCTGCATGGCAAAACGTGGGTCAAAAAGCTTCAATACCATATCGCTTTCTGATGCAAAAGTGGGGCAATCAATTCTAACGACCATTGCACAAGAAAGGGTGAATGGTTCGAAGATTTTCACTATTGTGGCGGTCAAGATTTGTCCTTCATAGGGTTTGTTGAGCTGCAATTCTATCTTCTTGCCGACCACATATGGGCATCTATGATGGTCAGTGCGTCCCTGGAGAATTGTGTAGGGGAATATTAACTGGGTTTCTCCGCCGGCCATTGTTGATGGGATGATGGGATCTCTAGTTCTGTGGCAGTCAAGGGTTGTTCGTCATCCGGTTCATGAAGCTGCGAATTTATTTATGTTGCCAACCACATCAGGACATCTATGATTATTAGTGCATTCTCAGAGAAGTTGGCAGGTGAAAAACTCATTGACCTCCTTCGTTGTCTTTCGGGTATGGGTGTTAATCAAGCTGACTTTAAGTGCCTCAAGAGGGCCACAGAGTTCGAGTCTTAAGGGATGACGTAGGTATTTCAGAGTGCTTACCGGAGATGAGATGAGGCTTGGTTGGTAATGTTCCGTCCAGCTAATGGGAAAATTATCTGTTGACAGACGGGAGAGAAGTAAGGAAGGAGGGAAAGAGAAGAATAAAAAGGAAGGAAATGATTAAGAGAGATGAAGATACAGTAGTCTCCAGATCTAGCCTAGTCTACGCACCCAAGCCGTAAGTTTTGTATATTGCCCCGCGAAGAGGGATGAAACCGAGAATGGCACGCTTCAATCCATTACTTTACTATGCTTCTTCTCAACGATTTTCACACGTCCGACTCATTGAATGAACGCTTCTAACTCTTGAGTACTGCCGAAGCTAAACCTTTTTCTTTCCCTCACATCCACACGCATCCCTGATCTCTTCACCCCACATCTACCTGTTAAGCACTTTTTGCTGGTCATGCGTTTGAGCTTATCTAAGTTGATTAATGAGCTGTCAAATTACTCAGCGATCCTCCTTTGTACCAACTCGCTTTCCAAATCACGGACTCGAATGTCTCTCACAATGATCTCTTGCATATACTGGCCATTACTACAGTTATCTCTTTACTGATCTCCTTTCAATAGACTCAAAAATACGCAAAGAGCAACGTCGGAAGGATAAACATATTCTAACCGTAGGTAGAAAGTCGTTATTGGTTACGTCGGCCATTAGGTGCGCTGGAACCCACCTGAGTAGGTACACTGTAGGCTACCTAGCCAAGGGGCCTATTGTCACCCCTCTTAGAACATATTTAGTAGGATACCAAGGAGAAACACATTCTTAGGTTTCTAAATTGAATCAGAAGTGTTCATTCGACAATTCTTATAGTTCGTGTTATCATCGGGCGCTAGGCCTAAATAGGACAACCAACCATATGTAAGTAGCCGTTACATCTTTCGCCGCCCGCTTCCCGCGACCTCATTCTAACCCCAAACAACAGCTGAACCGGCCAAGATGCCCCATTTCCCCATGGATTCCGGATTTGAGCCAACCGAACATGCATCTACTGATGCGCATCGTCCCTCGATCCAAATAAAGAACCGCCGAAAGCGGTACCTGGACATGCATCCAGAATACTACTCGGCGGAGCTCGAGCTAGCCGGTCCGCCTGCTCTTTCCTAGCTGCCAATAGGTCCCAGTGGCTCCGAGAACCACAGCAGCGATGTAATCATATGACATGCTAACCCAAATGAATTGCCCTTTAGATCCGTTACTGTACGATCGTCTTATTCGCCGATTTCAGACACCACAAGAACGGGAAGCGCAAGGACGTGAAAAGGGATTCTCGGGTGTCTTGCAAGCGGACCTGCTGCGCTCCGAGGCAAAGATGGATGCGCTAGCGCATCCTGATCCCCATGCGATGCTGAGCTATACCCGTGGTCCTCATGGCGAGATCCTAGCTGAGGACCGTGACGATATCCCCGCTAGCAAAGAGGAGGGCGAGAAACAGTGGCAGTGGGAGATGGGGCTGCGCTTTATCCGAGGCGATGATGAGGACTTCGACTATGCGACTGTCGATGAGAATGAGGAGTACGATGATCTGTCTGAGCTGCAGGATGAGTACTTTGAAGATGAGGAACCGGAGTGGGTGGTCGATGATCTTCGAGGCGAGAATGCGGGGGCGCAGCTTCAGGGTGAGACTGGCATTCAGGATTTCTGAGCCGAAAGAGAGTCCAGAATTTTACAACTTTCATGATGGGGAATATGCGAGGCTTTTCCCCGCCGGAGCTGTCGTCAAGGGCTTACGATGCTTCGCTCCTCTTCTCCAAAGCGCAAACATGTTGATGGCGTTTGGTATCCACAGTAGCTCTTGCCGAATACTCATCCGATACTCTGAGATCCCCTTTATGATCCTCGATTGACGAGATGTTGGTGACAAGTACGAACAGTACATCCATTGGTGATCATACCCGTCTCCGAGAAACCATGCCCTCAGCCGCTACGTTCTGCTGCACTGAAGCACTAGCCGAGGGTTTCCACTCGACTCCAGCAATTTATTCAAGTCAACATAATTGCGGGAACTCACACTTTTCTTCCACCAGCAAAAGATATGTGATACATTGACCCATTCAGAGGGTTGAACAAACTAGATGGATCCTACGTCTAATCTACATTCGAGGTGCATTCCAAAGGCCGTATAAGCCATATAAATAAATTTATAAATATGTTTGTTCACAACCCGAAAACTGGACGGCTACCAGAGCATGCCAATACCTGGATGATGTTCAGAGCTCTCCATATGTACATACATGAGTCAGGTTTCCTTTAGTGCCCAATGGGTCTTATAATCTCTCAGCCAGAAGCTTTATAGCTTGTTCTTTAAGCTTGAATTTCTGGACTTTCCCACTTGCTGTCTTTGCGGACGCGTCCGATGCCTTGAGGAAAAAGACATATTTGGGAACTGTAAAGATTATGTTAGTAACAATACGTCTCAATACCAATATTAGCCATCGGAATAGCTTCCTTGATGAACTTACCAAGATGACTGCTCAGCTTCCCGCGCACCCATTGCTGAATGTCCTCCGGGGTAAGGGAACCCGGCTCTCGAGCAACCACAAAAGCAGCAACCACCTCGCCATATCGTTCGTCAGGAACACCGACGATAGACACCTCACCGACACCCGGGTGTGCTAAAAGGCAATCTTCTATCTCTAATGGGTGAATATTCTCGCCACCACGGATAATCAAGTCCTTAATGCGGCCAGTAATAGTGATGTATCCGTCTGGTGACATCGACGCTTCATCACCAGTCTTAATTCAATGATCAGTCCCAGTTCCAAACCACATATTCCTGAACCAACTTACATGCATCCAAAGCTTCCCGTTGTCATCCGCAAACATCTCCTTTGCCGTTCGCTCGGGATCTCCCCAATATCCTTTCATCAAAAGATACCCACTAACAGCCAATTCACCCCGCGTCCCGATAGGAAGAATCTCCTTTCTGTTCGCCGGATGCACGACTTTCGCCTCGACATGCGGCATAAGTCGACCAACCGTATTCAAGCGCTTGTCAATAGGATCATCGGTATGCGTCATCGCAGAGACGGGACTGGTCTCCGTCATTCCATAACAAATGGTCAGCTCCGTCAGATTGAGTACACGATGCAGCTTTTTCATCAATTCCGACGGAATACTACTTCCAGCTGCAATGCCTGTTCGCAGATACTGGAAACCATCCTTCGAGATCTCTCCTGATTCAATGAGACCGAGTTCCTCCAAAAACATGGTCGGGACACCATAGAGCGCTGTGCATTTTTCTTCTTGGACTGCTTTGAGTACTGCGCGGGCGTTAAATGATTCCGTTGGGAAGACGATGGCTGAGCCATGGGTTGCTGTCGCCATGTACCCTAGTGTGCATCCGAAACAGTGGAAGAGGGGCGGTGGACAACAAACAATGTCTTCGGGGGTAAGGAGCATGCGGTCGCCGACCTGGGAACCGTTATTAAGAATGGATCGGTGGGTGAGGCATGCCGCTTTGGGCATGGCCGTTGTCCCGGATGTAAATTGGATGTTGACGATGTCGTTTGGGTCAAGGTTTCGCTCTGTCAAGGGTTGCCCGTCTGCTGATAAGTCGGATGTGATGGATGAAAATGGGGTCAAGCTCTTGTAGGAGGATACGTCGACACGACCGGCAGAGTTATCAAGCAGGATAATCTGCTTCAAACTGGGGACTAGACAGGAGCCCAGCTTTGAGCTGGAGAGATCCTCCACAAGATGTTGGAGCAGTGGAATGTTGTTTCGGGGATCTTTGCGGGGAAGGTTGGATTCTGTGTTGATAATGAGGTGGCTAGACTCGAGGTGCCCCAATGCTGAAGCAATTTGCATGGCATTGAACGATGGATTCAATGGGACCTTGTCATAGGGTGTTAGAGACACTGCATTGCGACTTGACATCAGAAAGGACAAGACTTACCAGTATGGCTCCAAGTTTGAATAAAGCATATGTTATCTGAAACCATGAGTACCAATCCCAAAGCTCAATGTGGTCCAACATACCACTGCATATTCCATGGAATTTCCAAGCATCACGCCAACCCGATCTCCCTTTTTAATTCCAACCGACTCGAGTCCCCGCGCAAGGGCATTGCTTCGAGTATCGAGGGACGCATAAGTGATACGATCATTTTGGTGTTTTGAGATCACACTGCAAGGATTCAGCATTCGATTTAGCTCACATTGAGCTCACAGATTGCTTACGCCGTTCGGTCTCCATGCTCTGCCACGACTTTCGCAAAATGATCTCCTACTGTCGACTCAATCAAAGGCGGCTGCGAGTTATCATAATGTTAGCCACCAATCCAAACCCATAACTTCAAGAAATGCAGAGTAAATATAGACGAGTTGACTCACTTGAGACGGACCCCGAGCATAGCTTTGAGTCAACAGTCCTCGACTGAACAAGGGGGTACCTCCGAGCCTTCTTCTAAAGCGGAGGCCTCTAAGAGCTTGTCCACGAATGGGCATTCTGGTAAATCGATTGGTAAATCAAATGAAACGGAGTTTTGAGTATGTCACGGTTATTCAACTTGTTGAAGCGGGGTGGGTGGAGAAAGAAGGGATAGGTTGCCGTTCAATGTATCATGTCAACATCGTCAACTTTCACTTGATGCCCGTTCACAAGAGCTGCATGGATTAACATCCGAGGTCACAGAAACATTTAAGTTTAAAATAAAATGTTATATGAGACTTCAAATCCGCAGGAGAAGTTTACCAAGGTTGTAACGCACAGGCTTCCCCGCATCACGGCTAGCTGCGGGGTTACCCGGGCCCGAGGCTCTTATAGAACTTCATATACAATATAGCTTTTGGTTTTACAACAATCATCTTCCAAGGGATTTATTCGGCATTCCTCTGGAATTTGTCCTTACTCTCGGGTACCAAGGTGCTCTAATGTAAGATCCACTTCCCAAAACATTGATGAGTGTGTTGACAAATAGTCACTCAAGTATATGTAGACTTCATATCGTTCTTTGGCATGGATCTCGATAACCAGTTTGATTTGATGGAAGCGGTAAGCTATGAAGGAAGCTCACACGCGGCCATTTAAACAAAGCAAATATTAGACATGAGTTTGGCTAGATCTAAATTTATAGAATTTGAAATCACAAAGAACAAAGGACTTGAAGCGAACATACGAACAAGCGAAAGGAGTCCAGCCTTACAGTATCAATTGTGCTCAGATGGAGGGGGTTTTCTGCAGTTAGCCGACCCGCAAAGACAATAATAATCTGTGTCTTTCCAGTATTCCTTACCATAGTCGGTAGTGATCTCCTCGAAAATAGAGATATTCCGTTCTGCTCGGATGGTCGTGACGACCTGGTCGCCGACCAGTCCCCAGATAAAATTAGCTGCTGGACTGCAGGAATGGTTCAGGAAGCGTGTCCAGTTACCTAATTTCCTCGGAAAGATCTCGCAAACATTTTCCAACTTACCTGTGGCTGGATCGAAAGCACAAGTAGTCAGCGCGTAGATTTCATCACTCAGCTCAGATCCCAGAGGAACCAAAACACCGACATATTCACCGAGAATATCATGCTTCTTAAAATTGGCGAGCGCTCGAACCCCAGTACCTCGCCCACTAAACTCAACCAGTTCCACCAAATCACCTGCCATGGATGTGAGGCGGCATCCACAGTTTTCACGAGAGTGGCACATCAAGCAAACACCCATTTCTGGATTTCGAAGGGCCGGGTTGCGCCTTGGAAACTTGGGGAAGTTATCGGGGTTCCAACGGCTAGAACTCATATTCACTTGAGCCCTCCCATTGCAGATTGGTCGCTTGAGGTGATCATCAATTTCTCGTACAATGTGGTGAGGGTGTTCTCCAGCGATGTTAATTTCAGGAGATAAAGCGTCGTTGAGGCCCGGCAGATTATACTGTGTGTATGTTAAGAGAGGCCCTCGCCAATCAACCAAACGAGATCGAGCGAATACATCTATACTGCGTCTGTTGTCAGAAATTAGTTTCTGGAAATGAAGCCAGTTTGCCGCATCGATTTTGTCAGTTGATACCCGGAAGCATTCGGATTGTGCACAAATGCCGAAGATCTTCCACCCGAGCTCATTGATGAAATTGACACATCGAGTGGGCAGTACACCATCATGGAACGTTGCGGAACATTCCCTCATAGCGCTATTGATGAACAATGTGGTATTTTGCTGCATACTGTCGTAGTTGGCATCGTCCTCGGGAGAGGGTTTACCGCCAATGTTGATTTGTCGAAATACCGCGACACAGTTTAAGTCCCAATACAGGGCTGCGATCTTTTCAACGGCTTTTTCTTCCACAGTGGACTGACGCCGCTTTGCGGGGCTCCCGGCAGGGCGACCACCTTTTCTACCTTTCTTCAGGACTGCCCCTTTTCCGGCTGTACTCATTTTGTCAGTGATTATAGTCTTCTGTATTGAACAAAAGGATTACAGTATGAATTGTCTTGTTAGTGACTGTGTGGTGACTGTTTTTGATGGAGGGAATTTGCAGTGGAAAAGGCCGCGCTTTTATTTTCGAGTCTTCGACTGCTGTGAACATCAATAAATGCGACAATAGAAGGTGCCTCTAATTCTGGATACCCTGTGTCTTTCGAAGCATAAGATAAGGCTCGGATTTCTTTTGTAAGGCCTTGTCGACTTCCAAAGAACATTAGGTATATAACTGTGGTTACACTTTCCAAAGGAACCATAAATAGACTTCTTAGATAATATCTTTCATCATTCCTTTATGATCGGCCATAAATTGCTACAGAAAAAGTTCTTATCTCATTGTATCATGCCATGGGGACAAAAAACAGAGTGTATCAGATATTTTCGAGTCCAGAAATAGACTAATAGACTTTGAAGGCCTGGACAACCGATTTTGGTGATCGACGTTACAAAGAAATCCGGCTAAAACAACAATCTTATTGAGATTTTGCATTGCTTTAGCCTAACAATAGACTATAGCAAGGCGAAGGAACAATGCCAAAGTATGCCGATCTAGTTCCTCTTCCGAAATTTTCTATTTCAGGCACATAACAGGGTTGGAGGAAGATCATGTTAATTACATTCATCTTTTTGGAGATACGTATACAAGTGTGTAAGCGAGCAACTGCGTTAGTCTGTTATCGAGTATCGACTTAAGAGATTCAGGCCCTCCCATTATAGATTGGTGGCTTAAGGTGGTCATCAAGTTCTGGCGTAACATAAGTCTTGTACAGGGGCATTGTTCTTTGCTGTCTTTGCGGGCATCCCTTTTCGCGTGTTCCAAGCTCTTTTAGCTTGCGTAGCGCACCACTGGGCCATGGGGTCCCAGGCCTAGCTTATGCTACCGTACTTCATGCCTTTTATATCATCTTTCAGAGTGGCGTTGCTCTGCGCTGCGTTCTTGTGGGCGTTTTCTTCCTGGAAGGTGTGATGTTTTGTAGAAGGAGGAACAAGTAAGTTTAGAAAGACCTTTTGTAGGTTCAGAAGAGCCACGCGATCACATGTTTAAAAGGAGCCTTAATATTTTGTGAAAGACAGGATCACCGTAGGTATAAGGTAGAGAGCGATAGAGGCAAAGTGGAGCGTGTAAGAAAGAAAAGTGAAAGTAAGAGAAAGTGAGGTATTGTGTAGGCTCCAGCGAGCTGGAAAATTCTAGTTAGCTTTTGATATAGCATGATTTGGGAAATTTTGTCCTTCCGGGTTCCTACGCATACACATACTTTACCACGTCTGCAGCCTGTCTAGCAGGTCAGACTCCTTCGCAGGTCCTGAGATCTCAAAATCTGAAAAGGACTTATCAAGATCATTGGGTGATAAATCAAGTATAAAGCTAGTAGCTGCTCCGACACCACCAAATTATGCAGCAATATTCCTAGGTGTGGACAGGTGCGACGGTAGATAAGGGAAAGTGTTGGTGACTCGCGGGTGACAAAGAGTGGAGCGCGATGCTTGGCGTCATGTGGTGGGGAAGCTTCCGCGGGCCATCATCAATGCACCTTCCTCACTGCGATGTTTGAACCTTGAACTGACCCTCCTGGCTCGTCAGCCTCCGTCATCATGGCCTCCGAACCTTCCGAAGGAGCGATCACCGAGTTTATCAGCTTTACCAGTGCCACACGCCCACAGGCGATCAACTTCTTGAAGGTCGTACCCCGTCCCCGCATTCGCGCCTTTCTTTCTTATTACTCCAGCTGACTTTCAACGGGGTTTGAAATACAGGCCCATGATGGTAACTCTCAAAAAGCCATCAATGCATACTTCGAAGATCCATCGGGACCTCACCCAGCAAGCGTTAGTCACCGTCGTATTACCGGAGCGATCGGCTCGGGGAAGCTGACCAGCTCTCCAGACATCAAGCTGGGCAAATGAAAGCAACCTGACTCGTAAGAAAGATAATTTCCTTCAATTTTGCTTCGGTGACGTGTGACTGACAGCCTGTTTTGCAGCGTTTGGATACGGCGACCAAGAACACGGGCCGCGAATGCCTGCTACGGCCCCTCCTTCCCGTCCACCGTCCAGGGTAAACATGCATGATACAACCAAGGGTTCTGGCAATGATGCACCAGCTGCAACACATACATCGGGAAATCCAGGTTGGCTGCCCTTCTACAGACCGTGAGATACGATACTAACGCCTGGTCAGCTACAACTGGAACCGGACAAGGGCTGAGCTTAGCAGAGCGCGAGGAACAAGAATTGCAGCAAGCAGTAGCCATGTCCCTCGATCAAGGCATGGGCACACAGGAGACTGGAGTAACGGCAGCAGCCACGGATAGCTCGGCCCACTTCGGAAAAGCCACGCGCGACCACTACGAAGAAAATGCATGGGCTATGACTCTGTTCAATGAGACTTCTCAAGAAGTCATCACCATTCCGGACCCCGAGGATCGCAAGAAAATAGATGACGAGCCAGCATTCATCCGCCCAACACAAGACAACCTCTACATTGGAGGTTTCCTCACCATCCTTCACGAAATTCCTCTTGCGCGAGAGGCATTACTTCTAAGAAACAAGCTTCTCTTTGACTATGGTCAAGATTCGCAGTGGTGGAATGGGCAGCCAATTAATCTGCCGAAGATCGTGACTGTCCACGAAGGCAGTGAGGATAGTGATTGGGAAGACCCTATCCATGAGGCCCAGCGATTGATGGCTTTCCTGGACTCTACAGAGCGCGCTTTCGGAAGCAGTGATGCACTTGCTGGTCTCAAACAAATGAACTGGTTCTCTTCTGACTCCGAAGAGATAGTTGCACGATTCCTTGAGACATGGCATGCAGCAGCAGTTCGAGCAGACCCCAATAACCCATTAGTCACATCTTTCATGTCACATGCCTATAAAAAATCACCCTTTGACGAAGCCGACGAACCGATCTCCAAGGAGCTATTTGTCTTCGAGCCTGTCGTTGAGCAGGATCACGGACAAACGCTCTACGATGTCTTGGACACGGCTATCTGGAGTGACAAACCCGGGGAAGATCTCGATGATGTATGGCTTGAGCACGTTGGTGACATTCTAGTCATGAAGCTTGATTCATTTGAGCAGTCGAAATCAGTGGATGTGACGATTCCTGCCGTGTTCTACCCGGACCGTTATCTGAGCACCTGTCAAAGCCTCGCGCGTGACATGCGCACTAAAAAGCTCGAGGCTCAGGAAGCTGTGTCGAAAATCGAACAGCGCATCCAGCAATACACTGCGTCTCCAAATCCTCTCGTCAGTCTCACGAGACAGGAGATTCTTGAAAAGACCGCTGCCGCTATACCTGTAGCCCTGAAGACAGCCATGGATGGGAAATCGGAAAATTTGACACCCGAGGTGGCAAAGGAAAGAGCAGAGCGGATCCCGCAACAACTGCGAGCACTCGCCGCGAAGATAGAGCAGAAGCTGAAGGGTATGTTTGCCTGATAGATTTCATGCCTGGTGATCTCGCTAACCAAACAACCACAGGGCTCGAGCTTCAAAAGCAGAAGGCACTAGAAACCATGAACAGCTATTCCAAGATGCTTACAGAACCCTCAGAGTCTCCGCATGAGCCGCCTTCGCACAGATACTCACTACGAGGTGTCTGCACTGAACCGCACGTCACTTACGTATTGAAACACCGTGAGGCTAGAATTCAGGGAGATGCCATGGATGTCGATAGCGAGCAGGACGGCTCTCAGTGGTGGCGCATCAGCTTTTCTACCGAGGATGGCAAGACTCGACAAGCCGAGAAGAGAGAAGCCCAGGGCGACCAGGCAGCCATGCCGAATGGCGACGTCATGGGCTACACTGCTCGCAAAGTACCTGAGACTGAAGTCCTCCGGGCAGCTCGCGAAGAATATAGATCAGTGCTGCTGGTCTATGCTAGTGATGCCGCTCTAGATGTCAAAGTAGAACCTGCACCCTCCCAGCTTCAGGTATGTCCTAAGAATTTCCCATTGATTTGATTATTTACTCACCCAAACAGGCTTTCGTAAATAAAGACAACAAGGTATTTGCGGTCGAATGCAGTCAAACTACTGCCAATGCAGATGATAAGATCGGGGGAGAGCAGACCCAGACACCATCTATATCGCAGCAGGACCCGACCGTCAACGTGTTTGATTACGAAGTGCGAGACTTTGATAGCGAGAAGCGCGCTGGCCAGGAAATGCAAGAGAAAGTAGGCTCGAGTCCTTTAGCGGGGCAAGGGAATGCGGCCCAGTCGATGTCTCATGCCCTTGATGATAATGACTTGTGGAGGGCGGAGAGTGACGAAGATATGGCAGACCATGTCGAACATGCAACTGCTAATTAAGCAAGGGTTCCTGTATGAATGATGACCAATCGAAATCGAGCAGAACACTCGAAATATGACTTAGCATAGCTCCATGAGCAATGAAAATGTATTTTATTCATCCATGTTTCGCTCTTGTAGCCTCCAACGAGCCAAAGTTCGGATCTAGATTTGATAAGGAGCGTCCCCACATTTGCCGTGTTTGCAGACATCCCAAGCTTGTCGCGGAGAACCTCTGCCACCCCGACCTTCCACGCAACACCAGTCGCTTTCTTTACCAAAATGACGGTTGAAAGTGATTCCGTGACTGGTGCCACCATCGAGCTCCTAGAGGGACGTCTGCGCCGCCTCACCTACCTCCTAGGTGGCGCAACTGACTGGACGGGGATCCCATCAACGCCCGAGAAGCCAGCCTCCCTCGAAGAGACCGTATCGCGTCGACTTGCAAGCTTGGAGCGAGAGCTGGAGAAGCTCAGTCGCAGCGTTCCTGTTGTAAGGGACGTGATCCAGCTCCGTACGTTCAATCCCGAAGCATTGGCACTGTTTACAAACACCTCCTTGTCCCACCATTAAATCCCATTACCCCAAAACAAACAAAAACATTCCTCTAAGGTCTGTCATTCTTTACATGCTAACCCAATCATGATCAGACGACCGCTTTCCCGATCTGTTCCAATCCCCGCCTTCTCACGAAATTCCAGAAGGCCTCTCCACACGCGCCCTTACCTCAATTGTACTTTCCTACGCGACCGCTTTCCCAGAAACCGCCTCCCGGCTCACATCTCTCAATGATCTCCCCATCCCGGATGCCCAGAGCTCCGCTACACTGATCGACCTCCAACCGCGTATGGACCGCGTCGCACAGACACAGGCGGAGCAAGCGGCAGAGATCTCAGAATTGCGGGTGCGCACAGCGAAGGTGTTACAGCGATGGTACGAGGTAGGGCTTGTAGGGAGCGGAGAGTGCTGGGCCGAATGGGAGGCACGATTGGAAGGTGTGGAGAGAGGAGTTAGAAGAAGAGAGGTTGTCAAGGAGAGGAGGGAGAATGAGATTTGATGTGACTCTCCTACTACCTTTTTGAGACCTCTGTTCTACCGATGCATTTACATTGTTTTCTTTTTTTGCGGTGATATCCTGCTTGGGTTGCTTGGGTTATGGGCGCATTTGATATGATGCTGGTGCCTCTTTTTTCTGTTTACATAAATGAAGAATGTTGAGTGACTTCATTGCTACGCAATGGTAATGCCACGCGGGGCTGACGAATAATGGGGTTGTAGAATGGCAGCTGGAATTTACATACCAATTGATCTCTACATCGACATTAATGGGTTACAGTTCCCAAAAATCATCAGTTGACCGTGAACGCATGTTGACCTTGAGGTATGAAACAAGCGCGACCCCAGATTCCTGGCTTCGAGAACCATGGATATTGGGGCCGAGGCATATAGATATTCTTATTTTCAACCCATTTATTTTAAATCATAACTTTACCATTACGTGAGGCTGACATGTCAATAAACCCAATTTAATGAGTCCATGTCTCTGATTCGTGTACGTATTGTCTTGTGTACCCGGCCACAACACGGAGGACCGAGCATAGCCCGTTGTCGATCACATTCGGACACGTGTGCACGCCCACGAATTGATTACTAGTGGCATGGCAAAAGGTACGAGATCGATCGAGTGGGGCGTGGAGTGTCAACGTTGTGCCCCAGGCTATAAGAGATATACTGTCTTATAAGGCTACCCTAACATAGAGCAGTCATGATTTAGATCTCGAAATTACGGAGTAGGGGCCATTGTCGATCAGGGCTCTACGGTATCAGATCATGATCCTTGGGGAAATGATCAGAAAATGTAGGGGCCAAGGATGCCTGCGTCAGCCTGAACAAAAAGCGGAGCCGGATGACTAAGGCGTCCTGATATTTATAGATTACGCAAATTTGGAACAGACTGGTACCTAGGTATTCTGGAAGTGTATCAAACCTTGGATCAGTGCGATGTACCTGAGTTTTATAGACATAAAAGTCATAAATTATCCATGGAATAAGAAATTAAGCCCAGGATCTAATAGAGAACATTTAAAATGAGGTGGAGCAGTCACACTTCATTTCCCGGATTCCACTGTGGTCTCGATTCCAGGGGGCGCGTCTGTCTGTGTGTTTTGGGGCGGGATCCACCGCCCATTTTCACTTCCCTCTCCTTTTCCCCTTCCAAACTCATTGGACTTCATTCGCTCATTCGCTCATTGTTCTATTCTTCAGCCTGGTGCTGTCTCTCGAATTCTAGCCTTTCTTTTTACCTTCTTTTTTTTCGTTTTTTTTTTTCTTCCCTCCCTCAACACTCCCTACCCGTTCCCCGCGGTCCGTCAATTCGCTACGAACCCACTTTGTCTCAGAAAAAAAAGGTACGAACACACACAGGCGCCAGGTACCAATTCTAGTTGAACGCGGTTTTGGGGAATTTGTGGAGGATTTCTCTCGTTATAAGCGCGAGAGAGCGCCACATTGAAAACCAGCGAAAAAACGACTTGGACCCCACGCGGCGACCAAGACTCTTGAGATCGGGGACTAATCGGGCGCATCTTAGTAGTTTCACCTCCTCGCATTGGAGTGACTGATTTTCTTGATCGACAATAAGGAACTTCCTCTCAACTTGATACGTGACCGATTCGATTCGACTCGCTTTCTGGGGGAAACAGAACTACGCTCCGATAGAAAGACCCCCTCCTTTGGCATCAGCATTCATTCATCTCATCATCTTTTAATCTCTATCGATTCTATCCACACCTTCCGACATTCATTGAACAACTACGAACCCTCATACACGAATCCGCATACACAAAATGCCGAACTTCCGCGCTAGTAACATCCTGGGTGACCCGTTCGCCTTAGCGACACTATCCATCTCCATCCTGGCATGGCTCATCGCTTTCGTCGCCTCTATTGTGTCGGAAACGCAGCCCAACAACCAATATCCCAACTATGATTGGTGGGCAATTTCTTATATGTTCTGTGTGATCCTTGGCCTGATTGTCACGTTTGGCACGGACACCTGCAATGTTTACGGCGTCGCGGTACGATTCGCATTTATTCGATCTTTCGCAAACAAAGACAGTGGTACTGATTGATGATTAGATCGTTGGCTACCTTGCCTGTGGTTTGGTCCTGGCTTCGACCAGCGCAAACAACTTAATCTACAGCCACCAGGGCGCCCAGCAAGCCGCCGGTGCAGGCTTCATCCTGATTTCCATGGTCATTGTAAGTCGCAAAAATTCAGTTGATACGGAAACCTTTGGCTCACATTCAATCAGGTGATCTGGATCTTCTACTTCGGCTCTTCACCCCAGGCCACTCACCGCGGATTTATCGACTCTTTCGCCCTGAACAAGGAGCAGCCCGATCCCTCTTCCTACCGCGGCAGCCGCCCGATGTCCAGCGCATTCGGTGCTCGCCCAGAAACCATGGCCACCAACAACACCCCACAAATGTACACCTCCGCCCAACTGAGCGGCTTCGAGACCTCTTCCCCCGTCTCAGGATTCCCCGGTGGAGCCCCCGGTGCCGAGCGCAACTCTTCCCTGGCCCGCTTCGGAGCTGCCAGCACCAGCCCTGTGCCCGGTCCCAGCACTGGAAACCAGGAGGCCAGCGAGGTGCCCCAGCCTACTGAATACCCCTACCGCGCAAAGGCGATCTACTCGTACGACGCCAACCCCGAAGACGCCAACGAGATCAGCTTCGCCAAGCATGAGATTCTCGAAGTATCCGACGTCAGCGGCCGATGGTGGCAGGCTCGGAAATCAAATGGAGATACCGGCATTGCGCCCTCCAACTATCTCATCCTCTTGTGATCGCCACATTCATGATGACTAGTCCTTTCTCCATGTTTTGATTTTTCTGCCCCTTTTCGCAAAATCTGTACTTTGATACCCTTCGGAATCTTCACTCGACGTGTGTGTATTTCTGGTTCCTCTAACGTGATGTCTTGATGGCCTCCTCTTCTTCTTATCTTGAATTGTTTGCATGCCCCACCTTATACTCTTCCCCTCTTTCCTTGGAACGCTTTTTCTCTCAACCCGGTTTGGTTACCGTGTCTGGCGGCCGTCTGTCCCGCATTTATTTTCTTTTTCAGTTATACTGTGCGTTTATGGTTCAGGTGCTATTCGATTGTCATGTCTGGAGATTTAAGGCCTACTGCTAGAAGTATGGCCTTCAGTGTGAAAGGTCGCAGATAGTCGGGTGCATAGGCTTATCCGTGTTATACACACGCATTGCAATGCTGCCTGAAATGCAATCTGATATTCTGTCAATCTCTCAATGATAACTTCGTAAGACAAGGACTACCCAGCTTAAGCCGTAGTGTAAAGGCCTGCAATATTCGTAGCTGCAGGTAAGTTTGTATCTTCCTGCTGAAGTTGATATTTGCTCATCACAATAAGCCGTTTAGGCGGTTATTGCATCATCGCATATTTCGATTTTGGCACCACGTGCTAAACAGTATACACTACCAAGGTACACAATCCCATTTTCCCTCTCAATTCGCTACATCAAAGAGACAAAGCATCTTATAAAAGGTTCTTCAACTTGTAGTTTATTAATGATGTCAATGAACTCTTCGAACCTAAAAGGCACAATCTATGATATCGCCACCACTCCCCACCCAACCGTTTAACCCACCGCAGATCAACGACCCGTTATCAGCAAGCAGAAAAAAACACGGTGAAGACCAAAGCCAATGAAATAAATCTTCCCTACGGTGCCATGCAACTCATGCCGATTCCGTTCTCGACTTGGCAGCGTATCGCGCAACGTGCATCATCCCAAAGCTCCCTCTCCATCGATTAACCTTTCTCGTCTTAGCCTGTCGGCCCTGCAGTGCACTTGGCAAGAGGGGCCCGGCCAACGAGATCTGCGGTTGATTTTATTACTCCGAATTCGGACTTAAGGTGGTCCCTTTGAGTGTTTCCGGGCTTGCTTGCTTGGCCTTTGCATATACATGCATGCATGTATGGTGCTGCTCGAACAGCGCTTTGGGATCGGATGGTGTTTTGACGCTTACGCCTATAGCGGAGTTATAGAGCGAGCGGTTCGTTGTTGGGTTAGTGGGTTCCCCACTAGTCTACGCTGGTCTTGGACTCGGCCTTTCTCCTCCTTCCTCTCTTCCTCGAATTTCCTTGCATTGTTTTGTAAAAATTTGAACTGTTCGTCCACATTAGGAACTGAAGTTTGATAACAGGCTTCAGGTCAGCTTTGTCTGCGCTCTTCTGTTCCCATTACCTGACAGTCGTGTTGATACGAGCTAGCAGCGGAGGAGTTTATTCTACACCCTCGCCGTTCAGTTAGCGATTTCACATCATCTACAGATGATCTCACTATAATCATGTCAGATGGAAATGTCACACTAGCCTCCAATGTGCTCGGCACAATTGGCACAGTACTCTGGTGTGTCCAGTTGATTCCCCAGATCTGGTATAACTGGCGAAGAAAGAAGACAGATGGATTTCCAGCTACTATGATGTTCCTATGGGCGAGCTGTAAGTTGTTCGATTGGAAAGAACTCTCGACAGCAGATACACTAATCAAATGACTTCTAGGTTCGGTCCCAATGGGTGCATATCTTATACTGCAGCGAGTGAACATCCCATTACAGGTTCAGCCACAGATCTTTGGGGTTTTTTTCTTTGGTTAGTTGGTGTCAGGTTTTATATTATAATCAGTAAGTGCGATGACTACTCTCTCCTTCTATCGAACAATATTTACGTTGAGCTGGGATTGACATCTTAAAAAGTGATTATAGTCGACTTAGAGCAACGCTACTTTGCTTGGGTTGCTCTGCACTATTTGGTGGGCTTGAAGCTCTTCTCATTCTTACTTTGCGGGTATGTTCATACACCTCTACCTACCTTCCGGTCTTGGTAGAAACGTTCTCTGAAACATTCGTCTCATCATCTTACAGATCCCGTATAATAAAGGTGTCACATGGCCAGATATTGTGGTTGGTGTAGTTGCTACCATTTTCTTGGCTGGGGGCTTGTTGCCTCCATACTTTGAATTATGGAAGAGAGATGGCCGTGTTATTGGATTCAGTATGCTTCCACTCCCGCTGTCATAATTTGGAGTCGGAACTCTAAACTCTTCACGCAGACTGGGTATTTCTATCCATAGACACTCTGGGTGGACTGTTTTCTCTATTTGCCTTAGGTATGATTGCAACAAGTCGACTGACGAGCCTCGTTTCGCTGACCGGTTTCTAGCGGCTCAAGGAAGCTTCGATATTCTTGGTGGCATTATGTATATCCTCGTGTGAGTCGTTTACTTGTCGCTTTAATTTTACCGTAGAGTGATAGGACTGACTCGGCCATTCCAGTGTCGTCCTTGAAGGAGGAATCTATGTCAGCCATATTGTCTGGCGTATTCGCTACCGCAAGCTTCGCAAAGAGGCGAAAATGCGCGGAATAAGTATTGATGATCTACTTAATTTGACAAGAAATGATACAGAAGATACTCGAGACACACATATAGGGGTGCTGGATTCCTCGGGCGATGTCGAGAAGCAAGAGCAAGCATTACCCCGAACCGACGGGGAGTTGGTCGCGGGTCAGAGAATTGATAGTTGATTTGCAAATCGCGATTTCCTACTGCGAAAGAGCTTTGTGTGCGGAAAATGTTTGGATCTGCGGATCTGTAGGAAGTATATATGTTGTGTTGTGGCGGTAAAAAAGCATACCTAGCAATATGCACCTATATAGACAGGACAATGCCTCCAGGGCTGCCGGGTGGGTCTTTCCTAACTGGGCTGCCGCCGCTTTTCTCCTCTAACTGTCTCTTCCACTTTCCACATCCTTAACAATCTGCGTGACTATTAATTCAAAATGTCTATGACAAACCTGCCTCCAGAGATATTGTCTCATATTTGTGAATATCTGGAGCCTCAGGAGTGGGGTGCGCTCAGAATCACTTGTCACGAAATACACGGCAGTACACTGGAAGCCTATGCAACGCGCTACTTCAAAATTTTGCCACTTCTTCTCACCCGTGAAAGCATTGACAATCTGAAGGGTGTTGCAGCAAGTTAAACCTTACGAGGCTCAGTTCGAGAGATTCGGATCATCCCAAACTTGTTCGAGGGGTGGCCAGAAAAGAATAAGGAAAGTTTCAAAAGGCGGGGATTGTCGTTGCGGAAGCAGAAAAGGTTGTTAAGAATGGTGCGCGGTGAAAAGGAAGAACCACTATTCAATAACATTGAGGCTGAGGCTGAGCTTGACGCTCTATTCACCTCTTATCAAGCTACACTAGAAGAACATCGTGCTATTCTCGACTCGGAACTTACTGCGGTTCTTGAAAAATGCCTACCGCGCCTCGAAAACGCCACCACAGTCGGCTTATGGTGTTACCCCATTGAATACCTCCTGAAAGCAAACTATCGTTCATTTCGCTGCCTTGGCTTAGTGAACTGAAGAACCAGTTCAACACCGATGATATGAGTGTTCATTTAATATTCACAAGTTTCCAGCGAAATATGTTATCCATACCTCTAGGCTTAGCATTTTCACAAGTGATCAAGGCTATAATCAAATCTAGCCATAAAGCCCGTGCCCTCCACGCGTGCGGCAATTTAGCATGTGGCATGAAGTTAGGGTCTATAAAACTGTCAGAGTCACAGTATCAATTACTCCTACCGCTCTTGACCGATCTAACGACTCTACATATGTGCATTCGTGTTCAAGATAACGAAAACGACACATTCGATGAAGATGCCTTCAAATGTCTTCTCAGTATGCTGGTCACAGTCGCACCAAAATTGAATATTCTGACCTTCGCTCAATGGAGTCCCTTGGAAGAATTGTCTCCTTTCTATTTTCAGGATCTCTCCCAGAACATCCGGTTTTCCTAGCTAGAAGAACTTCATCTTCATTCTATTGAGCTGACAGTGGGGAATCTCAAGCGCTTTCTTCGGACAGCAGCGCCAACCTTGAGGCGACTGAGTATGAAGAACGTCAGCTTGACAGATGCGATAATCGGAGCACGAGATCCAGGCCCCCTCACAGAAGAGACGAGTAGTTGGGATTCTTCGCTGTCTCTCGAAGTCATCAACAAGATCCAGGAACTCTGGAAGCGAAGCTTCGAATTGTTGGCAGATAGCCCCAAGCTGCGGTTTGTCCAATTGTCTAGTCTTGGTTACCGTGGAAGAGAGATCATTCTGCAAGATGACCTATATATGGAACGCGGGCAGCCGGATGCACAGCCGGATTCAAATGCGCGGCGTTCGATCAACTGGTCAGAGATCTATTCCGATCCCACCAGGGGTCAGTCTTCCTTGATAGCTTTCTGTTTTGATGCTGAGAGAGCAAATATATCACTCAAAAGATGGATCATGCAGCTGCGGATGGAGATGTGCAATCCGGGCCTTGCAAATACCCAACTTCCGGGGACCAGCGGCTTGAGTTTCAACCAAGACGGTGTTGCTAGGTCTATTACGTACCAACCGGGGGACGAGCCAGACCCTAGAAGACTCGCAGAAATGGGGGTTTTAGTCGTCTAAAACTTTGCATATGCAACAATATCATGAAGCATAACAAGAGGACAATAGATTCCTCTCTATTATTCATGTAGATGCAAGGATGTGTCCCTTCCACAGCGAACACTAAGCTCCAACCCAGCTCTAATGATGTTTCCCTGGTGGAAGACCTTTTTAAGGGAAATAGAATGGAAAGAAAACAAACATTTCAAATCTCTATTTCCAAATTATTGAGCTGTATAACCAATAGCAAGGGAAATTCGTAAATTAAAATATACTCAAGGCAGGGATTGGCCCGTCTGTTTGATGCCGATACCCGTGCCAGATCAGTGTTTCGTTTCGGCCTTAGCGTGAGAACTCCAAAGCTCTTGCCCAACGTTCCGGGAGATCAGCACAATCTGCTGAGAAATTGTGTGACTTCCCCTCTTCAGTCAACCTTGATTCCGATATCCCAAACAAAAGAATTACCCTGTTGCTAGTGGCTTTCCGGTGCCGTTGACAGTATTAGGGTGCTTAGACCCTTTCCTCCAGCTATATCACGATTGGGGGCTAAGGAGACACCTCTCCCAGTCACTTGTTCAGGACAATAGTGCACACTGTTTATCCATCCATCTTGATCTCTTTAGCTCATTCAACAAGCTTTCAAGCTATGAATTGAGCTTGACGTGTCCATTGGCAGCAGTCACGATGCCAAAGAGACGACTATCACGTCTCCTCAAGTCGAAGCTGCTGCGGCGATCGTCAATACCCGCGGTACCAAATCCGGGCAACGGGGCGGACCCGCGTGTCCACCCAAATTCAACCTCTGGTATCTCTGAAACTCATCATCTCTTTGACTCCGCGAGCGAAAAATCTCCATACAGTGTCGGATCCTCAGCGGCCCAGTCCACCGACGACACCGCCTCGGTTCCCGACGCGCACGAGCAACACAGTCACAAGTCACGCCGCCGGACCAAGCCCAGTAATCCATCCCCGCTACAGTCGGAACACCAGCTCCATCGCTATCCCTCATCAGACCTTCCACCTAGCATTCCTACGGCGACAGATCCGAAATCCTCATTACCGCCTACCCCTCTCTCCGACGAGCTCTCCTCCCCCCTCGAAAGCCCGATCGCCACTCCGCAGCATTCTGACGACGCCTCCCTTCAGGCTGCGCCGCAAGTGAAATTTCGCACGTCAAATTTAGCCGAGTATCAATTGGATCCAACTCTCGATACCGTTGTTGAGACCCTTCCAGAAGATCACCGGCCATCTTCTTCATCTTTTCCCCCTACCCCTGCCAGCAAGCGACCCAGTCTCGCCATCCGCAGACAGTCTCTTCTCCCCACGTCACATCAGCACTTGATAAGTGGACTGCTGGAGCAGAGCCTCTTCTTTCCCTCACAAGGTGACCCGGGCAGCAGTCGCACGCCTATAGCTGCTGCCAATATGGTCCATCGTCGAATCTGGGTGAAACGGCCGGGTGGCTCCGCCACATTAGTGCCTTGCTTGGAAGATGCGGTGGTGGATGAACTGCGTGACCAAGTCATCAATAAATATGGCAACTCGTTAGGCAGGACATTTGATTCCCCGGATATTGTGATAAGGATTGTGGCACGCGAAAGCGCGAATCGACTCACAACGCCAGAAAGGCTTTTGAGTCCAGAGGAGTCCTTATCAAGTGTCCTCGACTCGTATTACCCCGGAGGTCAAACAATTCAAGAGGCGTTGCTTATCGAGGCACCCACGCGCCGGACCCCAAAGCCATCTCCACGACATACTGGCTATCATCATCACCACCCTTCCGAGCCTGGCGAGCATGGCGAATATTTTCCCCCTCATGCCTGCCAATGCAAAGGTCCCGACCCCGCCTACGCATGCGTCTAGTTCAGGAGGAAACAACGCACCTTCGATATCGATTCTCACAACCGGCGTGCCCCCACCACTTGGATCCCCGGGATCTCGGGCTCGTCAGCATCGCCGACCAGCGCTTCAACGCCATACGACTAATTCACCGACCATGCTTGGTCAAGCGCCTACTGTGACTGGTAAGGAAAAATATCTTTCGTTCTGAAAGCGATGAACACTAACACGCTAGCAGAAACGGGCGTTTCTCCCCATTCTCAAACCCCTGCAAATAACCCGACTCAGAGCGTACCCACGCCCCCCGCGACTGTGATCGAGTCTCCGCAAGTCAAATCACATACTCCACCAGCACCTGTTGCCTCCCCGCGAACTCTACGCAAATCGAAAGGCGCTGCATCCCCGGGAGCAGTTTTTGGTGGATTGATCGATGGCACCGTTCCACCAATCAATGTGCTCATTGTGGAGGACAACATCATCAACCAAAAATTGTTAGAAGCTTTCATGAAACGCCTCAGCGTGCGATGGAAGTGCGCAGCCAACGGCGAGGAGGCTGTACGAAAATGGCGCCAAGGTGGATTTCACTTGGTCCTTATGGATATCCAGCTGCCTGTCATGAACGGCTTGGATGCCACCAAGGAGATCCGTCGGCTGGAGCGACTCAATGGAATTGGCGTTTTCCCTAAAACGGCATCTGGTCGTTCTAGTGCATCAAGCGCTACTTCCGAGAAGCGGCCTGGACTTTATCGCTCCGTTAGCGAAGAAGATACTTTGAATGATTTGTCGCTGTTCAGGAGTCCTGTGATTATTGTTGCATTGACAGCTAGCAGTTTGCAAAGTGATCGTCACGAGGCATTGGCTGCTGGCTGCAATGATTTCTTGACCAAGGTATGTCGACACTGTGAGGTTTAGTACTTCATTAAATTTACTGACTCGTCCAATAGCCTGTGGGTTTCCCATGGCTCTCACAAAAAGTGACAGAGTGGGGCTGCATGCAAGCCCTGATCGACTTTGAAGGTTGGCGCAAATGGCGTGGTTTTATGGACTCTCCCCGGAACATGTCTCCCAACTTTGATAGTGCAGCCAGCCCTATGCAAACCGGCGCTCGCGATTCCCAGAAGCAAGCAGAAGCACCATCACCGACAATAACCCGCACCAAGTCCAAAGTGAAAGGCATTAAGAGGCCTACTCTGCCTGAAGCCGCCGAAGTACTAAGAGAGGATTCATGGGGGAGTGGAAGTGGCGATACCGGCGACTCTCTCACGAGTGCCGACGTAACACCAGCAGAAGCGGAGCAGCCTTCTGAGTCCTCTGCTCCATCGCCGGAGCAGTGACTATCTAACACTCATGCAGCTCCGGTTCTGAGCAACCGGATGAATCTTTCCATATGTCTCGACTATTGTCTTCTCCATTTGGATACCCTTTTAGCAACGATCACCTTGTTCATGTTTTGTTACCTCTTTCTATTGGATTTTTTTACTTCGTGGTAGCATGGGCGCTGTGAGGTCTCAGCTTCGAGGTTGTTTTACCCCCTGTATCTGTGGTTCACATCAACCAGAGAATCGGGTGCCCTTCACTCGAATCTGCAATTCTTTTTTTTTTTTTTTTGATTACTTCTTATGACGCGCATATACATTACTCGCATTGAACATACTCGCGCACACGAATGAGATGTTCCCACGTCTCGAACTATATTTTCAGGTTTCATTGGTTTACACTATCTTCAACGTGGCCCTCTCCCTGGGTCATATTTATCGGGGGCCTTGTAACTTTTGTCTCTCATGGGCTTGGAATGAACACTTTCTAGTATCTAAATACCATCTATCAATGAATCAATTGATTAGACCTACCAACAAGACCCGCAAACTCAGATTAACAGCTCATTTCCAAACTTAGTTTTCTCACGTCTCGAGACCTATCGTGATACAGCTCACTGTATGGGCTTGTACATATAGAGTCATCAAGCACTAAAGATACCCATTCCAATATACTCCTTGCTCTGTGACCCAGAGTTAACTTGACTGAGTTGAATGATCGGGTTGAATGATCATTAGCGGCAGTGATCATTGTAATTGTCAGCATTGGGGTGCTGGACGAAGCCAGAGAGACGGGGAAGTAGCCATGTGAGTAGCAATGAGGGAGCAGAAAGGCATGCTATACTTCTGTGATCAAAAGGGAGGAACCTAAACCAAATGTCAAATAAGATGGTTTCGCCGAGGAGCTTTGGTCCATGTTCTCTTCATTATCTCACGCCAATTTGACGGCTTCTTGATCAACAGGGAGTGTAACTGGATTGGGAAGCAGGTCGCGCTGACAGTGGCTTGATAGGCCTACGTGTCGCAGGAAGGCCCCACTCCGACCTCCTAAGATGGTTAGATGGTCTCAGAGCTAAAGGATTATCAACCCAATGAGGGTAAATCGTTATATTTCAGCGCTTCTGGAGGCGTGAAGGAATGGATATTATGGGTGGATGCCTCAGTAAGCCCCCTATATTATGTGAAAGTTATAGAGCTCGGGTGGTTTTTCACCTATCAGATCATATCGGAATGCTCAACTAAACTCCACCATTAGCTCGTATTGGCCATGCAGCGGTCAGCCTCAGCCGTTTTGGCTTAAGCCTTGTCCATTAAAGTTGCCCATCATATTTCGCCCCCAACTTGGTGTAGCCCCCGAACATTGCCTTTCCCAACTTCCCCTGTTCGAACCGAGAACTTACTTTCAACCTCGACACCTATGAGGCCCACCTTGCACTTTTTACCTTTTTGAGCCTGTTTCACTTCAAAATATACCCACCATGAGTACAGACGACCGCACATGCTATTTTCCCGAAGGGGACACGGCATCGGGCACCTACCCATGCACGTCTGACGATATCACTCATTGTTGTGGGAGTGGCGGAATTTGCCTAACAAACGGATTCTGTCTTGATGTCTCTCAGCCCTTTGTTCTTTCCAGAGGAGGCTGCACAAGCAAGACATGGGGAGATGGATGCCCAACTCAATGCCGTGAGCATCAACTACTCCGGTTTTTTCCCGTGATTTAAGCTGACATGCCCCGACCCGACTAGAGGACGTGACCAAGTCAGAGGGCGCGTCAATTATAAACCTATCGCTCATTAACGGCACCTCATTATACTGTTGCGGTACACCTATCTACAATGGGACAGAGATTGTTTGTCCATACGGAGATAGCTTCCAGTTGGCTGATGCCGACATCATCATCGGACGCGCCGCACTTGCCAATGTCACGGATTCGTCTTCGGACTCTACAAACTCAACTACAACTGTGACTGCTAACTCAACGACAACTGCCAACTCAACGACATCTTCCGTATCCCCTTCCTCGTCGGTATCAGCATCCAGCAACTCGCACGACGTTGCGATCGGCGCAGGAGTAGGTGTTCCACTTGGGATCATTGCACTTGGTACGCTGGCCTGGGCGCTTTGGGAAAGAAGACGTGCGAACAAACTGAGCCAATCCTTGGGCTCTATGGGAGCTGGTCATGGAGGCTATGCCAGTGTCAGTAGCCCTTCAGCGACCATGACCAAAAGCTCTGCGCCAACGGAGTTGGACTCTCATCGGGCTATACCTGAATTGATGTCAAGAGACTGAGGAGTAATACCCACCGGATCGATGATTGTACCATATGAGTACCCGGTATCTTTTATATACACCCCCCATATTGTTTTGCCTTTGGGTTCTTTGCTGCGATAATGTATAATGCTTTGAGATGTTATTCTAACCCAGAAGTCAATACACCACATACTATTCTTTTCTCAAATCCGCTTGTTCCCCGACTATTCCATATCAATGTCTGCTTCACGGCCGTTTTCAATCAATACGAATAAATCTGAGACACCAACTTTATTCGGGGATGAACCTGCCTAGGTAGTGGTCCTCGGCACTCAGATGAAAAACAATCCCTTCCCTCCTTCCGTTCTGTATCCTCACTTCTTGGTGTTGTATTGCTAACATCCTTGAAATTGAAAAAACACATGTGGATCGACTCAAGGGCTCCTTCGGGCCTAGCCGCAACGTGGGGTTGAGGAACCCCAGAATTTCCACCGACGATCAACTACACAGCGACCTCGAATACATGATTCGTATTCCCAATATCAGCCTCAAAACTGAGCCGACAAAGCTATCATACTCCCCAAAATGATTTTGATTTGTGAACCGGCCTTCAGCGGAAGAGACTTTCGGTTCGCTCCGGCCCAGAGAATCCACTTGTGGCTTGACTAGATCATTCTGGGTGAGCGCCTCTCATCGTAACGCACAAACACGGGGCATCTTCACCCCCTTTCTGTGGGTTTCTCTTTTTTTTCCGGCATTTCATTTGGTTTTACTTATATATAATTCTAGTCCCAGTCAAACTTTTCAAATCCTGAGACGCCCCTGTGGGATTGACAGCCCAGGTAGGCAGATCAGAGCGTCGGTTCCAAGGTTCAGGCTCACCGCCACATCTTCGAATCAATCAAACAAAAATGACTTCCAATGGAACGTACACAATCAGTGAGCTGCCGCCGGATCAGCGGGCTCTTTCCGGTCACCGATACAAAAAGCATCTCTACTACGTAGCGCAGGCCGCAATTTGGATTGGTTATCTGTACTTCGCTGTCCGCTTGTTCGCAATCTTGTCTAGCCCATCGCAAACATGGCAAATGTGGACAATGTTAGCGGTGGAATTGGTCTTTGCTCGTAAGTGATCTCGCAATGATCAGAGGCCTGGCTCTAACCAAAATGTTAGATCTGGCCCGGCAAGAACAACTTCGTTCTGTTATTGCCGGCAAGGTGCCGCAAGGTGGCCCGCGCAAGAGGTTGCGCCTTCAGGGCAACGATGATCTTCCTCGTGTGGATGTCCTGTTACCCTGCTGTGGTGAACCAGTGGACGTCATCATGCAAACGGTGCGAGCGGCATGCACCATGGACTATCCTGTCTCTCAGTTTCGCGTACTGCTTCTAGACGACGGGGGCTCGGCTCTGCTGAAGAAGACTGTTCTGGGACTGCAGGCTCAATGGCCACACCTCTCATATCATTCCCGTGGTAGACAGTCTGGTCAGGTTTTTGCCAAATCTGGCAACCTGAATTATGCCCTGACCACCTTGCAGAATGAGAATCCGCCGCAATTCTGTACAGTCTTAGATGCGGACTCCATCCCATCGCCGGAATTTCTTCGTGCAATTCTCCCTCATCTATTGCAAAATCCTGCTTCGGCATTGGTTTCTACCCGCCAATACTTCTCCAATCTCCCTAAAGGTGATCCTTTGTCCCAGGCTCGCTGTCACTTCTACACCTGCCAGAATGCGGAACTCGATATTCTGGGCCGCGCTATAGATGCGGGGTCTGGTGCAGTATTCCGGCGCCAGTCTATTATTGACGTTGGCTTTTATCCGACCTTCTCATTCTCTGAGGATTGGCAGCTATCGTTGGTGTTGCAAGGATTCGGATACCCAACCATGCAGGTCCAGGAGCCTTTGCAGTATGGTCTCGTTCCAACATCCATAACCGGGCACATCGCTCAAAGAAACCGATGGAACATTGGTCATTCCCAACAAATAGTTTCCATGCTTTCTTCGAATCCTCCGAATTTTCCCAAGCAACTTCGAAAGACTATTGCTTGGAATGGAGCGGGAATTATAGGAGGTGAATTTGGCTGCCTGCTCAGCTTTGCAGCAGTCCCGGTCCTCCTACTCGCCGGAAAAACGATACCGGCTACCTCAACACTAATGACTATGCTCCAATTTGTCCTAGCAGCAGCTTATGTGCTCTCAACCTGGACATATGAGTTTTGTCAAGCTGCACAGACAGGTTTTCAAAGCGCTCCATTTGCCCATCTGGAAAATAAGTGGCAGGCTGCCGGTAAGTCTATGGCTTGAAAGGCTCCCATTCTTGCAATTTGAACTAATTAGGCTCGCAGGAAACATCTATTCTATCCTACGATTCTATCTACTGACCAGCAAGCCGAAAGGCTCGTTTGTGACGGGTAGCACGGCCAACTCTTGGAATCGTCTTACGGCAATGTCTTCATACATGAGATTGTACAAAGACCTCTGGCAAAATGGCCTCTTTTGTAACGTTATCATGCTCATCACGACCCTGGGTGCAATTTTCTACTCGACAGCCGTTGTCCTGTCCCCGAACGACCAGGACCTGACCACAAAGCTGCTCACCTCAGTTGCCTGGCCGCCATTGCTCCATGTTTGCTATCTCACCATTGCAAACAACTGGGTACCCGTTGCGTATCTGTTGGATCCTCCGACTTATCCCGATCGAGACTCTCAATACATCGAGAATGAAGCTCCCAAAACTACTACATCGCCGGAGAAGTGGTACAGTATGGGTAAAGCCAGCAAAGCCAGCAAAGCCAGCAGGGATATGCTGCAGCTGGGAAGTAGATTGGAGATTGCCGAAGATTCCGAATTATGAAATGCCGTTATGGAGATATGATACCCTAGACGGGATTACCCAATAAAAAAAGCTTTTACGAACACGACTGACAATATATGTACCACTTTATCGTTTCAGCGATCTTTCTAAATCTCAATGTAGCGATATTGCACACTTGCACCCACATTCTGAGAGCCCTCCGGCTTCTTTACAGACCACATGTATAGCTCATCAGTACCAAACCGTACTTCTTCCACAATATCAAACCCACACTTGCTCAACACCGCACAACTCCCAAGATTATTCTTCTCACAAAGCGCATAAACCTTTTCCACAAATCCAGAGGCTCGATCCATATCATCCAGGTCCAGTCTGGGAAGATCCCACCACATCTTCAACATCATTCGCAATGCCTCCGTTGCGAACCCTTTACCCCAAGACTCTGGAAGAAGCGAGTATCCGATTTCTGGACACGGGTCGACGGCATTGATGCCCATATAACCAATGACTTGTTCTTGGGTATCTGGAATTGATTTATCCACGATTGAATACACAAACGAACGACCAATGACACTGGCTGGTGCCTTGAATATTTTGCTCGATAGCCATTCTTTTGTTTGTTCAATTGACTGGAATGGCGTTTTGGGGTGACTATTGGTGTTAGTCGAGGTCTTTAGATGGCTGCTATGAGTTGTCCTACTTGGTTTTTGCTACTTCTGGTCGAGCACGTACGGCAAATAATGCTGCAGTGTCACGATCTTCGACGGGGCGAAGGAGGAGTCGGTCACTTTCAATGGATGGCCCAGATGATGGAACCAGTGCATACACCGGCTGACGGGGGAAAAAGTCATCTGCCATGTTTTGTGTATACCGGATCAAGGCCCTTAGAATGAATCTTTGAGGAGAGAAGTGGGAAGCGATGTCTTATGTCTTGGAGGCTTATGTCTTAAAGCCAAAGCACGGAACAAAATTTGATTGGGTCTATTCAATGCCACTAATCCAGTCTCGGAGCCCGCCTATGGAATGTCATTATGGAACCACGCCAATAAAGGAAGCTAAACCTCAGAACCACTTGAAGCATTTGAAGTAAAAATAATAAGCGGAAATCCCACGTGGCGTCTAGGCCCTGCTTATCTCAACTTATGGGAACTTCACGATATGATTGCTTTTTCCAGTATGCATAACACATATTCACACTCTCTCATTGGTGGCCCTTATCGCTGGAGAAGTCACGGGACGAACCCCACACTTTGTCGGGTATGTAGTCTAGCTTAGAGTCGCGACTTCTCTCTTGAGAGTAAGCGACTAAAAAACAAGGTCATGGATCACCGGAAACGTGCGGCTCGAGCGTTAGTATCAAGAAATATGAAAGACTGATCGCTCAACCTCTAACTACTTACAGTTGCGACGAATGCAGGCGGCTGAAAGAGAAGTGTGAAGGTGGAGCCCCCTGCAGGCGGTGTTCTCATTATCGGAGACAATGTGAATTTAAGGGCTTAATTTCGAGGACGCGGGAATTTCGCCCTTACATGCCAAGGTAAGTTTGTTGATCACTTTCGTCTTGGGACATATACTAAGAGCACCAGGGAGCAGATTGGGAGGTCCGATCTGCAGGAGCAGATTGAGCGCTCGAGATATATGGAACGGATATTAAAACGAACTATTGAAGGCATTAGACTTGATACAAAAAGTCTGGCCAGATTGGCCGACGCACTGGATGCTGATGCATCAGATGCTAAAGAAGTCGAGGGACTGGTGATAGATGATGAGGCTTGCACAATGGAACCTGTTGGGGATACTGTTACGCGTCAGTCATACAATCTGCCTCCATTGATTCATACTAACTTCAAGCAGATTTCTCAGGTGAATTCTCATATTGGAATTTCTCCATGCGAGTGAAGGATCACATTGAGAAACGAATGCAAGGTTTGGGGAATAGGGTAAGTGCTATTTCGCTGTTGTGCGCCCCTTTCTCCTCCGCTTGCAACTGATAGAATTAGGACCTGCCTGACTCGGATCGAGAAGAGGAGCCGCCGCGTGTCCGTCACCTACGACCAGGACAAGCTCATTTATCGGCAGCAATATCGTGTTGCCCTCCACGGCAAATTGCGGACTTCTTGGCAAGAACTTTCTTCAAGTACGCGGAAACTCATTACTTTTTTGTTGACCAGACTTGGCTTCTTGAACGGATGAATATGTATTATAGCGATCAAGGGAGCTTTGCCAAGAAAGGTTGTGAAGTGACTATCAGCATCATCCTCATGGTATTCGCTATTGGCACGCAGTATGCCCATCTGGAATCCTCCGCACAGAATCCTTCGGGCTCCACAGAATCCAACTTTGCCGAGGAGGATATTGGCACCGCATTCTATCAGCAAGCGATTCGACTTTTACCAGAGATTATCGAGCATTCATCTGTTGAAAGTGTTCAAGCTTGTTTGCTTTTTGGCTGCTACGCACTTGCATTTGATGCCTCGGGGCTGGGGTATATCTACATCAATATCGCCATTAGATTGGCCATGCAAAATGGCATGCACCGAAAGTGCAAGAGTGATGCATACAGTCCGAAGATGATCGAGACAAGGAATCGTGTATGGTGGACTGCATATCTGCTTGAAAGGTAGGGCCCCGTAGCCCAAACCGAGATTTCTGCTAATAATACTAGAAAAATATCTATCTTTCATGGTCGGCCTCTGTCAATGCTTAGAGCGGATGTTGATGCCACAATTCCCCTTCATAAACCAGAATTGGCGTTGGGTGACTCTCGAGCTAGTGTCGCACGAGCAGAAGCTTCTATTCAATTAACCCATTTCTTAGAAGACATGTACAATGAAGTGTAAGAACGTTTTGTGCTGCCATATTTGACACAGTTCAACTGATATTTTTACAGTACCCTTCTTCGGAGCTGTCAGAAACAGCAAGTATCAAAGATCATTAAGAACCTGTTAGCCCGCAAAGTATCGTTGCATACTTGGTGGAATTCCCTTCCTGAGGAGGTCGTAAGGGAAAGACCTCGATCTCCAATGCATATTCGCTCAATGATGCATCTCCGGCTGGAATACTGTTTGGTCCGAATGTTCATGGGGCGACCGTTTTTGCTTAAACGAGAAACGTCGAGCACAATGGGTACTTCACCGCACTCAGAGACCAGTCCATCTGACCATGCCTCGATCGATCCTGGAAATCACAAAGGCTCTTTCACTCGCAGGGACTTAATCGAAGACTGTATTGAGGCGGCAACCGAAGCGTTGGGAATTTGCCAGGATATAAGAGACAATGGTGCCGGCCTAGCACGAGCCTCATACATCGAGTATAGCTCATGCCGAGCATCATTGCTCGTGCTGATTGCTCACTCCATACAAAGCTTCTCGGAGCAATTCCGCAAATTACTGTACACTGGCTTGGACATGATTCGAGAGATGTCAGTGGCTGGAGAGTCGGCTCGTTATGAGGTAGCGTTGATCGAAACACTCGAGCGTGCCCTGGCCCGCTTGCATACTGGAGCACAGCAGTCCCAGCAGATCGAGGATATGACACAACCCGAGACAGCTGTTTCTGACTATGAAATATTTAAGCACTGGGGTGCAAGATTGCGGGATGGAGCGGCAAGTGATGCACCTGGAAATGTGAACAATGTTCCAGCTCGTCATCTTAGGGCACCTCCGACTTCGGATCAGCTCTGCACTAATGATGACATGGTGGAAATTGACTGTGCGGAAACGTCTTTTGACAAAGATTTCGATACTGGAATGTTTGGAGCATTAGATTCTGTCATAGGAATGACGATCTTCGGCACCGAAAACTCTTCTCCATCAGCAGCATGGCCAACCTGGACAGAGACCCAGGTCCTGGAGCAATTCTTGACCAATCCAGAGTTTGGAGGAAGTCAGGGAATGATGAACAGATAGTGTATAACATTGTACCAGCCTAATGTAAAATAATGAAAGCGATATACTGTACTCAAGTCTTCGTAAACAATTCTAAATTTTTAAAGATAAATATTTTAACGTAGTTTGCATCCCTCACGATGAAGCGGCCACAATCTTCTGTGCCATCTCCAACAAACTATCCTCCATAACATCCAAATTAGCGTCAAAGATCTCAGCACAAGACTCCTTCTCATAAACAGTACAATAAGCCCCCCTAAACCCAACCTTAACAGCAGCAGTAACATCCCACATATGAGCAGCCGCAAACCACTTAACATCATCCTCCCCAAACTTCTTCAACGCAGGCCGGTAAGCATCAAGCGCCGGCTTCGCCACACCAGATGTATCACAGGTAATAAAGTTCTCCAACGGCATATCTAAACCAGCCCGCTCGAAGTAACCGCGAACCCGAACCGCATCACCAGTGGTAAGGCACCAAACGGTGAACCCGGCCTCTCGGAGCGTAGCAAAGCACTCCTTTGTACCAGGGCGCAGTTCCAATTCCGAGTATGCCTGTGCGCACTCTTCGCGCTCGGTCTCTGTTGCGAAGGATCGGGGATCCTCAATACCCATCATGTAGAGTGTGCGGAAGAACAGAGCGCGGATGATTTCTTTGTAGGGCTTGTAGCGCTCGGAGATGGAGAGGAAGGTGAATTCTAGCTCTGCAGCTGTCATCCAGGTGAAACCGAAGGAGCGGGCGGTTATGTTGTTTTTGAGGAGCTTGGGGCCGATGACGCGGTCAATTCCGGCGTAGAAGGCATCGAAGGAGACGCAGGTGCCGACGACGTCGAAGACGACGTGCTTCTTGGGGGACATGGTGGGGTAGTGAGGAGTGTTTGGTGGATGTAGCTGGAAGACTAGATTGGAATTGAGATGTTGGTTTGAGTTACGGGTGTCAGTGTGGTTTTAACAAAGGACAATTGTCAATGTAGAGGGGTAATTTAAGGATTTAGAAGCTAAAAGAAGCATACATGCCACTAGAAAGTGTGTGATTCACGATAGTTCCCCCGCACCGGAATCCACAATCTAATCAGTTCGGATCCCGGTATTTTGGCTTTACCTAATCGGGAAGGTCCGGGCCGGTTCGATGTTATTGGTTGGAGGGTTATCATGCCTCGGAGAATTTCCGTACAATCTCTCTTAATAGATTGGGATTCGCCTCCTATCCTGATAACCAAAAGAATTCTAGCATTATCAATACCGATATCGATATGGCCGTGTTCTGGTATCTGGGGGGCGTTGCAAAGTTAAGGTCTGGACAGAGTAAGATAAGATAAACCAGGGACTTGTAAGACAATCATGTAATGGAAACCTTCCAAGGTTGGAGTGGCTAGACAGTTACGTACCTAGGTTCGCTTTTATTATGGTTGCCCGAGCTTTACGCAGAATGTGATGTGAATAAATTCTATAATAATGTTGAGGTATATCTAGATAAATTTCAAGTACGCTAATTGACATTATGTATTCTTCTCCTTATGACCACAAAATATTGAGTCTCCTGAGTCCCCGTTTCGGTTCTGGTTCAGGCTCAGGGTTATTCAAATACTGCTCAATGAAAGGCCGAATAGGGATCTCCGCCAACGGGACAATCTTAGTCTTCATCCAGAACTTGTAGCCAAAGTACACGATCAAGATAAATGGCAAGTTGAAGTAAGAAGAGACGAATGTCTCGGTGCTCCAGTGCCCCTTAATAAAAGTGCTATAACCTCCAGTGAAAAATAGGAGAATAAACACGACCAAAGAGACCCAGGTAGTGTACGGCTGGAAGGGGGCAGCCCACGGGAGTTCCTTATGGCGATCAATGCCTTGCTTTTTGCAACCATAGAGGAACCGCAAGTAAACGATGAGAATGCAAAGCCAGTTCACAATTGTCGCGATTGAGACAAGATCCTGAAGCCAGCTAAACACTGTGCTGGCAGAGTCTGACAGTGTCATGTATCCCAGGGCCATGAAGACACTGTAAAGACCCACGGCAACATAGGGAATGGAGAATCGGTTCAGGCGCATGAAGATTGCGGGTGCGTGACCTTGCTTTGCCATGCCATAGAGGATTCGGGAGCCGCCAAGCATGTTGGAGTTACCCGAGGACCAGGCGGAGGTGAGAACGACGGCATTGATAATAGAGGGGACGACCTTGATACCAGCATTGCGAGCTGCGATGACAAAAGGAGACTCTGACGCTGTGCCGGTAGAGTCGAGAAGGTTTGGATCGGCGGAAGACACGACCAGACCGACCATGAAGATCGAGAGGACATAGAAGAGTAGGATTCGGATGAAGATGCGTCGGGCAGCCATGGGAATTGCCTGTCGAGGGTTTCGAGTCTCAGCTGCAGCGATGGTGATGTTCTCAATTCCAGAGTAGGCGTAGAGAGCATTGTTGAATACCGTCCAGAAACCCAAGAATCGACCCAGAGATCCACCAAATCCTAGATACTGAACAAAAGGACCATAAGGGCTCTTCCAGTACTCGAACCCGATAGCCTTATGATTAGGACCTCCTCCACATGTAATGACCAACGCCATGATATTGATTCCAATAATCAGCATGATCTTGAGAAGGGAGAATCCAAACTCCAGCTCGCCGTAAACTCGTACAAAGAGGACGGCCGTCAAGATCATCAACACGCCGAAGACGGTAACCCAGATCGCAGAGCTGACCGTGACCCAAAATTCGACAATCACGGCGCAGGCGACAAGTTCGGCGGGAATTGAGACGATGTAAGAATAGACTTGGTTCCAGCCATTGGCGAAGGCCAGAGCAGGATCGCAAAAGATTTCGGCGTAACGAATCACACCACCATTGAGGGGCACGAGAGCACCCATTTCACCGACACCAAAGACGACACTTGACACCATTAAACCGATAATTGCATATCCCAGGAAAGCGCCCAGAGGTCCCGCCTCTGCAATGGCTCGTCCAGAACTTAGAAATAGACCGGTTCCGACAGTACCGGCGAGGGCAATCATCTGAATATGTCGCTGGTGGAGGCCCTGTTTGAGATCAATGATCTCCTCCATTTGCCCAGCGGCATTCTCCACATCTCCCTCTTTTTGCATTTCGGTGTCGTAAATAGGATATTTCTTGTCTGACAAGGTGATGTCCATTCTGTCAGGTGAATTGTTGATGGACATCTTCAACACTGTAAGAAAGGAAGAATGAAAATTTCAATTGCTAAATCCATTTAAAACCCTTCCCATCTCGTTTTTTTGTACTTTTTCCACTTTTCCTGCATGTCTTCCTTAGACTCTGTCGGGCACCAATCATCGTGGACCCGCGCCAGGCTATCGCGGCTAATTGGCAATTGGCAGAGTTTCGTTGGTGGATACGACCGGATCTAAGACCGGCATCGTGATAACAAAGTGTATAAACGTCAAAAACACCAGATAGACGCACTGACCTCACATGCCCTCCCCCAACCCCTGTTCAATATGCGGGGGAGGTTAATCAGTGGGGCTTAAGAAAGTCGGTATCATCTTTATCGGGCTATGCCGGTCCGGCGGTGACAATTGATAAGTGGCCAGATACTGGTCCGATAGTGACCCGGTAACCGGACCATCTGATAAAGTCGGTCAAGATTAAGCTTATAAAAAAAGAAGCTCTTCGATTTAGTATTTGCTTTTTTTTCTCATTCAAACCTTGTTCATTGCTTCCTTTCCCGATGCCTTCTGCCACAGATAAGACCCAAGCAAACGGCCTAGCCAACGGCTACACCGCTATTGCTGGAACTGAGAAATGTCTCCCAACCGTCACCCCCGGAGAAACATTTTGGCAGACCGAGAAAGATGAGCTCCATGATCATCGATCGACCGAGCAATTGCCTGAGCACAGTGATATTGTGATCATTGGTGCTGGGTATGCTGGTGTTGGTACTGCCTATCATCTCGTAAAAGATTACGATGCAAAGTCCGTCACCATTCTAGAGGCCCGGGGTGCTTGCTCCGGTGCAACTGGTAGAAATGGTGGTCACTGCAGACCTGATCTTTATGGCCACATCCCCACCTACATGGACCGAGCAGGAGCTCAAGCCGGTGCTGAGGTTGCCCTGTTCGAAATTGCCAATCTACGAGCGTTGAAGAAAATCATCGAGGAGGAGAAGATCGATTGTGATTTTACTTTGACTCGATCAACAGATGTCTGGTGCAATGAGGAGTCCGCAAAGAAAGCTAAGGCGGTTTACGACCGGATGGTTGCCGAGAATCTTGATTATATGAATGACGTGATTTTCTATACTGGAGACAGGAGTGAAGGAGTAAGTCATACTTTCTTTCCAAGTGAAGAATACTCCGGAATTATTACTGACATACGATAGATCTCCGGTGTCAAGGGTGCAAAGGCATGTGCAAGCTTCACAGCCGGTACAATGTGGCCTTATAGATTCATCATGCATCTTGTCCGATTGGTTGTTACAGCTGGTGTCAACTTGCAAACACATACCCCTGTCACATCCGTGGAGCCATGCTCACAAGAACAAGGCGGCTTCACCGTCACCACCCCCCGAGGAACGATGCACGCAGGAAAGGTTGTTTACGCCAACAACGCCTACGTCTCCGGCATTCTCTCCCCCAGTATAAGAAGAACATTATCCCCTGCAAAGGAATTTGTTGTCGAATCACACTTCCCGAATCCAAGGAAGCGGCGCCTTTACTCACTAATTCATACATCAACCGAACCGATGAAAATGTGCTCTCATATTTGATTCCTCGTTCAGACGGCAGTATCGTCGTCGGTGGTGCTGCGGCCGTCTTCCGGAATGCCGAGGATCAGTGGTATGACAATGTGGATGACAGTGTTCTGATCGATGCTGCCAAGGACTATTACACAGACTATATGCAGCGAACATACTATGGCTGGGAAGGCGCTAAGATTGATAAGCTCTGGTCTGGCGTTATGGGATACTCATACGATTCCAACCCGCACATTGGTGCTGTTCCTGGAGAGTCGGATCAGTACATTCTTGCTGGATTCAATGGCCATGGTATGCCTGTCATTTGGCTGTCATCGAAGGAGGTGGCCAAGATGATTATGGAAGATGTTTCATTTGAGAAGACTGGTCTCCCCGGGCTGTTCCAGAGCACACAGTTCCGTATTGATCGGGCATTGAATGGGAAGGAGGAGGATGGTGATATCCTTGGAACTGGGAAATCTGCTGCCACGAAGCCTTAAATATGGAGTATTTATGAATGTACAAATCAAATTCAAGTTATAAATAAGGGAAGATCAAGTAGAAGAAAAGTGACTGGCTTTTGCCTGAATTCCGTGGTCCCATCCTGACGCGTTGGACTTCGAAAGCTTTACCGGAGGCAAATCCTTCATTCCGGTCCCACATTAAAGCAAAATTGGTCATTTCCCTATAAATATAGAGACTCCACTTCTCCAAAAAGAAAAAATGACGGACGGCAAAGCGCTCAAAATCTCATTGGTTGCATAGATTTACATGTTGATTAGCCCCGCAGCACTCGTACTGGCGGCATCAGCCGCAATGCTTGATCGGCTTTCGGGATTCGGGTTTCGTGCCGAGGAACAGGCAACACCACTCCCCAGATCTCTGAATTCCGGATTCATTGCTTTAAAAATCCATAAGCACACATAATCTGACTTGTCAAATATATCCCCTACTCTGATATAAGGCTCTCTACTTTGATACAAGGCTCCGGAGAAATCATCTTCTACACAATTTAACAGACAACAGGACTAGGCAGTGAGTCATCATGTCACAAAACACGTCTACGATTCCTGTCACAACAGAGAAGACATTCAGCAACTACAATCAGGAGCAAGGAAAAGCTTACGCTCAAGGCCGTCCTGACTATCACCCCAAAGTATATCAGTATGTCATTGATATTCATACCTCAACCGGTGGTCAATTCGACACTCTTCTCGACGTTGGAAGTGGCCCTGGAAATGCCGCTCGAGCGCTGAGCTCACACTTCGCCCATGCTACTGGTCTCGATCCGTCCGAAGGAATGGTAGTCACCGCCCGCTCTATAGGTGGCGTCACATCGACCTCCGAACCCATTCGTTATGAGGTTTCCACTGCTGAACATCTCGGTACCAGTCTATCACAGCAGCCCATTCAAGATAAAAGTATCGACCTGATCACAGCCGCCAATTCCGCGCACTGGTTCGATATGTCCCAGTTCTGGCCAACAGCTGCCCGCGTCCTCAAGCCCGGTGGTAGTGTCATTATGTGGACGACTGGCAAGACATGCATTCATCATTCTGTCCCGAATGCGGCTGCCATCAACTCTGCTATGGATCATCTAGAAGAAACACTACTGAAACCCTTCATGGCTCGTGGTAACTTCATGACCCGGAACCGCTATCTTGACCTCCCCATGCCGTGGGATTTGGAACACCCTGTGCCGGGATTCGAGGAAGCGGAGTTCGTCAGGAAGGATTGGGATGCTTCTGAGCAATTCCTTGCTCATCAGCCGGAGGTGAAATTGGATCTTATGGAGAAGATGTTTGAGACCATGAGTCCTGTTGTTCGATGGAGGGAGGCGCATCCGGACACGGTCGGGACTGAGGATGATATTTTGAAGATCTATCGGAGGACAATTGAGCGACTTCTTCATGAGGCTGGGGTTGAGAAGGGAAAAGAGAGTTTCAAGGGAGCCATGCAGGCCGTGGTACTGGTTGTCAAGAAGAGTTCGAAATAGTGTCGAATTATGCGCCTTCATAGACTTACATTTTCTAGAAATCGAGATCATCCAGTGAATGAATGGGCTGAAATGGAAAATCAATAAGACTTCACTCACCTTTGATACAGAGAAAAGCAAACACTAACTCTAGGCTACCATGCTTACTCTAAAGTATTCGCTTACTACCTCTCTAATATGAAAATTCTGAGTCTAACTAGGTTCACATCAAATTTACTTGTCACTTGTCTTGAAACTACCGTTTCAACCAATCAGAGCCCATAATTCCTCTAGCGTATCTTGAAGTGGGTTACTTCTCTGCTCAATCAACGCCTGCTCATTGGCCGGCTCGGGTTATTGACGTCACATTTACTTATTTTAGACCAACAGAATCGGACTTGCATACATCGCCAAGGTGATTTGAAAGACTAGTCCAAATGGAAGCAGTCAAACCACAGGACATTGAGACAGAATACGCGTGATGGGATGAACCATTTCCAGATCAATTCGTTTAAAGAGGGGTTATGTCTCTGGATTAGTTGAGCTGTTTTTGGCAATATACACAAAGCAAATAGTCCACCAATATTTGACTAGGTAACATACCGCATTATTTTCAAGTAAGATACTCTATTACCAAGCTGTTCTGCTCTTTCTAACGTGCCACTTCAAGAAATGACCTCATATAGTCTTTATGTATTTGTTATCATCGTTGGCTGTGTCGTCGCCACATTTATTGGTTACTCGCTCCATTATATCTCGACCAACGGATTCGCAGACGACAAATTTGAGCCTGAAATGTCTATAGAACAGAAGCAGTATATGAGGAATGTACGCTGGCGAAATGTGCTTGATCTTCAAGAAGCATGCCGTGTACAAGGTCCTGGCCGGCCTCGGAACGGTGCAATGAGACAAGGATGAAGTTTAGGTGAACCCTAGGTATGTAGACTTTAGCAATGACATTGATATGTTTGACTTGGAGGGGTTGGCTGATAATCTAGCACGGTAGTAGATGAATTATGTGTTCTTGATTTGACGAATATACATTTTGGGGTATGTTTGGATGGCCATCTATGTGTATGGTTGGGTACTTTGGGTTTGTTTTGGGGTGGTTTATATGAAGACCACGAACATTTGATTGGGTGTTGGGTTAAAGGCGAGTCAAGGTTTGGAAGGCTTGGGGAGGCATCGGATAGAAAACGCTCAATGCTATGTATTACCCCTAAATACTGTCATTTTTAGCACTCCTGTACCAAATCCGAGTCCATGCTCTAGCCAAACAACCTTTGGTGTCTATCCTCAGCACGCATCTCGGGCCCAGTTGATGGTCAATTAGCAAACCTGGTGTCTTCTCCCAACAATCAAGTTGAAAAATGCAGTGCGCCTCAGAGATACTAGTATTAAATCTTTTATTCGATCATAACGTCGTAAAATCTCGACTTCTATATATACATACGCATGTTTGAGGTACTTTATACATGTTCTTTCACACTGGCATCTCTGTGAGATCCCTCAGGGAAATCACCATGTGTAACCTCAAACGTTTGGTGAACACCGACTTCTATCTTTTGTCCCGCGGGAAGACGAGGCGAGTGCTCAATAGTCAATCCCTCTTCACTGCTGTTTTGGCTGGACGTTCTCGTCCAGGGGCTTCCAATGCCCCCTTGGCTCTCAATATTTGTCACCATCACCGCCAGTTTATCGGGTCGCAGTCCGCTTCTGTTGGCGGTGTCCATCGATCCCAGCGGTACCGCCCTCTGTCCACTGCCACCGACGCGTCGGCCATCTGATGCACGAGGGAATCCGGATGAAGGGTAGTTATCGGCACGAGAGCCGAGCCAGTGGCGGAGCAAGGGACGGAGGGTTGCTAGACTACCTGCTGTGATTCCGAGGCCGGCTTCGGTGATAGACCAGATGGCGATTTGATAGGTAGCGTCTAAATCAGTTAGGATTGTTCCAGAAAAAAGAAGGCGAGAGGGTGGAACATACAAAGGAAGTCAGGGTCCTCGAATGTCCGAACGAAGGGGAAACGGACGATAACTGCTGATGAGGCACTGTTTCCTGTTAGTGATTGGTCCAGGGTTGTGAAAAATGGTCCGTGGTCACTTACATGCAAGCCATGCTTAGAATTCCGATCACGGCCACCTTGGCGTTCTTCTTCATGTGCAGGTCTTTCACTAGGAAGATCGGAAGGATTCCAACGGTGAAATCGCAAAGTGCGGAGAACACACTGTAAATGTATGTCATAATAACGATGATGTGGATATCGATGCAGTAGCCCTCAATAGAGGGATCTTCTCTTGTTCGATTCCAGAAGTAGGACACCGGCTTGCACTGAAGAAGCATGAGGAAGAAGAAAACCAACCCCGCAAGAACAGTGAGAACCATCACAATGTAAAGAATCCAAATATGGACCCGCTTGACAGTGATTCGCATCAGGAAAATGCACACTGAAATCTTGCATCCAATCGAAGCAAAGCAATAAGCAACTTCGCAAAGCCACCAATAATTCATGGCTATCGCGCGATGATCCGGTGTAAGGTTTTCAAATTTGTACCCAGTACCATTTCGAGTACCTCCGATCACACAAGCACAGAACATTATAAAGAACACCTGCACAAATTAGCCTGTTGTTCTCGGTGGCACAGTAAGGGAATGGCTTATTTACCGCTGCAAATACCATCGCCCCATCGTCGATGCCAAAGGCTCTCACAACCCGGGCGCGGACGTAGCAGCGCAGCATGACCGCGATGGTCGCCAGGGGCATGAAGACCGCCGCAACGGTCTCCACGCCCACTTTCCTTGCATGTTCGTCCGACATGTCAGTTAAAAGTGACAGAAAGACATTAGGAAAACTTGTGGGGCAGCGGATCCTTTAAACAGGATTCTCACAGTGCAAATAGCCGCAAATTCAAGACAGCGGAAACCGGGGGTCGAGCGTCTTCAGGGGCGGCTTCTAGCGTCAAAGGGGCTTGACTAGACCGGTCCACCGGGCAAAAGGCAAAACGGATCAGCATGATAGCATGACCTTCTTGGTCGGAAATGATTCGGTACAGATCCATTCAGTGACTTAAATAGGAGACTGGCAGGTTGACAGGCCCATGACAGAACCCAATCTGGGATCCATTTCATAGTGGAAAAAGGTCACCACCGAAGATTGTTTCCTGAAGAAGGAGCATTAAACTAGTGTACAGACTGTAATTTGTGGTTCGTGCAGATCCCCGGGCTAATCTCCCGAATAAGGTGCCAAGTCCGTGAGCAGAAACGCACCAGCGATTACAGTCTTACTAGTCTACGTAAAGCCTTAACAGTGTCCAGAGTGGGTCTTTGCATTGCAAGTAGGAAATTGCATGTCTTACACACTGACCAGGCTGTTAGTAAATGCCTTTCAAGGGCGAAATACTGCTCTGTCCTTCTTTAGAAAATTAGGTTTTCCACGTCCACGGTCGGGTCGGATCTACTACGAACCAAATAACTAAGTTTCCGACAATCTAGATGAAACGGGTTTGTAAACCATCCTTAAAAGTTAAAGGTCGTGATGCAAGAAGTCCGGATGTGGCGTGCCCTAGCCCTATTCATGCCGAACTGGACTAGACTGATGTGAAAGCCCCACCACGCATTCGCCAAGAGGAAGCCGTGAACAGGGTCTGGCGGAAAGGAATTTCCTATTCGGGGACTTCTATGATCCTTACAACGGCATTAGAATAAGTTCTCCGCATTACACACGTGGCCATGACGGAAGTCCGAATGGCCAAGTACCGAGGCGTTTTAACAATGCTATGAACTTAGCAATTTGACTAGTATGCTGTAGTGTGTGTGGCTTAAAGCCACGTTTTCTAGATTTTTACCCCCTGCTTATTCCTCGGCAAACTTTGACGTAGGCGTAATTAATCACCTTTTTAGGGTTAGAACCTCTGTACCGAACCCCTTGCAGAAGAAGAAGTTAAATGACCTGTACTTTTGTAAGTCTCCAGCAGTAACAAAGTTGGAGACTTCGCAGACCCATGAAAATCATTTTGAACTCCACTTTTGGCACATGCTGATGTGGAGTTTAACGTACATGTTCCGTATAGGCGTACGCTGTTCACGGTGTCAGGCCTAGGCCCCCGGTCGGCAACTAAGTCTTGTTTTTAAGACATTATCCACTTTGACAGATAAAGGCATTGTAAACGAACTATGTAATATATCTAGGCGCTGGACCAGGTCGCAAAGGAGATAATCTTAGATTAGATCGATTTAAATCCAGACCAATAAATTACTATATACCCCTTAAAGGTGAAATGGCGGGAATCAAAGTAACCCGAGGGCCTGGACACCCTGTGTATAGGGGCGGCTGGCGCTAAAAGGGTGGATTTAAGGCATTTTCTCTAAGCAGAAACGTGCACGTTTGCATAGGTCTAAGCGATTGAGCCGAGCTTTGTCGACGCCCGTGGACTAATGTCGGTGTGGCGAAGATAGGAGAAAGTTTGAAGGCCATAATTCACTTCAACAACCTCGCTATGATGACCATTGGAGATAATTATCCAAATCCCTCCAAGTTACGAGAACTACAGAGAAAGATGTGCCACATAAATCTGGTTCAAGGGTGACCGATTTCCTAGGATCCTGGATCTCTGTATTCTCTCTCTCTATTTAAGGTTCTACAACCCCACCATTTTTTGATAGTCAACTACAAGATGTGGCTTTCTTTGCCGTAACCCCTGAATCGCAACGCATGCTTCGTCAGCCATTGTCTAAATATGGTAAAGGAGACGACCCTTTCGCGGAGGCTTATCTACGCGACACGGAGATCACCAGACCATAGTTGTATTCTAAGCGGAATTCATTGATATCTTATCGCGATTGTGAAAAAGGTAAATGCCAGAACCATAGTAGCGTCCAAAGTCTAATTTTTAGCTATTTTCAAAGGAGTCCACTTTCAGACATTTTGAAATTGCCTCAGGCGTCACCTAACAGCAGCGTACCTAGAATTTAGAAGTCTAATGTTGTTGGCGGCATGGGAATGCAAGCTTGTGACCCAGGTCAGATATGTAGATACGTCTCTCACTCATACTCGCCATTTCTCTCTGTCTTTTTTTAATGCCCTCCCAAGTTCTTTCCAATTTCTTCCATAGGACATTCATTCGCTGTCCAATCTGTGCTTCTGTAAGCTTGCGGCAATACTTCCTCCGCGGTATATCCCGAATTATATTTGAGCTTGACGCACGTATCGGTACGGGCAAAGAAAAAATTTGTTATCAAGCAATATTGACCAAAAAAAGGCTATCTTGATTTGACAAGTCGCCCTCGTTCAAACGAAATTCAAGATCGGGGAAATGACCATATTTCCACGGATATGTCCTGACACTATGCATACTCGACCGTTGATTCGTAGATCATGGACCTTTGAGACTTTATGACAATTGAACCAAGCACCAGGCAAAGGCAATAAATAACATAGGCGACTACATTTACCACGTATCAGATTTAGCCACAATGCAAACAACTTTTCCATCATTCGCACGCGACTCATGTCGAAGCCCCTTTTCAAACCAGCCTAACAGAATCAAAGTATTGTGACGCTATTGTAGAGTTGCACATTTTGCGATTGCAGCCAAACACCATGTCATGAGCTGGCACCTTGTGTGTTTGGATCGCATGATCGGGGTGACTAGGTTTCTGTGATCTGCTTGACATCACAAATTGAGGAGGTTGTAAAATCGGATTGTAAGTCGGGTGTGAATTGATTGACATAGGATGAATTTTGTTGATAAGTGTGGGTGAGCTTGGGGGGAGAGTTGTGCCTCGGGGATTGAAAAATGAAAATTGTGCGTCTGGAACTGAGTCTAGAAATATTATCGATCAATTTGTTGAAGAGACGATAAAAGTAATGGACAAGTGGAAATCAGATGTTTGTAGGGAGCATTCGCATCTCTTATCCAGTCATCAGGTTATATGCATGTCTCAGTTCGATGACTTAACTCAAAAATATAAAACCCCGACCAATTTGCATATTCTCCATCTTTAGCTTTGACTATTGGATTTGATGGACCTGAGATAAAGCTGCTTGCAAGAATGAGAAATAAGGAAGAAGAGTCAACAGAAGAAAAGGTTTGAAATCTGAAAAGAGGGGGGATGAAACTCGAAAATCGCGCCTTCCTAAATCAGATTGTTGACAAACGAAACATCTTATGCAATCCAGTACAATGGAACAGGATTCGAGATTTCGAGCTTTTAAATAATCCGGGCCGAACCATTGCATAAGCCGTTTACATTCAATATTAGCACGTGTTCATAACGAGGAGATCAGCCATATATATCATCCCAGATGAAGAAGATATATCAGGGCTGAGAGAATGCAGGCTATCCAGATTGACTAAAGGAGATCGGTCAGGTGGCAGTAGGGCAGATGTCGGTTCATCCTTGCTCTTGCTAGCCCGACCGGTCTTTCACGATTTTCTACAAGCAGATCCAGCTACGCTCCCTTGAAGATGGATTAAGCCGCATCAAGAGGTAGTTCATGAGATAATGTCCATCGAGGGAGGATATATCACTGATTGATACCAAACGCTCTAACATTAGCAGGAGGCTAGCTCTGGAGGGTCATTGCGAGTTGAACTTCTCACTTTCATGACTATATGGCATTTGAATACGGACTCCGAGGTACCTAGTTGATCCATGTCAAGACCACGAGAAGTTGCCTTTCCTAAACGGCACATCTGTATCATTCCCGGGCTCAATTCTACCACCAATAGCTGAGTGGGCTCTAATTGCAGGTCGCCCGTGGCTAAGCAAAGAAGACAAAAGGTATAGAACGGACCAAAGGAGGTGAAAAGCACTTGTCCTGTCTGACGTGAAACGCCGAAGTATAGTACTATTGGAATGCTACAGTACCAGGAAGCTGTCTTCAAATATGCACGTTTATTCGCATGCTACCGGACGAGACGGAGAGTCCGGAGAAATCCAATATCTGTGCCGTACCTGCATAAATGGTCCGACGTCGGACGTTCGGAATCTCGGCCGACATTTCCTGATATAGAAGATCGAGCCGACCACCACCAAAACTTGCAGCCCTGCTTTTGTCCACCCCTCACATCATGTCTTCATCAGACACGCGGCTTTCCTTGTACCTGGCAAACTCAGTACCGATTAGTTTATGATCGTCATGATTTCCCCGCTTTTTTGCAGGACCGGCATTTGGGTTCTTCAGGTTCTGTCGCTACATGCAGGCTTCACCAACTGAAATCGGCATCGTTTTGCCGAGTATACATGTCAATTCATCCTCAATATGGAGGACAGAGTATGCACGAACGGCTATTAACCTAAAATGGCGGTTGAACTAGCAGCCTTTGACATTTCCTTACGCACTTGCACCTGCAAGTGAGGAGTTTAATCAATAGGCAACTGTCGTCATTTTTTGGAAGCTCGGCCTTGGCCCGAATCTACTCCCACATTCGGAGTTTATTCAAAGCCTCACCCGAGATGATCGTCATTAACTCTTTGCATGAGAACGGAGACATCTTCCCATCTTGGCAGGTATCAGCAATGAGTGGTGCGATTCGTCTCCGGGGGATTGACTGCATGCTCTACATATATAAACCTCAAGTCTCGTCGATCAATTGACTTTAACCCATCCCTTCTTATATCTTCCTTTCCGATTCTTGTCTTAAGGATCCACACAGTGGGATGACGTCTTTTGTTAATAAGGGCCTTGCAGCCCTGGCCCTTGGCGCTGCTGTCGCCGAGGCCCAGCTTTGGGACAAGGTAATCGATACCTCCCTGGGACCTGTCAAGGGTTTCAAGTACTTCAATGAGTCGACTCTTGAGACATACTTCAACCGCTCCGAATCCAACGTCACAGCCTACCTTGGTATTCCCTTCGCTGCCGACACTGCCTACCAAAACCGTTGGAAGCCCCCGCAGCCCCGTGAGTCATGGAACGAGACTTTCGATGCTTCTACATGGGGATACGCTTGCCCTAGCAAGGATGCCACCAACATCAGCGAGGACTGCCTTAACCTCAACATTTGGACCAATGCTGGCAGTGCCAATGCCAAACTCCCTGTTATGCTCTGGAACCAGGGTTCCGATGAGACTAGCAACGATGCTTGGTGGTACGGTGGTGGTATGGCCCTGAAGGATGTCATCCTGATCACCTTCAACCGCCGTGACGATGCTTTCGGCTACCTGGCCACCCCCGAACTCAACGCCGAGGGTTTGGCGGCCACTGGCCACAACACTTCCGGTAACTACGGTATTCTTGACCAGCTGGAGGTTCTCAAGTGGATCCAGAAGAACATCGCCAACTTCGGTGGTGACCCTGACCGCGTCACTATTGCTGGCCAATCTTTCGGCTCTTCCCAGGTCTACCACGCCGTCAACAGCCCTCTCTTCAAGGGTTACTTCCACGGTGGTATCTCCGAGTCCGGTATCCGCTGGCCCCGCGACCCCATGCTGGCGGGTCTTGCCACCTCTTACACCAACATGTCTGCTGCCCTCTTCCACGGAACGAACTACACCACTTTCCACAATGCCTCCAATATCGCTGAGCTGCGTGAGAAGTCGATGGAGGACCTCCTGATCGGCTCTCAGGACCGTGTTAACAGCACCTGGATCTGGTGGGTGACCGCTCTCTCCGCCGACTATCCATTGATCTTCAAGCCGGTGCTGGACGACTACGTCCTCCCTGAGAAGTACATTGAGTCCCTGCTGAATGGACCCGCCAACGACGTCCCCGTCATCACCGGTAACACCAAGGATGAGTCCGGTGCCTCCCCCTCCACCGACTACACTCTTGAGGAATACAAGCATTACTGCACCCTCAAGTACGGTGACCTGGCTAGCCGCTACTTCCAGCTCTACGGCGCACACGACAACCAGACCATCGCCGACCACGCCTGGAACGCTGCTGCCCGCGATATGTCGCTGGTCGGTTCATGGGCCTACGGAACCGAATGGTACAAGGCTGCCACCGCTGACTTCTACACCTACTACTGGACCCACGCTCCTCCTGGCCAGAACCAGGGTGCCTTCCACCAGTCGGAGATCATGTATGCGCTCAACGCCCTGTACGCCAACGCAGACACCTACCCCTTCACTGCCATCGACTACGAGATCCAGGAGCAGATGTCCTCCTACTGGGCCAACTTCGCAAAGACCCTCAACCCCAACAACGGCGGTTCCTACCAGGGCAAGGGCAAGCTGGCTCACTGGTCTCCCAACAGCCCCAACGGTACCCAGGTCGTTATGGAGCTGGGTAACTACTTTGGCAATGTCCCCGTTGCCAAGTCCTCGAAATACGTTGATTTCATTATGGACTACTTTTCCCAGCAGACCGCTTATTAAGGGAGTCAAGCCACGTTTCTGGCAGGTGTAGCCCGGTGCTTCCAGACCGAAACGATGAACATGTAACTTTCTGTGAAAATACATAGACATTCCATCTGTCCTGCCTACTCTTCCCCATTCATGTATCTACATTCTACAATCTATACGATTTGAAATCGAACTCTGCAGGCCAAGACCCCGATGATCAATAACACGAACCACCTCATCCGTGGTCATACTTGCATATGCATACATGTGTAACGCGAGTCTCACATGTGACCACATGCGCCACCTCGGGCAGCAATCGCATATCAGAGCAGACATGCAGAAATGCCCCAGTAATATGGTCCAGACAACCTGACCCCGCCGATCTTATCGAGTTCAAGATCTACAGATCACAATTCGGGGCCCTTACATTGCCGATCTGGGTCTAGTCTGGTCGTACATGCGCCCTAGTGAGTTGGTTGATAGCGCTTCAGCAGGACGACTAGTTTGGAAATGATGGGAGATCTGCATGCACATGTCGTAGTTGTACAGAGTGGCTTGGACATACATTGTCTCATGGGTGCCAGCCCCCTCACTCTTTGATTTTCTGTTCAGTTTCACATTCTTATTAGCAACCCAGTCCCAGTCAATAAATTTGAGGGCCGATATTGGGGATTTGAACACGTTTGTTTCAAGGTGTGTATTGAACATATTGTTACTCGATGGCCTGCCCTATCAGCAAGTTCTGTAAATCGTAACCCTCTAGCTACCACTAGATACCTACTTGCATACCAGCTTTCATTGGATTTCCACGGTTTTTCTGCTTCAAGATCCCATGCTGACACAAACAACGACAACAATAGAGAATCATCGGGGTCACACAACCATAAGAATCTTATCGGCATCCATATTCATGCCTATGGTATACGCGGAACCATCTCCAAATCCCTCAATCACCATGCAGCCGCCCACGTCTTCTCCCGACCATAAAATTACCAAAAATACCACCGGTGACACAACTTGGACCCAAAATATACTGTCCTCGATTCGGGGCTTTTTTTACAATGGACCTGCGGACAATACTGAGGCTGATGCTGTTGAGGCGTGGGTTGGGGTGCGGAGGGGGCGGGGTCGGTGTCGTTCTGTTGGGGAAGTTCGTTGATTTATGATAATGAGCTCGAGAAGAGACTTGGGAGGATTTTTGGTTTCGGGATTAAGGGCATTCATTTAGGCTCTTTTTTATATCAAGGTTGATTCAGTGCATCTTCATCATACCAATACAAGTCACTAATTCCAAGTTTCAATAGTCAAGCAGAAGCATTTGAATGTTAATCAGTAATGAATCGAATTCATAAATGGTAGGTATAGATACATGGGTAAATAGAAACATCGCCATACACCAAGTATAGTACAAGTAGAGCTCCTCCCGAGGAGACTCAATCACCAACCGGGGATTACAAACGCTTAAAGACACAAAGGGTTATACAAATCGAGTGGAAGCTTAAGCCTCAACACGAGTAGGAATCTTGACCGTGCCACGAGTGCGGTCATTTGTAGGCACACCGTAGCGTCGACCAGGAGCCCAAGGAGCCCGACCATCAACGCCGACAGTCTCCTTGGTAAAGACGGCATCCTGGATGCGGTAATCAAAGCGGCCACCAACAGGCTCAACGTGTTTCACGCTCTTCTCACGGCGTTCCTGAGCACGCTCCCGACGCTTCTTCTCAGCCTCCTCCTGGCGCTTGAGGCGCTGGGCGTGAAGGTCAGCGACCACACGGCGCTCATTGGGATGAGCCATGCGATCACGCTCCAGCTGGACCAGCTGCGGGTGCGGGATACGCACATCCGCAGGCTGGAGGACCTGGCGGGCGTTGGCGCCTTTGCCGACCCACTCGATCGAGCCAGGATTTTGCATCACCTCCTCGGCAAGGTCAGAGGGGTGGGAAATCTTCTCCTTTCGCTCATTCTCCATGGCCGGGGCTCCAGAGAACACTCGACCGGCATCAACTCGAGTGAACGAGCGCGACTCAGGGACAGGGTAGAAAATTTGTGAGCCAGTGGAAGGGTGGACGGGAAGGTCATTGATGGGCTCGTGGAAGGTCGGGCGCTCACCCTGCTGGGCAAGCGGAGTGACCGGAACCATTTCGTGCACTGCACGAGCGTATGGCAATGCCATAGGTTTACCCTGTTGCAGATAATATTAGCAACCGCCGGCAAACAATCATGTGTAACTTCAATTAAGATGACAGCGAGCAATTCAGTTTAAAGGAAATTTCTAACCAGTCAAGCAAAGCTTGTGTCTTCAAGACTAATCGATTTTTTCTTGACTCATCATATGCGTCGGGGATAGGACTTCGAGAACGAAGCTAAGGGCAGAGAGGGAGAGTGATAGGGAGAGAAAAAGCTTACCTGTGACTTTTGTCTTCGCTCCAGCTCCACCAAACGCACCACCGCTGCGATCCGCTTCATATCAATACCAAGCTCGACACTGACGGCGCGCAGACTCTTCTTCTTCTCGACGACCCGCACGTAAACCTCGTTGCGCAGGTCCTCACTGAGAACACTCTCGCTAATGAAATTCCGGTTGTTTGGGAAAGGGCGTGTTGTATCAGTGAGATCCATATCCCGTGCATCCTTCAAATAATTGGTTTCGCCAGGAATATGGTGTTTGTAGGCAGCTCCCTGGGTGTTGAGCCACTCAAACATTTGTCGGCGAAGCCTGGTCTGAGAGGCGGCCGTAGCCGAGAATTGGCGGGAAAGGGATTGTGAAGAGCATAATGAGGGAATTGAGGAGGATGAGGATGTGGAGGAAGTGAGGTAGGGGAGAAGTGCGTTGGACACGCGGGTCTGTATCCGAGGCGCCATCTGGGGAGGGGGCTTTTGCCCTGTGAATTATCAAGCTAGGAAACCAATGCTAAAAGATGGTGTGAAATAGATAATCCACAAAAGCAGCGGCCAACAACAAGCCTAGTGCTGCAATTGGTGGGTTGGGGGTTGCGGATGTTGGGGGTTTGTGTTTGTGGCAGGGAAAGAAACTTTTTCGGCGAGGAAGTTGGCGTGGTGTGTCACGTGCTTAGCTCCCCCGGCTTCCGCCAGTTACCAGTTCACCAGTTCGCCCATCATCACGGCAGCATGGACTCCGAGACATAACAGAAAATGAAAAGCACGTTTCCAATTATGAAGTACGATCTATTGACTTGATTGAATCTTATCACGTACACGTAAGACCGCACGTAGAATTGTCTGAATGATGGTACAATGGTCATGATACGGGTCAATTACCAGGGTCGACAATCCAGAGTCCCGCAACTGCTGTGAGCCCCGATCAAAGATTGCGTCTGCAAAAATCAAGTCCAGCTTCCTCTCAGCAGAGCTGGTATGCTCTCATTCCGGCGACGCTCATCGTAAGGTCCAACTTCTTTACTCATCACAGATACCGATAAGCACGAGCAATAACGCTTACAATCTATGTATGAATGCCTTGAGACTTCTGGTCACCACTGGAAGAGCCCAGCTCACAGGAGATCTGAAGCTAGAGAATCGGCACCCTTGTTAGCGTACTGCTAATGACCCCAGTTGTTTCGACCTGTCGCTGAGACTTAGAGAGGGTGGGAGTTGAAAAGCCCCATGGTTAGCCACATACTCCAAAAGTCAGAGACTCTTACTGGTCAGTACTAGGTTGATTTCAACCGAATGATGTTCGCCAAAGTAGTGGTTTACTGCCCTTTCAATCACACGGCAGTTCAAGGTGCAGTGCCCACACATCTTTGATTTCCAGTCTTTCACATACCTATCGGAAGACGAACTCAGTAGGGGCAATCTGATGGGATCTGTCATTATACAGCGTGGAGTGGCGTGAAGCGAAGGCGTACTAGAGGCAACGACTGCAGTATGTACAGTATAAGATGCAATATTGGATACATCATAATCTCCTGATCACTGGAACCTGGATCTTCTCCTCGATCGATTGAACATAGATGAATAGTTATTCTTGTATGTATAATATTAATATGGAAGTTCATGCAAAGCACTCCCAAAGACTATTTTTAGGCTCTTGACATGATAGACAGAACCGACTTTGTGATGTGTATTGCCTATCTGAATATCGGGAGCGTCCAGAAACAGCAAAAGCTCCAACTACCATTGGTTCAGCTAATATTCAGACCTAACCTTAATGCAACACTTGGCCTACGCAGTGAAGGTATGTAAAGTTTACTACAGTACATTGATTCATTGAAGACTTCAAATTTTTTACATCAAGATGAGTAACGAGAGATTTACATGATAACGTACCCCCAAAGAGGAACAACAAAAATACCTAGCAAAGAATAAATTTAAGGGTCTCGGATTACAGCGTAGGCAAAATTTGGTTGCAAAGATCCAATGTATCAAGTACAGATTGAAGCAAATATATCAGTATCAGGTCCACCAAGCAAGGCAGAAAGAGTGTGAGTAGATAAAGACACAAAAGATACCTTCGTTAGAAGATACAAGACACGCCGCATTTCCTCGTCTTGTCCCAGACATAACGATCATAAAAGAGAGCTAGCAGACCCTTGTAGGCAAATTGCCTCAAGTCAAGTAGAGTCCACTTAAGAGAAGTAGAGAGAGGGAAAGCATAAGAACGTGAGTGGTCATGCAAGCGAGATGCGACAAGCATGAGCGAAATGCGCTATGAATCGAAAACAGAACCAACATGAGCCGGACGCCTTGTTTTTCTCCTTCGTTCCAGGAGATGATGTATGGAAACAGCCAAGGGAAACGCCGTCGTTAATGCGTAGTCGACTGAAGTCAAGGCTACAGCATTGCGTAGCCCATGCCATGGAGTAGAGGATATTAGGTCAAAGAAGGCAAACACAAGCCACATAAGACACCTTCGGTACTTGCAAAAAGAGAACAAGGTTGCAGCGACAAAATAGCAAAATCCATTCCGTTTCACGCGTGAAGATGCTCTGGTTAAAAGGACAAAAAATATCAATCAGCTGGTAAAAAATAGGGGAATCACGGTCAAATAAAGCTGTGCAGCTTCTTAGGAAGGTCAATACGCCTTCTAAGGTGAAGGTGGAAATGGCCGAAGACACCTAAGGCTGCGCAGGCGAAGAGGAAAATAGTAATAATAATAGCAGACCCAACTAAAGCAAGCAAAACAAGGGTATGAGGGTGGAGATGAAGAACGCGAATGGTCGACAAAAACAAATGCGCTGTGTGGGCGCCACACACCGACCAGAATAAGAGTACAAGCTCAACAATGACCTGAAATGCAATCCTCCCAAAGGGGAAAAAGGAATGTGAAAAAGAGCGCCCGAGTCCCCATGCAATACAAAGAAACAAAGACAGCCAACGCATATGAGAAAAGCAATAAAATCAGAGGAGAAAAAACATAAGAGCAGTGTCGAATCAAGACTCCCGAGAGGTATGCAGCCGCCGAATGCTGATCTAGCTCGCGAAACGAAAGCAACCCCCAATGCGCCAATACCCCAGTTCATTCATGAAACATGCCGGACATCATCTCAAAAAGCAAGACAGTGGAGCCTTAACGACCCATCATGTAATCAGGGTAGAAGGAATTGAAGCCATTCATGTTTGGCCCCGCATTGTTGCTGGCAGCGCCTTGAGGAGGTGGCGACATCATCATTGAATTGCCTCCATTGGCTCGAATTCCCAGGCCGGAGTTGTGATTGAACTGGGAGCTATTCATCATTGGATGGGGACTTCCCTGCGAGTGGACGTTGTTGCCATTGCGCATGGGCATGGCAAGACCAGGAGGTGCTGCGAGGCCTGGAGGTGGTCCAGTCACTGATGAGAACATATGGTTGGGTACACCGCTGAGGTTGCTCCCACCTGGAACACCACCCGGCCCAGAGAGTGGGTTGGCAGGGTTCATGCTGCCAGGTTGACCAGAACGAACACCAAGGGGGTTCTTTGAGAAACTGAGACGAATGCCGGTCTTCACGCTGTTGGACAACTTATAGCCGTACAGTTCATTCAGAGCCTTGCTTGCCATCGCCACTTCATCAAACTCCACGAAACACATGGGACCGTTCTGCTTGTTGCGGAAGCAAAGTCGCTTATATCCGCGCTGCTTGGAGAAAAGCGCCTTAAGCTCTTCTTCAGAAGTGTCGGGAGGCAGATTGCCGACGTAGAGTGTGTTGCAAGGTGGGTTGAGGTCGTTAGGATTAGCGGCTGGCAGGCTATGCCGAGGGGTATGTTGGCTACCGTAGGGGAAGCCTTGGCCTTGGCTATGGTTGCTTGGGTAGGCAGACGACGGGCCACTTCCACTCATACGAGGGCCAGGACCTCCAGATGCGTAATTAGGTAAGGGAGGCGAGGACATGGTTGTCGAGAGAGACAGACTACCGAAGCGACCAGTGGGAATCTGAGGGTTGGTTGAGCGACGCCCAACATTGACCGAAGCCGAGTGTCCATTCTCCGCGTAGCCCACGGGGTCCTTAAGAAGCTCTCCAGTCTCCTCGTCGGGGTCCTCATCGATCATGGACTTTCCGGTCACGCGTGGCAGATCGCCAACTCCGTTTCCGATCGGAGATTGTGGAGAGAACAAATTATGGAGACGCGATCCCGACTCGGATGCGGAGGGCAATCCTTCGCCGATCGCTTGTCCAGACGGATTCGAAGCAGAAAGTCTCTCTAGGCTCTGGAAAGTGCCATTGAAACGAGATGACTGACGCGAAAGGTGGCCATTGGGGACGCCGCCCAGTAAGCCACGCGCCGCGGTATGATCGATCGTGTTGCGACGCGCATTCGAGAGGTTGGATCCGACCGGACCAGGGTACATCTCAACCACCATGTTTGCGTCGTTCTTAGAGTTTGGCTTGCCGTCGAGAAGAGCACGGGCCTCTTCAGCCGCAGGCAGAGTGTTGAAGCGCGCGATCGCGCTCAGGAACCCGTCGTCCTCCGGGTAGTCGGAGGTCACGAAATCGGCATCCACGAAGTCCTTAGCGAAAAGTAGCATACTGCGAAGGGCTTCACGGCTTGTATTCCGGGGCAGTTTGCGCATGAAAATCGCACCTCCATTGTTCGCGCGTCCCAGGCCGTTCAGGCCCTGGAGGTTGCGATCGGCATCACCGAGGCGCATTCCGTTGTCGAAGCTGGAGGAGCCGAGAGGCGAAAAAGGGTATGTAAAAGTAGGTGCTAGAGATGTGGGCGCTTGCGAGACAGTTGGGCTATACACGTCGGTCGACATCGCATGCTGAGTCGTCGCGGATACCTTGTGGAGTGGCTGTTGAGTTGGCGACGAACCAGAAGATACAGACTCTGTGCGCTGGGTTGTTCCGAAAGAGCCGGGACTCGTTCGAGTTGACTGATTCGAGCTGCCGCTCATCCCTCACGAAAATTGAAATATAAAAGGATCGAAATTCGCGACACGGGATTAAGTTGCCCGCGAAAAGGAGTCGCTGAGGTATAGGAGCGCAGCGCGCGAAATTATGCGACGAAGGCGAGAATGCGCGTATGAAAGGAGTGGGCGAGACGAGTGAGTCAATCGATTGTATGGCAAGGACGTTCGATCCTCATCGGATCTGCGACAGTGGCGCGCGCGGGACTCGAGTCGGGGGAGGGGGGTCTCTATCAGTCGAACTATCGTACCTCGATCTCGATCTCACCAGAATGTGATGACGGGTTGAAAAGAGAAGGAACGATGGATGCAAGATGGAAAGGGGGGGGGTAGAGATGGAGGGGGGCAAAAGAAAGGTGGAAGGGGGAAGGGGGGAAAGAAAAGAGTCCGGAACGGTCGAGTGCAAGAGCCAGGTGCCAGATCCATGGATCTGCTTTCACGACGCGACTTAACGGGGGGAAACATGTATAATACAGGGGGAAGGAACCTAGCCGTACTATGTGCCCCACATATTATGTATAAGTACTCCTCTATTAAATGACCATACGTCGTCATATCATTACATTGCGCCGCCCTGGAACCTGGCCGCTTGCAGAACGTGGGTGTGGGTAAAGTGCGTGCCCCGAGCTGCAGAGGAATGCCCCAGTTTTCTGCATTGCTTTTTTCGTTTTCTCATTCTTTCTATTTTCAGACTTGAAACTGGGGTTGTTCTAGAAACACGCAGGTTCATGGAGCCATGCGGGTTGCCGTTCAATTCCTAATGCATGGGCCTCGGTATTAGAATTCCATAATAGATCTTATATATACTGAGTGACTAAAGCTAGTGCTTTGGAGCCTAGTCCTGACTAACAAGTAAAGGGAGCAAATAGGAAGGGTGAAGGGCTGCAAGGCTAAGAACAACCCCCTGGTCTAAAGGCGTCAGCACGGCAGTCAACGGACTTGCAGCCTCTCCTCCCAGAATAAAAGCATCTTCAGTATCAGAGATCGACCTAAAATCGAGAAGTTCCCGGATTCTAGATCGTCAAAGGATATCAGTTCTTTTGTAAGTTGAATGGCTTATAAATCCAGATCTACTCCATAGAACCCACACTTATAATTTAAATTGATTTAGAACGTTAAAATTAAATACAATGGAATTAAAACCGCAGAGTTAAAAAAGCTAAGAATGACAACCCGTGCGCATTCCTGGAGTAATGGGGAAACAAAAGTCAGTGCTTCACCCATTTTGACCGCCCATTTCAACACACCAGTACGGAGTACAAAGAGAACCAACCCAGACTGTCAGCCCGAATCCGTGGAATTTGAAAACTCAAAAGCCGGCGATCCTCCAGGGCGGCTGACCAATTGCCACGGGCTTGACCCGGATCTTCGATCGGATTGGCTGGCACAGGGAAATGGCTTGGTCTTATCGAGCGCGGATGGTTCGTATGGTTGGGCCGTGGAGAGAAGCACCGCCCTCGGGGGACAGAGGCTGGCCTCGATGTGGTCTAGTACCTTCCCTACGTGCCTGGAAAAGTGTGTGCGAAGGACCGGTCATAGGCGCGTCACTTACCTTACTTTTTGGGCGGAGGGGACTTGTATGGCCTGATCGCGCGCCAATCCTGGGTCTGTACAGTTTGTGTTTGGCTAATGTATGCGCCTTCGAATCGGCCCTTTGTTTCGGGCCATGTGAAGATCGGATCGACAAAGAGAAGCGGTCCAGTCATAGAGTGGGATGCGCATCTCACCAAATGCTTATTTGTTGCGCGCTTGATTTTTCCATAGTAGTATACATCAGTACATTGAATATTTGGAGGATATACGACCCCCTAAATGGGCTTCCCAGAATGGCCCAACTCGCAAGAAACGCCTCAAATGCCAAAATCAAAAACAAAAGAGTACAGGGGATAGTCGACATCCCAACTGGTCTCCCCCAGGGTCTCTTGGTAGATCTCTGGGTGTAGCCCAGTGCCTATCTGCCAGATCACAAGAGCAGATAGAGAACTCTGGAATAGACAGATTCAATCGAGATCACGGCATTTATGCTTTGTGGTAGGTGGTTGGTTTCTCTTCGACAAGGCCGGCCTGTAAACATCTGATTAGCATCCAGGCTTAACCACCAGAATTTCACTATTGAAGTTGACCATAGATCAGAAGACAAGTAGCAAACCGATCTCAATGAATCCAGCATGCACTATGACTCCAGTCCCTGGCCAAGTTCAAATACATGTCCACGTACCATGCTCATCAGCTTCCACACCGGCTCACTAGGCTGCGCACCAACACCGAGCCAGTACTTCGCACGTGCCCGGTCAAGCGCAATGTCCTTATACGGGCGTGCATTGGCGTTCTCATCGTACAAGTTCGTCGGAAGCTTCGGGATGGGGTTGTAGGTGCCAATGACCTCAAGGGGCTTGGAGCCGCGGGCGGACCTGGATCATTAATTAGCAACAATTGAAAACTACTCTCCGTTTCGAGTGTGCATATTGAGGTCTTCTTTCCGACACTGAAAGAGTATAGACCTGGATGTGACCGGCGAAGATATCGGGTAGCGGGAAGAAAGCAGAGGATTTGGTACACACCGTGCCTGCGCCACGACAATGTTGAAGAAGGGGCTGTGCTTGTTGCCAAAGCGCGCCAGTCGAATTCGGACAACCATGGCGGCGATTGTGAGAGAAGTACGCGATGAATGTGGTCTTGAATCCGCTCGAACGAGGTAAAATGGACTCTCCGCAAAAGTTCAAGGAGGATCGGAAGATTGGATGATCCGGGTATTCCCAATCAGGGTTAGCGTCAATGAGGTCAATGAGGATGATGTAATGTACCATGACCTAACTAACTACAAGGCTCCCCACCGCCGCAAGTATTCCTAGAAATTAATTTCATATCTGCTTCATTGCACGCAAGTAGGATACATTATTATAGCTAGATCACTTGCATATTGTCCTACAGGCAGTATACATCCCATAGTGACAACCAGCTTGTCACTTGCATGTTTGGCTCATTTGCAAAACGGTTATCATTGCCCACCGTGCGACGCTACAGCAAATCTTTCACAATGTCTCTCAAAGTATGATCACGAGAAATCTCCTACCGATGCGCAGTTATTGAGAGTACTACCAGGCAATCTCGGCAAAAGATGCCGCCTCACTCGACAAAGATCTCATGGATATGGGCGGCTGGTCCCTCGATCAGCTAATGGAGCTGGCGGGTCTTTCTGTGTCGCAAGCTGGTCAGTTCTACCTCACCCAAGCCGCGATGACCAATCAATCTAAACCTTGGTTCTAGTATGGAAAGTTCATCCCCTCAGCGCAGGCCCAAATGTCCTCGTGGTGTGTGGACCCGGTAATAATGGTATGCCACATCAACACAAAGCCCGGTTACCCTAAACCCAATCAAAAAGGTATGAGACTTAATAACATCATCTAGGCGGAGATGGCCTCGTAGCAGCCAGACACCTCGCACAATACGGATACAAACCATCAGTCTACTATCCTAAAGAAGGCAAAAATGAGCTGTACCAGCGCCTCAAGACCCAACTCCATAACCTTTCCGTCCCCTTCATAACAGACTTCGATGCCGCTTTAAAAGATACAGATTTCCTCGTCGATGCCATTTTTGGCTTCTCCTTCGGTGGGCCACTCCGTGATCCATTCGGTTCCATCGTTTCGCGCATCGAGTCTTCCAATATTCCCGTGCTCAGTGTTGATGCGCCTAGTTCATGGGATATCCAGAGCGGTCCACCGAAGGAAGGGCCGGGTGCTAAGTTCATGCCCAAGGCATTGATTAGTTTGACGGCACCGAAGCCTTGTGTGAAGTTCTATTCGGGACGGCATTTTGTTGGAGGCAGGTTTTTATCCAAAGATATCACAGATAAGTATGGATTGGATATGCCCCCGTACCCGGGGATTGAGCAGGTCCTGGAGGTGAAGGTTGATGCAGAGGGAAGACTTTAACAGACTTGTCGTGACGACGCATGTTATTGAGAATGAATGAGATTTTGGAAGGGGATTAAGAATCAAAGATATTATTGAAAAGTTGATTGAAGAATTGCATCACGGTCGTTATGAAGCGACAAGGGAATCTAGTTATGCGCTTAAACAAAGGATACTGAATGGTTCATTAAAGAGCCGAATCTCGAATCTCCCCGATAATGCCCTTCACCCGCGGTTCTTTCCCTGCAGCCGAACCAGAAACCCGGGTGAGAACATTATTGAGTTCGTAGATTTCCTTGGCGGCACTCTGAACCTCAACGCCCAAAGCCTTCACCAAAGTACCCAAAGCGACGAGCGCTCGGTAGATGGCCTCCGAATCCTTCTCCTTTGCAATGATCTTGATAAGCTCCTCCAGAAGCACTAGACCCCGCTCTGCAGAGGCGGGATCCTGTTCCCTGCCTTCAGAAGTAATGTAGACGGCAAAGTTGATATACAGTGTCGCGGTGGCAACGGTGAGGTTACGGTTTGGCGATTCTCCACTGTTAGCCAAAACAGACTTAACCGCAGCGACGATCTGATCGAATGTGCTCATGGCTAAGTTTCGACCAGCATCCGTCTCGAAGAGATTTGCAAGCATTCGAATAGTGAGCATGGCGTTGTTAACATTGATAGGGGAGTTGAATACCCCACTGGAGATAATTCCAGATACAAGATTATTGCCGTTGTATTCTGCGGACGCGGTAAATGGTGCAGCAGCAGCGAGCAGACGAAGGAGATCCAATCCAGGAAGTCTGGTGCTTTCAGGCCAGGCAGTTGCGATTCTGAAAATCAATGGAATTCCAGATTGCACAACAGGTGAATCCGGAAGCTGGGTGGAGGACTCTAATTGGGTGCATAGAGCAACTACAGCTTCGATCTCAGTCGGATCCAAGGCAATATCCTTTCCGGCTTCGGCCAAAACCTTCTCGTTCAGCTCCTGCAACTTCTTTGCGATGACTTTCAGGTTCGCCGACCGGATTGAGAGATAAGTCTTTTGTGGTAGGACTTGAGGGCGTGGTTGAGGAGCAGGTGGTGCTGCGTTCTCGGGGGGCTGCGGCGTCTCCGTCTCCGGGGCGGTATCGACGGTCTGAGCCCCAAGGGTCTGCGCCCTCAGTTGCGGGCTCTTGGGACTGACCAAGGGTGGCGCCTTGGGTATTCTGTGTAATGAAATTCGCAACCTGATCCAAGTATGAAATGGGCAGCTCATTATCACCGATAAACTTGTTTGCTGCTTCGTAGGGGTTTTGTGAGACATTATAAGGGAGTTTGAGTGGAGGCTTGCCGTCTTCAATATCAACATCAAAGACGTAGTCGTACTCTTGTCCTAGATACTCTGTCTTTCGACCACTGCTTCCTGCTGAATCAACCACAGTACCAACAGCAATCCATTCCTGAGTCGCAGATGACCAAGTATGGGCAGTGATGCTGCCATCTCCCTGATGAATCATCTGTACCTGGCCCTCCTTTGTTCCTGACTTTTGCTGCAGAAACTCTGGGCCAGGAAGTTGTTCTTTGTTGACTTTTCCAACCTGCTCAGCTGGAATCGCTGACTCTTTGACTGCTTGATCGAACTGTTGGATGACCTCCGGCGCCGCCTGCCGTTCTGGGTCTCTGCTGAAGACGCGAGTAATGCGGTCACTAGCACCAGTGACAATATCGCCGGTTTCTTTACACGCCGCAACACTCCATACTGAGATAGCAGGATGTGTAATAGTTTGCACACACTGGTTTCCATTCCAAACACGAACGGTCCGGTCTTCTCCGGCACTGACAAGCTCGCCCGAGGGCAAAGCAGCAAGAGAGTAGACGAAGCTCTCGTGACCGTGAAGCGAAGCGACTAATTCACCCTTCAAAGTGTAAAGTCGAATGATTCCATCGTTACTAGCAGATGCAAATTGAGCTCCACTTGGGTTCGACGCGGGAACTCTGCACAGAGCTCGAACGACATCGTTGGAGTTCTTGACGCTTCCGAGGAGAGTACCTGAAGTATTGAAAACGCGGATCATTTGGTCGGCACAGCCTGCAAAAGCACCGGAATGTTAGTCTTTTTCACTTTTTGTGCTCGGCAAGATATCGTACCGGTGATGATGGTGTCCTTATCATAAGCCAAGACAGCCCAAACACTGGCTTCATGTCCTTCCAGCACGACTTCGGTTTCCCACTTGCCGACCCTCCAGAGTCGAGCTGTTGAGTCCCAACTACCACTCACAACCCACTGGCCATCTGGAGAGACATCCAAAGCGCAGATATTGTGCCCATGTCCCAGCAGCATAGCATCCGCGTTATCGTCCGCATTCTTGCCAGGTTGCCGAGCTTCGATGATGGTGTCCTGGCCACCAGATAACACAAGACCCTCAGGGTATTCGGATGATGGTGGAAGGTAAGTTAAGGCGTTGATAAATGCTTGGCCATGCGCTGTGATGGTGTAATCGTAGGTGGGGGGCGGAGTTGAGACGAGCTTCCAAAGACGGACTGTGGCATCACGAGAGGCTGAGAATACCGCATTGGGGTTGGGGAAGGTCACGGCGCGAACCTGGGATCAAAAAAAGAGAAAGAATCAGTAAATTAGCCAACAAGGTACGAGATCATGGGAGTTCCTGGGAGCCTTACATCATCGCCATGACCCTCAAGAGAAGCGGAGATCTTGAAGTCAGGCATACATACAACCGGAGCACGAGAACGGTGGAGAAAGAAACACAGAGACGCGAAAAGCACCAAGGGTATCACTGATAGATGTGTGCTGCTGTGAGGGGAGGTTGTTGTCCTTTAGTCGTTCTGGGGTCCCCGCCTGCGCATCATATCACGTGGGCGGTGGAGATCCTATGACGAACCTGCTAGAATTGTCTCACATTAGTAACGGTTTTACTTGGTCTAAAATCCACCAGTCTGGCCATATTGAGAATCAATAATATGGCAATTGATTTGGCCTTACAGTTAATACTCCATATTCTTCTTCTGTTGACGCATCAACAATGTCGAGAAGTATGCGATACAATACATACTGTAGTGGGGCATGAGGTGATGACTTGGCCTTCACTCAATGAGAGCCTCCACTTGGAAGAAGATCTACAACGTTATGATTTCAGTGTCTCCGGGACTTAAGCAAGGTTGGTGCCTGGGTAGAATTGGAATTAGCGGTGAAAGAAGCCCCTTAATAGCCTCCTCACAACAAGCCAGGACTGATGCGATTTAGAAAGGTTTTCGTAGACGGTAGGACGACTTTTCCAGCAAACAAGATTCTCCTCGATACTAGACACTCCACCAATAAGCTATTGCATGCTATCTCACGCATCTACAATGTATAATTGTATACGGAGTTGACGTCCTCACAGTCTATAGAACAGCACGTGTTAAAGCGGGCCCGCTTACCTCATCAAAGTGGGCTGCAGGTGACCCGATTTACCTAAATCATTGAATATCGAATCCTCAATTTCTCCCAAACTGCGTGGGCAGTCATCCCACTTCGGTCCTTCTGTCCTGTACTCTCACCTTCACGACGTGACGACCCTGACGAATCTCTTTGCGTCCTTCCTTTAAGCTCGAAAGTTCAGCCCAGCTCGGGTCTTTTACGTTGGAACAAGGCACTGTCACGCGCTTCTTGAGTGCCTACGACATCTAACATTACTCTTTACTCTTCCCATATACTCGGAGGGAATTACTCTTCTCACATTTTACAATGGCTACCGGTTAGTGCTGCATTTGTTGGCGTGTCCTTGAATGGACTGCTAATACATTGCCCACTTTAGATATCCCCAAGGTCGTCCCGTTGACCTGTCACGGGCACTCTCGTCCCGTCACGCATTTGAGCTTTTCCTCGAACCTCGAGGACGAGCAGTATTATTTAATCTCTGCATGCAAAGGTAGTTCCCAAAGATTTGAAAGCAATGCCCAAATAAGCTTACCACAAGCTAACCCATTCAATTATAGATAACAACCCTATGCTCCGTGATGGAATCACTGGTGACTGGTACGTTCAACATTGAGCTTCCAGAACACATCCCTCCCTTCATTTCCCCCTTATCTAACACACCACCTAGGATCGGCACATTTCTCGGTCACAAGGGAGCAGTCTGGCAAGCCCGGCTATCTGCAGACGCAGCCATATCCGCAACCGCCGCGGCTGATTTCTCAGCGAAGGTTTGGGATACATACACAGGGGAATGCCTGCACACGTTGCAACACGCACACATTGTCCGAGCAATTGCCTTCCCCATCCAAACAAACCCCCAAGTTCTCGCAACAGGAGGCGCAGAGAAGAAGTTGCGCATCTTCGACCTAACTCGCGGCGGCTCTGCTACTCCCGGCGGAGGCGGCAGCAACGGATCATCTCCGGCTCTCCCAACACCCAGCAGCGGCGGAAGTGGAGGAGAAGCCAACACAGATACAGTGACGAGCTATGAAATCGGACCTGGTGTGCACGGTGGCACGATTAAGTCTATCGTCTGGAATCAGGATTACAATATTGTCACCACCGCGGCTGAGGACCGGAAGATTCGATGGTGGGATTTGCGGTCTCGGCATCCTGTGCTGGAGTATGCGGTTGAGGGTGCTATTGGGTCTTGTGAGCTGAATAGTCTTGCTACTCGACCTAATGATTCCGGAATCTTGACTGTTGCCGCGGGCAAGAGTGTGTATCTGTTTGATGGGCTGCAGCCTGGTCGACTTTTGAAACAGATTGATTTTGGATACGAGGTTGCCAGTGCCGCAGTCAACAGTGAGTCTGGGCGCTTGGTCACAGGTAGTGCGAACGATACCTGGGCCCGGGTCTACGATTTGAACACAAATGAAGAGTTAGGTATGTTTTTTCCCCTGTTTTGCTCTGCTTAAATACTATACTTGGAGGACAAGACTAACGATCAATTTACAGAGGTTCAAAAGGGTCACCATGGACCTATTTGGTCCATCAGCTTCTCTCCTGATGGCAAGCTCTACGGCACTGGTAGTGAAGATGGAACCATCAAGCTGTGGAAGGCTTGCCGTGAGCCATACGGCTTATGGCGGTGAAGTGGAATTCAAGTTTAGATTTGAGAATTCCGCTATGTACAGCAAAAGGTTCGAATGGGGTTTCCGTCTGCTATGCAGCGTATCTTATAATGTGACCCTAGGGTGTTCCAAGTCTTCCGAATTATTCTGATCCTATTGTAGGAATGTAGCGGCTTTGATAGGGTTATGGCCTAGATTGGGCCTGTAATCCGTTGATGTGCTACAGTAGGTAGCTGGTGCGAGGATGGCAGTTCTGAAAGTTGAGAGGTATTGATTGGGACTAGACACGGCTAGCTAGGTCTTGTGCGGCGTACAAGTAGACAGATCGGAGCAAAAGGCCAAGGCACCAGATGACAAATTCATATTGGCGGTAAAATTACAGGTCCCCGCAAGCCATCGGTTTGTGATTGAGCAAGCTCGACGCGAAATCTTTAATGGACCTTTCGCAAAGGTGAAAAGCGGCAGCGGTGCAAAGTAGATGGATAAAGAAGAGAAGTAAAAGAGGAGAGGTTAGAATATGCGATCACAGGGGATCCACATTTTGGCGTATTCACTCAATCATGTCGATGTCGTCGTCGTTCACAGGCACGGCTGGGGCGGCTGGGGCGGTGGTAGCGGCGGCAGCAGCAGGAGCAGCAGTCTGCTGCTCTTGCTCGGCGGGCTTATCAGCATTCTCTGTACCAGCATTTCCACCCCAGTAGTCCTCCATCTCTTGATCCAGCTCCTCTTGTGTCTTCCGAGGACGACCGTTCGCGGCGCGACGACCTCCAGTCTCATTCCGAGGCTCGTTCCGACGGCTGTCGCGGCCACCTCGTCGGCCACCGTTACGGCGTGGAGAACGATCACCACGCTCTCCGGGGATATAGCGGTCGATATTCTCGGGGGCAGGCTTGGAAACATCGCTGCGGCGGACGCGGCCACCACGGCGCCGCCCATCTGATTGCTCACCACGAGTAGCTCCGGGGCTCAAACTGCGAGCATCACGACCAGGACGCTCCACACGGTCAAAGAGGCTCTTGTGTTGTTCACGTCGGCCAGGGACGAGAGTCAGGCGGATAGGGTGGCCCTTGGCGTTAGCACCGTCGAATTCCTTCACAGACTCGTGTGCGTCTTTAAGGTGCTTGTATGTAACGTAAGCCACGCCTTCGGAGCGTCCAGCGCGGTCGTAGACGAGGGTAAGGTCGGTAACGGGGCCAATTTTGCCAAAGAGATCCTGTTATATGCCATTATTGTTAGGAAACGGGCATTGCACGAGGGTTGCCGTTTGAATTTTCGCAGCGTACCTCCAGATCGCTCTCATTGATATCGTAGTGAAGGTTTTCGACGCGGACCTTGGTCAACATAGGGCCGCCACTAAGACAAATTAGTACTTCCAGTCATTGCGAGCGTTGAAGCACAATTTCATACCGTTCAGGCGAGGTTGAGCGACGAGAGCGACGACCACCACGGGTGGGACGAGCTGCATAAAGTCAGATTTAGGAAAATGAGCCAGGTCAAAAGCAGAACATACTATCTCTGTCGTCATCATACTTGTCATGGACCCAATCACTGATAAATCCCGATTAGCGTGAATTCTGACCGGCTCAGCAAGGTATATTCACAGGTCCAGGTTGACACGGTCTTGGGAATAAGGCTGTTGCGTTTGAAAGAAGATGTAGAGGTTAGCTGGAAATCAAAGCATGGAGCATGAACTAGCTTGGTTTCCCAAGTTCGCCGTGGCTTTTTTTCTCAATGGCGAGTCTCCGGCCATCCAGAGGACTAGTAGCCAAGATTGTTTATCACGGCGCAAAAAAAACTCGGTACAGGAAGAGGAGGGCGGACCTGTCCGCAATGGAAATTGAGTCAACGCAATGGTCTTTTTTATGTGCGACGCGATCATCGAGGATTGGGGATTGGGTTGGAGCAGGCAGTACCTTTCTAACGCCATCGCGGTCGCCACGACGGCGGCCTGGGCCTTGGTTGCGGCGTCCACCACCGGAGGGACGATTCTGGTTGCGCTGTGAGCGTGTCAGCCGGTCAAATGTTTGGAGGAAGTGTTTCACAATTGAGGCTAGATGGTGCCTTACTGTGTCTTCGCCAATGATCTCATCCAAGCTGCGATCCATGTTGGACGGTGTTGAATGGAGCACGGGGATGGGTGTCAAGAAGAGGAAATTGAAATTTGGATGTTTAACTTATAGACAGCAGGTCGGCCCAGTTAAAAATGGAAGAATTGAATGATGTGAAAGGGGTTGAATTCACCGGCGGTATCAATTGAATACTGGACGGCGTGTCGACGAGACACATCACGTGAGGGGGCCATGGCGATCCATGGGTCCAATCTATATTTGTACTAAAGAATTGGCTATCTACATCATTGGATCACAACGACATTTGGAATGCAGATTTTACCTTATTGGTGATATCCTAAGTTCAGTACAAGAAACAATATGGGCACATAGAATACGATGGAAACCGAGGGAGAACCGCCGAACCCCAGAATGCATGCTGGATATTGGGCAAAAATAAAGCAAGCCAAAGCCTTCAAAAAGCCCTTTGACAAAAAGACAGGAACACCACCCCATAAAAACAACCACTACAACACCCTATCGAAGCAGACCCCCATTTATAACCGGCGACGCTGTGCAAGGAACAACAGGAACTATCTTCCTCTTTCAGTCCTTTCCATTCTTTTTCTGATCCTCAATCATCTTTTCCATGAAGCTGATGTAGTCGAATTTGGTAAGATCACGGTCCTCGAGCAGGTCTGGACCTTCATGTTGGGGCATAGTCTTTATCAGGTGTTCGATGACTTCGTCGGGGATGAGTGAATGTTGGAGATCGAGCTCCGTGACATATGGCTTAAAAGAAGTTAGTATTCAGAGATAAGAAAATGCACTCGAAGTTGGATATACAGACCTTGCCATCAGCAACCTCCCTGAAACTTTGGAATACCTGCTCGGCAGTATTTTGATCCTCAGTCACGCTAACCATGAAGCGAATAAACTGCTCGAAGCTGACACCGGCATTTTGGGATAATCGGTTTACCCCACAAACCTCCACATAGACCTGGTGCATCTCGTCTTCATCGTAAACCAGTCCCAGACTGGCGAGTGCGGCAGAAAATTCAAGTTCATGCAGAGTGTTGGATGCATCTCGATCAAAGTGGCGGAAGACTGACTCAAACTCTTCTAGCTGGATGGGGGTCAAGTTGGTCATATTGCGAGCCACCATTTGGTTCTCGAGGAAGGCCAGCTTCTTCGAGATACTGGATTTCACCAAGCTGAGCTCATATGACAACTCGTCCAAGGTATAGGTGGTAAAATCATTCTCTTCGATATTGGCCTCGGCACACTGCTCGTCTAGTTCGGCAATGGTATCGAGGAAGGCGTCGAGGGGAGGCAGGTTATCGTTCAACTTCTGGACATGGTCCAGCTGGTCTTCAACATCTCCATCCAGGCCAGATATGGCCAGAGATAACGTCTTCAGCGTCAACGCAAAGTCATTTGCCTTGTCTGCAAATGATTTTCGGAGGGCGTTCTTGATATCCCGAATGGTCGTGTTGATCAACTGGCTGCGCTGGTGTTCATCCCGGGTCAGACATTCCCACTCTTGGTCACAGGTCTCCAAGCTCAACTCCTTGGGTGGCTCGTAGGCTCGCAATCGATACGTCCCAAGCTTTGTTTTGATATTGCCCAGCAGAGCAGCCAAGTCAGATTTCTCTGCCACCCATTGACGCTTTTCATTTCGCTTGTAGAGCGAGAAGTTAGCAGCTTGTTCCTTGACATCCTTGTAGGTTCCCTCAAAGAAGGAGTTCTGCCATTGGTCGCGCTGCGCTCGAATCAATCGGAGAAGCTCTTTCATCCGGCGCTCATATCCAGACTGCATATCCCACGCTCCGTGCATGTTATTGACGAACTTCTCGACTCGGCGACCGGCGTTCTCGACTCTCTCCAGTTGCGAGAAGGCATGAAACCAGTAGGCAATGTAGGTCATCAGGGAACGCTCGTCGGGGTGTGGCACATCACACACATCATCCACATCGAGCAGATCGGGGATACCAATTTCGTTCGTAGCAATGTCGAATGCGAGCTTCATATTGCCGCGGTGGTCATTCTTATCCAGCGAATCGAAGTCGATGAGGTCGGGTCGGTGGATATCGAGTAGAGCGCAGAATGCCAGGCCATCGTTCCAGCTGGAGGAAAAGTTTCGAATCTCCACGTCGTCGTAGCATGCCGTCTTCCGTTGACACCACAGCAGCAGACCTTCCTTGGCGGTCATACCCTCCTCGTTGATGTCGCTGATGGTGAACCGAAGAATGAGTGTCCAGATTAGACCCAAAATGATCTTGCGATTGCCATCAACGATATCCTCCGCTCCGATGTTGGTCATCTGAATCCTCCTCCCTTTGATAAAGTCCAGACCTTTGTTGACATTTTCGAAACGCTGCACCCGCAGCTTGGGCTTCGACGCATATCGACCAAGTGATTCCCCGCCAAGGATCTCGAGGAGATGGATGAGTATGACCTGGTCAGGTAAAACAGATTAGCAAAAGCCATATCAGGAGGGTTGTTTGGTACCGGTCGTAGTCACGACCGTGGGCGGAATGGGGCGTTCCAAGGGTAGGACACTTACACCATCTGAGAGATCGGTAACCAGATCCTCGATCGCCAAACTCCTGGCCTTCAGCTTGTCATTCAACCTGTGGTGATTCCTCGGTCAGTTCATTGCTTTGGTGCTGATGAGCGCGCTGGGGGGAACGCACCATTTTGTGAAGGTCTTCTGCTGCACGTTAATCCACTGCTTCTCAACCGTCAACATCGTCGATCAGGAAGGCATCCAGGGCCGGCAAGTTTTGGAGATTTAGTGATAGGAGAAGGATCTCGAATTTGGTAAATTAAAAACTCGAAAATTGCGGATTTGGACTAGGCTCGGAGAAGGAGATAATCCATGCAGGAGAGCTGTCAAAAGATCGAGTCTCAAGTCGATAGGGGCGGGGTGTTTCTGTCTCTCCCGCAACTCCGCAAGTCACCCTAGCAACCACCCTTTTTTCTTTTTTTTGAAGCTATACCGAGTGGGCTACTTACACAATGGAGGTTTGTGAGAATTGGAGAAGAAAAACAATGGCCTTGTTTTGCATCTGAAACAGTCGCAGAGCGAGGGGTTGTGAGATGTGCAAGTGCATGTAAGCGCTTTATCCCTGGTGATCACTCCATGCCTTTTCAATTCAACCAATCATCATACAAAGCGCTTTGTCCATCTAATGTAGATGCTATTTCAGTCCTCATTCCATAGACCCTTGTCCTCACGGGAAGTATATATCCCTGGCCAGAATGTCGAAGTTTATGTGTTCACAAGTATGAACCTTGGAAGGTACATTTGTATATACTCAGGAACGATGAAGAAAATACCCCGAGCAACTAATATCAAATGGTGCAATAAACTTGACAAATAAAATCTAATCTAGACCCTGTAGATGGTGTGCTCAGTGAGTAATCAACGAGAATGATATCATTCGATCCGGTTCCGTAGAGCGGGGCGAGGAATGCTTTTACAACACCGAAACTGCTTCGTCGCCAATTCTCCCCCTCCAACCAGCTCCTCAATAACCTTTCCCCTGTTCTAAAGCTGGAAAAGAGAGAATACGACAACATGGCCTACAAGATTAACGACCTCCTCCCCTTGCCAAACTCCACCGAGAGTATCCCGTGCATTGGTTTCGGTGTCTACCGCTCCCCAGCACACCAATGCGTCAAATCGGTGCAGAAGGCGCTCGAGGTGGGATACCGACACATCGATACAGCTCAATTTTACGGCAATGAGGCTGAGGTCGGTGAGGCGCTGCGCTCCTCCAACCTGTCGCGCGAGGAGGTGTTTGTTACAAGCAAGATTCTCAGCCCCGCGGGGTCACCTGAGGCGACATACGAGAAGCTACTGGAGAGCGTCGAGAAGATCGGCGGGCCGGGCGGATATGTTGATTTGTTCTTGATTCACAGCTCCAAGTCTGGTTCTGCGGGTCGGAAGCATCTGTGGCAGGCGTTGGAGAAGCTGCAAGCTGAAGGCAAGGCCAAGAGTATTGGTGTGAGCAATTTTGGTGTGCATCACATTGAGGAGATGAAGTCTTACGCGAAGGTGTGGCCGCCACAGGTCAATCAAATTGAGGTAAGCATTTCTCATCCGTTCCATCTTGTGATTTTGCTGGTTTGTTTCATATTTACTTGGAACCGGTGTGCTGACTGATGCTCGTTTTCTAGCTGCACCCTTGGTGCCAACAACGCACAATTGACGCATATTGTAAGAAGAATGGAATCATCGTCGAGGCCTACTCGCCTATTGTGCGCAACTATAAAGCAAATGACCCCACTCTGGTCGAGGTGGCGCAGAAATACAACAAGTCAACCCAACAGGTCTTGATTCGTTACGCGCTGCAGAAGCAATGGGTGCCGCTCCCCAAGACGGATAACCCTGACCGCATTGCTGCGAATGCCGACGTCTTCGACTTTCAACTCCAGGCAGAGGATATGGAGATCCTGGATTCGCTGGACCAGGGCGACGCCGGAGCTATCGTTGAGGCCGTGGCCAACGAGTGAGCACCTGCACGACAAAAGCCTGCGAGCCAAGACAGCTTCGCAGTGCAGGATAATAATTTCGGTCATCAATAATCCGGAGGCTGCATCAAGAAGGCATTCACCGACTGTAAAGTCGAGCGAGACGGATTCACGTCATGTTTCGATGACACGATCCACGCAAGTCGCTGTCGGATGAAGGTTTTGCTGATTGAGCGCTTGCTTAGCGACGCATCGAATTCCCCTGGATTTGATTTTTTAGTTTTGATTCGTTTATCTTGATTCCCAACGCCGTTCTCATCTAGCGCTTTAAATTTCACCTCACGCATTCATGAGACATACCGTTATCGTTGTAAAATTGGCACACAATCGCCAATAGTGTTCCAGCTGAGAGATCTTTGCCTGTGTCGCAAGTAATCAATATTGACTGCGATGGATCTGATCCAAGTTGTGCATTGACAAAATCTCGCACTTTATCCAATGATTTTCGTAGATCCCGACTCCCCAATTTGGCCGACGCGCAACCTAAATTTAGACGCTTTGGGTTCTCTTCCACGATAGCCGGATCACCATTGCAGTCAATAACAAGGTCATACCTACCGCTACCGTTTACACTAGGATCCGTCGGATTGATGTAGAGGTTCTTAGTCGGAGAGATAAGCGTCGCTTCCTGTTCACCACGTTGCTGCTGATACTCGGCGATCAATTCCGCAATCAGATCTGGCAGATCCTCCTCTGAGGTCTGCTTCAATGCAGCCTGATTCGCCCAGAACACGGGAGGCGTCAGCCCATGCGCCCAGCCCTCGCTGTCGTCGCCCGCGCCTTGGATGTATCCACCTTCGGACATCTCAGCGCCATGAACACGCTTCGAGGCGGAGCACAGGACGAAAAGACACGAGGCATCATCTTTTCGCAGATCCGTCGGATAGAAGTACTCCGGATTAGCCCAAGCCACTCGAATAGGCTTTCCGAGTTGCTGCCGCAGCTGGTCTAGATCAAGCTTGAGGGACTATTCACAGTGTAGAACGTTAGTCGATTCGTTTCCAACGCAGCCTCTGTCACCCGGGTGAAGAGGGGTAGTAACAGCTAGCCTCCTCTGTGGTTTAGATGCATGGGTTCGACGCACCTTGAGAGAATGGACGAAACCATCAATACGATTCTCGATTTGCGATTCCTCTGATTTACCGAGGTAGTTGGGTGGCAGTTGGACAGCATGGCATGCGGTTTCCGTGGGGAATAGGGCGCGATTAAGCACTGCACTCCAAATAGGAATGGTTTTGGATAAGGCGTCGGGCATCACTGGGTATCGTCAGCGGGGTCACACTGCAGGCAAAGGCACCGACTGGGTGCCTTCTCCTGGTTTCACTGGGATTTTGACGTACATTTCCCCCGGCGAGTTGAGTCCACAATTACACATCTGTATGGTGGTTATAAACGGCAATGTCAGTTTGGAAACATATGATTCGAAGTGGATCCACCAATTGGACGAAACAATGCCGGGATGTCCAGTTGAGACGTATAAGAGGTGAGACCAAAAGGAGGAAACCGGTGAGTACATTGACAGGTGAAAGCACCAATCAATACAGCGTCGGGCCCGGCAATAAACGGGTGAAATATGAAACTAACCCTCCATACTCGTTTGCCAACGGAAGAAGCTGCAGGTTCAGCCTACGAAAGCTAAAATCCCATTGCCCCGTGTGGCCATCCGTACTCTTGAAATAGGCACTCCCCTTCTTGGCATCGGGAGATATATACCAGCTGCCACAGCGTTCATTTGCAATTAGCGGAAGGCCATATTGCTCAGCCACCTCCTGCACAAACGCAGCATCCGCCTCAATGGACTGGAGCCGGTTGGTGACGGATAGAGCAGAACGCCGCAGAGATGAGAGGGTCTGCGAGATGGACACTTGTGCTGATGGAAAATGTAAGTCCTCCAGGGCTGGGAAAGAGCCTGATGACCCCATTTTAGACAGGGTATTGCCAAGTATACCCGGTGATATTTTGGGGTGGCACTGTCACTTGATTGAGCCCGGTGCCTGGAATGATGAGGGGAAGTTGCCAAATTGACTTGAATGGAAGGAGCGTTAATAATGAATACCAATGCAAAGAAAAAAGATCTCCAGCTTGCACCCCACCAGGTCCGTGTCGAAATTCTTGCCCAGTTACGAAAATAGCAGATGCGTTTGTGAGCCGCCGTTGTGGGACTAGCCAATCATCGTCGAGCTGGTGGAATGGTGGAGACATATCGCAGTTAATCGTAGGACAACCTTGAATTGCGAGGTAAAGATGGAGTTAAGAACAGGGTCGGTTCCAGTTTCGTTATTAGTGCGCGAAAAAATTGTGAGATGCTCTCAGATAGGGTCTTCTCTACTGGATTTTGTATATATTTAATAACACATTCTGGATCACAGGATCCAACGCTTTGGCCTGCACTTGGAAGCTCCTAGCGAATTGGCGGAAGAGAAAGTTCATAGAAATACAGACGTTAAAATGCGAACAAATTCAGCATGAGGCATATAATCATTCCATGCAACCCGGTTTATACCTAGGTCTTCGGGTTGTCCTTTATACCTCAGGTCATATTGCAACATAGCCAAACCTTGTCAGTTATCCAAATCAAGTAACAGTACAAATGGAATTGATTTATCCAGGCACTGGACTTATAGGGCTGAGCGGTCCAATGGAACATTTAGATGTAAGCACGATGCGGGGACACATTTGTCTCTCTGCAGGTCTTACTTAGAGGGGAAATACTACCTTGAGATCGACCGAGGGAAGAATGAGCCCTCCCTTCCATGACATTGATCCGAGCCAAGAACATGTCCTCTTCACCAATAATCACTCCCAACCCCTTGGAAGAGACTAGAACGTAGAGCGAAACAACCCGAGTTTCTACGACTTTCCAATACAAAGAGCAAGCTATTCCCAAACGGGTTTAGGGAGGGACCAGGGCTGCTGACTCATGTTCATCTATCATATCATTGGTGGAGATTAGCCCCCGTGGCTTGGGCCGTTGGAAGTCCTCGAGTACCGAGTACTTGATTTTCCTCGTGGGCATGTATGCAAGCAAAAGTACCCTGTACTTATGTCCTGTATGACCTCAGCCCCGCGATCCCGCTAGGGCCCGGTTTACTGGAGTATGCCGGCGTCATGCTTTCCCGGGATGGTCGTGCCCCTTGGATTAAAACAATTGGGTCGCGACTTCCCCTCTGGCTGATTGTCCCGCTATTCTTTTTCCTGCTGGAACTGTTTACCTCTCCATCCCATAGATCTACTAGGTCACCCTTGAGTCGCAATTCTTCTATACAATTCTGACGTTTCAGTCTTCCCTATATTCTCCGCTACTCCCAGAACAGAACCAGCGTACCCCTCTTCACCATGCCTCAGGTCCGACAATCCCATTCTTTGTTGTCAACTTGGATCTACCCCGCTAACCGCTGAAGTGCAGATCACGGAAATCTTCTTGGACTGTGACAACACCTTGGTCCTCTCGGAAGAGCTGGCCTTCGAGGCCTGTGCCGATCTTGCCAATGAAATCCTCGAGAAGAAGGGCCTTCCCGATCGCTACACAGGCGAACAACTCATCAAGGACTTTGTCGGTCAGAACTTCCGCGGCATGATGCTCTCCCTGCAGGACAAATACAACTTCAAGTTGGAGCCCGATGAGCTTGAGGCCTATGTCAAGAAGGAGGAAGACAAGGTGATTGCCAAGCTGGAAGCCAAGGCCAAACCTTGCGTTGGCGCTACCGAGGAATTGATCAAGCTCTACGAGTCGAAGAAATACGGTCTGGCTGTGGTCTCATCCTCTGCTTTGCGTCGGGTACAAGCCTCTATCAAGAAGGTTGGCCAGGACCAATACTTTGATGCCGACAGGGTATTCAGCGCAGCTAGCTCCCTCCCCAAGCCCACGTCTAAGCCTGACCCTGCCATCTACCTGCATGCGCTGGACTATGTGAAGAAGACTGCTGGCGAGACTGTTGCAGTTGAGGACAGCAAATCGGGTGCCCTTGCTGCTATCCGTGCCGGTATCTGGACGATCGGGTATGTCGGCAGCTACAACGGCAAGGAAATGCAGGAGGAGATGAGCGCCCGCCTGATGGATCTTGGAGTGCACATCATCATGAATGACTGGGCTGAGTTTGAGAGATGCATGACATTCGTCGAGAACTTGCCTCCCAAGACAGATCCTCAGTCCAGCCTGTGATGGTTTCTTTGCAACATTCTACGCCTACATGATATTATGACAGCAAGCATTTGGTCGTTTCGGAGCTTTTGGTTTTCTCGCTCACCTGGTATCTGTCCTGTATGATTTATTCGACTGGTCGCAAGCCTTGTCAATGCAAGGTGCTTAAAGGATCGCCCCCTCTGAGCCCTAAAGCATCCACCTTGTTTTAGTGCTTCTTTATATACTTCTGCATTGCTATGTGGTATCCTTCAGTATTCGCGATCAATAGGTCTTATGCAATGATACTTTGGCTCGAGCTAAATCTATGAAGTGATCCCAGAGGTCTGAGCCTCTGTCGTAAGTCTCTAGCAATCAGAGTTTTCGCACCAAACCCATGCATTAAAGAGATACCTGCAGCTATCGATGTTATAGCTCCGATAAGATACACGATAAGCGAGCCCCACCGCAGCCACTGTTTCTCCCCTCACCCTCCACTCTCCTCCATCATTCTATCCAACTTTAGGCATAGTCTGGAACTAAGCTCGGAATACGATATTTCTACCATCTAAATCTGGCTAGAACTATCGACTAAACTTTCATTTATCTTACATTGAACACAATCCTTCAATCCACCATGGTTTCACCCCCCAGCCTAACAAAGTCCAAGCAAGTCTCGCAAGGACCCCTGGTAAGTTTTATTGCTAGTTCTGCTTCCTCTTCGCTTGCATAAATTGTATCCTTATAGTGAAGGCAACGAACCACAAGAAAAGCAACAGAAAGTTTAATTGCGGCTTCGCCCTGTGAACACATGACTGACCATGTATCAGGATCCTGCTGAGGCCAAATGGACTCGATTGGTCAAAACAACCTATACTGATCCGCTGGGCATTGAGCGAACCTGGGAATCTGCGGAGCGACAGGTAAGACTTACCCAGCCTCATTTTTCGGGCCCCTATGCGCACATCTGATCACCCAGATCTGGCTGTGAATATCCACCCCACCGGACCATATCCGAGTCCAAAATAAGGCCCCTTCGCCATTGTTCACGAGACCATGTCTGAGCATCAGCCGCATGATTGCGAGCTCAAAAGTGTGACGCCGGTGGACATCCGTCAGCATAAGCTTACCTTGCTGATCGGGCCTCGTATTGGCGGGTATATTTGCCGTGTCTAGCCATTATCGGTTGCCTCTCAGTGGGACCGTGACTGTTTCTGGACGTGTCACTCACTTTATTTCCTAAAATGGACCACGACATTGTCACCCCTTTTAGCTCGCTGCGTGACTTGAAAATCACTGGAAACGATGGTAACTGACGCCGCTTTACTAGACTCGTCCTGCTACGGCTGAGATCGACGGTGTGGGGATCGTTGCTATCTTGAACATGTCGAGTGGGCCAGAATTGCTTCTTCAAAAGCAGTATCGGCCTCCGATTGACAAGGTTGTTATCGAGGTTCCGGCTGGCCTTATCGATGCCGGTGAGACTCCCGAGCAATGCGCCGTACGCGAACTCAAAGAAGAGACTGGGTATGTCGGTGTAGCGGAGCAGACGAGCCCGATTATGTACAACGGTATGTTCCACGTTTCTTATCATGTTCTTGTTTGCTGTGCATAGTGCATTTACTCATGTCTTGCTTGTTCTTAGACCCGGGTTTCTGCAATACCAATCTCAACATGGTTCATGTGAGCGTAGATATGAGCCTTCCTGAGAACCAGAACCCGAAGCCAGAGCTGGAGGAAAATGAATTCATCGAGTGTTTCTCTGTTCCCCTAGCTTCTTTGTTTGAGGAGACCAAAAAACTTGAACAACAGGGCTATGCGATCGATGCTCGAATTGGCACCCTGGCTGAAGGAATTGAGTTGATGAAGAAATGGAAGCTCTGATTATAACATGCATAGACAGACATACACCAGGATACACAGCATGGATATACTTGACTGTTCAACGATTATTCTAGCAATACATAGCTATCTACTGGCCGATTCGTTTAACTTTGCACACATAGCTCGGCGAAACTAGACTCAGATGCGATGCAACCATCATACTTTTCGATATCTTCAAGATGGCCTCATTCAAATCTTCCCTTCCTGCAATAGACCCTGATAAAGAGCCCAAGCAGCCAAAGTCTTCCCATCTCTCAATCCTTCCTTCCATAAGTTCTCCAGCGGAACAACCTTCAACGTAATCTTCTCTCCATGATCACGCTCTCCGGTCAATTTCCCTTGCAGCTCCTCAATATCCTTCTGGGGCATACGCTTCTGACACAAGAATAGTGGAATAAACTCATCACTGCCACCGGCAGAAGGATAAACCGCTTTTTGAAGGTCTTCATCATTATCAGATCGTTGAGGCATGGACTGCAATGCCAGTGCGGTCATATCAATCAGGTCACTTTCTTGCACAAGCAACCCTGTCTCTTCTTGGATCTCTTGCGCAGCACCACCAGCAAAAGTCCCGTGATCATCTAGCATTCCAGCTGGGATTTCAGCAAAGGCCAAAGAGCCTGCCGGGATACGGGGTTGGATGGTGAGGACAGCCCATTTCCCCTTTTCTTGTGAAGCGGGGATATCATCTGGTTGTATGATGAGCTGGCAAATGGTTAGATGGTATCGCATGAACAAACCCTGGGTTTTATTTATAGTCCTTATTGAAGGAAAAAGAACCTTCATCCTGGGCACGGTATAGAAGTATCGAATCAAAAACAACTCACCAACATTCCCACACTCCCACCTCGTAAAAACACGCTCCCAGGCAAACTCTCACCCCGGCCGTTAGACACATCAGCTTTCAACTTGACGAATCCCAGTCTACTGCCCCCAAACCGATCAACAGCCTGGATATCAATCGTGCGAAGGACATATGGATCCCCGTGAAACTCATGTTCGGGGCTCGATTGTCTCGCTAACGAGCGCTGAAGCGTCGAGGTCCAGACCTTAAACGCTGGAAATGCCAGTAATTCATCCTTTGACAGATCCGCCGTGCTATTGACACGTGTATGAGAGCCCGGGAGCGTAAAAGTAGCCATGGCTGCAGATCTTGAAATACCAAGACCAGCTGCAGTTCCAGTAACGGGTCTGGGGGTCAGTGTCAGTACCGAACACGGGTGTTTCAAATGCCGCGCGGTACTAAGTCGGCGGAACATGGGGTTCGATCCCGTCCAGTGTTGTTGGTGATCGATGATCGGAGGCGGTGAAGTGAAAGTGTAATTGATGGATCGGAGAATTTTGGATTTGGAATGATGCTGCGCCCCCTTTGCCTTTTTTCAAGGATTTGCCCAGGTGGTTTGCTTTCTTTTGGTGCGCAGGGTGAATTTGGTTGCTCGGACGTAATGACGTATTTGCTAGGGAGAAGGGGCTGGGCGGGTCCACACATGCATATGTACATTGTACTTCCAGTATATGCTTTGTACGCTGCACAGATACTCCCCTTGAGCATGAATTATTTTCCGCATGATGTAACTTATTTGAGTTGTTCTCTTTCTGCATATGCAGACTAAATGGGATATGTAGACATTGTGATACATCCTTTATAAAATGCGAGGCTTGAAGATACTGTTCGGTGATTGGCGGTTAATGGCAGGCTCCTTGATATTGGTCGCCTCCAGGAAGCGCGTGGATTGATTGGTAGTTTGGTTGTTATTCTGTCACACGGGGAGATCGCATTGTCCTGTGAAGTAGGTATTGATTGAATAGTAGTGGTGGGCCTGGACTATGTTCTCAAATCACCCCAATCTATATCCTAGTAAGCATACCACCCATCTAACGCAGGTTATATATGAGCTTCACTTGTATGATTGATAAGTCAGCCAAGATCCGAGCGTTGATCAAAACACCTCATAAAATAGACCGCCTCGGCGTTTATCCAATAGAATCGCTCCTGCATGAGACTTACCATGGAAGGATGTGCCAGGCCATGCATAAGCGCATCTAGAATGAAATAGGACTGTGCTCATAATTCACCCGGGTGAAGTGTGTCCCCATCACGATCCTCATCTCAATCATATCCCTAACCTTTCCGTGCCGGTGCCTTCTATTAATGTAACAAGCCAAGTTTTGGCCCCCAAATAATTGCTCCATAAATCCGAATAAAACGTCCTAATCCACAACCTTGGAACTGTGGAATTCAGGGGCCGGGGAACAGGATGCATATCCCGGCATCTGATATGCTTTACTTTTCACCCGGGTTCTCTTTACCCCACTGTGGAATGTTCCTTTACCCCTGCTCTCCTTACATTGTCTTTTTTAAGTTCAGGTTTTTGTTGTAAACAGGGGTAGATCCAACAAGATAAGAACGTTTTCCGGGAGGGCGGTTGCCTGATAATTCAGACATGCGACCCAGTCTCAAGGTTCCAGGGATCCAGGTTGCTGGGAACTTGTCGTTTTCCATGTGGGACACAAACTTACCAACATAGTGGACTGCCTATATGTACCTACATGCATTGGCGATTGGAGCTCCACTTCCGTATGTGGTGTGTGTGTGCCTTGTATATCAGGATTTGAAGTGGACCTCTCTCTTTCCCCCTATATAAGCGCGCCCATGTATATCAAATGATGAAAAATATCAATGGTATTATTCGATTGTTTCCTATTTCACTAGGATATAAAAATAGTCATTAAAATTCGTTTGCGCATCCTGCGCTAGAGCTTAATCCCTGGACCTGAGGTGTCCATGCGATGTGGCTTGTTGCCTGGGTATTTTGCCTAGCTCTCACACAAACGACCCAAAATAGAAAAAAAATAATATATATATCTTTGCCGAGTAGGATTGTTTGATGTTCAAATTTGACGCATTGCTGCAAACTAAGGCACGTATCGCGTATCGCGTGGTTTTTCACCCGGGGGATATGACATGGGGCACACATTAGCTCTGGCGCGTCGAGGATGGCGTTGTGTGGAGTATCTAGGCCTTGCTTGACTGGATATTACAGGGCCTTGAATCAATATTGGTTGGATTTCAATATTAGGCTTAATAAGTAACACTGTTTATATTCATTCAACAAACATATCCTGATCATCCGAGTCGCTTAGCGTCCCCCAAGCTAGATCTATATCACTATGATCTATGTGCTCTGAGCATTCACAAGAGCGGGTCGCCTGGATATATGGCATTTTGCTGGAGGCTGAATTGATGATGTGGAGTTCGGTGCCTAGTTGCTTGAGTCAAATTGAGACCCACTATGAACATAAGATAAACACGACCCGCTAAGAGTATAGCTCCAACGAACGAGCGCCTTGGAGTGTTTCTTTGTTCTGGTTCTGATGAATTAGCGGGCAAGCTCTCAGTAAACCAAAAGCACCACGAACAACGTGTTCATGCATCATAACATCTCCCAAGCTATAATCTGAACGCCTATCGGGCTTAGGTATCCTGCCTAATCACTAGGCCGCCAAAGGATTCCATGCTAATTAGCGCATCAAAGCACTGACCATGAGGGGCTAGGCAGATCAACCAGCCAGTAAACAATCAGAATAATATGGGTACGCGGTTTATCAAAACCCAAGGGCTCCCATTCAGATGCAGAGCAGCCCGATAAAAGCGGCAAAATAGAGCCTGGCCCCCCCAATTCGAACAGCACAGTGCGCAATTTGAGGACAACAACGTCACCGGAAGATTGTTTAGGTCGACGGATGTAGACCGAATTCACCGGTACCGGTTAGCATGCCCATTTCAGGTCGAATGGGGTTTCTTAAGACATGGTCAGTGCTGTTACTTTATGGGAATATCGGTGTAGAAGGGGAGCGGTGACCGGATGGAAAGCCGCGGAATTGGATGCAAGGGCCGAGCAAAAGAAGAAGGGCAACACCAGACCAAAAAAACTTCAAATGCCTCACAAGGTTTGCCATGAACCAAAGTTCAGAATATTGAGCGTTACTTGGAATCGTGGCTGTTGGGCATGAGTAAGAACGAAGGGGTTATAAGTTATGGCTTCCAGCCCCCTAAGGGTGGACTTTGTCTCAAGCTTCCATAATCTAGCGCTGTTGGCGTCTTGCTATAGATGACGAGATACTTAAGGCAAGCAATTGTATTAAATGGAAGCTGTCAGCAAGTCTTTCACTTCAGCCTCGTCATGCGCGCTTAGAGCATCCCGAGAACGTGTTTCAAGTCATGGAATGACAAATAGTCTGTAACTTGATACCCCACATTTTCTTTCACGAAAAACGAATATGTACGTGCTCCCTAGGTGATTTAAGGGCGATTCTGATGTGCAAAAGTACGGTGCATGTTGCAACACGAATACCTACGGGAGTACATTACGTAGTTTGCAGGCAGCCACTAGTTACGGGTACTTGTGGACTCCCTCGACCCACCCCATGATAGTGTTTTCCCAAGGCAAAAACATCAGCCAATCTAGGGTGTTTGTTGGTTGCCTTTGTAAGAATCCCAAACTACAAAAGCATCCTTCCATGCCCTTTCCATGTTTATCGACGTCAGCCTTTCATCTCCCTTTTACCCGCTTTACCTTTGCCCAACACATGCATAAACCCGCCACCGCCATTTGGAGCTAGGCGCACTGAGCCCCGATCTAGGATCACAACTGATCGATCGGATCATGTGCAGAAATTAAATAAGACCATGGGCGAAAATCCTTTAAATTTCCGCACCCGTCCTGATTACGTACAGTCGGGCACCCGGTTGGCACCCAAGGCTTGGAAAGCTATCTACAGCCAGACCCAGTTCGCAAGGTAAACTCCAATTCCCGAAGTTATGGTAGTGGGTCGCACTAAATCTTGCATCCTCAGAAAACATATTGGGCCGGAAGACTTTATTTCCGTATCAATGGCGAACCGCACCCCTGCATCAGTTAGCTCGCCACGACCAAGTCACCGCTCGAACTCTATCATGATTGATGATAGAACCCTCGACACGCTTAGTAGTAATGGCGTGAGGAGAGTGAAATCACCTCGCGCTACTGCCACGCGTGCCGAGAAGATCCGGCGCAGAGCAAGTCCCAATACTGCTAAGAATCGCGTTTCGGGAGACTCTAGTCAAATTCTTAATTATCGTCGCCATGTGGCTGGGGTACCGCAGCGAGCACTTGATGCAGGGGTGCCGGAGTGGCCAGATCACATGCATGGGGCTTCGCGCCCAGAATTACACAGATATTACTCAAGCCCAACGCCTATGACGAGTCCATCTGCGAATACCTTGAGTGGGCGGGGCAGCATGCGGTTTCAGGATGTTTCGGGGCAATCGTCAAATGATATAGAAATGTCTGACCAGATGTCAGATATCAAGAACTTTGCACCAACCCCGGAGATAGACAGGCGAGGGTACGAGGGGATGTTTAGACAGCCGGAAATCAATCCCATCACTCAAGATCAATTGATCAATGAAGTACGACAGATCTATTTCGGCCTAGCGATGGTGGAAAAGAAGTGTATTGATATCGACAAACAACAATCGGAGTCGAAAGCGGATTTATCAGAATCGCAGTGGCAAGCGTTGATATCTATGCATCGAACCTTGCTATATGAGCATCACGACTTTTTCCTTGCTTCACATCATCCAACGGCTAGTCCTGTGTTGAGACGACTTGCTGAAAAATATGCTATGCCGGCACGAATGTGGCGCTATGGAATTCACTCATTCCTCGAGCTCTTACGACAGAAGCTCCCGAATTCGTTGGATTATATGTTAAACTTCATCTACCTCGCCTATTCAATGATTACGCTGCTATTGGAGAGTGTCTCGGCTTTCAGGGAAACATGGCTTGAGTGTCTAGGCGACCTAGCACGGTATCGCATGGCTATCGAGGAATCTGATATGAGAGACCGTGAAGTCTGGGCAGGAGTATCTCGTTACTGGTACAATCTAGATGCAGACCAAAGCCCCGACGTGGGCCGAATCCAGCATCATCTTGCCGTGTTAGCTCGACCCGACAATCTTCAACAACTCTTCTACTACACCAAAGCTCTGGTTTGCGTGCAACCTTTCCAAAATGCCCGAGAGAGCATCGTTCTTCTCTTCAATCCTTGCAGCGATAAACCAATGACGCAGCACACAATTATCACGGCTTTTATTGCAACACATGGGGCTTTATTCTCTCAAGACTCAGCCGAGCAATTCGTTGCTTTGGCTAATATTTTCTTATCACTTTTGCGAAGGGACCTTGCTCGGCTAGATCGAAAAGGCCTACAAGGGGTCTATATGATGTCTTCCAACTTTGCTTCGATACTACAATATGGCGAAGCTAACGGAATAATGGCACTAGAATTCGCAGCAAAGCAAGGCGAGACAGCAGCCGAGGCACATAATTTCGCGCTAAAGTGGACTTCTAGCTCAGGATCATTCCCAAGGTCAGAATCAGATATCAGCTCCAAGGGTACAATCTCGATCACAAGTCCGATCTCGCGTCCAATGTCCTCAATTATCCCTCAAGGAAGCTATCTTACCTTCCACACTCTTAACGTCTTTCTTGATCAGATAGACGACCCTGAAATATATCCCAGTGTCCATACTTCCTTAGCGTTTCTATGGTGTTTATGCCTTCGCCCTAATGCCATGCAGCAACTCGAAACAATAATCCCATGGCTACCAATCACCCGATTCCTCAACGCACTACTTCGGCCCGAGACAAACTTCTCCAAGATCGAAGACGAAGCATTTCCTTACTTCGAAGACGGGACAATACAGCAACTCTCAGAGGACTTCCTCATCCGTGGTCAGCTCTGGAGTCAATTCTACTATCCAGAAAACTTCTTCGAAGATGCTCCCTCAGAAGACAACAGACCAGTTACTGAGGAGCCAACGACAATTATACCAAGGCAACACAGATGCCTCTGGCTAGGTGTGCGAATAGCAACGGTTTGTACTCGCTTAAAAATTCTATTGTACCATGACGAGCATGCAACTAACGAGATTTCAATACAAATAGTTCAATCGCTGGATTACATACAGCCGGGATCAGAAATTCATACCAACACAGCTCGCGCATGAGTACGCGCCTATTGCGGAATCTTGTGGCCATCTCAACAGCAGAGCACTCCCAGGATCACCAGCTGACCATAATATGGATGAAATCTGATCGATCTGGAAACACCAGCTTTGGAAATTTATGACAGTCAGAGTCGACAATTGCAGCAGTTTCGGCCTGTATCAACTTCGGGCTTGGATCGACTATGGCACACCCGGGCGTTTTGCTTTCTTCCTTACTCTGTTCTTTATTTACTGTTCGTTTCCTTTGCGTATATGAGTCCCTGGAATGATATCAGTCGACCTCGACTACGACAGATTATGTTTCAGAAAAAGCCGTGGAACCAAATACCCTGGACATGGATGCCCTGGCCTGTGTCCTTCCCGAGGATCATTATCCACATGGAAACCCATTTTTACCTGCGGGATTATTTCAGAGTACAAGAACCTGGCTATCTTTTCCAGCGGATCACGGGTTTTACTGGCACATGAAGATATTCGATTCAAACCAGGAACCCACTTTAACGAGACACGACAAATCGGAAGCGAAATGAAGAGCGAATCCTGTCACTTTCCGATCAAGCCATATCGGAGTTTATTGTTCAATACCCCCTTTGGATTTTTTAACCTTTTTGGGAATTCTGTGGATTTTGCTGCAAATAGAGAGGTCAGAGGTTTTTGGCCTGACTGAGACGTGGATAGCGGCTGTGCTAGCGCCCAGGTGGTGGCTAAAAGTATCATGATTGGTTCACTTAGGCTGTTGAACAGAATGAACTGTATATTCTACCTTGTATTACCAGAGTTGAGCAACCCGTGACATGACTTGACCCTTGAAAGTCCTGCACATGTGTCCTGAGGCCGGAGTTCACGGAGGGTTGTAGATCAATTGCGAGGCGTAAACAACGAAACATCGGAGTTAAATGCCATTGTTGGGAAACTAAATCAAATGGACGAATCAGAAGCTGCAGAAAATCCTTTGCGTTTTCTGGGAAACGTGGGGACCCGCGCTCCATACTTTATTTCGGGCGAGCTTGCGCGTTGCCGAAAGGCCAAGCTGGCGATTACTAGTATCACCACAATCCGAACCTTCCTTCCACCCCTCTCCTCCCAATGGGGATTTCCTGCAAGCTTTCTATGAGTTTAGTTTGATTTCGCATTGCATGGGGTGATCGCCTTTTTCCTTAGGCAACTCTCGAGTTCTCGCGATTCGATTCGCATCCCTATCCCCAGCTCCAAGCTCCGCTCCGCACGACATCGCCGCCATGGACGGATCCTGGGCTGACATTTGTCGCCAATGCATCACTCTTGTGGGTGATGTTCCACCTGTCATCTTACTGGCTGCTTTCCTTGCTACTGCCCTCGGCTTGTTTGTTCTGGTGAGACCGTGTCCCCACCTGTTCCCGCAACGCGCGTGATGCGCGCATTTACCAATTGCGCCTCACTGCTTGCGCCTCATTAGACCCGAACAATCAGACTAACGCCGCCCGTTATCGACAGTTATATATCATTTTATCCCTTGTCGCCCCGGTTCCCCGCGCTCCTCTACCGGAAGAAAAGAAGTACAGAACTCTGGCGAAAGATGGAACGATCACCAAGCCCGAAGCTTTACCCTCTTGGAGCGACGCCGGGGACAACAAAAAGCGAAGCCAGCCCGCTGAGAAGTACCACATCGAACAAGCAGAGCTATTCATGTCGGTCGTAGTCCCAGCCTACAACGAAGAAGATCGACTCTCAGGCATGCTCGAAGAAGCAGTCAACTACCTGGAACACATGTACGGCACACTAGCTAGCGAGCACGAATCTGATGCCGTAGAAACTCGATCCATGCGAAAGCGGAAACCGAACGGATCGTCATCAAACGGTCACGCCACGGGTTCGGCATCGGACCGAGGCTGGGAAATCATCATCGTCTCGGATGGCTCGACAGATCGTACCGAGGAGGTGGCATTCCGCTTTGCGAAAGACCACCAGCTCTCTTTACATCCAAAGGGCTACGCTGGGCCGTGGACGCCCCAAGCGCAAGAAGGCGTGCATATCCCGCCCGGTACGATCCGCGTGGTCAATTTGACGCATAATCGCGGAAAGGGCGGTGCAGTTACACACGGCATGCGCCATGTTCGTGGAAAGTACGTTGTGTTTGCAGATGCCGATGGGGCGAGCAAATTCGGCGATCTCGGGAAGCTTGTAACGGCGTGTTCGGAGATCGAAGATGCCGATGGGCGCGGCGTGGCTGTTGGATCGCGCGCGCATATGGTTGGTAGTGAGGCTGTGGTGCAGGTACGTTGAGCCCTACCTAATATGGCAAATTGCCGAAATTCGGAGAATGATATCACATTGAAGAGACAGTCTTGTGCTAACATCGGTGGATACTAGCGGTCTAAGTTGCGTAACTTCCTTATGCATTCGTTCCACTTGATCTTGTGGCTTATGACACCGCCCCGGACGGCCACTGTTAAGGATACGCAATGTGGATTTAAACTTTTCTCTCGCGCTGCACTGCCCTACATCGTGCCGTATATGCACTCCGAGGGCTGGATCTTCGATGTGGAGATGCTTATGTTAGCTGAATTTGCTAACATTCCTGTCGCTGAGGTTCCAATTGGATGGCGAGAGGTCAAGGGAAGCAAGTTGAATGTCCTGCGGGATAGTATCGGCATGGCCTGGGGCCTGGCGCTTCTACGAGCCGCCTGGTCGTTGGGCATCTATAAACAAACGTGATTTGAGCGGAAAGATACGGATTACAAATCCCTGATGAACACAACCAAATCCACCCTTAGTTCACTGGCTGATATTTTGGGCGTTGTGGTGTTTTGTAAAATGGGGCGGCCCCCGGAGTGGAATACCCACTTCAAGAGGACATAGCTATACAATATTGAGAGGCAACATGAAGGGATTTAAAGCCCTTATTCAATATATTCCAGAAACTAAAACTAGCTCATAATATTCCTTCCATGCATTGGTTAGTCTCGGGACCCGAGTCTATCAAGTGGAACCACGTTCGGTTTCCCGGTTTTCAACGTTCCGCGTTCTCGCCATCTCCTGACAGAATTCCTAGTCAGCCCGGAGAACATGTCATTCCGATCTTAAGTTCTTCGATCTCTACTTAATCCCGATTCGTCACTGCCCCCATGCACTCTGAAGCCCTTTGTCCGTGGCACACTGCATAAGTGAAGCAAGTACCCCGAAAAAGGAAGTACAAAATCGGCCCGCGAATGGACCGGGTCCAGGTTTACGAGTTCAGTACTACCCACGCCGATCTTCTCGGCAATTTATGATGGATGAGCCCCTGAGTAGGTATTGCAGAATAAAGTATTGGGAGGGAACTATAATTCTTGGTCCGGGTAATTTCCCATTTCTGCTGTTCACCTCCATCCTGTAGATGGGCATATAGCAATTCAGTTCACCTTGAGATACACTGCTTCTTATCGTTGCGGGTTATTGGTGTATATGAACGAATATACTTCTCATAGTTCATATATTCTGATTCACTGTCCATATACACTCTATATCCGAGTTGCCGTTGTCCAGTGTCCCTGTGGGGGCCAGGACGCCAATCCTAGACAAGATAGGTTACCGAACGTAAAGACCCGCATACCTAAATAATAATCCCGTTCCAAGGTTGATCAGTAGACTTGATCGTGTGGACTGACGGGAGGATTGGGCCCCCATTATGACGATAGTAGAGGGCCGTGTCGATCGGGTGGTTTTTCTATATAAATATCGCATGATAGTTATTACCAAGGATTCCCCTCTTTAACGTACCACCTGTATCTAATATTTGTTTTTCAACATTTTATCATTGACCTAGACCGCTAGACCGGAATTCGAATGTCTTTCGAATTACCAACGGTTTGAAACTATAAAGTCGACTCAAACGAACATCGGCCTCAATATCCACTGGCATACATGACGACATCCATCCAAAGTGTAACAGATGACACTTCATTTTACGCCACAAACCTCAACGACCTCAATCAAAACCCAGCAAACATGACATTAAATCAACACCAAGACCAGCAATGCAATCGACCAAACTTCATGCGCCTCCCGCCGGAGCTCCGGCTAAAAGTTTACCAATACGCCCTCACAGTCCCGAACACCTATACAGACAAACCCTTGATAGTAATAAACGACCGCGGCAACGTCTTCACATCCCGAAGTCGTTATAGAGCTCTATCAATGTGTCCAAGCTGGGAAGGCGAAGACGGCACAGCCCGAGCCTTATTATCCGTGAATCGCCAAATCCACTTCGAAGCAGAAGACTATCTCTACAAAACCCACACGCTATTCTTCCGTAACTCCTTCGACCTGGACAGAATAGGCGCTTTCCTCGATACACTCAGCCCCACAGCCCGAGCCAGCATCCGCAGCGTGGGCTTCGAGGTATTTTTCTTCGTGCACACGGATGAATGTGTACCAAAACGTACGCTGAAACAATACGAGCGTGCAAGAGATGTTCTACGTGAAAGATTACCAAATTGGAAGAACGTACTTTGTTATTTGGATCCGCGCTTCTATTACCCTGCTGCTTGTGTGGGTGGGCGTGAACTTGCTGCGAGGGGTGTACTTGATCTGGCGAGACGATTTGGGTCACTTGAGCTGGGATTAGATGTTACCTTTTACCCGTTACCTGATTCTCAACACCGGCTTGTTGAGGAGGCGAAGCAGGTTATTTGGAGGAGTCGTTCGCCGGAGCGGCGCGTGCCTGTGGAGAAGAGGGTGTCTGGAGGGAAAATGGGAGAGGGCAATGCGGGGAATTACCCAATTGAGTTGGTAGGGTAGAGACTTTCGATGGAAGTGATTGATTGGTTAATGCACTTGTTTCTTCACAAATCAACATGCTTCGGGTATTCCGGTTGTTGCAGATTGTGGGATGGTGTGTCAGGTCTGCAGGGTGACGTCGGTGTTGGCTGCATGACCTGATCTTTTGGCCTTTTCTTAGCTGATATATGCAGAAGCTTTACTACCTAATGACTTGATCTGTTTGGGTTTTGAGCGTCAGCGGCGTGGCGGAGTTTAAGTCTACGTGCTATTTCTTGTTTTAGGGTTTTATATTTACAAGTGGGCTTGCTTCCTGGAAACTGGGCGAATTACCGTGACTTGCACTCAATAGATGGATGTACTGTACGTACTAAGGCAGATAATAACCGTTTACTTAATGTTACATCCTCTACGTGTATACCGCTGATGCTAAGAATCGGGACATTCTATGCAGAGTTGTGGCAAAGTCTTGTTTGGGGCTTAGCGCCCTGTATACTGCATGCCACTAGCTTTCTAACCAAGAGGGACATGACAATGATAAACCGTGAACACCATGTAACAGCCGAAGCAAGCTAGCATTACAAGTCTGGTATCACAGTTGTTAGTCTTGGATGCATACAATCGACCCTCCAGAAGATGGCCGAGCTTTTTTAATGTGGACTTGAACTTTCCCTGAAGCATTGGAGTCGTAGTCGCATTCCTCGCAGATATAGTTTCAACCCCCACTTGTGGCAGATCCAGGGCGCTCAGGATTGACTGGGAATAGCCCGTATCTTTGAGAGTGAGTCAATAATAGATTTTGGCGTCGACGAGGTCTTAAAGCGTCGGACCTAGACACTGCATTTGCCTAACTTCCAACCAGCCACAAGAACGGCAACTTCTCAGTTGCGCCCCTTGGTCCTCTGGGCAGTCATATAAGGTCAGTAACGGAAGGGAGATTACTTCATCAAGTCGTGGTGGTTTGCTAGGGGGAATGAGGGGGGAGGAAATGGAAGACAAGCGAAACAGTAATGGGAAGAAGGGAAAGAAAACGATTTCAAAGTAGGGCATTTTTTCATGAAAATAGTGGTAAAAGTGACTTTTGTGGACAACACCTCAGACCATGGATGGTTCAGGTCAGCAGCAAGGCCCAAGCTATTGACGCATGTCAACCATAAGTTGACTATTGCCTCACAGTGTGTAAGATGATTGAACTAAACACACATCGGGAAGCCCTTAGAAGCAATGCAAAGTCACTGGAAAGAACTGCGAGCACGAGTTGGTTTTTGGTGTATAAAATTACAACGTTATGTGTATGCATTGACAAGACTGTACTGATATGAGGGCATTGTGTCCATTGGGCAATCCACCCCCAAAGTATACGCAATTTAATGTTCAAGACACGTCACTTGGTTAGATTTTTGATTGATAAAATATGGTTACAGTCCCTAAATAGGGCGCTTCCGACTGTTGGCGGCATGATCCACAAGCCTGGTATCTTCCTCTTTGGCCTCGTATAAAAGCTAGACGCTCGTATGCAGAGTCCAATGTAGATTGGACGATATCCGCCACCGGGTATCCCAGTCTGGCCTTGCCTAAGAGAAGGCTACCAGCCTCATAATGACTGCCAATTCATCTCTCCAAAGTATAAAAAACATGACGATTAAAAAGAGGGCAAAAAATGATCAGAAATCTGCAAGACTACAAGTGCAGCCTTTTATCAATACTGTTCATGAAGAAGAAATCCAGCAGTCTGTTCATTTAGCTGCCGGGGACGAGGCCCTTGAGGCCAGCGCCAATGTCACCCTCGCGGGCAGCAATCTCGAAGTAACCGTAAATGATGCTAAAAATCGCGTTAGTTATGATTCAAATCAATTGAGGATAGATGCAGCTTACGTCACAGCCAGGAGGATACCAGTTCCGCTGCCAAGGGCACCGAGAAGGTCAGAGGCAACGGAAAGGGCACCAATGCAAGCACCACCGAAGGCGGCGGCGGTGGGAATAACACGCTTGAGCTCCTTGTACATGGACTGCTCACGGTGGCCGGACATGACAAGACCCTGGTCCTTGAGCTGCTTGGCGACATCACGGGGAGCGGAGCCAGAGACCTCAATCCAGGTCTTGGAGAAGAGGGCACAGGCAACCAGCATGAAGGTGATGTAGACAGCGGTGTGAATGGGGTCGAGGAGAGCCTCAGTGAAGTTCAGAGGAGGCGACATGTAGTAAGCAATACCCGAGGCGGCGTAGAGCTGGGCAGAGCCCTCGCGGGGCTCCCAGACACCGAGAAGCTGAACGAGCAGGTTGTCCGAGAAGCGAGAGTACAGCATCTGACTGATCAGGAAGATGTTGGAGCACAGAGCGGACTGGAGCATAATGGGCATGTTCGAGGTGTAGAAGAGGCGAACGGGGTAAGAACCGCGCATACCACGCTGGCGCGAGGACTTGACGGGGATCTCAACACGGAAGCCCTGCAGGTAGATGACAGCGGCGAAGACCAGGAGGGTGGCCAGCAGGTTCATCACGTTGGGCAAGTTCTGGCGGTAGAAGGCCTCGTACAGGGCGCGCTGCTTGTCGGGCCAGGTCAGGAGGAGGTGGAACAGGGCGATAATGGCACCCTCGAACTCAGGGCCACGACCGGTGTTAATGGTGGTGGGGGAGAAAGCCTTCCAGACGATGGACTCGCAGATGTTGGTGGCAATGAAGAGGGAGATACCACTGCCGAGACCGTAGCCCTTCTGGAGGAGCTCATCCAGCAGAATGACAACCAGACCAGCAACAACCAGCTGGACAATCAGGAGAACACAGATACCGGCACCGAGGTCACTGGGCTGGCCGTAGAGACCAGTCAGGACGTAAACACAGGCCTGGCCGAAGGAAAGGATGATAGCGAAGAGCTTCTGGGCGGTCTGGTAGAGCTCGCGGTCGGTCTTGAGGTCAAGGTTGACGTCAATGAGGTGGGTACCAGCAAGGAGCTAGGAGAGCGAAGTTGGTCAGCTCGATTTGTTCGCCGCGTTATGTCAATTGCTTTGTTCATCGCATACCTGGAAGACCATGCCGGAGGAGATGATAGGAGTAATACCCAGCTCCATAAGAGTACCACGGTTACTGGCCAGCATCATACGCAGCCAGTACAGGGGGTCCGAGGTGTCGGAGGACACGATACCGTAAAGGGGCATCTGGCTCATGACCAAGAAGATCAGGAGAGTCAACTAATATCGCATCGTCATTAGAATGAAGTTCGTTTCATCGCAACAAAGAGCGATTGGGAGGCCACATACACCTGTCCACATCAACTTCTGGTTGAAGGGCACCTTGGTCTCAGGAGCTGCCACCTCCGGGAGGAGGGGCGTAAAGGGCTTGATCAAGTCAAGGAAGCGAACTGTTATCCATAATCAGTATATGTGAGTCCATTGGAGATGATCGGAGGAGGTTGATGGCGATCGCGTGGTGGGTATGGGGCGAACTCACGGCCGCTCATGGTGACTGTCTTCCTCCCAATCCGTCTAAAAAGAAATAGAAGAAGCTGGGATTGTCAACCAGCAGAAGGAATGGAAAGGAAGTTGATTAAAAAGAAAAGGAAAAGGGGATGGGGAAAGGAGGGAAGGTCGAGGAGGGAGATGGGGGAAGAAGAGGAGGGAAGTCGTTCGCTGGCCACTTTTTCGCTTCGCGCTAATTAAGGCCACTTGGTCTCGCCGCAAACACCGCACCAAACACTATCAGAGCTATGACTCGACACCAACGGATACGAGTAGTTGACGGATTGTCAATTTGATATAGGTTAGTATATTTAATATATCCTATTTGCCTACTTGTTCATTTCCCTCTATATAATGACAGCATCCGTATGGTATGTGTGTACCCCAGTGTCGAAGCCCCCGAGCTTATCCCCACACTATACCGGATCGGTGCAGGGTCTATCCAGCATCTTCTACAACACGAGTGGTTCTTCCTTATCTAAACCATGGATCCAGCTGCTAGGTATTGGATAACCGAGTTAGATCGCATTATGTGATCTTCCAATATCGAATAGATCATCACTTTCTATATTTGGTATCTAAACATCATAGATTGGACAAAAATAAAACGCGCCCCGCTGCTCTATATAGACGCCAGGTCTTTCTGAGAGTGTTGAGAGCTGCCCAAGTATAGTCATAAATATCCGTATGAAAACAATCTTTCGTTTCCAATCTAAGGTCCAACAAGGCCAAGACAATCATCGATCACCAGCTCTAACTCGCCAACTCGAGTTTTGAGGCCGCGATTCTCATCTTTCAGCACACCCATAACGCTCCAGGCTTCATGGGACGGGATTCCGAAACAGATATCGCATTGATTCTGGTTGGAGTTACCCACGAACGAGCTTCCCAGGCGCGTAGAAGCGAATCCCTTTAGAACTCGATCGTATGCGGATGAAGCTTTTGGTGTGGGTGTATTCGTAGCTGCAACAAGATTCTTTTGGATGGTTGGCATTGGTGTCGGTGTGGACAGAGCGACCTGAGATATATTGGGCGACGGTGCGGTGAGTGTAGATGTTGGTGACTCAACACCTTCCCGATGAGAGAAGACACTGTCCGCCACGCTCTCGTCTCCAGACTCGAAGCCGGAGTCGCTTGCAAAGGTTCCGTGGCTGGTACGTTTGCCACCGCGGTGGGGGGTTTGTAGTACCAGCGACGGGATGTCATCATCGGGAGCAATCGCGCGCACAGTATGGCTGCGACTACGGTTCTCCTCTTGCTGCCGCAGACGCCTTTCCTGCTCGAGCTCTTCAGCCATGGCCTGCATGGCTTTCTCTTGGCTTGACACTTTGGCGGCCATGCCGTCTAGCTGGACCTTCAAGTGATCCACCCGCGCCCGGGTCTCTTCCAGTTCCTCTTGTTTCTCGCTCCTGTCTGCCATGGCTTGATGCATGATAAATGTTCTTTGTTTATATGCCTCCTGCATGCGTTGCAGTACATTTGTGGCCTGTTCACGAAGCATATCAAGGGCTTCGTCGTCGCTGGCATCGGAGATAGGCAAAGAAAGGGCTGCGGCAATATCGAGGTTAAGAAACTCGTCATCTGCCGGCTGTGGGGGGTTGGGCTTTTGTTCCTCCTGTCGGCGGAGCCCAAAGAAGTTGAATCGACCCGTTGCTGGGACCGAACCCTTTCGAGTATGCGTCATAGCCGTTAGACGCGGGGACCCCATGGCAGGCCTTTCCATTTCGCCGTCAGGGCGCATTTTGATTCCCAAATCGACTGGTTCCGACTTGCCTTGGAACCAATCTGACAGAACACGAGCTCGTGCTTCGAACTTCTTTTTGGGAAAGGTACCGCTCCACGAGGGGGTTGATCGGTTTGTCTGGTCTTCGTTGGATGAATCGATGGCCTCTTCGAAAATAGGGGGACGTGCAATATATTCTGTGTTTGCCCGACGATGTGATGGCAAGCTGTGAAATCGGTTCTTGGGAGGGATCACAGGGATTGCGGGTGAGGAGGCAACGATCTCGTGCCCCTGCGAGGCATCGGAATGTAGGGCAGCGGTGGGGAGGGAGAGATCGGAGGACATGATGACGAGGGGAGTAGAGCCGGCGAGATTCGAATCAGGGTCGACAGGGTCGAATCAGGGTGTGTGGCGCGGCTGGTGTGTGACCTCAAAGGGGTGGGGATTAATGCAGATGTGTTGTTTAGGTTGTTTTTAGCGGCGGAGGAAGTAGGAATGGGGAATTCACGAAACAAAGACTAGACGGATAATAAGGGTTGAGGTCTGGATCTTAGGAAAGCACAGATGTTTCACAGCATGAGATTTGATCAGGAAAAAGTACCAAAGGAAATTTGTTTGGGCTTTGAAACCAATAATTGAAGAGGCTGGGAAGTATGAAATAGCGGTGGCTGAAAGCTTTCCACACCCGAGGATCCAGAGGGTCCACAGGAATCTTCTTCGATTATTCTGGATTCGAGCTGAATATCTGATCCACAGTGACGGAATGCAATAAAAGAAGAGAAGAAGCCAATTTCGACTGTGTATACATGATACGGCAGAAACTTTATTCTTGACGACCTCGTCGCTCCCCCACGTTCCCCGTTTTCCGTTTCTCCGATCCCAGCAAATCTGCGACATCATGGCGGCCAACGGTCTAAAGCAGCTCTCTAATGCTCTCGCCACCCTCGATCAGCTCTCTAATTCCTCCTCGTCAATCGATGGCGTACCTTCCGATCTTGAAACGTCGATCCGCTGTGCTGGGGCCCAGCTCACGCAGGCTGCTGGCGTGCTACTTGGTCTGTCGCAAGACATCATCGCTCAGGCGATCGTGATTTTCACACGTTTCTGGCTGGGAGCAGATGGAGGAAGCTTACGTATCTACTCGGCCAAGGTACGCAAGCTGCAAATCGCGATTTTGCCTTACATCGTCCCTCTAACGTTTCTTTTTTCTTCTCGAACTAGGATGTATCAGCAGCCTCACTCTACCTGACAGCCAAGCTCTCATTCCTTCCGACCTCCCCGCGCTCCGTTTTAAACGTTTATACCCTCCTTCTCTCGCAAGATGCCTCGCCACTGTGGTTCGTGAACCCGCGTGGGGCACCCGCACAGCCTCCTGCTCCAGAGACATACGTCCTCTCTGAGGGTGGATACCAAGCCGCCAGGCTGACACTTTTACGCATTGAGTCGATCATCCTACGAGCTCTCGGTTTCGATACACATGTCGCTCTTCCCCACGCCATTGCCCTTACCTATCTGCAAACATTGGGCGCGACAAGACCTGGCGTCGCACGCCGCGTCGTGGAGCACCTCAACGCCGCACTCCTGTCTCCCCAACTTCTCTATGTAACACACCAACCGAATGCGCTCGCCGTCGCAGCTATTTATCTCGCAGCACGCGAGGAGGGAGTCAAACTGGTAGATGCTAATTGGTGGGAGGTCTTTGATGTCGATCGTGAAGAGCTCGGGTTTCTAGTTGTGGCCATGAGGAGCTTGGAAGGTTTCGTGCGGAAAGAAACAGAGCAGTGGAAGGGCAAGAAGATTCCTCTGGTGGTAGATGATCTTGAATCGGAGATTGAGCGGCGCCGAATGATGGATGAAGGCGAGTGAACTGGAAGGATACACGGACTAGTACACTTGTCGGGACAAATTTGTCCCATAAGGAGCTTGCTTATACCTTTGGTCAAGGGCCCTGGATTTTCCCCGGTGGGGATTTTCATATAAAGAGACCCATCAAATCTGGCTCACCGAAGCCAGATAGCTCAAAGGCATCTGAGATCTTTCGCATGGTCACTTGAGTGAACAGCTTGGGAAAAGGATACTGAAAAGAAGAGAATCATCAGTTGCCTAGACACAAATCAGGTGAGAGCAGGGAGATATTTGATTTGAGGTTGGGATTATGTGATAGCGATGAGCTCACGCGGGGCCGATCATGTGCTCCACCGCTTATCAGAGTTGTCGCTCCCCACCTCATAAACTCCCCCTCTACAACTCTTAGCATAGACCACCAAATACAATGAATATCCTACATTCAACACTATCAACCTGGCGGGATCGTCTAGCCCCAGTTTCCCGAACGTCTACCTTTCGTGCTTCGGGCCAAATCACTCCAGAGGAGTTCGTTCTTGCCGGCGACTACCTTGTCTACAAGTTCCCCACATGGTCTTGGGGTGATGCCTCCAGCCCAGCAAAACGTGTCTCCTACCTCCCCGCTGGAAAGCAGTTTCTCGTTACACGTGGAGTACCATGTGAGCGTCGACTGAACGACAACTTTGCCGGTGACGCAGGCCACGAAGACGAGATCGTGAGGGATATGCTCTCTGGTGCAGGCGAGGAGGGCCCAGCGGGCGACGACGGCGATGATGGGTGGCTCCGAACCGGAGGAGGCCCCGACCGGAATCAACAGGAGGCTAGGATCCGAGATGTGCGGACGGTTGACGAGTCTGGGAACTTGGGAGAGCAAGAGGATGAGGAGGAGATTCCCGATATGGAGGATGACGATGACGACGAGGAGGCGATTATTCGCGAGCCGGCGGGACAGTCTGGAACAACGCAGTAAGTATCATCCTTATTGTCTATACGTAACCTGTGCTTACCTTCTGCTTAGATCCATGCGTACCTATACTCTATACATCACCTATTCTAACTTCTATCGCACACCCCGCCTCTACCTATCTGGATACCTATCCCCCTCTGAACCACTTCCACCTCACTTGATGATGGAGGACATCGTCGGGGACTACAAGGATAAAACAGTGACTCTGGAGGACTTCCCTTGGTTCGAAGGCAGTGTGAAAATGGCCACCGTGCACCCATGTCGTCATGCCTCAGTGATGAAGACACTACTTGACCGCGCCGACGCAGCACTCAAGCGCCGACGCGACAAGCTGAAGCAAACGCAATCCCCTGAAGAGGCGAACCGCATTCTACACGGAAGTGGAGACGGTCTGGAAGGTCTGGTGGATGATACGAAGGGCATGTCTCTCGGCGAGAACCAACAGGCTGGCGGTGATGAGTGGGAGGTTCTTCAGCATGATGAAGAAGAGCAAGTTGCTATCCGAGTGGATCAGTACCTGGTCGTGTTCCTCAAATTCATTGCTAGCGTTACACCGGGCATTGAGCATGACTTTACGATGGGGGTATAATAATTCCCAGTTAGATGGGCTCAGGCGGACCGTGGGCCTCCCCTTTCGCGCTCAGGCCTTGTCCCAGTAAATTGATTGACTTATGATCTGCAATGGGCGGGGGATCGGCTCCCTCCTGACTCTTTGGTGATATACATGACACGATATGAATTTTGGCGTTCATTTGCTGCAGGTACTATGAACTAATTTGCTTTAACTTCCAAGTTCTCTTTTGCTACATATCATATCAATAGCGCCATGAGCTATCTATCGAAGGAAAAGATGAAAACCTGATTACTTCCAAGGGTTTTTTTATCGATTCTTGTGTGACGATATCCATGGTACTGTATTCTGTGGTTCATTGGAGTTTCTTTTTAAGATGACAGATCATATGGTCTAATGACCCTACATCCCTAGCTTCGAAATCAGACCGGGAGATCGTCGTCTCCACAATTTAGATTAACATGCAAGCCACTATGGCACGAAATTACCCAGTTACAACGCACTACTGAATACCCGAGTAAAAAATCACAATGGAATTTTGTTTGAAAAGCATCGTATTCATATATAGTATTACCAACGAAATCCATCAAATGTAAGTAGTAAATAGTACGGAAGGTGCAAAGCACGCCCGGACTCCTAACAACCCAACCGAATCAACATAAATGCAACAACATCAGATAAAAAGTCAAAAGTCACAAGACCCTCATGAGTAGTAGATACAGGTATCTGGAGGGATTCACCAATCAAAAGGGCGAATCAATAAGTAAATGAGGAAGAGTAGACATGGAAAAGAAGAGTCACAGAAACAAAAGAGAAAACATCCGTCGAGAAGTCACAAGACGGATACAGATACAAGTCATCCGGCACGGCGGGCTGTCCAAACAAGAAAGATACAGCTTTTTGATCACGAGATTCAATCTCCATCTAGTAGAAGATACCAGCCATGATAGGGAGAGCGAGGGCCAGAAGGGAGCTCGGGGTCATGGAGGATCCGGCGTTGTAGACTGGCATAGAAGAGGGTGTAGCCGAGGGAGCAGGGCGCTGGATCAGAGGAGTCGAGCGAATGGGAGCCATGGGAGGAGGTACGTAGGCGGGAACAGTGGTGATGGTGGGCATGTCCATGGGAGTGGTGTAGGTCGGGGGGATGTACATCGGGACATAAGTGGAGGTGGAGGTGGTAGTGGGCTCAGGAATGGGAACGACGACAGGCTCAGTGGTGGGCTCAGTGGTGGGCTCAGTGGTGGGCTCGGGAACGGGAACAACAACAGGCTCAGTGGTGGGCTCAGTGATGGGAACGACAACAGGCTCAGTGGTGGGCTCAGGCACAGGCACAGCGACAGGCTCGGGGCAAGGGTAAGCGTCGTGCTGCTCGTGGGCTCCAGCACCGTAGATCGCATTGGGGCCACCGGGGATGCCAACATCGTAGCCAGCGCCGGCATCCTTCTCGGAGCTCACTCCTGGGCCACAGGGACCATGCTTCTCGCTGTGGACACCAGCTCCGAAGGCAACGTTAGGTCCGCCGGGGATGCCGACGTCGTACCCAGCACCAGCATCCTTCTCAGTGTTGCCAGTGGCGGGAGTTTCACCAGCGCCGCCAAGAAGGGGCAGGCCATTCTATATTGTGATTAGTTTGGATTCATTGTTGGATATACAAGGCTGAGCCATGTGGTTCGGACACTAACCAGCTGGGGAGCGGAGAGAACGGTAGCGGGGCCAACGGCCAGGAAAAGGCACAGAGCGGCGGAGAAGTTGAAAGTAGTGGAAGGCATTGTTGCGGAGTATTAAAGAACAAGTGAAGAACTTAAAGAGTGTGTTGGTGAGAGTAGCAAAGATTGATCTTGATGAAAGATGAAAAGAGTGATTGAGGAGCTGGCTCCGAGAGATGTAAGAGAGAAGCGAAAGAGTGGCTGTTCGAGGAACTGTTGTTGTGGATGATGGAAAAAGAGGTTGTGGACCGAAATCCATGGCCGTTATATAGTTTCTGAAGACAGTATCCGAGGGGTGTCGTGGGGTGAGCCAAGGGCTAGTCAGGTACCAGGCTGCTGCAAGGCCACGTCTAGCCCTTGGTGGCTTTTCGTTAGGAAAGCCACAAGGACTGATCGGCAAGGTACCAAATTAAAGAGAGACATGAGTTGCCAAAGATAGAGACATGCTGTGTGAGAGATGTCAAGTTGGGTCCGGGGGTTCATGCAAGTAGGACTAGTGTGATTTGTGTGCATGGCCTTATCAGGGGCATTGACCATGGGGCATGCAGTTCGCCTCCTGCTCTAGCAGATGAAGCTTATGCACCAGCCCGGGCCCGTTCATCCGAGAGCTGTCGTAGTCTCAGCCTGGATGGGATGGTCGAGGGATCCTCTGGGCAACACGTGGGGCTTGGGGTCGAAGGTTGCAAACCCCATGCAAGGGACAGATACAGGGGTGCACTTTCACTTCTCCTGCATAAGGCACTTTTTTAAGGAATAGCGTCGATTGGTTAGTGGGCTACTCCAGGTTGACACATCTGACACATCAGACGCAAGGAAAGTCCAATATCAAAGAGCTCAGGAGTCATCATGCGGGCTTCAAATTTGACCGAGGCAAGCCTGGACCCTTCTGCCAGAAAGAGCCTGATATGGCCCTGGCAACATGAGAGACAAAATAGCACAATTTAGGATCAAAACAAGTTCTGCATTGTATCGTATGCGGGATATAAGGATATCTCATGAAGTCGTAAAGCATCGCCATTGACAGAAACCAAGACCGTCGCAACATCATAACATATGAGGGAATATGCCAATGCAAACAAAAAAAAAAAAAAAAACGAATAAGAAAAAAGTAGATAGCAGAAGTAGATATTTCACAACACGCCAACATGACCTCGACATATCATAAACCATCGATCACTAGTGACAAATTCAATTTCTTTAAAATTTACCGCAGTTCGATCTTCCAAAGGCTGTGCCAAAGTTAGTGGAATTTTTGAACTTGAATTCTGGTTCCTGTTCACCCTGACCCTGACTAGGCTTCTCATGTTCAGTCTCGTTGGGCTCGGCCGTTTCCTCTGAGCTACCAAGGATCCGCCTAGCTTGGTCCAGGAGTTTCTGATCAAGCTCATTCAGGAAGCTATTGTCATGCTCTTCATCGTTGGTCAGACCAAGCGGCCCCTTCAGGGCAGGATCTTCAGGCAGATCGGGGAAATAGGACTCCGCATTCTCTGTCGGCAGGCCGATCTCCGTATGCACAGGTGCCAGAGGGGCTTCCTCTTGACATTGAGCCTCGGGAGCAGGAGTAGCATCTTGGGTGGATCGACGACTCCCATCGGCCTCGATTATCACCATCGGGGTATGTCCTGCGTCCCGAACGAGATTCTCATTGGGTGGGCCGAGTTCTGACAGCTTCAACTTGAGACTGTTTCGGTGTTCCATGTCGGGCCTTGCAGGGTCCGAAGAGGCAGGAGAGGATGTGGTCAGGGGTGATGGCGATGGTGGAGTGATCACCCGGGCTACGACCCCAGGCGGCAAGCCAGTTGACTTGAGGGTAATCCCATCTAGCCTGCTGTCAAGCTTCTCGATCGGCACCGGGACGCTTACGATTACTCCGGGCGCGTCTGCAGCCCGTGCCTGGGGAGAAAGGGCTGCGTCTAGTGACGGGGGTTTATTGTCACTCCCCTCGTTGATCGTCGACAGGTGGAGACTCTCTGGGGTCTCTTCGTTGAGGAAGACCCTTGTTGGTCGCCCTCCTGGGCTTGTTCCTTCCCACACCTGAGCTGAGTGCAAAAAGGTATCACGGGATCCTTGAAGTTGTGGTGCCCCGAAAAGCACACCGGCAGAACGAGGTACTGCTGTGTTTGAGTGTGCTCTTGGAGACTTCACCGATTCTAACTCTGCAATCCTAGCCTTCAACAGCGACCGCTCTGTCTCCCACAATCGCCTTTCCTGCGCAAAAAGCTCCCTCTCCGCTTGAAAATTCGCCCGTTGCTTCTCAAGAAGCTCGCGTGATTGGTCGATATATGAAGTATCCAGGACTGGGAAGTTCCGTCCGTATACCGGTGTTTGGACGTATCTGGAATTCGCCGAGGGATTACTGCCGGAGACCGATTGAGCTCGGCGGAGCGGTGTTGACGTTGGCGAAAACCGGACTTCTTTGTAGACAGAGCCGTGGCCTTCGGGTAAATTGGCCGCTGGGGGTTTCATATTGATGGAGGGACACATCTCTCACCCACAGCACTGGAGTCTTAATTTGGAATCGGATGATTCTAATGAGCGATCGGAGCTTGGGGGTGTGGTGAAGGAGGGGGCTGTGGATCCTGTTCGAGGATACAGTTGCACGCGGATTAAAGGAGGGAATGCCAGCACATGTGGAGCTTTCAGTAGCCGAGTAATTTGCTAGCTATTTCTGTAAAGAATGGGTCCAAATCACGGTTAGTGGAGTTCAGGTTATTCGCAGCTGTCTCGAAGCTGTGGGGTGGGTATACGGGGAGGGCGGTCAATAAGCACCTGCCTTATCCACCATTTAAACGTTGCCAGGTGAGCTCATGCGAGATTCCTGAAGCAGAGCTGGCGAGCACTGTAAAATAACATGGACGGGATCGTGTAGCTGGAATCCCTGACCACTTGTTCCTCAACAGCTGGCAGTCCTAGTTGTCATGCACAAGGTGCAGAAGGTTGGGCAGTAGTTCTTCTCCCGGAGTCCTGATGTGGGAGGAAGAACGTTATGAACCAGCAACAAAATATGGGCCTTGTGGAACCGACGATATCCGATCGTAATTTCCAGGCCGTTTTACGTTTGCAGGATATAGGATGAGCACAGGATCAGAATCCAAGTTTCAAGGTTCTTCATCTGACTGCGAATGACGTCAAAGGGGATTTTGAATGTGACCCCGTAAACCCCCGCGTTTTAGGTCAGGTACCTCGGTCACGTATCACGACTTCCACGGTTGCAGAAAGTATGTAGCCCCAACAGTAGCTGTAAAGGTCTCTCTAATTCATAATATTAACCTTGGAAGTTGCGCACGTGGACCTCGAAGCTTGAATAAGTGTTATCTCTATGATAGCGGCGGAGCCAGAATATATATTCTGCTGCATTCTTGGCATAATCCCCACACCTTACTTGAAGCGCTCTATAAAACAACTTCCTACTAGACACCTCATTGTACGGAAGGAAACACTCATGCTGGTCAATTGAAGCAAAAATAAACCAGAAATACAACATGTTTTGGGGCTGCTAGTTCTATAAAAGAAAAAAAAGATATGAGAACCAAAACCCAATCACTATCTAAGCAGTCGGCGCTTTGACGAAGCTAGTGAGATAGTCCACCTTCTCCAGCGGCACTCCCTCCTTTCTCATGATGCCATAGGCGGTGGTAAGATGGAAGTAAATATTGGGCAAAAGGATAGAAGTGCAGTGGTAAGCAGCAGTGTGCTCGCCAAGGTCTGTAGGACCCATCTTCACGGGACCCAACTTGTCACCGTTGCTGTTGACAACATCCTTATCGGCTGTAGAGAGGGACTTTTGCAATGCCTCAAGGCGCTCCTTGGCCTCAGTGTATGTGGTAATGTTGTTCTCGACGGACGCAGCCTCCCGACCGGTCAATTTGGCCAGCATCATTTCGGTGAGCCAGAGGACAACGAAAATCTGGAAGGTGAAGGGCTTCATGGTGGGGTGGAGAGAAGCAGTGAGGATGGCGTCGGCATTGGATTGTTTCTCGGCCAGTTCGACGAGGTGGATCAAGGAGGCAATGGCACCCTTGGCCTGGACAATGGATCCGTCGTAGAGAGTGTAGGGCATGATGGCGGTGGATGAATAGGATTCAAGATGATTGAAGTGGTCTGGATGAGTTGATTGAGGGATTATGTGGGTGATCGAAGCTGGTTTATATGTTCAATACTACGGCTCTTCCAAACAAGCGGAATGTCCGAGACTCCGAGAAACACCATGTGCAGCACCCATTGGATGTATCCATTGTGGGGAATTCTACCCGTAGAAAGTCGTCGAAGTTCAATTATTAATCCTGAAAGATGCGGTGTGGGCGGTGTTTGAAATATTGAAGCTTATGCTCATGCCATCTGATATTTTATTCTGGGTTTAGGTGGGGTTTAGCAGGGATCAATTCAGTCTAAAAACTAGTCGCATATTGCAAGAGCTTGTCTAATAGGCTGACGTGAGAGTATCAGTGCACTTGGAAATGCTGAGCCGGAGTGACGGAGATTGGGCTGCTATCCACGAACATCTCAAATTTCGATCAGAATTCAATTTGCATAAAACGCTTGGAACGTAATAGGAACTCTCAAATCTAGTACTTGTCATATTCAAACAACAATATGTCGGGTTGAGTTTGGAAGAAGATACTCATTTGCGGAGTTGCGGAGTTGCGGAGTTGGACGGGTTTACTTCTACATCATCTGCACGATGACCCCAACCACCCCAGAACGACGCGTTGACGTGCTGACGTGCCAGAAACAGAAACAACTCCGCTAATCACAGCTGAATTTTCAAGATCGAAAATCGTGAGCTTTGTAATTGAACACCCTTACTAGTCGCATTCAGAGTAGCGCAGTATTCAAGATTCAGAATAACATTGAGTACATATCCAGGAATCTACTTTCTCACGTTACTCTGTAGACTAGGCTGGAATTTGAAGAGGAGGAATGATATGATACCCACTGAGCTACCTTTTCTTACTCACGTCATGGCTCTCTAATAAAGCGTTAATTCATATATTGACTCTGATCAAGAGAGGTTTGAGATAATTTTTTTTTCTGAATTACAAGTACTGCGCGATTTCAAATATGGTTAGTGAGGGTGTTGAACTAATCTTGTGGTGTTCAATTATCGTGCTCCATCTTGAAACCTTGGAATCCTGAGTAGTCTAGTACTTGTACTAAATACAATCCTTCTCTTCTGTTTCAGCCAACATCTCCATATCAGTGGAATCACGCTCGCTCGGAAGATACGGGATCATCTCCGAGGGGTGAACCCAGTTAAAGATGACACTGGTAATCAAAATCATCACAGCATCAAAAACATACGACATCCACTCATACTTCGCAATAGGCCCCTCCGTGCTTCCGGTAAACTCAGTAAATTCAACAAGGCGAAAAACGGACCGAACAAAGATCAAAGCACCGCTAGCGTACGAGGCCATGACATGCCTTTTCCATGGCACTGTATATAATGTTGCAGAGCCCATTTTTACCAGCCGGACATGGAAGATAATGATGGTGATCAGAAAGAGACCGAAAAAAAGGATTTGGATCACAACGCCGATCTCCATGATTTTTGGGCCAGAGGAGGCGGTGGATGTGTTGGCGAGCATGCCGGCGCCTGTGTTGTGAAGAATATGATATCAGAGAAACAATTCGGAGCAAGAAGGTCCTGCAACATACCTCCAAACTGCACCACGAAAGATATAATATCTCCGCAAACAAATATTTTGGTGAGCCATGTTCGTCGGATGATAGTGTAGTTTTCGCCGTTCGTTACAAGGATTATTCGACCAAATTCCATGTAGATACTGGCAGCCAAGAGGGCCGGGGCTACCAGGATGAGAATATATTGAATCAACATTGGCGCGATTTTATAGTCGGGGTATTGGGTAGATGAATATGCTCTCTATTATGCAAAGGCTTGTTAGCTTTGAGCGAGTTGATTGGAGAAAAGCCTTGGAATATGCGATGATGTTTGACTTACTGCTATATAACCAGCGGACTCAACTATGGTACAGCTCTAGTCAGTATTCAGAAACCACTTGCCAACGAATCAGACTTACATATAAGTCCTATTAGGAATGGAATGAAGAACCAGGTCTTGGTGCGGAATAGTTGAAATCCGTGAGCAGCCATGGTAATAAAGAAGATAATGGCGAAAGCAATGGCAGCTCCCTCGGAGGGCACAAAGTCATATTGATGAATATACTTTACTAGTACTGTCATTTTGAATGTGATTGAAACCGACTTTTATCAAGGTGGATGAATTGAATCCTGGAACGATTGATTTGTGGCCATAGTAACTATATAGTCACGGAGCCCATTGAGACAAGAAGTTTGACTTTGTTTTCTCCTGAAATCAACACAGCCCAGTTCCAACTAGATGAATCTAACTCTCGGCCTAGAATTAGGAATGTGGTTGATCTATAGACCCAAGGCCGGCACCCAATCAGAGCGGCCCGTATAGCGTATAAGGGAAAAAACGGGCTATATGTAGATTACGTGTTCTCCACCGATCTATCATATAGGCGAGAACTGCATCAAAAGCGGTTAGCGACTCAGTGGATCCCGGGGTTAACGGAGTGTAATATCCGTGAGTGGATCCAAAAGATCTTAGAGTACGTATTCACCGTATATTTTCGTACATCGCCCTTTCTCATTCGTCTAAATCTTTCGTCAGTGTATATATTGCATGCATAAAATCCTTCTGTGGATCGAGCTATCGCGATGGTGACTCGTCGGAGTCATAAAAAATCGAGGAACGGATGCATACGATGTAAAGAGCGACATATCAAGGTGCGATTGTCACGAGCCATTTCCCCACAGTCTTTCAGCCTTCCTAATACTCTACGTAGTGTGATGAAGGTCTCCCCAAATGTACTTCGTGTGCAGACCGTGAATTACACTGCGAGTACGTTACTATCAGAGCCGAGGGCAGGCAGCGCACTGTGCCTTCGGTGGGACCGAGCCCGGAAACCACTACTTCTCTCGCACTCAGCGATTCTGATGGAAATGGCATGTTCCTCAATAAACGACTAGTAGAGGCGAAGTTGCTGCACCAATACTACACTAGCACATGCAAGTCAATTGGAAAAGATGAGCACAGCCAAAAAGTCTGGCAGACCACCCTACCCGACCTGGCCACCAGCAATGAACCTGTCTTGGACAGTATACTGGCATTTGCGGCCCTGCATCTAGCTTATCTAGAACCAAATAGACGACTGTCCTGGATAAGGCTTGCACTGGAGTACAGCAAGGAAGCATATGCGGGGTTTGCGAAACTCATTAGTCGGCTTTCGCCTTCGACAGCACCATCAGCTTTTGCATGCTCGGTCCTTATTGCCCTGTCTGCCATGGCCCAGCATGGCGCGCTTGGCATCAAAATTGGTCCAACATACCTCTCGGAGGCTCTACGACTGAAAAAGCTTATGCACGGTTGTGTTGTATTCCACAATGCTATCCACCAATTTGGAGTTCAAGAGCGGATTTTGCATCACACCCTCGGGAATAAAGAGAACAAACATCAATATGAAGACGCAATGCTCGCAATGAAGCGGTACGATTAAAGACTAACTGACAAATGAATCTGGCCTTTGAGTTGCTAACCGCACCCTCTTGGCGTAGGGTCTCCTCTCTCATATTGACTCGCCTGGGAGAGATAGATGACGCGCTTCGTGGACCACACCATAAGATCTATACAGAAACGCTTTGGTCTCTCGTTGAAAACGTCCGAGAGATATATCATGTGAGGCAGATACTCTTTTGGCTGATGAAATTACCAGATCCCATCGTTGATCTCTTAAATATGGGGGATCTCACTGCTCGACTGATCTTTCTTCCATATGCCATAGGATTGAAGTTCTTTAAGGATACTTGGTTTGTCGGCAATATCGGGGATCTTTTATGCCGAGAACTTATCGATCCTAGGGAATCTGTCCCTCCGCAATGGGCGGATATAGTTGAATCAATAAGGAACGAATTCATGTAATGAGTTACTGGCATTTGACCAGAGCTTCTCTCTCGATTCCTCTGGCCCCAATTATCCATCTAGATACTCGATGGCTTGACCAATCCCTTTTTAGCTTTATTTGTGTTCCAAGATTATAGGCAACAGCTTTTAGAGGATTTTCCAATACATCCTATTTTTGCGGTATAGCTCATATTCAGCGGGCCATGGCTAATAGATGTTCATTGCATACTAATACCTAAACACATGGCTTTAGCTTATCTCAATTTACACGTTAATGAGATAAAATTCCGTCCCAAATGACTTCAGCAAAGGGTCTAAGCTCTTGCTCAGGCATCATGAGATCCGTCTCTTATGCCTGGCGGAAAGAGGAGTAAGGCTTTTTATTAATTCGTAGGCTGAGCTGTGTGATTTTCGCAGCTATTCCATTCTGATACGATATTCTCGTGATGAATTCCGGGCTTATATCAAGTACTTATAAACCCGCCATATGGGTGAGAATCAATCCCTTCCTAGTATTTTTCAAGGTTCATGTCCACAAAATATTCTAACCCGCTAAACATACATACATCTTTACATTTTAGGTTCGGTAATCACCGTTGATGGTGACATACTCGTGGCTGAAATCACAGAACCAGTAGACAGCATCCTCTCCCCCACATCCAGCAGCACCCTTCTCGCCACCACCGAGGTCAATCTCAATCTCCAAGTCCTCGTTTTGCAGGATAGCGCTAGCACGCTCCTCATCCACAGTCTCGGGCTCACCGTTGACCAGCAACTTGAGGATAGGGCTACCATCCACAGGACGGAAGCTGACAGAGGTACGCTCAGGAACAACAACACCATCAGCCACACCCTGAGTGTAACCCACAGCACAGAGAATACGACCCCAATTGGCATCACGGCCGTAAAGCGCAGTCTTGACAAGGGGAGAGCGAGCAATGGTAGAAGCGATCTGGCGCGCGGACTCGTAGTCGGAAGAGTTGCGAACACGGACAGTCACGAACTTGGTGGCACCCTCACCGTCGCGGACGACGAGCTGAGAGAGCTGCTGAGCGAAGTCGGTGAACACAGTCTGCAGGGCCTCGTAGTCGGCGCTGGCCTTTGACGATGGTGCGCGCACGGTCTCGCCGCCAGCGGCGCCGTTAGCGAGAACTGCAATGGTGTCGTTGGTGCTGGTGTCACCGTCGATAGAGATTGAGTTGAAGGAGCGGGAAATGGAGTGCTTGAGAATCGATTGCAGAGCTGCGGGCTCAACAGCGGCATCTGTGCAGAGAACACCGAGCAAGGTTGCCATGTTGGGGTGGATCATACCGGCGCCTTTGGTCATTCCAGCGAGGCGGTAGACGCGGTCTGGGGAGGAGGGAAGAGTGAATTCACGAGAGATTAGCTTTGGGAAGGTATCGGTGGTGCAAATGGCGCGAGCGGTGCTCAACCAAGCATCGTGTGACGAGGCGAGGTTGGCGTAAGCAGTGGGAATGCGGTCCAGGATCTTGCTAATAGGCAATCTGGCGGTTCATGTTAGTATAGAATTCTGGCATAATTCGCAGCTCGCCCTAGAAGAGACATACCGTTGACCGATCACACCGGTGCTCATCACCAAGGAGCTATCCTTCTCAGCTCCACTGCATTCGTCCACGGTTTGACCCATCTTGACAGCATCCTCCAGTCCACCCTTTCCAGTGACAGCGTTGGCGCATCCAGAATTGATAACCACGGCCCGGATACCCTCTCCCTTGCGACTGCTCAATGTCTGTCGGCTCACTTGTACTGGCGCAGCCTGGAACTTGTTCGTGGTGAATACGGCGGCGGCGGAGCATGGCGTCTCAGATGCAATGAGCGCAAGGTCGGGGAATCGGGTGTTTGATGCTTTTACACCAACGTGGGTACCGGAGACTAAAAATCCCTGAGGGTATGTGCCCGAAGTAGGGATGTAGCGCTGCTTGGAGGCCGGAATGGCCATATCCAATGGTGCGGAGTAGCATCGGACCTGGCCCTTGAGCATGCGGGCAAGGGTGCTAACCGCCATTGTGGCGGGTTGAGGCTTGGGAATCATGTGTGGAAGCTCTGAAGTATGTATTTACTTCAAAGAGAAATAGTAAGACCAAAAAAACCTAGGGTTTTGTATGGGTGCGATGAGCCAGAGCTGAATGAGTCAAACAACCTACTGTGGGAACCTTGAAAAGCTACCCGCTCCGAGACCGGGAAGTGATTGAGCGGTATGAGCCCACCACTCTTCAGATAAGACAATATCAATCGCAATCGCCAAAAGATTACACAGGATAAGAAATGGTACAAGAAACCAAAGATATTAGAGAACTGAAAGATCTACAAAGGATTATCTGCGGCGCTCACATGACTTGTATCTCTGTTTTTTGAATTTGTCATATCCATGGAATGAAGTTGATTAATTGGTCGGAGGCTATAAAATATATTTAACAGCTACAAATTGATTGACTACTATAAACCACTCAATTGAAGGTGTTTGGATTAAGATAAATTCCCTCAGCACGCGCTTTAAGCGTAGATAACGCGCCGAGGCGAGGCGGAGCCGGAGAAAACCCACTGCGCGGTTATCAACTCTGATCTTCACAGCTCTCGATCCTTTCAGGTTCGAAAGGAAACCGATCCATCTCAATCGACTAACACATTCCAGCTGCCGATCATTCGCTGCCCTTAATAATCTTCATTGACCACTGAGACAGCCCCTGGGGGTAAAAAAAAGCCAAGACTCCCCTTGCATCGCGTCCCAGTTGTACATTCTCCGGATCTGATGGTATTGTTGATTCCCTCTCCCCTTGGCCTTGCCATCGAGGACTGCAAGCTGACTCGCCCATCATGAAGCGCAAGCTCTCAGATTCCGGTCTGGAAAATGACCAACCCGCAGGCTCGACACCGAAAAGGCCGCGGACCACACAGGTGCAAGCCAATGGCGCCTTGAACGATCTCGCGCCGAACCACTCACCACCGAACGGCGATTCTACCTACGAACATCCTCCAGGTCTATCAACTCCCAAAAAGGCCAATGGAACCGCGCCAACCCCGTTGAAGGAATCCGGGCTGAAGACCCCAACCCATAGAACCAAGGCTCGAAATTTGTTTGCGACTCCGACGAAACCCAAGACTCCCGCCGCTGGGACCCCGGCTCGGCTGAAAATCGCCGATCGGTCTGCGAAGAAGAAGAGCGCCCGGGTATTATTAGAACGAGACGAAGATGCCGACTGGGATGGCTCGGAACAGCTGGCGGAGGAGATTCTCCAGGATGACGAATCTGAAAAGGCTACCGAGCCAGTGACGGAAAGCATTGAGGAAGGGGATGCCGAGAAACCGAAGGGCAAAGACGCGAAGGCTCCTAAGCGCCGAGCAGGTCGACCTAAAGGCGCAAAGAATAAACGGTCACCAACGCCGGAAGGTGAACTGCCTGCACACGAACGCTATTTCTTCCAAAACCGTGCAGGCACTATCAAAACATCCAACACTACTCTGAATAAGGTGCCATTGTTGAACCATGAGGAATACTTCGAAAAGCTGGGGCAATCTGCGGATCCTTGCGCAGAGGAAAAGGAATATTTGCTTTCATTGCACCATCGATCATTTCCGCAATGGAATTTCGAGTTCGAGGAAGGCTTCAACATATGTCTGTTTGGCTACGGATCGAAGCGCAAGCTTGTACAACAATTTGCCGACTGGCTCTACCACCATTCGGCGTCTAAAAACCCGCCCATTGTGATTGTCAATGGGTACACCCCTGGTATCTCGATCCGATCCATCTTTGCAATGATTGCATCGGCACTACTTGGCGATGATCTACCCTCTAAATTGGGTGCGCAGCCAACCGAAGTGTTGGAGCTCGTCCAGTCGGCGCTCAAAAACCGACCAGATAATGAAGGGCCAGTGACTGTCCTGATCAACTCTGTCGACGCTCCACCATTGCGGCGAGCAGCTAATCAAGCTCTACTTGCTCGTCTAGCCGCCACACCACGTATTCGTCTTCTTTTCACCGCAGATACCCCCAATTTCACAGCGATGTGGGATATCAGTCTGCGTGATCAGTTAAATCTTGTCTTCCACGACGGCACTACCTTCACTCCATTCGCTGTCGAATATGATGTTGTGGAAGAAGTGAACTCTCTACTTGGCCGTAAGGGCCAACGTGCCGGCGGCAAGGATGGTGTTGGTTTCGTCCTGAAGAGTCTTCCCGAGAATGCACGCAACCTGTACCGCCTCCTACTCACGGAAGTGATTACTCTGATAGACGATGGCCACCAATCCGATGACGAAGGTGGTGCGAATGGCGGTGACAATACCGATGACAATGGCATCGAATTCCGAGCATTATACCAAAAGGCAACGGAGGAATTCATCGCTTCCTCCGAGATGATGTTCCGCACTTTGCTGAAGGAGTTCCACGATCATCAAATGATCACATCACGCATGGACCCCAGCGGCATGGAAATCCTGGGCGTGCCACTATCTCGCGACGAAATGGAAGGCGTGTTAGAGGATCTGGTGCTCGGATAATCATCCCTACCCGGGAGTGTGGAATAGATCGCAGATGTCATGATACCCCTGTACGAATTATACTATGTACCAACACTTGCATTGGCCGTGTAGTAATATCTAGTGTCTAAAAGCACCTGTAGCCATTAGTTACGGCCGGAGATAGCACCCGGAAACCTGTTTATATGTACATAAATCATGGCACTTTTCTAAAACTGCGCAAACGCCGCCAGTGCCATCATAGTTCCGAAACTCATCTTGAAGGGACGGTGCGAGTTCACAGCCTTCTGCACGTCAACCTTCTTCATAAGCTTCTGGAGGCGCTCTAGAGGAAGAATGTTATATCCCTTGGAGGCAGCCCACTACAAAACCAAATCAAATTAGTCGACAGCCTCAAGAGCTTGCAAGGAGCTTGCAAACAGGAGTTCTGGAAGCACAAAAACCTACCTCAATAAGCACGATACCCATACCAAGTACGACAACCAGTACTCGCGAGAAAGCCCTCAGCCCAACGCCAGCAACAAGGCCCAATACACTTCCCAGACTAACCTGTCGCATATTATCCGGCGACAGGAACGCAGCCTTCGCCTGCTCGGCGATGCCTGTACGACCCTGCTTATTAAGAAGAGGGTCCTCGGGCTTCACAGCCCAGCCAGAGTCGGCATTAGCCTGTGACTCAGGGCGGTAGTAGGGCGCGCTGTATTGGCATTGAATGGGGGCTGCGCGGAAGGGGGAGAGGGGTGGAGAGTTGCGACAGAGAGACCGATGCCGAGGCCTAGACCTAGGCGGACGATTGGAGGAGAGAAGAGCTGGAAGGCCATTTTGGGGGAGATTGAGAGGTGGAGAGGACGATTGAGTTTAATTCGATGTTCTTGAAGGTATATGTTAAGAAAGGGGAGCTTGTACAGTGTTGCTGCTTGGGGTCGTTTAGATGCCGCGTGATGTCATCGGCGGTCACTAGCACCCAGGTGCTTGTGGGGCGCATGGGGATTGGCTACACGATGTTCGGCACAATTGCTCAACGCGACATTGGTGGTATATTCTCCGATGATTCCGCTTAATAAAGCTCTTGGATCACACTTCATTGCAGAGTAAGGTATGAAGAGAGGAAACCGGGAGAAAAAAGCTCTACGCGTTCTTGGAAGACCCTCAGTCCAACGCCGGGAATCGTTTGGAGTCCCGTCAACTGGTAAAGCAGTAGTCAAGGATTCTAGAATTGGCGCGTCCATATTCATACTATGACGACCAGTATATCAAGGCGCGTTGAGAACTGTGAGTTTCACCTGGGCATTTTACTAATAACTAAATGCATTATATGATATGGAGCGTCGCATCAACGACCAGGGTAACTTCTTGGAATCAAAGCAAGTACTTCTCCATATTCACTGTGTTATTGAACAATGCGTTCTGAGTTATGAATACTGCGCTTTACTTCATATCGTTAGCCTGTTCGATTCACAATTCCTGGCCTCCTTGCCACTTTGAAATCCAGCCCCCAACCCCACTGAACGCCAGACCCATGCAAGTACAGTACGTGCACCGAATGGTGTTTTTTGATTCATTACATCTGTTATCTTAGTGGGTCATCCTCGCCAAAACACGGGAACTCGAAACACCATTTAAGCGCCGAACCTCGTCCCCTACAATTCTTTGGCCTCTTTTGGTAGAAATTTTGGCAGATTCAATATGATTAGCGTCTTTCCTAGACATGAGACACACAGCCTCTCAGCACATATGTTTATTTAAAAGCATTTCATTGATGGTCGTTCCGAGCCTATCTATTTGATTCAACTTAGATCTCACGATCCACCTGGGATGTGCCTTTCCAGCAAGAGTTCCCCCAGATTTCAAAGACATGATCGAATGCTCTATCAAATATACACAAACTCACACTATTGTGTTCAATCTTGAAATGAGAGGATTGATTGTTCTACTGTTTGGGTATAGCATCGACGACTACGGTACTGAACTAATGCACGCTAGCTGCGCCTTACAGGGGTCAATATGGGGCTATAATGAGAATATACGTACCCAGACTAGATTAGACAGTCTGGCCCTTCAGCCCATGGTATTTCCAAAGTTGTTTATCTTCGGCGCCCGTCCCAGTCCCGGGCCTGTATGAACTTTTCTCCCTTCTGCAACCCATTTTCTCATTCCAATCTATACCGAAGAGAGCACCAGTAACATGTCCTCACCACTTGACGCAGATGCCATGAATCAGCTTCAATCGGAGCAGTCGGAGCTGCTGGACAAAATTGACGAACTGCGAGCGATAGGCGTTGGAGGTCTTGTGGAGCTGCCTCAAATCATCGTCTGTGGTAATCAGTCCAGTGGTAAGAGCTCTGTACTGGAAGCTATCTCCCGGGTTCGCTTCCCTGCCAAAAGCAATGTCTGCACTCGGTTTGCGACCGAGGTTGTTCTTCGTCGAAGTCCACGGGATAAAATCAGTGTATCCATTGAGCCTGGGAGTTCTAGGACGAATAAGCAGGAGTTGCAGAAGCTTCGAGACTTCACCTCCGGAACCTTTTCCTCCAGTGGAGATCTTCCCACACTAATCGACCTAGCGAAAAAGTGTATGGGACTCTCCAGTGCCGATTCACCCAATTCTGGCTTCAGCGATGATGTGCTCAAAGTTGAAATCTCTGGCCCAGAACAGCCAGACCTAACCCTTGTCGACCTTCCGGGGCTCTACTACTCTCATAGTAGTGAGCAAAGCGAGGAAGGAAGGATGGTAGTTCAGCGGCTGACCGAGAAGTACATGAAAAGCTCTCGGAGTATTATTCTGGCTGTAATCAGCGTGAGGGCCGACTACCATATCCAACGGGTCTTGAATATCGCGCAAACCTTTGACCCAAAATACGAGAGGGCTTTGGGGATCGTCACCCAGCCCGATATTCTCGAAGCTGGATCAGACGAAGAAGAGAATTATCTACAGTACATCAAGAACGAGAAAGTCAAGTTGCAACTTGGGTGGCATGTGTTGCGCAACCGATCTTTTGAGACGCGCAATATCTCCGATAATGAGCGAGATGCCCAAGAAATGGAGTTCTTTGAAAAGGGAAAATGGACGTCCCTCTCTCGGGAGCAAGTTGGAATCGAGAGCTTGAGGCGTCGTCTCAGCAGCATCTTACTCATTCATGTCCGTCGCAACCTTCCCGGTCTCATTGCAGACATACAAGAAAGGATTTCGCAGAACGAGCAGGCACTAGCGAAGATGGGCACATCGCGTGCAACGCTTCATGAGCAACGGCATTTTCTCATCAACATTAGCAGCAGATTTGCGCGTATCACAAACCAGGCCTTGAATGGAGCATATACTGATGAATTTTTCGGTGGTTTCCAAGATCAATCTACAAGCACCGGGGAATTTGCTTTCCGCCGGTTGCGCGCCGTCATTCGCGAGCTCAATGAGCATTTTGCAGAAGCCATGGATGTTCGTGGGAGTCGAGATATAATAGCACAAGACTTTGGAGACAGATTACCTCCCTCTCAGCTTGAGCAGGCGGCATTGAAGCCATACATGGATGGGTGGACACCAAGTTACATTTCCCCGGAGAATCTCGAAAATAAGATCAAAAAGTTGGCCCGCGAAAGCCGAGGACTTGAGCTCCCAGGCAGCCCAAATCCGCTGCTTGTAGGACTTATGTTTCGTCATCAGTGTGAACCCTGGGAGAGCATAGCCAAGTCTCATATTATGAATTCCTGGGACTCGGTCCAGTACTTTATTCAACTGGTGTTGCGAGATATCACGGACGATCATACACGACCTTTGCTCATGAGACACATAATCTCACCGGAGTTGGAGGGGATGAAGGAATCTTTGTTGAACAAGCTCGATGAGTTGACTTCGTACATCAAAAGTGGCCATCCACTACCCGTGGGGAATTCGTTCATTTTTAAAATCAAGGAGTCCAGAGAGAAACGGCAGCTTGATGCTCTTAAGCGGAATCTTGGCTTTCAAAAGCAGTTTCTCTCGAAAGAGGTTCTTGAGAAGACAATCAATGTCAATGACTTGGAGCGAGCTGCATATAAATTGCAGTCTTTCAGTGATCAATATGCTGTGACAGAGATTGTTGCTCAAATGCAGGCATATTATGATGTAAGATAAAACACATCTACCCTCACGACACTAAGAAAACTGGCTAATATTCCATAGACCGCAATTGTGACGTTCATCGACAATGTCGCCATTTTGGCAATCGAAAATTGCCTTCTCCGCCCCTTGGAGCAAATATTCACCGGCCAAACTGTACTTGATCTGGATAATAACAAAATTTGCAAAATTGCAGCTGAGCCGGTAACCACCCAGAGAGATCGTGAACGTCTCACTGGAGAGCTCGAAAAGCTGCGGAAGGGAAGACAAGCATTGAATGCCTTCAGTGCAGATGGGTCATCACTGAGTGCTCCTCCTATATTGGGTACCCAAACATTCTACCCTTCATACGTCAAACGGCGTGTAGCTGATCAGGACACAATTCCACCAGGACAAGCGGCCCCCCAAACTTCAACTCCTGTCTCTCAACCCAAGACAGGCAATGTTCAGTCTGGAGGTGAGCTGCAAGGACTGTTGCGACAAATGCCGAGTATCTTTACATAAATCGCTGATACTGAACAATTCGCGGCAGGGCGCCGTGTTCCTAGTCGAGCTCCGGAATCAAAAACACCGCGATTGGGCCTGTTTTCACAACCTTCATCGACCACTGGTACGTAGCTTTTTGAGGTACGAATAATGCTCTGAGTCACTGATTATGTATTCCAGCGGGCTTGTCGAGTGTCTCTCCCGCCGTCACTTCAAACCAATATAGGTAGGTCATCTAATAAGCCTTCCGCCTCACCCATTGTTTCAACCGGGCAGATTATAGAGCCTTCAGATACTCATGAAGATAAATTCTCCAGCAATTTATTTCAAAACCTACAACCGCCTAGGACTACCGCTTCCAGTGAAGATCTTTCCAGTGAAGATTTTTTTAACCGGTTTTTTGAACAAGGGGGACAATTCGGGGCACAATTCGGGGCACAATTCGGGGGACAACCAGCCACCAGTCTATTTGAAAAAAAGTGTTAACCCGGTTGCCCCGGAGCATGGGACAAGTTTCCCGAGCACCAAAGGAAATGGAAATAGCCAGAAGTAATTCAGAAGGTGCATGGAAGGGCTAGCTCTAATAGTTGTTCGGATTAGGCTCTGGTGAAAAGATGACAATACTTCCGCAACAAATTATTACTAAAGCATTTGCTTCATCTACCCATTCAACAAATGTTCTCCTGACGTTCGTAGCTCCATTACGCTTATACAGCATCTTCTATGCTCTGTGTGTAAATGCCGTATATAGGCCCTGGAGAACATACTGATTAACACTAATTTGGTTAGGAGCTCCGACTCAGGAACTATGCGCGAGGAGACTGTACACGAGGGCAAGTGCCGACGTCGGCATTCAGATCAATGACACTGTCCTAGTCCTGTGATTAACAGGAAGATAACAAAAAATAGCATAGGTCCTCATAGAAACAAACCAATCTATCTATCTCATCTCAAGCAAGCATTTGGGAGGATTAAAAGAAAAAAGGGGGCAAAAAATAGTCGCGCCCGGGATCGAACCGGGAACCTTCTGAGTGATTCAAACACTAGGTGATGTGAATCAGAAATCATGACCATTAGACCACGCGACTCGTATATTTTAATTTCGCCATTATTAGCTACATACAGTCGATAGTGATTGTCCACCTTCGGGCCTCAGCCAAAGACCAACCCAACTTGTGCATTGATCTAAATAGATCCCCGTGTACTCAGTATGGCAAATCCATTCATTGCCAGTATAAGCACGAGAGCTTTATGGGGGAATTATGGGAGTACTAAAGCTGGCGTAATGTATTGAGCATAGCCGCACTGCCACAGAAGGCGGTGCTGGTTAAAAATAAACCCTTCGCGACACTATTGACGTGGAGCAGGTGGAGTTATTCGAAGGCACGGGCACCACATTCCTGCTCTTCACCGCACGGCATCATGGCCCTGCAGGGCTATTTCTGGTCTAGCCTAAAATATTTTCATCCTCCATAGAATCCACTTCACGACCATCCAAGTGGTCAGTCTTATGAGAACCGACCCATGCCTCAAATTTCTAACACACCAGAATCTTTGCTTCCTCGCTCAGATTCCAGGAATCCAGCAACCACATGTAGAGGTATTACGGCCCAAGGCCGACCTTGCCGCCGGGCCTTGGCGTCTTCGCCATCTCCATCTCCAGCATCTTCTCCACGAAAGAGAGGTGCTCAACATGATGTTCCAGACTTGGTCTCTCTGTACTGCTGGCAGCATCAGGACCAAGCTGCATCATCGTCATCCACGATAGTGAATGATAACATTGCACCGGCCAAGCCGAGGACCAGCATTGACACGCTGATGGATCGACTCGGCGTGCTAGAACTCAAAGATGAGAAAAACCAGAAGCGGCGAACCCAGAGCGGGTTTGGTGAAAAGCGCCGGCCTCGCCCGAAGAAGACTTTTTGCTGCTTCGATATTGTGGACGAGAGTGGCGAAGATTATCGCCCGGCTAAACCGGTACAAAAGCCCATGCAGACTCGTCCATCGCAGGCTACGCCTACTTCTCAAAATTCGCATCAAAAAGTATCTTCTGCTGGACGTCCACAAAGCGGGCGTGCCCCTTCATCAGGACAGCGAGTATCCTCCGCTTCACGGCCACAGTTGCGGCCCTCACAGGCCAACCCGAGGAAATCCTCCTCTGCATCGCAAACCCAGTCTCTATTGTCATGGATTCCCACGACACTTTCTCCACAGACAACTTCTTCAGTCCTCACGGAGCTAGCCAAGCCAATCTCCAGTGCTGATGAAGAGGGCTATATCTATATGTTCTGGGTAACGCCCCCAAGTACAACGACGCGCAGCGATACAGGAGCGTCAGTACCAAGAGAAATCGCCTCATCACTGCTCCCAGGACCATCAGGAAGCAACAATCTCCGTCCACCAACCCAGCCTCGCAGTGTAAGCGATGCCATCAATGCCGCGCGAGACATCAACGCTCTTACCACAAACCCAACGTCTACCACGCCAGGCACAATCCGTTTGAAAATTGGACGCACAAGTAACGTGCACCGCCGGATGAACGAATGGACCCGCCAATGCTCCTACGATCTGACCTTGATCCGATACTATCCTTACACGCCATCTTCATCTGCGTCTTCTTCCCCAGCTAGGGTGCCTGTTTCTAAGCAGGCTGGTCGCAGTAATGGTTCAGATACCATTTTGATACCGGGTAGAAAAGTCCCGCATGTGCATCGTGTTGAGCGCTTGATTCATCTCGAGTTGGCGGACATCCGGATGCGTGATCTGGGTCGATGTCCGGAGTGTGGTAAGGAGCATCGGGAGTGGTTTGAAGTTGAAGCTGAGAAGGAGGCGTTGCGGAAGGTAGATGAGTGCGTGCGGCGGTGGATCTCATGGGCTGAATCTGTGAACTGACGCATATATATGGAGTGGTGGGTATGACTTGGACTTTCAGGATTAGTATAATATATACAACCCTATAACATATGACGATTGTAACTTACGCAATTTTTTTCACACCTATGGTGCTGGCATTTCACAACTAAGTACCTGATTCGGTTGGTAATACAGTAGTCCTGATTTGTAATAATCAGGCTATCATGTCCATTACCTGAAACGGAGTGGACTTTATCGCCGGGCATGATCGCATATTCTAACTTCTAATAAGCAATACACTGGGATTATTCTTGTATTAGAGCCCATCCAAATTGACAGCCAGGGGCCTGTGAGCAATTCAGATATATGCATCCATTCTATTTAGTGCGCCCGTAGGATCCAATTCGTAGTCTACCAACTGGGTGTGTCGTGCCCTAAATAAGATGTTTAAATGCTTTTCGCTGAGCCCCCTGGGTATTCGTTTCTTCGCCCGTCACATCACACCGCTTCCGGCAACAGCGCTCCGCTTCGATGATGTAAAATGACCGCCTATGAGATTAACTCTTTCCATCACTTCCAAACATCAATATCATGCCAGCATTACCGTCCAACCTCCAACTGCTTGCACAAGAAGTGTTCGAACTATTAAATGCTCGAGGAGAAACCGTGTCTATTATGGAAACGGTAGGGTTTGCTGACAATTTCCTGCTATGACCTATATGCTTATCATCTAGGCGTCTGGAGGACTCATTTCGGCATCCTTGATATCTCTTCCAGGAGCGTCGGCGATATACAAGGGCGGCCTTACGGTATCCTTTCCCTGTTATTGACCAATGGGGCAGTCAATTACTTACGAACATAGGTTTATACCCTGGAGTCACGCCTTGCCTTTGCTGGCTGGACACCGGCCGACGTCGAGAATTACCGCGGTCCAACGACTAATATTGTGGCCCAGCTGGCTGATCACGTCCGACAATCCCTCAAGTCAACCTACGGTTTGAGCGAAAGTGGAACCGCTGGGCCGACAGGCGGGTCATCCAAGAACCGCACCCCGTAAGTTTGACTTGGGTTCGGAACGAGACAAAGCCTAAGACGGGTAAGCTAACGACCTTCAGTGGTTACGTGGCCGTGGCAGTGTCAACTGCGCAGAGGACGTACACACGTGAGGTTGAAACAGGCGATGACGATCGAGAAAAAAATATGATTGCCTTCGCTATGAATACTTTGGAGCTGCTGAAAGAAGTTTTGCTGGAATGATTTGAAGCTGCACGTTTCGGCTACTATGAATTCTTTAAAGGTAAATTGAGTAGATTCGAGTACATTCAAAGGGTTACTTTTTCACAATATGAACAATGCGCTCCCAGAAAGCCGCACAAAAAGGGATTATTCGCCAACACACGATGCCGTTGGTATCAGACTAATTGCTGGTTCTCCTAAGAGGTTCCAGCTTCTGCTTTTCAAGGAATCTCCGCGTGCGTATGCAAGCAGGTAAGTGAGTCAGCTGACACCCCGGGTGGTACATACGGCTAAATGTCTTAGAGAGCCAGATGATTATAGATTGGGTAATGATTTCTTGAGAAGCTATGTTTATTGGGTGGAAAACGCGGAGAGGTTCAGATCTATTGATAACCATACTCAAATTAGGAATTCAAGCGGAAACGTTAGAACAAGACACTTAGTTAGGTTAACATGCTATTTAATTAAATATTCTGAGATTATCATACGTATTATAAAGCTCCGATTTGAGGGTTTATTATTTACCACAACTAGGAAGACGCGATATCGCGATGAGTGGAACACTATAGAACAGCAATGTCAATAGATGGCCCCGTGCTTTTGCCTCCTAGCTAGAGATAAAACAACAGGATCAGCCGCCACATAGATGACGCTAGCCTTTTATCAAGGGGGCAACGGCCAAGAGTGGGTAAACGACTACGTTTAGATGCGGATAGCGTAGTGCAATTTATTAAGGCGAGCTGCTGACTTCGCTGCTCCCGCACTTTTCTTGGGTCGTGCGCAGTGGGTGCATCATGCTCCTCCGTGAGTGCTTAGTGACTACTCAGTGCGTGGATCAGGCTGCTTAGGGGTGTGCTTAGTTTTACTCACTGAGCAAAAAGCGGCAAGGGGTGAGCACTAAAACGGAAATGCAAACAAAAAATTGCCAGACATTATCCTGTATATATGCACCTATATAGATAGGATAATATCTGCCTGGTGGGGCTTTCCTAATTAGGCTGCCGCCGCTTTTATGAGGGCACTTATGCTCAGGCTCACTGAGTAAACGTGAGCATTAGGGACCACGGGTTCCTCGTGGCGGCGAATAAAGGAGGGAATGCCTCCAGGCCACCGGCTATGTGATCTTGTTAGGGACATGGTCGGATAGTGGCAGTTCTCGGGATTGAAAAGAAGTGGGAATCGCGAGGGGCGGGACTCGCGGGAGTGCGTGTATTTAACGGACGCGTTTGACGCCCCAGTTTGCAGTCAGGCATCAAATCTCTCTTTCCCGTGCATATACTCTTCTGTATTATTTCCTGCGACCTTGGCACTTCTACGGACTTGCAGCCAATCATATAGGAGAGAAGAAGTGTTTTCCAATAAAGTAATAGGACGGACACCCCATACTCCGTACATGAACCTAATCTGGTTCGGGTCAGAACACTAAAAAGAGTCAATTCGCTCAAAAGGGAATCAGACTGGTATATAGTATTGATGTCAATTTGGCGAAGCTTCGTCCTAATACATACTAGTAGCTGATAAGTCTGCCGTATCTCAACGTCCCGGCCTCCTACACTTTCTTTCCTCCTCCCCTGACGCTTTTGACTTAACACCACCTACTATTTGCCACCACTACCTGCCAACTTTGACTATGAAGCATCTACGAGCTTGGGTCAAATCACATTTCACACGCCAACACAAAGCGAAAGGCCCCTTTTTTGAGATCCCTGGTGGGAATACACTCGGCGGACTCCTGCCGGAGCTAGTTCTGTCAATATCCGAATCTCTTCCGCATATTGATCTTATTTGCTTCTCCATGTGTAATCATCGACTCCGTGAGCTGTCTCTAAAACAAATACACCGGTTACCTCCTCTTACACAAGACGGTAAGCTCTCGATATTGACCCGATTGGAACGAGATCTTCCAGAATACTTTGCTTGCGATGTTTGCAAACTTCTTCATCGATATAATGGATCTGAAAGCTTCGGACTGAGTGGATTATATTATGAAACATCTTGCCCACTCCCGTGTGTCAAAGAGTGATTTGGCCTGGAATCAACTCTGAGGACCCATTCTGTACCGTCCCATCCAAAGATCCCTATTTCTTTCCTCCAGCTTAAGCTTGCTATGAGGAGATTTTACTACGGTCCAAAGTCTGGGGTTAGTACGGCTTCTTTGTCCCATACACAAGTCAGCCACCACCTTATCGAGAAGAGTAACCCAGCCATTATCTCGCTTTTCTCAAGGGAAGCACAGATATGTCCCAAACCCCATGCTATATATATTCGGACGCAGGACATATTGGTCGGTAGAACGCTGGATGAGTTGATACTTGATCCCAATGAGCTCAACCCTGATCCTTTTGAAATATGTCCACACTTTGGTCCTCTTGGTTTCACCCCTCTTATGCATTCCTTCGACAAGAGGGAGGATAACTCTTTCGCCTATAACTGTCAAATGTGTAACACAGATTGCCTGGTTGAAATCACAGAGTTTGACTTCAAATTAGCCCTGGTCATGATGAAATGGGTTAATCTGGGTCCTTGCCTAACCCAGGAGGACCTATTGTGGAAATGTCATGTCCAATGCGCCTATGAACCCCGTGCACGGCTTGATGGAGATGACCCCATATGTGATCTTACGGCTCATAGTCCCCGCTGGTGTTTTGAAAATATGGCACCTCAGTCATTTGAGGACTTGAGGTCTCAGAATCTCTCCTATCTCGGACAGCAAAAATACAAAAATGGGCAACCCTTTTTTAAAGCAAGAGGAGATGACTCTTGGCAGAATTCATTCGATAAACCCTTGAGAAGCGAAAGGGCAGGTAAGGAAAGGACTGTCAAGTCCCGAAATTTCTCGGGCTCTGCAGAGATGGACGCCATAATTTTGCTCTCATGTTTAGGTTTAGTGTGAAGAGCAGGTCATTGCACACATGAGGTTTTTATTTCATGTTTGACTGAGCTTGAATACAGGAAAAACTTGATTCGCTGCGAATGGCGCTTCGCTAGGGACTTACACGGTACACCTATGTACAACAGTGAATTTATTGCTTGCAGGTCTCTAGTCAAGCACCAGAAGCGAGGGAGTTGATCATCGGTTCCTATCAATAACATCCTCTATGTATTGTCTCTCGGAAGACCAAATGAATGACGTCGTGAAAAAGCCGGGCGCAACACTCACCTATGGCAGTTTTATTTCCGAGCTTCGAGATTCTAGTTTGTATTCATCTTCTTTTCTACTAGTAATATCGAAAATAGTACCTTTGAAGCTCTAGCTTAAATGGTACTGTAATATTAAGCTATGGAAACATTACCATGTAATTGAAGTTCTTTTATGGAGCATAGCTTTAGTCTACCGTGCCTACTTAGATTCTACTAGATATATAGAAATAGATACTATCAGAGTATCTACTGTAAGCTCCAACATTAGAGTTTCATATCTATACTTTGAAATTGACTCCGCATAGGTCTACAGTCGCGGCTAGTAAAAATAAAAAAAAATAAAAGTAAACATGAGAGATATTGAGAAGAGGAACAAGGAGTATCTAAACACTTGGCCATGCTATGACCTATGCTGATGAATTACCAGTGAGTACTTGTCATCTGGCGTTTCTGGCGAAAGCCAAAAAAAAAAGAAGCCAGACATTGCACGGGTTTTTGGCGAAGGTCCGGACTCCGGGCAAGATTCCGGGGGGTGGCTTTAATTGAACACCACAGTTGGAGACCTCACTAACCGTATTTAGCGTAGCGCAGTGATTGGAATCCAAACAAAATGCCATGTTCGAACATATCATCTCGCTTAATTCAAGCTAATATGTAAGAAGACGCTTCATTGGAGCCAGGATGCAGCATTATAATCCTTAAAAGATGGCTCGGTATTACTTATAATCACCTTCACATTCCAGGGTAGTATACGGGGTAGTGTGAACGAGTAGGTACCTGGGTTTGGACTCGATAATATTACTTCTCGGATACCGTGCCTTGTGTAATATCATTTATGTGGGGTTCAATTGTACCAGATTTGTGAGCCGATTGAAAAAGACCATTGAGAATGAGCCTAAGCGATTGTTTACTTAGACAGTGGAGGTAACACTTATCTGAAGCTGCGGGTGCAATGGGTGCAAACATCAGCCGGCGTTAACCGTCCTATGACCTCGCGACCTCTCACACTTCAAGCTTGTTATCAACTTATCTTTTGCTCCCCGCGCGTTAATTTTTGTGTGCAGGTGACCTCTCCCCCCACATCGTTGTCCCGCTCTCCACCTCCCTAGCCCATGCTCTTCTCGTACCCCATTCGCCTTCCCTGGAATTCCTTGCGATCGCTCAGGTCGCCTTTCAAACCGTCCAGGCTCTTTTCCACCTCCTGCCCACGTTTCAACATCGAAATGGGGACTGTGGACACCAGCGCACGCCTTGTGCAGCTGAGGCAGCTGATGAAAGAGCACAAGGTGGATGTGTACAGTATGCCATTGTTCCTTGACCATACCTTATCAGCTTTCTAATTCTTGTTCAACAGTTTCACCCTCCGAAGACAGTCACCAGTCCGAGTACATTGCCCCGTGTGATGGTCGCCGAGGTTAGCAAACCACTCTACTCCACATGTTCCTCCGAATACATGCTTACAGTCAACCACTTTCCAATTGCAGAGTTCATTTCGGGCTTTTCTGGTTCAGCGGGCACTGCGGTCATCTCCTTGACGCAAGCGTCGCTATCCACCGATGGACGGTACTTCAACCAGGCTGCGAAGCAGCTTGATAACAACTGGACACTACTGAAGCGCGGGATTGAGGGTGTCCCGACGTGGCAGGAATGGTATGGCCCATACATAATGCATGCTGGGATTCTGCTGGATCAGAAAGACTGAGTATGCCATAGGACTACGGAACAAGCCCAGGGTGGAAAGGCTGTGGGTGTGGATCCATCCTTGATCACTGCGTGTGAGTGCCATGCTATTTCCGTATGCAGATGTATCATAATTAACACACATATTTAGCTGCCGCACGGAAACTGGCCGAGACCCTTGAGAAAAACGGATCGACACTTGTTGGTATCCAACAAAATCTGATTGACTTGGTTTGGGGTAAAGACCGCCCCGCGCGTCCGAGTGAAAAGGTGCGGGTGCACCCGGTGAAGTATGCCGGCAAGAGCTTCCAAGATAAGGTCGCCGATTTGCGCAAGGAATTGGAATCAAAGAAACAAGCAGGATTTATCATCTGTAAGGTGTCTCTACTGCCAACTTATGATAATTTGTCTAACAGTTGGTGATAGCGACCCTGGATGAAATTGCTTGGCTTTTCAATCTGCGAGGAAGCGAGTAGGTGATCCTTTTTGCCTTCATTCGATGTTGTTGAATCACGAGCGACTGACCGCTAGCAGTATCCCCTACAACCCTGTTTTCTTCTCCTACGCCGTGATCACTCCCACCACTGCGGATCTTTACGTTGATAGCGACAAGCTTACTCCAGAGGTGAAGGCTCACCTTGGTGACGATGTGGTCATCAAGCCATATGACGCCATCTTTGCTGATGCTCAGGCCCTGAGCAAAGCTAGCAGTCAATCCAATGTCGAGGCACCTGCTAAGTTTTTGTTATCCAACAAAGCTTCTTGGGCACTCAGCCTTAACTTGGGAGGTGAGGACCAGGTTGAGGAGGCCCGCAGCCCTATTGGAGACGCAAAGGCCATTAAGAACGAGGCTGAATTAGAGGGCATGCGCGCCTGCCACATTCGGGACGGTGCGGCTTTGTCGGAGTATTTCGCATGGCTCGAGAATGAGCTCGTTAACAAGAAGACCGTGTTGGATGAAGTTGATGCCGCTGATAAGCTGGAGCTGATCCGTTCCAAGCACGAACTATTTGCTGGCCTTTCGTTTGATACTATCTCGTCTACTGGACCCAACGGTGCGGTGATCCACTACAAGCCGGAGAAGGGAAGCTGCTCGATCATTGACCCCAACGCGATCTATCTCTGTGACTCTGGCTGCCAATACTATGATGGAACGACCGACACCACACGTACTTTCCACTTTGGCCAGCCTACTGAGTTTGAGAAGCGGGCCTTCACTCTTGTTCTCAAGGGCTGCATTGGCATTGACACCGCAGTATTCCCTAAGGGTACCAGTGGCTTTGCTATTGATGTTCTGGCTCGCCAACATCTGTGGAAAGAGGGCTTAGACTTCCTTCACGGGACCGGTCATGGAGTCGGCTCTTACCTGAATGTCCACGAGGGTCCTATTGGTATTGGTACTCGCGTTCAGTACACCGAAGTTCCCATTGCTGCCGGAAATGTCATCTCGGATGGTTCGTCATCTAATCCACAGGCATTTGAATATTCATTCCAGTACTGACTATTTCTAGAACCCGGATACTACGAAGACGGCAAGTTCGGAATTCGTATTGAGAGTAAGTTTCCTAGGACCTGACAATGTGTCTAGTACGCGCTAACGTTTCTTCCTTGCAGACATTATCATGGCACGCGAGGTCAAGACCCCCAATAATTTTGGCGATAAGCAATGGTTGGGCTTTGAGCACGTTACCATGACTCCCATTGGTCGCAATCTGATCGAGCCCTCATTGTTGAGCGATTCTGAGATCAAGTGGGTGAATGACTACCATGCCGAGGTGTGGGACAAGACACACCACTACTTCAACTCGGACGAGTTGACCCTGAAGTGGCTCGAGCGTGAGACCAAGCCCATCTCCAAGTAAAGTGGAAGGTGGCATTTGTTCCATACATTATCACCAGAGACCCCGATGCCGGGGCACATATTTATCATGGATTGAGAAATATTAGCATTCCAAAAACAAAAAAAAAAAAAAAAAAAAAAAAACAGTCTATATGGTTTCAGATCGTAAATAAAATTAATTGTACATAGAGGGAAACGTTTGGAGTCGAGTTCTGTGAGCAACACAGGAATGCGGCCGCTGAAGCTCATGTGGAGCTTTCAACTTCGACTTCCCCATCCCGCCCCAGGCACCTTCAACCCTGCCATTGAGTACCTCCACTTCGATCATCCTTTTCGGCACCCAGAACTGTATAACCAAGAATGGTCGCAGTCCCTTTCTACCTACGAACGCGCGCAAGCCACAGAACCTAAAGCACGGAGTTCCGACCAACATAATACACATCCGTTGCGGTTCCCCGCCTAACCCGCCCCTTGTCGCAGGCGATCACACTAGCCCCCACCGCATAGGCATCCGACCATAGAGAGTGCAAAACATTGGGAATGAGTGGGAGAAGCGGTTACAGTAACGGCAACGGCTACGGGTACCCCGACACCGGCCGGTACGAAGATGGCCGATACGGTAGCAGCGACAGCCTCGGAGTAAATGGGTACGGCGGTCGAGGAGGAGGCAGCAGTGGCTCGAATGGAGGAAGCCGGGATCGCCGACCTGGCGGATACGGTGGATTTTATGCTGAATCGAGCCAGTCGCCGTCTATCTCACCGGGCCAGTCGCCGGAGCGGAGGCGTGATATGTCGGACCGGGAGAGGCAGCAGCCGTCTTCTCAATCGACGTCAAGGTCCCGGGCAAGGGAAGGTGGTTCCGATAGAAGATACCAAAGTGCGAGGGAGGATCGATCGACTGAGGACGCTCGTTATGCGGATAATCGCAATCATGACAGGCTTGTTCCTGAAGTGGGTTCTGCTGTCATCAACACTGGTGAAAAACAATCTGTTGAAGGTTTGTTGGTACTTATTTTGTTCTGTTAAAGTGTACATCTGACAACTCTGCGTCATAGAGGTGCTGCAGGCGATTCAACGCGATTGGGATTTCATGACGGATGCCGAATGCATTCCAGTCAATGTCGCTCTGAGCTTGATGGACACGAGTACATTGGGTAAAGCAGATAGGGAGCCAGAATTTCTGCAAATGCATGCTCAGATTCAGCGGACGCTGAAGTCAATTGTGAACGGTAGGCTTACTTGTGATCTGATCCCCCTGAAGTTATGCTAATTCGGTTACAGAACATCACCAGGGATTCAACAGTTCTATTGGTACATACCACAAGATTCAATCTAACATCTCCAGCTCTCAGAGCCGAGTCCGTAATCTCAGAAACTCCCTGGAGGAGGCAAAGTCTGGGTTGCTGTCAACAAAACCCGAGCTGAAAGGGTTAGCAACATCTTCTCAGAACTATGATGACATTCTTCAATTGTTTGCCCAAATTGAAGAGATTCAATCTCTCCCAGAGAAACTTGAGTCTCGAATCTCAGACAAGCGATTCCTTGCGGCTGTCGAAGTACTACACACTGGGCAGCGATTGCTGCGGCGGTCTGAGCTTGAGGATATCGGTGCTTTGTCCGATATCCGTGCCTACTTTACCAACCAAGAGATGTCCCTTACGGACATCCTGATTGAGGAGTTACATGATCATTTATACCTCAAGTCTCCTTACTGTTCAGATCGATGGAGGGCACCCGCTACTGATGGAGAAGCGAACCCAACGAACTGGACAAGCAACCGGTCTTGGGAGCGTCCCGTTTACAGCTTCCTATCCAAATTTGATGCTTCGACGCCAATAGTTGAAGATGCATCTCGAAACCCGGAAGCTGATACTTTTTCTTATATCCAGCTATTAATCGAGGCTCTGAGTAAGATGGGCCACCTTGACACTGCTATTGATCGGATTGAGCAACGCTTACCGGTGGAGTTGTTCACTGTGGTTGATAAAACAAATGTGGAAGTTGATGCGCGGTATCCTACCCCGAACCGCAGCTATTCTTCACACGACAACCAGCTCAAGTCTAATTTGCCTACGGAGAACATTGAGCAACGCGGCCATGTGCTTTCTGAGTTCCTATGGACCCTCTATGCGAAGTTTGAGTCAATCGCAGAAGGCCACCGAGTCGTGCATGATGTGGTCTCGGCCATTATTGGGCGAGACGGCCCTGCTAAAAGCGACACGCTTGGCGCCGGGTTCAAGGAACTGTGGAAGCTTTTGCAGAGCGAAGTAAGATATTTCTTCAATTTCGATTTATGAATCAACTTACTAAATGTCTTTAGATTCGGTCCTTATTGCATGACTACCTCGCGACCGATGGTGAGGCATCATTTAGGTCTCGAGGGGAGGAGGCAGATGCTCGACGGAATTTTAATTTGGGCAATCGGGATAAGAACAAGGTGCGTACTTCCAACAAGAAGATTAAGATATTCCCGCTTACATGAAGTTCTTCACAGAAAATGTTCAAGCTATCCGACATTGACCAGAATTCGGAGATGAAAGCCGAGCAAGATGAGCTGGACGAGATCCTCAAATCATCAGTACCCGGTCTGGTGTCTAAGTCTAGACAAAAAGAAGCAGCTGCCGATGCCACACAATCCAAGCAAGGCAATTCGGGTACTGGTCATAAGCTTCTTCTTGAGCCAAGCGTTTTCAACATGAGACTTCTCCTCCCACCATCGCTATCCTTCATTCAGCGCCTCAAAGACATTGTCCCAATCGATTCTGATATTTCCATGTCCACATTGACTTCCTTCTTGGACGATTTCATGGTCAACGTGTTCCTTCCTCAATTGGACGAGACTGTGACAGATCTGTGCACGCTGAGCTTCATTGCTGCTGATGCATTTACCGAAGATCCCCAATGGACCAAGGTTTCGCCTCGACCGATATTCAAAGTGAGTCTGTCTCTTCGCATAATGCTTCATGGTATCTAACGACTTCATCTCCAGGGAACGGTCAAGTTCATGACCATTGTGCGCGAATTTAGCAAAATGCTATCAAGTATCCCGCACGATCAGGCTTTCACACAGCTTCTTATCGACCAGATCGTCACGTACTATGATAAGTGCTGTGGCTGGTATAAGGGTTGGTCAATCTGAACCTAGAAATCTTCCTGTTACTGACATGATACAGCAATGGTTACGAAGGTTTCCGCCCGCAACCACGGAGGCGAAGTACGGCTGAAGGCCGCCGCAGCATTTGCTGAAGCTGGTGATATTCATGATGTAGTGGATGAGCTATGGCGAGCACCCGGCGCCAAGAAGAAGACTCTCATCGACACTGTAAGCGTGGAACGCTTCGTCCAATAGTATTGATTGAGCCGAAGCTGACAGATGCAGGAAATTGACCTCCTTCTGAAGAGGACGGACAGTTCGCCTTTGGAGCCCTACGATATTATATCGGACCCGAAGACAGTCGTTGCTCTTTCACTCCTATACAACAGCATGGTAGGCGCTGCACCCTATACCCACACCCAATAACTCACTAATACCATTTTAGCAATGGCTGGGAAGTCACCTTGTCAAGATTCGACTGGTCGTCGATACGTCTGAGGAGGTCAGCACATCAAAAGTGACCGCAAATGGCCGACCGTCCCGCAGATGGACCCTATTCGGGGCCATGAAGCCCAAGCGAGACAGCATCAGCCAACCAGTACACCTTCCCCTTAACCACGAGACAGCCACAGCCTTCGACGAAACTGTACAATCTCTCCACCGGCTCGGATCATATGCTCTCCTAACTCTCCACATCGACATCCGCTGCGGCATTATCCATATGCTGACACGGACAATGTCCGGTCCCAATCCCCCGACTGTCCGAAACTCAGAGCCCGTAACACCCTCTCCGAGCGTAACAGAGAACTGGTGGCATATCATCCTGAACCAGCCCACAGCCGCATCCCCGACAATCCTCCAATTGAACGGTGATCTTATCGCATTCGACACCAATATCTCCACATACCTTGGCCCCGCCGAGCGATGGTTCATCACATCCGGCTTGGCCCGAGTTATCGACCGTGTATTCGTCGCCTGTACACGCTACATCGGCGCAATGAACGAGAATGGCGCTTTACGGTTGCAACTCGATGTGCTCGTTCTCCAGCAAAATCTCAAGAACATCATCATCGACCCGACCGCCGACCCAGCCACCGAACAAGAAGTCGTCGCTCTACCTCGCAGCGCCAAGTTCCTAGATTGGTTCTTGGAAGGTGCTGAGAAAGCGTTGGACTACGCGAATGAGGAGAAGGGTGCATTCGCGGCGCAGGGTGATAAAGCTCTCGCTGCTGGAAATGGTGAACCGTTTACGTACGAGGAGCTTCGCGTTCTGGTTGACCTGTGCTTTTCGGAGATTTTACGCGGTCCACGTGGTGCGGAGAATCGGGAGGACTTCATGTCGGCGAAGAAGGCTAGTGCGGATGCTTTGCTGCGTCTTAATGAGGTGATGTGGGATGCGCGGTGATGTAGAAGACCTCAGCCCCTCTTACATAGCTTGAAATCCATACCATTGTTTACTCTTAACCTGAGAAAGATAGAAGCAATTAGTGCTACAATAGAGATCATAAGATCGTCGTTTTAACTTAGGTCTACGGTCATCAGGTGAAATATAAAGTCAACTTCATTATACCGACAGCTCCATGGCTTCCAGTAAAAAACCCAGCCTAACCTAAATTTCGCCGACCCAACCGTAGTAATAAAACGAAATAACAGGGCGAGAAAAATAACCAATAACATGCACAAGTGCAGAGAAGAGGGTGAATAGAGCAGGAAAACGTTCAAGAGAAACAAAATATACGCCATACACAAGTAAAACTGGCGCAAGAACATCTGCCGCCTCCTAGTTTCAAAGCAATGGTGGAAGCATAGCAATATCCACCCAGACAGAAGTGCATAAGCACGAAAAAGGGTAAGGGATGTGGGTGTAATCAAACCCAGAGAACAGGGTGAGAACCAAAAGGCAGAAAGAAGAACGGGGAATGAGGGTATGTTCAAGATCTTAACCACCGAAAAACAGAGTCGTAGCACATGCGAAAGAAAAATAAAATAATTAACTCAGAGCTCGAGTTTACTCCATATCCAGAGTCTCCAGGTCCTTGGCTTCCTCGTAGTCATCAAACTCGAGGCCTGCGTCACGGCAACGCTGGAGCCACTTCAGGGCGATGTTGTTGCGTCGGCCGACCTCGGCCTTCAACTTGGAGTTGGATGTGCTGATCTCGGTGATGGCATGATTTGTGGTGAGACTGTGTTGCTCGAATCGCTCGTCAATATTCTTGCGCTCCTCCTGGAGCTGGCAGATATATTCGATAGCCCGCTGTAGTATGGCGCCCTTGTTCTTGTCGCAGTTGGGAACCAGACGGGCGATTTGGTTGATGCCTTCATTTATGGCCTCACGACGTCGACGCTCAACTAGAACAACATGTTAGTGCCGGAGTAGACTAGTCCGGGGACACAGAATATTGACGTACCCTCTTTGTGGTTGTTCTTGCGAATCTGGTGCCATTCCGGAGAGCCGACAGTAGGCTTCTGGTTCATACTCTGCGCCTCGCGCGCAGCATATACCGCAGCAGCAGTAGAGTTGTGGTTGTGTGAAGGGCCCATGGGTGGCTGACCCATGTCATCGCCGAAGGTCAAGCCAGAGGTCAAGTTGTTGGCATCGAAAGCCGCATCAGGTGGGGGCGGGTACTTGTGCTGTGGAGTGTGAGCAGCGAGAGCAGCCTTCGCGTTCGCAGTCAGAGCATTATCATCAGACATGCCATTCTGGGGGCCAACGTGTTGAAGGATCTGTTGGTCGATGTTGAGTTCTGAGCCGGTGTTGGGCAGACCGTGCTCGTAGTTCAGAGAGTGGCCGAAATTGTGCTGGTTATCCATACTGCCGTTGCTACCGTGTGAAGAACGGTTCATACGTTGGGGATCGTGTCCCAAGTCGTCAGATCCCTCGCGCTTGCGCTTATGGACATGCCCGTCGGGACTGTTCATGGATGGATCAGACATCATATGTGTGAAAGCCTAAGGTGGGAGGGCGGTTAGTCATCGAAAGAGGGGAAAAGCAAGTTAAGTGTAAAGCAGCAATGTATGTTTCAGGAAATGAATCATAATCAGATCAGTGAAGCGCTTGGGTTAGTGAAGTGGTCGGGCCAGCCCGTCCCCGGGAGGATCGATCGTCACCTCCTAGGGTAAACAGAAGAAAAAAACGCGTGAAGTTGACGCGCCCGTTGAGGCGGATGGCCGAGCGGACGGTCGGGATCAAGCGGTTTCATCGCCAGGAAGGCTTTGAATCACTAACCGCATCGCGACAGTAGCTCTACATAGCTCTGATTCCACTCAAGGTCACACTGAGGCTCTGTCGCAAGCGATAGAGGCGCGCGAAGCCATCAGAGGCGCGTCATGGCTGCGGGCGACCGAGGAAATCAGGCAAGGGGGATGAGAGTCCAGGATGGGTGAGGTCGCAATAGCATCACGACGCGACAAGGGAAAGGGGAAAATAAGGGAAGCGCATTCGGGGTTCGATGGGGAGATTTGTTACCTTGGATGATCCTCTTTATCACCTGACAAGAAGTCACCTGCCACGGACAATAACAAGACCAGAAGTCACGTTGTTCGCGATATGCGAACTTCAAAAAGAACTCCCCAAATTGCAGGGGAAGAAAGAGTAGAAAAATAGATAGCTGAAGAGGAGATCGGTTTGATAATCCACTCGAAAACGCAGATATTACATGCAAAAGGGATGCTTTTGGAGGGGGGAATCATCGAGTCGAGGTGGACTCACGTGGAAGGTTTGAGGAGAAGGCGATACGGGCAGCGGGAAAGACCAGTCGCGTCGAATATCACCTGATCTGCATCCGACCCAGGCAGGTATCCGGTACCCGTGACACAGACTCTCGTAGATTTACTCCTTGAATGTAGGAGTATTCTCTACTTGAACTGCTTTTTGATCTTTCATATATCCTCTTTCATTTTTGATTTTCTCTTCAAAAGATTCACACTTTCGATCATGTGCAATAGTCCCGTGCCCCTCACACACACTCCATGATTTCAAGCATTGATTGGCTGATCGGCCACACTATCACGTGTACTTAGTGGGCACGGGCCACTATCAGTCTGGATCAGGCAAGTGCGCTATTTCGGGAGGAAGTATAGAGTATAGAATCAGCGATAAGACATGGTGCGCCATCTTTCCTATTTCCCAGTTTTGGGGCATTATGCTCGCGATATCGCTTGAATATCCCATTACACTCGCCGATCATGAACCATCACATGTTTCAAGTCTATTTCTCATCCTGTGGATCCGGGGTTGCACTGGGTCAGTGGGCTAGACTCTCTGTATGTAAAGGATCGCCTGGTCATAAGACTCCCGAAATAAAGTGGATATGTGTTCTGCAGATTTAGTCGATCTCCCATGCGATCATCCTGGGCGAGATGGGCATGGCTGATACCACTAGCCACTAGTGCAGAGGGGTAATAATGATTTTTAAAGAAGATTAACGATTCCTTCCGAACAGTGAAGATCAAATCCTAGTACTTCCAGGGTCCTCGCCATACGTAACATGTGCCCATATGTATATCTATATGCTCTATTCCTATGAACATGTAAATCGCCTGCGACTAATCTTTCCACTAGTCGTACTAGTAGGCAACCACCTAGGCGCACCTCCCCACCTTTACACTCCACAAAGTCCTAACTCCAATGACGCGTTTCGTCTCGGATTGTCTCACTCCGCACGACGAAGCCCAAAAGCCATTTTCGGATCTGCCGTGGTATCCGCGAAACAAATACCTTCTTCCTGCGCCCCAAGTTGATCCCAACAGAGGATCTTCACCTCCATCTCATTATCCGCCTGTGCTCCTTCCCGTGACCCCGACCCGGCCCGTTGCGTCACCGCAACAACGGCACTGGTGCCCGCATACAGCGCCGGTGGCTTGGTATCATCTGCTGCCGGCTCTTCGCCGGCTCGATTGGCGAAGACGATCACCACCTGTTTGGGGGTATCCTCCTCATCCACATTTCGTGCATGCTGCATCTCTTTCTCTAGCAGCGGCATGAACCGCTGGAGCCAGTAGCTAAACGTATCCATATCCGGTTCCCGATTTAATGCAGCCAGAGCTTCGCGGCTGTGCATACTCAGCCAAGCCATGGAGAGAATCACAAGCTGGGACTGTGACTCCAGAACGCGCGAGGCAAATTCGTAGGCTGTGTAGGGTGCTTCAAATTTGTAAGGGTTGATATCCATACAGATACCGAATGATGTTGCCACTTTTTTGCTGGATGATGCTGATCCTACGACATCACCGTCGCCTTTATCGCCACAGGTATCTGCATTTCGGTGGATATCACCCACGAGATCTCTGGATACACGCTGTGCATCATTCCGCGAATGGAAGTCAAGCTCGTGGAACCCCCGCTCCACATTCCCTTCGGCGGCCCACGTCTCATCTGTGTAATACAGGAAGCACTTACGGTAGTTGTGGATAATTTCGCCATGCTGGTCAACTACCAGAAGAGAGTTGTAGTATTTAGCCGGGTCTGTACCATTTCCTATTTCAATTTCCGGATAACCGATGCAGACTTTGCAATTTAAGCGCTTGGCTGTGTCGCGCGCCCAGGTGGCGCTGCGGCCTGTGCCTGCGGGTTCAAGGAAGGGTTTGATAGCTTCCAATGAGGGGAAATTGTATCCTGTAATGTTCCTTATCGGTAAGTATATTGTACTTTGATACATTGGAAGATTCAGTAGAGAGTGCATATACTTGGCTTTCAAAACTTGACATGTTTAAGAAAAAAATGTATGTTCATTCCCGCTGTATACCGCGGTAAAGGCTGGTGGGCAGGGATCATATTCATCTGATACGTACCTGTCAATGCTAACTCGGGCAAAACCAAAACATCAGGTCTCAATCTCTCAATCTCAACAGCAGCAGTGATATCAGATTTGGATTTCGAACTCCGGCTAGAACCCAACGAAACAAGCTTGCCTCGTTTTATAATTTCATTGGCGCGTTGGATGTTGCCCTCAACGTCACCCAACTTAGGGGCGAATTGCAGCGTTGCGATGCGCATCTCCTGGCCGCGTGACGTGGAGAATTTCCGCAGTGACTCGAAACGTTTGGTGCTATGTAAGCGGCTGACTCGCCGTGGAATAAGGCAGCGCTGCAGGATCAAGTTCTTGTGTAAAATTGATGTTATCCTGAGAGTCGGTTGCAATGCCATGTAGAGATAAAAGCCTTATACTTGGGCCCTGTCGTTCAGTCCCAATGGAAGTGCGTATCTGCAGAGTGGATCCCTGCCGCAGGAGTCTCCATGCTACGTCAGATCATCACGTGAATATAGAGACACATGACAATATTGAGCCCCTGCCTCGTGTAAAGAATCCATAGGAGATAGTAATTTCGTCAATGATCACAAGGCAAGTGAATAGTATTCTGAATAGGTCCAACCCCCAACAGACTCACAAAGTCAAAACCAAATGGGCCACAACAACACACTACAGCTATGGGCATGAGCAGGTACCCGAGTATGAATAAGCTACGACTTGATAAGATGACTGATGTTTCATCCATAGTTATGAACTTAGGTTATAGGAAGTATACAGCAATAGAAAGCAAGGGTATTTATTACAAAGTCACCCTCAAACACCATATGAAAATGTGCAAATGTAACGCCCTTCAGCAATGCAGAAAAAATCATTCACTTAGACTTCCATGACTATCATAACAGATGACACCCCGAGAAATATGGTCTAAACTTAACCACTTCGTGAGAACTTGTTCTTGTCGTCCAGACTCTTACTGTGGGCACGACTGAAGTCAAGGGGAAGGTAGGCTAGACCATGAGCCCCAGTCCGCCGAATCCTCTGCTCAGTACGCGACATAGTCCGACCTAAGCCTAGCGGTGTATCAGGAGCATAGGCCACGTTGTACCCGTGATTTGGATACACAGGTGGTGGAGGTGGTGACATACTCTGTGAGTATGGAGTAGAAGCCGAAAAGCTCCTGTGAAGATTGTACGAGTGGCGGTCCTGGGTATTTTCAGAAGGATGAGGGTCAAAGATCTTGGGTCCGTTCTTCAACTGCTCGGCCGCAATCCGGGCGGCGGAGAGAAGCAGCTCATCCTGATCGATCTCGCGTTGTCGACGAGCTCTGCCTGCTGCCTCAATCTCGGCATCGGTCGGTCCCTTGCGTTCGGTGGATTCCTTGGAAGTCTCCAAGCAGGGTAGAGTGGGTAGAGTTCTGGTAGATGCTTGGAAGAGAGAGTATTCCTTGCTGGGCGCCGAATTGTCTAGTAGATCGGATACCTTGAGAGCTTTCGACTCTCGTCCATCCGGTAACTCGTCCGCAGCTGCTTCCTCTAACGCCCTCTTCCGTTTCTCTTCCTGCGCCTTCCGTCTCTCTTCTTGTTCGGCTTCTCTTTCCTGTTGCTGCTCTAATTCCAGTTTACGCGCCCTTTTGCGGGCTTGTTTCGCTGAGAGTCGCTGGAGAAGGCCGTGCCAGGCATTTTGTTCTTCTTCCTTTGTCGCATAAACTATTGAAAAAGAGTTAAAAGAAGGTTCCTGGGAAGATGAAAGATTGAAAGCATTTAGCATACCAGGAGGCCCATCTTCAAACTTCCGCTTGATGGATGGATTAGGGGAGTCCTGGGACGAAAGGGAAGAATTTAACGAGGCAACAGATTTATCAGATTCTGTTGAGTTGGTCTTGGTCGTTGCTGCAGGTAGTGCTGGCTTCTGGGGCTGGTAACTGTTCCCGATAGGGGTGTCATTGATTGAGGTCTTGGGAGGAAACATAGATTGCAAATTCGTCGATTGCGTGAAAGGCGGCTTTGCATTTGCCGGGGCCTCTTGAAGCTTTTGTTCCGCCTGCTCAGTCGGCTTCACAGCCGAGAACAGTGGGTTTGAAGGCCGCGATGAAGGAAAGGGCTCAGTAGCAAGGATACTAGAAGCTGATAGAGGCTTTCCAGTGGACTGAGCAGGCGGGGCCGCCTTTGGAAGTACCCCTTGACTCTGCTTCTGTTCGGAGAAAGGCTGTTCTGATGAAGATACCTTGGAGAAAGACTGTCCTAGATTGTGGAAACCATTGGCACCATTGAAGGGGCTCCTTGGCTTTTCAGCTGGATCGATGGCAGAAGTCGGCGGCAATGAACTCTTCTGGGATTGAGACACCGAGTCGGACGAAGGGAGTGTGAAAGGTGATTGCGAGGACTGTGTAGGACTTGCGAAATTGAATGGTGAAGCTGGCTTGGGGGTGGGGGCATCCGTGGTACTGACACCCCCTGTACCTGCGGAGGGGAAGGAAGGATTTGATGCTGAGAACATAGAGGCAGGTTGAGAAGTAGAGACTTCTGCAGCACTGGCATCTTTGAGCGCCGTCGAGGGGAAACCAGGGCTGGCGGTAGGAAACAACGAAGTCGGTTGTTGAGGGGTTGAGTTCGATGATTGAGAAGCTTTTAACGATGACAGAGAGGCGGCAAATGGGTTTAGAGCTGAAGTTGAAGGCTCAGATGTCGGCTTGAAGAGGCCACTAGTAGCAAAAGGTGAAGGTGACTGGGCAGGCGTGGACTTCGTCACAGATTTCTCTTCTTCTGCTGGTTTGCCAAACGAGAAAGGAGGCGGTGACGGAGCAGGAGCAATTGACGTCGATGTGGTCGGCTTCACAGCAGCAGCAAACGGGTTAAAAGCCGTCGAAGATGTTGCAGGCGCGTTGTTGGTCGCGGTGCTGCTAGGGAATGGGGACGCGAAAGGATTCAGAGGAGAAGCTTTGAATGGGTTCGAAGGCTTTGGGGGAGCTATGGCGGGTTGGAGGCCTGATGGTTGGCTTGTATCAGGCAGAGTGGTTTGGAAGGGATTAGGTGTGCTTGAGGCGGATGACTCCGTCAGGCGATCACTTTCCAGTGTAGAAAAGGCCGGTTCTACCAGAGGAGCAGAAAACGTGTTCTCATCCTCGCTAACGAAGAGAGGAGAATTGCTCATCTCGCCAGTGCCACCTTGAGAAGAGGGTTTCGCATGCTCGTGTAGCTTAGATTCATCAAGCAAACCCATTGTTGCTGCCTCCCGAATGTTCATGCCCAGAATGACAGCAACTAAGCTTCTTCCACCCCGCTTTGATTCTACGGTGATCTCGGAATAAGCATGCTCAGATGATGGTGAGAATCCTACTAGCCAGTTAGTAAAAAAGAGGGCGATGAAAATAATGGGCGGTTCGACACTAGTACATACCGATGGAATCAACAGGGCGATTACCCCAGTCAAGGTAGAGCTCCCCGTTGGCGTTTTCTGCCGTTTGCAAATCCTGCTCCTCAAGGAACTTTATTGTTTCTTCATCATCGTCAAAATGCAATACCCTGGTCAAGTCCTCTACCGTCCATTCTTGGTTTTTATGTTGTTGAGACATGGGTGTCTTGCAGTAACCTTTCCAGATCGCACGGATAGCTGTCTGCCGAACATAGCTGAAGTAGATTTCAGCGATGCAAGCCATTAAGTAGGACACACAGGGTGAGTTGATGATGTTGAAAAAGCGGGTGTAAAACCCCTGTGCAATGGCATTGGGTCGCCTTGCATCCAGGGTTCCCTGGTACTCCCAAGTATTACAAGCGGCTGCGTATAATTCCAATGCAACCTGAACACGAGGTGATGTCAATAAAGACGTTGGCCATTTCGAGACTCGAGCTTCTAGATCGGGCCGCTGGTCGTGAATGGAGAAAATGATGTAGTATGCGCGAAATTCATCTTCATTCGGGAAATGGATGCGTCCACGGTGGTCATCATAATAGTACATGAGAGATAACATTGTGTTGTTAAGTTGCTCACGCTCCTGGTGACGATCGAAAGGCTCTTCGTTTTCCGGGCTGGAAAGGAGATGGAGCGATACGATGTGGAATCGAGCGATCCTCTCTAGGCAAGTCACGGCGATCTTGACGTCTCTTTCTTGCGTGACCTGTTGGACAGAAAAGTCATTGCGGATGGACCGTGTACGATCCCAGACAAACTTGTGAATGATGCCTAGCGGCTCATTCCCACCAACAATATGGCGGATTAGATAGTTGGTGCTCTGAAGCAATGCGTTTGGAGTTCGAATATCAGAAGGGAGTTGCTCATCATATCCAGCAGCCGATCGTCGAAACCGCTTTAACATTTTGGTCTCCATGTTTTGAAGAGTGCTAGTTGATGGATGGAGGTACTGGAGAGATGTCAGTATACTGCGGAGATATAGACAAACTGGGAAGGAGCAAGGCACTTTACCTTTTCACTCTTATCCACCATCTTTTGCACTATACGCTCAACGCGTTCGAATTCAGGACACATGCTGGCACATGTACCTACAGGTGTAATGGCATTGTTCAGTGAGGTAGGCTGATTTGGATCGGCCATCTGGCCATCCTTGATGGCCCTTTGCCTCTGCTTCGCACGGTCGACTTTGAGCTGCAAGATTGGTCAGACAAGTCTATTAAAAAATCTAGGCTAGATCGTTGTTAGACAAGTTTTGCTAACCTGGTCATAGCGCTCATGATATTGCGATAAGATTGTTGCATTTTCCACCGGAACATTGCCCAATCCACCACCAGCGGGGTTTGCTGCAATCGGTTTTTGTATAAATTGGGGAGCCTGGGTGGCCGTATGAGAAATTGGCGCGCTTTGGATACCAGCAAAGGGGGATTTTTGCTGGGTATTTGGCGCTCCGAAAGGATTTGAGGCGGGTTTTTGCTGACTCAATTGGTTGAAGGGAGAACTGGTAGGCTGTAATTGGGGAGATTGTGTGCCCGAACCCGAATGCGATGAGGCTGGGGATGAAGCGCCAGCGCCACGACCCCGACCCCGGCCGCGCGACTGCGACAGACCTCTTCCTCGATTGACGTTGTATTTCCCCCGAGCTGCGCTAGAGCCTCTTGGCGGAAATTGTCCGCCGCGCCCAGCTGGTGTCCCGTGTCCGCGGCTTGCCGTGCTTGTAGGGTTGGCCGCTCCTCTCTGGCCTCGTCCACTGAATGGGTTGAACGGGGTAGCCATCCTGTCCGCTACGAGCGGAGGAGAATGGTTAGACCGCAACCAGCCACTTCAGCACTCCACACTGTTGAGTACTCCAATTGGAGTGAATCCGAGGTCGGGTCGAGTGGAGTGCAAAACTAGACGGGCGTGTTGGGAAAGAGCGAGAATGAGAAAGGTCTATAGATTGAAGTTCGGTCGCCAAGGCGAGAACAAAAAAGTCAGTCCATGCTGGTAATGAACGGTGGAGCCCGACGTGCAATTCACTGAGAGATGAGGTGGTGGGTAATCGAATGCGGAGGCTTGGGTCGTCAACGCTGGGAGGGCAATATCGGTACCTTTCGTATGCTTGTGACCGTTATAGTCTAAAGGATTAAAATAACACGTCGCGACTGATACAGGCTTCGTGGGAGCTGAACGGGGTGGATGGGTTCTAGACAAAGCGGTGCGACTGCCGCAAGGAATTGTGAAAGAAAGAAATGTCGGCAGAGTGGGCGCACTGTCAGAGATAATTAGGCACACTTGTATTTCGATGTTGATCGCGTCTTCGATATAGAAATGGGGAGCGTACAGGGCCACAAAGCTATCGAGTCGGAGTTTGGTTGATGGAAGCTCTGCTGATTCACGCGACTTCAAGAAAGCGGCACGGTTCCACTGTTAGCCGCGCGGTTCCGTAGCGGCAGTGGCGCTTGATCTGTACCCGCGTCTGTCAATTGACCATATAGCATAATCGTCAGATATTGTACAGGGACTTTATACTAGAGTCGGGAGGAAGTATATTATTCAAAAGTAATTCTTGTTCACTATCTACCAAATAGTTTCTTATCAACATAGCCCCATGAAGCGTACACATGAGAAAACCCAACAACCATATACAAGACAAAGATCAACGAAAGAAAAGAAGAGACAAAACAAGAGTATTAGCGAGAGTCAAGAAGGTTAACAAATAAAGTTGTAGAAGGTAAAAAGCCGGAAATTGGTAACAAAAACAAACAACCATAATCCACATTCAAACAATCCAAGATATCTCAAATCAAATAACCCCAAACCATATATCTGCGCGGCTCCTGAAGTAGACACCGACCTAAATTTTTATTCACAAACGACAACTCCCGTGCAAAAGCCCCTATATGAGTACTTTGTTGTGGTATTCTGAGCCATCAGTCATATATTCGTTACGAAGCCCGTAGCTTCTTCAAGTTCAGTCATTTCACATCCCCTATCAACCGGGTCCAGCCCGTCCGTTGATTAGGCAGGGTGAGATAGTGGCAGCCCGTGAGGATGGGGGTGTCCCAGGGAGCCAGTACGGAAGGGCAAAGACCGTTGTGCCATGGGATCCATTGGGGACTGTGCGTGGGGGTGTTGGTGGGACATGTCATGCAACTGTGCCGGTGATGCCATAGGCATATGGTATGGCATGGAGACAGGAGTCACAGATTGACTACTTGTTGGAACACCATAGTCCACAGACCCGAAGACATTCTGACGGAATGTTGGTGCACCCCATGGGTCGTAGTGCCCAGGAGCTTGGTGCCGCTGTTGCTCTGGACTGGAGCCGGGGAATTGAGGTTGAGAGTAGTCAAACACTGAGACATCGTGGGGACTGATCATCTCTGCTGTGACTGGGGTGCTGAGCATAGGCTGGGAGGAGAAGGAGTCTGTGTAGTGGGGTGGGGTGGTGTAGTAGGGTCGATCTTGTCGAGGACCTTCGAAGTTGATCTCAGGCATAGAGAAGCTACCAGGTAAGCTGCGGGCTCCGATGGGAAGAGTATCGATGGGTGTGGTCAATGGGGCGAGGTGCTCGACGGACGATGTGGGTGTCATGAGGCCATCTTCGATGAGTTCTGGTACTTCAAGTGATGCAGGCTCGTTGGAGTCCTCGTCCTCGTCACCGTCACCCTTGGGGCTTGGCCCCCGGTTTTGAATGAAGACAACCATGTTGCCATCTGGAATAATGTTAGCAAGTGAGAGCTAATGGCTTGATTGTACTAGGCACATACCAACTTCACCGCGCTCGAATCGCTCTTCCATCTTTCTCACTCGAAGGATCTCGTAGATGATCTCAACATGCGAGGGGTGCTTCAAACTGCGCTTAGTGTCGCCAGCGACTTCCTTAAGCTTATCGGCTGTGATTCCATAGCCACCAAGTTTGCGAATGATGTGGAGCAAGAGCTCAATGCGGTCTATAAAGAGATCAGTATGTGACAACTTAAGGGGAAGTAGGTGGTACCTACACTCTTTTCGAAGGTGGTCGGGCTCCTTGTGCATAACACCCGGAGGCCACCACTCGGGCTTAGTCTTTTCTGGGTCGCCAGTGGCGCCGGGAGCGGATCCTGGTGGGGGCTTTCCTCCGTTGTAAGGGTGTCTTACTTGCTTGCGGGGCTCAATGAATTTGATGAATGCCTTGGCAACCATACGGCAGTTGAGTTGTTGGAAATGCTTCAGGGCACCCTCATAGTAGCTCATGACCTTCTGGACATCTCCCACTCGGATGGGAACCATATCAGAGGATGCATTAGTAGAGTAGTCATCACTATCAGAGCCATCATCGTAGCGAGAACCATTGACGGAGCTGCCAGGCGCATCTCCGCGGCGGCGACGAACTCGGCGAGGGGATGCCTCCATGGTACGACGGGCACCAGGCTGAAGGCTCACACTCTCACCAAGGATTTCGAGGAAGTTCTGGCGGACCTCAGGAGTGAAAAGAGTGGAGTTCTTTTCTTGAATGGAGGAAGACTCGTCAACCTTGATCTTGCCCTCATTGTCGAGGTAAATCATAGCATAGTGGGCGTAAGGCAAACGGACAGATGGCCGAGAAGGGGTCATCATAGGCTGGATTTTTGTTAGCCAAAGTCAAGCTTGAGGACATCTCGTATCAACATACTGGAGCCACATCCCACCCGGGGGGGGCCCTCATGAAGAGCAGAAGCGGACCGTTTCATAGCACCAGTCGAAGAAGTGGGCTTGGCGTAAACCATTATGTCGAGTGGGACAAATTGTCCTGAAGTGTAGTATATCCGGTAGTATCAACAATTAAATCTGAAGCTCGTAAGAAGTATTTCGAATGTATCAGAGATTTCCAAGTGGAATGGACCTTCTTATAGTAGAAGGCTGGTGTTTTCAGCGGGTGCTGAAGATTTATAAGTGTTAACACTGAGTGAAGTTTGCCCTAGGCCATATAGTTAGCTTGGTGGTCTCAATTTTCTATTCCAAGGCATTCAGCATGAAACCGTTCAAGGAAGCCCTCGACAGCCAGTAGATGCCAATGCCCAACGGGCGGCTATGATCCTCCGTGCCCCGCCGGGTAGCGGTATGTGAAGAAAGGCATCCCGCGAACGGTTTCAAGCCAAGCTATTTGGAACAGAACCATCTATTTGGGGACTGTTGCAGATAGACTCACGGGTTGTCGAGGACAATTGGGGAACTTGGTCCAATGGATTGATAAGTAATGCGAGGGAAAACTGCAGAGCCAGAACCAAGTCGCTGTTGGCAGCCGACGGCTATAATGCAGGAACCAAGATGGAACAAAGCTCCACTTGTATGGTTCCGCGATAGTTCCCAAGTAGCGGATGGGTGGTACAGACGGGGTTGGCCTGGTTGTATACACAATATCTTGTTGGGGGCCACAGGATGAAGCACTGTTGGAAGTGGGTCGAGGGAATGTAGAATGTAGAAAAAAAAAGTATCGAATCTGGGAGGGAAGAGCAGGGTGTTTAAATTAATCCAAAAGAGATCAACTGGAGGTCCAGGGCTATTTCAGTTTCGTGGTTGGCAGCGATGGGGGGTCAGATCTGTACGCCAAAGTACATTTTCTTTTTCTTTTTGGGATTATTATCTTGATTATTCGAATGAAATTTTTTTTCTTATTTGGATTTTAATTAAAAATCCATTTTTTAATGTCAAAACCCCCATCAAACACTGTGCCACATCGAGCATGGATGATCCCTGTGAGCATCAGAAAGCCGGGGGATCCCCGGCAGCATTTTTTAAATTTATTAATTTCTCTGATCGCGCTACGGAGTATGCAGGCTGCGTATTGGAGAGCAACTTGCAGTAGTCGTTTGTTAGTACGCATTTAGTGCCCATTGGTTGTCCCGATCTAGACATTAATCCCTGTCCAAACTAAATGTAGATCGCTGACATTTTTGGGGTTCAAAATGATTTTAATTCCATGACAGTCTCCACTGCTCCCGGCTCGGAAGCACTCCCCAATAGAGACTGGTGCTGTCGATTATCGATCGCCTAGCCCCTCTCCTTCCAGTCTCCACCTCCCGGGATGTCATGGCTGTCAAATGTACGTAGTGATGTAGAGAACTGACAAAGAGCGAGGCAACCGGTTCTATTGACCGTTTCCACCCTTAATCGCAAACGTTTGACTATCTGGTCCTCGGGATAAAGCGCCCCGCGGATCTACGTTGAACCAGTAATTCCATTCTTTGTTTATTTCCATGGAGCTCGTTTAATTTCTGGTCGCACCATGCTCTAATGTCACCTGCTGTACAATTCGTGTTCAGTCAAGTCCGCACAGGCCCAGCCTTGCGTCGGGGCCCACGTAAAATATTAATGTGGCTATTCTTAAGGTACAATGCAGATCAACTTCAGCTGTCGGAGGTTCCGTGCAGTGGGAATGCTGCAGAGTCAGGAACCTCCTATTTAATTCGGTTTTGTTTTTTCTCGTGTTACGACGGATACGGGGAGAATTAGCCCTTGACAAATCATAGGGAGCGAACTGCATGTGCTAAGCGTAAGTTTCCACCCCAAAACCACACTACTTTGCTCGGTGCTCGAACAGACCCGGATCTCTGGCTGATGTGCCCCGGCGCTAGTTGCAGGGCCCATCTTGTCCAATGGGCTAGCTCAACCGCCGTGTGGCCCTCCACGCCATCCCCAGTCCGTGAACCTATCAAGATCAGGGCTTGTGCGTGGCCCAACATCCTGGATCCTGGGAAGTTCCCAGAAATGACTCGCTGATAGGGTCTCGATCCAGTTTAAAGACATCATATTTGTCGATCTCCCTTGAAACCCAGGGACTTGGATATAACGGGAGCCCGCGGGGTTTACCGGTTACCAGGATATGACTACAAACGTTTTCTTGTCTTCAGCTGGGAAACGGCGAACCCCTGAGATCAGACCCTTGGAAATCTCGCCAAATGAGGTGAACATGAATCTCGGAGGATGAATACATAAGCGAATGCATCAAAGCACCGGGATGGCGGGTCAGGACCACTGGTCTATTCTAGCCGCGTACATTGAGTGAGGCGCTTGGCTCTAGCACAAATCGAGACAGGTTGACGAAAGCGGTCCTTTTGAATTTACAGTATCGGGGGACGCCCATGATCTCTCCGAGAGGTTAAGCGCTGTACTTTTGAATCGAGTTTCTTTGTTTCGGCAACAATCGCTCTTTAACCCCACTTCCCACCCTAAAATTCCTGATCAAGTTAAATTTGTCGGAATGAATTCAACACTAAAATCACAATAAAATAAACTAGTGCTTCGGGGAGGAACACCTGAGCCCAAGGGAAAGAGAATTTCCACCCAAGCGACTGTCACTGTGCCCATCTCCCGCAGGTGGACTCGATAGAATTTTCTCAGAAGGCAAACGATACTATATTTACGACATGCACCAGATCGGGGCACACAGATCAAGTAAAATGAGTTGCAGCAACTGAGTGGACCTGCACAATTCATCGTACCTGCGTGTTTGATCTTACGCACTTTCTCAAATTGATTAGGTTTTTCAATTTTGAGTAATCTCCCGATCCTAATATTCCGCCACAAAGACATATACAAAAGAACGATCATCGTTGCATTCGCCTAAGAATTAAGTTGCCACACAGCCTGTGTTTCCCCAAGCTTGTCGTAACCCCTGTACTTTTGACCGTTATTTGTCATTATACCCTGGTCACTCCTAGTTCCGTATATAGAGGAAATCCGAGAACACTAGCAACGGCTCGAGAAGCCGCGCGAGCTACCAACCCCACTATCAATCGCAAGGGGGTTTCGCGCGGAAAGTCTTTGTTATCGCCCCTCTATGGATCCTGTCAACTGATTTGTATTTGCCTTAATTTTCGGTTTCTTTTCCTTGTTTTGCTTTACCCCCACTACACCACCAGGCTCCATCTTTCTGTACAATGCAGAATCGGGATGCCCGTCAAAACGGTCAATGGCTGAAAAAGAAACGGAAAACGCCAGATCCTGTGATGTGCAGGGCCTAGGCTCCCGATCAATGATGTGACAGGCTGATCCGAGTTCCAACATACGCCAACTCCCGATGCCGTGCTTCTGATTGGTCGATTGGAATGCAGGTCTTCCTGTCACATCCCTGCTATAACTTAGAGTTGAGCCACAACGTGGCTCAGTCACAGCTATTTTCAGCTTACTACGGAGTACCTGCCACACTTAACGTAAGGCGCACCGCCACAGGCCCGTCCACTGTGGTCGCTTCTCATGCTCCGATAGGTTGATCTGTGGTGGTCCAATTAAAAGTGGTGGAAGCCATTAAGCCCACAACACGCCAAATCCAGATTGAAGTGCAGATAAAAGCTACAGGGGAGCTCCCTGTCCACTATAGCAAATCATCCACATTTACTCATTAGCGACCAGATTTTCCAACCTGTTTGCACAAAAGAAGAAAATGAACTCCTAAAAAAAGGAAACACCGTCATGTTCGACAGCCAACGCATCTTGACAGGACTTGGCGAACTTAGTGGTGGAGATTAGTTTTTCTTTTTGGAAGATAACTAGATGCTGTCTAGGTAGCAAACAAAAGGAATCACAGTTAGCTACAGAAAACACTGTACAATATTCACGACAGAGTAGCGTTTGACACATGTTCTTATTTGCTTAATTATCCTGTGACCGCTATTACCGCCACGCTAATATCCATTTCCGATGACCGATGTACGATCGAGATTATCATACAAAGCTCCCGGAGCTGTTCGGTGGCTTATAAGATGATTGTCTGATGCAATCACCCTGAAACCTTGGATTGAGGCGTTGCCTTGGCTGGTGACAGCGGGAGGGTGCACTGACAGTTCCCCGAAAAGGGGTGGGGTTGGGCGTCTTTTTTGAAATTGGTGGGGGCTTTTTTTTCGAGTCAAGATCATGACCGCATGGAGAACTGAACTGAGGTGATTGCACTTGATCTGCAGCTTCTTCATGTCTGTTCCCGGGCGCTTCATGTTGGAACGGTTTATGGTTACATTGTTTGGCTCACCGCCACTGAGTACATAGAAGAGTCGGTACTTTTTCTTCTCGTTCGCACTTTCTTCTCTAGTCTCTCTTGATTTTTTTCTACAAAATCTTCCAAGAGGTCCAGGAGCACAGTTCGTATTGATCGCGAGACAGGGGGGCGAGTTCTAGATATTTAGCGCGAAAAGGGGAATATTGAATTGAAAGTCTGGAAGTCAGTTATCGAGACCGCGATCGAGACCGTCGTTTCTAGTTCTGCAATCGAGAATGAAAAAGTACGCCGCATGCTCTCGTGATCGATCAGAAGTCATTATTGCCTTGAGGGGACAGCGAGGTCAATGGAGGCGAACCGGGGATAGTCGTCTCGTATCCAGAATCCTGAATGATGAGGATTGTCGTTGCCGTCTACTCTATTTGATTTCTCGGGACAGAGTAGACGGGCCTCGGAAAAGCACACGACTAACGCACCGGAGGGCGAGTGACCCAGCAGCCGCCCGCCCGATCGTGCAATGGTTTGCATCGATCGAGCTCTCATCGGTCCCCAAAACAGGTGGTATGTCGTCATCTATGGCTTGGGGCGGAGGTCGGGCCCTCCAGGGGTCAAGTATGCTGACAGGATAGTTCATGGTCATCTGGTCTGGGAAAGTAGTACTTTTGAAGAGATCGATCTGGTTGGCCCAAGAGATCCAAATCTGGGAGCTCGCTTGAGGCCCAGACTTCAACCCCCGCCAACCTCATCAGTGGCTGGGGGCGGCCCGGGGATTCCGGTCCGGACACGCTAATGCTG